GCAAGTGTAAGTGTCTTATCTGTACTCTATACCTCTGGTGAGTCTTGCTAGGTACGGTCTATGAGCTCTGCTAGAGTTGTGGTTCTAAAATACTTGTCCTGCACGACACGATATTCAGGAAGCAGCAACTCGAGATCAGTAAAGCTGCAATCCAGCCGAGGAAATAATTTGATATCAGCTTTATTACGTCGTCAAGGCAAGCATCCGACGGTAAATTCACCAGCAGCTCAATTATATGAAGAGAATGTACCTGTTGTTTGGGGTCATTCGCAGAGCAATACGAGGTAATGGTCTCAACAAAATCTGCTCACAAATGAGCGTATGTCCGAATTACTCGAAACTGCAATAGTTCAGCTACTCTCAATTGCCAAGATAATTACCAAATGACATCATTAAGCAGACTAGCTTGGATTACAGAGCTCTCAACAGTCAATTGAAAAGAATTATCAAGTGATAAATCATAGAGGTGCGCGCAAATATCTAGCCCATTTCTGGGGCGTACCGAGCGCTCAACAAACTGTAGCCTGACTGACACCGGTCCCTCTGCCAGCCGCTCAATTATTTACCACTGTTTCCTGGGTACTTTGGTGTTTTTTCTGACGGCTTTCATGAACTTCTATGACGTATTCCTACTATTCTTTGCAAACTTACAAGTGTATAAAGAATTGTAGCAGTGTGTTCGAGACTGATCGCTTACCGGCAATGGTCAAGGTGGGTTCTTTCCCATTCTGATATCTAGCGTGTTATCAGCTTTTGAATGTCACTTCGTCACTGCGCATATATAACATTTGAGTTAGGTCTTGGTTGCATGTTAATTATGAACACGTCAAAGACAAGCATTCATTTGCAAAAATGTATTTGCAGCATTGTTAGTTGATCTCCACTAATCCAATACGATAAACAAATCGAACGACGACCGAAAGCTGCAGCTGCCTTAACTTTCATGTTTGTTAAAGAAAAACAGAGTGAAGAAGCTTTTTGTGATCCTCATCTGAGCATAGAGTTGGCCGACTATGACTGCTTATCCGATGTTGGACCCATTGTTGCTAATTTAACTGACTCTCCACATGCTGATGGTTATATGTAGGTAGAGGGGAAAAGTTTTTCTATGTCTCAAAAAAAGGGAAAGGCGGGCAGCAGAGACGGCTTGTTCCGCCTCTCTTATCATGCCACGTTGTATCAGAGCCGATTCGAAGCCGATTTAGGTAGACCGAACTGTCTTGGATTCGTCATCAGAGGATGAGTGCCGCCCCGGTATCGGCTAGACCGGCGGAGCTGGTGGGCCATGAACTATTCAGTCACTTATTTTTTAACTGGTAGCCCCTCAGATAGCGCGATTGGGGGGATACGTCAGGCGAGGTTCTCTCAAAACGCGTAATAGGTTGCCTTCCCCCAATTGAGGGCCAAGCATCGTCAACATGTCCCTCACAACGACTCATTCCGAGTTTACAACTATCGTCAGTACGCCGTTCCTAACTTTGGCCGGAAGAACTTTTGTTTTGGTGAGCTTTGCGGATGAAGGTTTCGTTTAACCATATTTCTGTAGCACCTAGTTTTTCTCGGCCTGAACGGCATCTCAGGGGAACGAGGAGGCCGAATGACTCCGCATTCGGACGCTGCAGGGACGATTTCTTTTTACTGCTTGTTTGGGCGCTGCAAATGCGGGACTTATTCGAATAGTTATTTCTGCCACGGCCTAGGCTGGAACTGCTAAAGAATTGAGCTTTTATGAGATATTAAAAAAATGTGCAGACGCAAGTGAGTTAGAAGTCTTGGGTATCTATCCTGACCCACACGAGCTATGAACCTGTGCAGGAAGGCGCAGTAGTACACTAAAAGCTACAGAGTATTTTTTTTCAGTTTCTTCTCGTTTCTGCCCACGCACTGATCGAAACTATCTGGTTGGGCCTCCACTCGCTAGCCAAGCGGCCGTGCTGAGAAAAAGAGAACGGTACTAGTTTGACGAGAGAACCTAAACGGACCTAAGGCTACAACCTAAATGAATTTTTACTCTATGCGGCGTGCCTGACGCAATGGTCGAGAATTCAGTAAGCGAGCTGGAGACCGCTGATAAGACTTCAATTCATCATTGGCGAGTATTGCTCATACATTGAGGACCCCCAGTCCTCAGTTCTCCGCCGAAAAAAAGTGGATCATCATAATGTGTTATACGTGCTATGTCTCAAATTTACAATCTGCGATTCGCATTCCTGCTGCATGAAGTTAGCCATTCAGGCAAGGCAACTCAATTCCCAATATCCTCGATATCGTGCTGAAAGCTTTGCTGCCGGTCAGCATGATATTACATCATGCACCTCACGAAGCAACGCCCGGCTGCACATGTGATTCCGACGGCCTGTTCTCCCTGTCTTTACTGTGCACCGTTCTGCACCTCCCTGCCGTTCACACTCAGATATCTATAAAAATCACACAAGAGTTATGCACTAGGTTGTTGGTCAAGCATGTAAGCCTCCCAGATTGATCGGACTTGCAGCACCGATTGCTCTGACTTGCAGCACCGATTGCTCTGACTGATTCAAGACTGCAAAGAGTTTTGCTGCCGCTGTAGGGTATCGTCCGAAGCAGTTTGCGTCCTACGCCTACGCTGGGCCGTTCCAAAAAATCTGAGAAATAAGAAATGTCTGATTGACACGTGCTATACAACCATAAAAATTGGTCCAAGGCTCAATCATTATCAGCAAAGATTACGCCACGATATCAGCGTTCGTAGGATGATAACTCTTCAAGAACAACCACCGCCGCCGCCTACAGGTCGTTGAGCATGCCCGCCCGCCGCAGGCGGCTGGCACCTTGCATGTGGCCATGTTTTCTGTTTTTTCTTCGCTTTTCGTTTCTTGTGCTTGCTTCTCTCGCGCACATGGCCGGGTACGGGGACTGTGCACACTGTGTCAAATATGATAGACTGACCTGGCCAAGTTGTCGGAATACGACCTCGGCACAAACGCAGTAAATGGCTGACCCTGGCATGAATGCTTGGTTGATTGGCCGACTGCGACGGCCATGCAGGCCTGCAGATTGTCTCTCGAGCTGCTTTTGCTCTCCTGGCCTTTGTTTCTTTCTCAAGTTTTCTGCTTGTCTCTGGAGCTTTCTTTTTTCTTTGTTTCTCGTGTTTTCTCCATCCGCTCGGTGCTTTGATTGCTTCCTAATTTTCTTTTTTCTGGTCCTCGTGTTAACTCAGCTAATTTCCCAAGCCGAGAACCTCTTAGTTTACCGACTGTTTGAGTTTACACGTTACCTCCTAGCCGCAATACTAAACGCGAAGTTACCCCCGAGCCTTTAAACTTACCCACCCCAGGGCCGGATTTGATTCGATTGGCGCCTCCTAACGAGCGCTAGAGTTTTCGTTCGTGAGCTTGTAGTGTTGCTAAGTTTATCTTCTCGACCTGGCCGATAGCGGCCCGGCTTGGCCAAGGCTTTTCCCAGTCGGCGAGCACCTCCGTAGTCGAGCCGTGCAGTGGTGAGTTTGGCCTAGTCAGTGAGAAAAGTCTTTCCTACTCCGTAAGCGAGCCATTGCAACGTTCCTTTGATAGTCACCATTGACTGTTCTAGCCAACAGGCAAATGCTCTATCTGATGTTATGTCTGATTCGTCTAGCTAAAAGTCAAACATCGATATCTTGGGTTTCCTACTTACTACAAAAAGAGATAACTGAGTGAAAACAATTGCATCTATCTGGATTACATGCACGTCATTTCTTGATGCCTGCGTTCTGCAGTCTAAGGTGGTGCAGAGCAGGAAGAAACTTTGCTGACAACGCATTCCGATAGCAGTTAGCCCACCTTCAAACTCTCCAGCCCTGAAGCCTGGCAGAAGCAGTTAAAAACGACAAAAAAAATCTTTTCTCCACCGCTCCAGCTTGTATGTCTTCTCCAAAGGCCGAACAAAAAACGGGCGTCGTTTGCAATCACCCGAAGGCGCACGCTTGGACGCAAAAAAGCAACCATACGAGGCTAGAGTATGGAAGCTGAAATGAAATTTTTTGTCGGTCTCTCGGTCGGTACCAGTGAAAATAGCTACGGATACTACCAAGGTCTCTCTTTTTCACTCTTATACACTCTCTCCAGGAGTTTTGGGCCACTCAAGCCCAAGAACTCGGCTTTTGTGATCATGTGTGTATGAGACATGGCTTCTGTAGGGCTGCAACAGCTGCAAACGGCGCGATAACGTCCGATGCGGGTACCTTCTTCCCGGAAGCAAACTACGGCCAGACGTGCTTGCTGCTCGCCGCTGCTCGAGGAAAGATATGCCGCCATAGTAGAGCCGTGCGTCCTGCCTGCTTTAGCTGTAGGTCGAAACAAGCTCGTCAGGCGCGCCGAAATGTTATCCTCGAACTTTGCCTGGATTTGCATACGGCCATCGAATAGACTATTGCGTTTTTTCCGAAGCCGGTTGGCAGGTGATCCTCCAGAACACGAAGATCCTCCACTTCAATCTCCTGTTTCTTGTGTGTTTCCCAGCTCTACTATCTGCTATTTCATAGGAATATTGTCTACAAAAGTATTAGAATGCATCGATCAAGGGTCTTAATAGGTGGCTTGTTTCTAGTCTCATAGCTTGCAGCAAGGCAATGGGCGGACTCTCCATCCGGCGTTTAAAACATCCAAGGTTTCCCCAGAGCAGAGAGAGTTATCTGCTATTACCCATTAGACCTCTGATCCTGCAATTTCCTCACTTGCATACTTTCTGTGTTTGCAGTAGTCTGACGAGCACAGTTTTTCTCGCCGGACTGGGCACATGCTGTCTTTGAATAAGTTTGCAGGTAACGCGTGTGCAGCTGTCTTCCCGGACGTAGATCAGGTGGAGATAGGGTTTTGTGAATATGTGCTCTATCTCATCTCCGCTATGGCAGCCGTTTTGGTCGAAACTCATGTAGTCTAGTCATTTTGTTCATTTACCATACAAATTCATCAACAAATGCTTTCCAGCCCTAGTATATGGCTGGCTCTTGTCTTTGACGATGACAGTATGCTTAGGACGTATTGATGGATCAATCGCGAGATGTAGGGTTTCCGGGCATTTATCCGAGCACTGAACGCCTCTGTTCTTGATCCCTTATTCACTATTTCAAACACGCAACCCCCCTTCAGACAATGATCATTGACTCTCACGTACACCTCTTTGCTTCTCATCAGCTAGATTCACTAGCATGGATGACTCAGGATCATATTCTCCACTCATCGCATGGTCCAGACGAATACGCAACGGCTGCGAGCCAGTGCAAGTCGGCGGCCATCGACGGCTACATTGTGGTCGAGGCCGATTGGCGACATACACCAACGGACTACTCTGGCCCACTTGAAGAGTTTAAGTACCATGCCTCTCTAGTGAGATCAAAGACTCGCCCACAGATCAAAGCTCTCGTTCCTTGGGCTCCGTTGCCATGGGGCGCGAGCGCGGTCGCCTCATTCCTAGACTCCATGCGCGATGCAGACCCGGAAGTCTACATCTCACACGTTCGAGGTGTACGATATCTAGCTCAGGATTTTGGCAGTGGATCAATGACCGGGTTTACAGAGTCGATGAAATTGCTTGCTTCGAGGGGCCTGGTCGCCGAGGTAGGCGTGAAGATACGCGGTGCGATCCCCGGACCTTCTGCAGTGTATCAGCTTGAAGAAGCGCTTGAACTGATCAAAACATCGCCTAAGACTCGATATATATTTGACCATCTATGCAAACCCGACCTGCGCATCCCAGCCGCCGAGCTAGCCAGGAGCGACGAGTTCTCCGGCTACTCCCGCGTTATAGCCGAGCTAGCGAGATACGACACCTACATAAAGCTCTCCGGAGGTTTTTCAGAGCTTGATCCTACAATTGCGTCGTCTCGACATACTGAATCGGAAGCCGTGGAAGCTATCTTGCCATGGGTCGAAGTCGTCTTCTCAGAATTTGGGCCCAGACGCGTCATGTTTGGAAGCGACTGGCCGGTATCTACGATCGCGGGGGGTCCTGATGCTGTTGCTCGCTGGTTAAGGATCTGTGGTATGCTATTCGATAAACTCGGTCTCGACGAGGATGAACGTGAAGCGGCCCTGTCCTCGACTGCACTCTCTGCGTACAATGTCGCGTGCTGAGCGCGGAGGAGGTGGGTGTATTAGAGTTTAGTTTCCCCAACTCCTGCACAACTTCTAATAGTTTGTACACAGATACGCGCTTAAATGTATAGAAGTTTCTGCCTTCGGCTAATCATTGTCCCGTCGCCCACTGCTGTTCAGCGCGATCCCCACGCAGGCTTCCCCAGTTCTTACTACCATTTGCGGTTCTTATCTCGAGCGGCACTATAGACGGATGCACTTCTCAGTCAACAACCATGCTCCAGTAACGGCCTTGCTTGCGGGCAAGGTCGTCGCAATCACAGGAGCAACCTCTGGCATCGGTCGCGGCATCGCGCTTGAAATGGCGCGCCACGGCGCAAAGATCGCAGTCAACTACTACGACAAGGATCCCTTACAAGTGCAAAACCTCGAGACTCTCCGGGCAGAAATTGAAGAGATAAAGAGTGGAGATAGCAAGTCGTTCACTGCTGTTCCTGGTGATATCTCAATTCCTGAGACGGGACGCGCGCTGGTTCGCGAATGTGTTGCGTTCTTTGGCCGGCTTGATGTGTTTGTGTCGAACGCTGGGATCTGCCCGTTTTACGATTTTCTAGAGATTCCCGAAGAAGTCGTCTATCGGACTTTGAATACGAATTTTACCGGTGCATATTTCGCGATCCAAGCAGCAGCAAGACAGATGAAAGAGCAAGGCGACGGTGGAAGCATCATTGGCATTTCAAGTATATCCGCGCTAGTCGGCGGGGGCGAACAGACGCACTACACACCCACCAAAGCAGGAATCTTGAGTCTTATGCAGTCGTGTGCTGTTGCGCTTGGAAAGTATGGAATCAGGTGTAACGCGCTTCTGCCGGGGACGATTAAGACCGCGATCAATGAAGACGATCTGAAGGGAGAAAAGGGCGATAAAATGGCTGCAGGTGTGCCGCTTGGACGATTGGGAGTGCCTGAGGATCTTGCGGGACCGGCAGTGTTTTTGGCAAGTGATCTCTCACGATATGTGGTAAGCTATCTCTTTGTTCCTCTTCTTCATGGCAGCTTACTGACTCCTTTCATTAGACTGGTGCGCAACTTTTGGTCGACGGCGGACTATACGTCAACTTGCAGTAATTCACACAGTGACGTGTCTATAGACTAGCTTTTGTATACCTTGATAGAAACTGAATCAACTACTCGAGCCAAACGACGCGGCCATAACAACATCTCGCCCGAACGGCTCCCACCTAACATTACTCAGCTCGTCCATTGCCTGAGCAGGCGAGACCTGAACTCCCTTCTCACCCAGAAGGACTGGGGCAATAGTAACAATGACCGTCTTCACCAATGCTTCAGAAGAAGTGCCGCTGGTCGAAGCAGCCAGCAAGTCATTAATAACCTGCGCCCCTCCTTCGATCATAACCGACTTTATCCGTAAATCATCCACAAATGTCCGTCTGATCAATTCCCAAGACTCGCCCCGCGGTGTTAAGCTCGTAAGTCCTCGGATCGGAACAACTCGTACGCCAAGTTTCTCAAGCGCCTGTATCTTGTCGGCGCATTCCGCATACCGCGAAGTTGAAACGAGAACGACAGGAAACTTGCCGATTCCCTGCGTCGCGTTCTGCAGTACTTTTGATTCAAGGCTGATGTTTGTCCTAAAGCTCTGTGTAGACATAGCCCATCATGCGTCAGTAAGTCTGAAGACAATTGCGGCTGCTGCAGAAGAGGAGGGAAGGGACAAACGGGCACTCTCACAGGATCAAGAATCAGAGGCAATGGAGAGCAGTCAAGTGCGCTCTGCGAACGGTCAGCACCGGACAAAGACGCTGGCGGATACCGACAATTCAGACCCGGATCATCTGCTGCAAATGTACCCGCGCCTACCAGAATTGCATCGTGATGAGCGCGTAGGTAGTGTGTCATTGTCTTTGACTCTGGCCCCGAGAGTGCGGTGCGGATACCGGGCCCAAGCGAGATCCGCGAATCGAGGCTGGCGGCATAGGTCAAAGTTATAAATAGCTCTGACGACGAAGTGTTTGACGGAAGATATGGATCAAGAAAGGCGCAGGCCGACGGTGGCAGTGGCGGTAGCGACATTGTCAGCGGTGACGGGGAGAGGAAGCCTTCGCGAGCGGCGGTCGTCGAGGTCTCGAGGGTTTTTGACCCCTGAAACTGAACCTCCCCACCACCGTACCACTTTGAGCATCACCACATCGTCCTCATTTGAGAGCTGTTCTCTGTCTATATAATCGCCCTGTTTGCTGTTCTTGATACTGTTTGCTTCTGTGTGCTTATCTGTGCTTTACTGGCTGATATACTGATACTCATGCTGCTCAAGATTCTCATGTGGTTCGTCCCGGGTCCTATCAAGAAGGCGATGGCCGTCAAGCCAGCCGCGGCCGCTCGCGCCTTCATCTTCCTGTTTCTCTTCATCACAGTCTTCCTTCTCGGTAATTATTGATTTGTGTAGTTATATGCGGTATTTTATCTGACATTCTTAGTATTCATGCTTCTGGGCTGCACCAAATCACCGTCGACATATTCTTCCGTTTACGCCGTCAGATTCACCACCACCGGCGGCGTCAACGGCACGGTCTCGATGGATGCCTCATACTACGGTGTCTGTGGCATCTCAAACACGACTACAGTTTGTCAACGCTCGACTTCTGCAACTTCAACCGCGCTCCTCCCCTTCCGCTACGCAAAGTCAGCTTCCGCAACTGTCGACCTCGTCGCGCTGGCTGAGATTGTTAAAAAAGACATCATCCATCCTACCCTCGCCATCTCCACCCTCACTTTCACCATCCTCGCCCTACTTTCAAGCTCGGCTTCTTGGACTGTTGTCAACACAGACTCCACCGTCGCGCATCTACTCAACACCTGCACCCTCTGGTCCACCGTCCTCGCAACTATGCTCTCCGGCATGACCGTCTCCTGGAGCCACGTTGCGGGCAGCACGCTCGCGCAGACTCTTTCTGGTGCAACAAATGGCGCGGTTGAGGGACATATTGGGCGCAGAATGGACGCGATGGGTTGGACGGCCTTTTCTTTCTTGCTTTTGACTACCGCGGCGGTCGTTGTCTGCGTTGTGCTTGAGGACGATGGCTCTCAGGGGGATAATGACTCTCTGAAGAAAGGTGAGGCGAAGGATAACACCACTGTTGGTATGGGGGAGTATGATATGCAGGGATATAGACTCCCCACCCCTGTCAGCGTCTCCAGATATTAGGAGTCTGATATTGCTGGTTTAATACTTATTCTACTTCTGTAATTTTTACAATTGTTATCGTTAGACAGTGGCTGCTCTTATAAGAGCCTATATATGCTAATTAATCATCAAATATAACCTGAAATGAATTAGATGCCAAATGTAGATATAACGCATTCAACTCCTACAACCAATGAGATCTCCTCTGACTGGGAGATCAACAGCAAAAATGTATAGCAAAACCGAGTATACCAGCAGATTCCCTTCTCCGCATCTATAGCTATCAAAAATGATTACCGTATTCTACTTTGCACCCTTTTCATCAGAACCATCGACATCATCCTGTTTATCCGGGACTTGGTTTACATCCTCGGCCGAGAGCGCTCGTTCCTCAGCAGCTTCTTTCTCCTCCTCCGCCATTCGCGCCTTTGCATTCCTCTCCCTTCTCCACTGCGGGCCCCACTTCAACTCTGCAAACAAGAACGGGGCGCCGGCGAAGCACAGCAGCGCGAGTAAAGTATACGTCCATGCGATTCCGATCCTGGCTTTGATTATCGACACAACGGCCGCTGATACGGCTGCGAGCCAGCAGCGGACGAGGTTGTTTGTAGCGTTTATACTCACGGCTTGGTTCGGGTACAGGTCTGTGATGAGTACCTGCGTGAGAGTGTAGATCGACATGAAGCCGAATCCGACAAAGTAGATCATGACAAGCGGCACCGCGAGGGAGATTGAAGAGCGGAAGGTCCAGCCAAAGGCAATCATGGCGCCAAAAAACGGGACAATGTAATACCGCAACCGCTTCAAACGTGTATGCTCAAGCGGAAAATTATCGTTTTGGTTGAGATTGTAGCCCAGCTCTGCTGCTTTCTTGCGGTAATCATAGTCCATTATACGTCCAGAAAGAACCGAGCCGGAGGCAGACCCGCACCCCAAGGGCAGGAAACAGAGACCGACTTTCAACGTCGGAAGGTTGTAAACCTCGGCAAAATTGGACGACGCACCGACAGTCACACCGCAGTAAATTGCGTAGAAAATTCCGCACATGAGGAGAGTCACGCAGACATCCTTCTGTGTGATAATGAGGAACGATTTAAGCGGGTTTTGCATCGGCCGCGGCGGCGCAAGTGTGCTTCGCTGCTCCTTCTCCGGGGGCCACTCTTTCTTTTTGATTATATCAATCAGAGGCTTTGAGTACCACTTCTTGGGCGCGACTGTACCGTTGCCGACAATGTTCCGCCCTGTCTCTGGCATCCAAACTAAAATCACCATAAGCTCTGCAAACCCGAGAGCCAGTAAGAAAAGAAAAATCGTACGCCAGCCGTAGCTTGAGACAGAAAGTACGCCAGAAAGTACGGGTGCGATTGCTGGCGCGACCATTGACATGGACACCACGATACCGAGATAGAGTCCTCTCGATTCGCGATCGACGACGTCGGCTACAGTCCCGGCACCAATTGATACCGATGCGGCAGAGCCGGTTGCTTGAAGCATGCGCAGAATCATTAGAGACGCGTAGGAGTCTGTGACAGAGATTGCAATGTTGGCAATCAGGAATACTGTGTATGTGGCAATGTATACCGGCCTGCGCCCGATACTGTCCGCGAGTGAACACCTGGATACTTCGAGTTAGTGATTGCAACCGACGCAAGATAGGAACTTAACATACCATAGCATAGGAGTGAGTCCCTGCATTATAAAATAGACAGTCACCGTGATATTGATCTTCTCGTTCGACACCCCTAGCTCTCTTGCAATCTGCGGCAGCTCAGGAAAATACGTCGACACTGTGAACGAGGACATAAAGACCGCGATGCCAGCGACGATTACAAGTGCAAGTCGCTCGCCGCCCACGTAAATAGAATACGGCGGTTGCTCCTCTTTATCACCCTCCATACTGTCGAAAACCTCGGCAGCTGACACGTCGTCTGCAAAATCATCGCCTGAACTGCGCTCGAGGCTGTTCACGTCGACTTCAACTGAATTCTTCATTATGCCTGCTATCTTGCGTTACTATTAAGCTGTGAACGATAATCCGAGTACTGTCTCATGACTATACAGCTGTATAAAAGAGAGACGAAGACGGAGACTGCAGCAGAGTCATGTAAGATATACGATTGTTGGATTAGCTGACTGCTTCGGAAAAGGGTCCGGCGCGGATTTGCACCGCCCGCGAGACCCACTGCCTTTTTGGAGACCTCACAGACCAGACAGTGTCTGTCTTTGACAATCGTCAGCCAAACTACGATAAACCAGTCGATAACAGACTCGATGATGCTTCTACTATCGATGCCTCGTTTGGATACAAGTGCTTGACTTCAAAATAGTATTCTTGGCTTCAAAATTCTGTATTACATCTCGGAGCAGTCTGCATCCACCGGATACCCGTTAACGGAAAAGCCAAAACCTTATTTCATGATGTCATCTCTGACAAACATTAGCAAATTGAAATTTGAGTTCCTGACTCCCAAAGCCATTGTCAGAGGCATCAAACTACTACAACCACACCAACCATCCTCGAGCATCTTCAGGAAAACACAAATGCAGCAAAGTAAATGAAGTCGGTGTCGTTATTTGGGATCCACTTTTTCCGTGGGATGGTCAACGACGTGCGGCAGCGACTGCCGTACTATGTCCCCGACTGGACCACGGACGCGTTGAATTATCGGATTGTGCCCGCGACGATTTACATGTATTTTGCAAAGTGGGTAGACGTCGCGGATGATGGTTTTTGGGTTGTGTTACGCAGTGGCTGATTATGCGTTTAGTATTTTACCTGCTATTGCATTTGCTCTTGATATGTGCGTGTTTCAAGTTCTTACTTTCTCTTTCGTAAACTTGAATTGCAACTGACGTTTTGGTGTTTACTAGGTTTTCGAAAACACATAATTCATACGGCGTTAATGAGATTCTTCTCGCTTCTGTTCTTGGTTCATTGCTTTTTGCTGTCTTTGGCGGGCAACCGCTCTGTATCGTTGGCGTTACAGGTAATTCTTCATCTAAATCATCGTGTTCTAGATACTCTGCAAAAGCACACGAGTTAACCTTTGCTGTCTCTCAGGTCCTATCTCGGTTTTCAATTATACAGTATACGAAATCATGGTGCCGAGAGGTACGCCTTACTTTCAGTTCATGTGCTGGATTTGTCTGTGGTCGATGGTCATGCATTTTATAATCGCAATCACAAACGCTGTTAATGGTAACGCCTTCCTTGCTGCTTTCTTCCAAGATTTGATTCGCTAATAGTCGTATAGGTCTTCGCTACGTTACCCGCTTTAGTTGCGACATTTTTGGCTTCTACGTCGCGTTCATTTATCTTCAGAAAGGAATACAAGTGCTCACCCGCCAATTCGAGCGCTCAGACTCGGAAGGCTTCATATCGATCATGATTGCGCTTCTAGTGCTTATTTTCGGCTACCTCTGTCATATAATAGGAAACAACTCCCCTCTCTTCTGGCGTCCGATCCGGCGGTTTATCGCAGACTATGGCACACCTCTCATCGTCGTCTTCTTCACGGGCTTCATCCACATTGGAAAGCTCCGCAACTACGACATCCAGCGGCTTCCGATCGGCGCGACCTTTGTGCCTACGGCGGGAAGCACGGCCAGTCGTCCGCACGGCTGGTTTATACATTTCTGGCACGATATCTCTGTCGGCGACGTCTTTCTTGCGATCCCGTTCGCGCTGCTGCTCACGATTTTGTTTTACTTTGATCATAACGTGTCATCGCTTGTATGCCAAGGTCGCGAGTTCCCGCTCAAGAAGCCGGCGGCTTTCCACTGGGATTTCTTCTTGTTGGGAATATGTACTGGTATTGCAGGAATATTGGGAATCCCGGCTCCCAACGGTCTGATTCCGCAAGCACCGTTTCATACGATATCCTTGTGCGTAGTCAAGGATAGACGGGTTGGATCAGCGGCGGACGACGACGACGACAGTCACCGGATAGAAGACGGGATAGATGACGACGACAGCGGCAGTGATAAATTTGAGTCGGTGGTAGTCAAAGTGATTGAGCAGCGAGTCAGCAATTTTGCCCACGGCCTAATGATCCTGGGCACGATGTCGCGACCACTGTTGGTCGTTCTGGGACTTGTGCCTCAAGCTGTTCTTGCGGGGCTGTTTTGGATTATGGGCGTGAGTTTCCTTGTTCTAATCTTGATTTCTGCCTTATTTTATAAACTGATGAACTGACTTTGTGTTTATTCGCGCGATATAGCTTGGTGCGCTTCAATCAAACGGCGTTATTCAGAAACTATACTTCATTTTCAAAGACCGTTCGCTAACCCCACGAAGCGATCCCCTCCGCCGCGTACGCAAACGCTCGCTCTACCTATTCGTCGCCTTTGAACTCATCGCGTTCGGCGCAACGTTCGCAATCACGCAAACCATAGCTGCCGTCGGGTTTCCCGCGATCCTACTCGGCTTTGCTGCGTTTGCCATTCTTTTACCGCGAATATTCGAGCAGAGTGAACTCGAAATCCTGGATAGCGCGACGGCGTCCGAGTTTACTATGCAGAGCGTCACCGGCGGCGGCGGTGGTGGTAGACCGAGCGATAGTAGCAACAGCAGCAGCGGCGGAGGTAGTAGGGAGTGTGATATAGACGACTATGCGGATGTAAGGCGACAGAGCGAGAAGGACGCGCCGGTGAGGAACGATCGAAGTACGGATGCGGAACTCAGTCTAAGCGTTGCGGACGCGATAGAGAGAGGGAAGCGTAGTACTATTGCGCGACGGCGCAAATCGAGAAGTGATGGATAACGGATCTGACTTCCATCGGCGCTTCATATTATTTTTGTGATGTTTGGGTTTTGATTGTATCTCGCCACTCCCCAGACTGTGTTTAAATCATCGGAAATACGGGGTGAGGAGCGGGCGGAGTGAAGAAAGAGTGGTGAGCATTCTGGATTTGTATATATACAGCTTATATACAGCTCATCTTGGTTATCACACCTACCGATTGCAGATTTGCGGGTGGGTTGAAAAGATGGCTTGGCTTTAACAGTTAACGAGTTCGGCAAAGCGGTGATGATTTGATTGCCTCGGAAGGCGCGTACAGGGTACACTTTCGGCGAAACGGAAAACGGGGCCAACGGTGCATTCTCAGCGATGATTGACCAGAGATCTACAGAGTACCTACCGAGACAATACAATCAATGTGTAGATATATAATCGGACTTGACGGTGTATATTCTCTATAAGCGTCGAACTCTTCTCTGTCGTACGAGCGCGATTAGATCTGGAGATTGTCTGGTACCGAGATTCGCTTCTATGAACGTACTCGTGGTTGATATTGCTAGTCTGCAGTACGAACAATTCCGAAGCAGCTACATCCCACGTCCAGAGCAATCACATATGTCTACTATCGCTCTGAGATTGATACGGCTATCAGGCGAGAATATCAGAAAGTCTGGAGTCTGGGCGGATCTTTTGAGTTATCAGTTGGGAGGATTGTAGGTCAGTTATATATAGGACATCAGGCCAGCGGGCTAGAAACTAGAAACTAGGCAGGCACGGCTGGAAGCTTTTCAGAATAGCTCAGAATCCGGTCAGGGCCGAAAAAAAAAGATCAGGAGAGTGGATATATAACTACAGTGGATTTGCTTAAATAAAATAGGGATACAAATTATAACAATGCAGACTGAATACAATGCATCAACTTATGAGCAATACTATTTTTAAGCTATTAGTCGTGCATCAGCTTATCGACTGCTATCGCCCTTAGCGCTCCACACCCCGGCCTGTATCCCACTCAATTGCCCAATTCACCTGCTCGCGATGTCAGAGGTTATCGTCAAGGCCGCCGAGGGTGTCTCCTTCTTTACTCCAGCCCAGGAGCCGCCCGTCGGCACCTGCCTTGCCCCCGCAGAGGGTAAGGAGGTCCCCACAGCCTTCCAGCCTCTGACCATCCGCGGCGTCACCTTCCAGAACCGCATCTGGGTCTCGCCCATGTGCCAGTACTCGTATGACGACGGTTTTCTTACCGACTGGGCCGTCGTGCACTACGGTTCGTTTGCCGCCCGCGGTGCCTCGCTCACGATGATCGAGGCCACCGCCGTGCTTGACAATGGTGGGATTACTCCCGGCGACTCTGGGCTGTGGAAGGACGAGCAGATCGAGCCTCTGAAGCGGATCGTCGACTTTGTCCACTCGCAGGGCCAGAAGATTGGCATCCAGCTTGCGCATGCCGGCCGCAAAGGCTCGACTATGCCGCGCTGGACTGGTGTCAGATACGCCCACGCTGGTGCCCAGAGGGGCTTCCCTGATCGCGTCGTGGCCCCGTCAGCAATTTCGTTTGCTGACACCTTTGTTCCTCCCCGTGAGCTCACGACGGCCGAGGTTGAGGAGTACATCGAGGCGTTCAAGAAGGCTGCCGAGCGTGCTGTCAAGGCCGGCGTTGATGTTGTCGAGATCCACGGCGCGCATGGATACCTTCTCAACCAGTTCTTGTCGCCCGTCAGCAACAAGCGTACTGACGAGTATGGCGGCTCGTTCGAGAACCGCATCCGCTTCCCCGTCGAGATCGTCAAGGCTGTGAAGTCAGTCCTGCCTGAGAACATCCTTCTCTTCTTCCGCACCTCTGCCACCGACAATCTGGAGCACATCGAGCCCCTCGGCGTCGACTTGCTCGACGTCTCCACCGGCGGCAATGACCCTCGCCAACTCCTCGTCGGCGGTCCTGCTTACCAGGCCAAGCATGCGTATAAAGTCAAAGAGGAGTGCCCCAAGATCTTTGTCGCGCCCGTCGGTGCTGTCCATGAGCCTGATGTCATTGAGACCGTGCTTGAGAAGGCTGATGCGTTCTTCGTCGCTCGCCCGTTCTCGTGGGATCCTAGCTTTGTCTTGACGCTTGCGAAGAAGTACGGGATCACGGTTAAGTGGCCTGTTCAGTATGGCTACTACACGTCGCACGCTCACTAGGTCGGCTGAACCTATTGATGAATAGTATAGATGATGATGATGATGATTATGATGATAAATTTATGCTAAAGTCTGTTTATTAAAAATTATAGATTCCTGTTTGATGTGGCTTATTTGATTACCGAATATATAGCATACAGCACTTTGCAAACGTCGAAGAACTAAAAAAACACAAATACCTTGCATAATTCACATGAAAGCAGGTTCATTAGTAATCTCTCAGTCATAAACTTTATAACCTCGCCATCGCGTACAATGGCAAACAGCTCATAAAGTTCGTAAAGTCCGAGCATCGGACCTGCCTCGGTGCACATGAAACTGCCGCCTCAGCCGTGAGCTGCTGGTCAATTTGTTGAGGAGCAGATCAGGCAGTTGTAATAAGTAGAAGTTGACTGTCTGCGTGCTCGTCAAAGGCGAAGGCGCCATCGGTGATTAACAAGCCTTGCCACCGAAATGCCATAAATCTGTAGTAAACTGAGAGATTAGATAAGCTGCTGTCTCGTCCCCCTTTTTCCTGCCCATTCCCGCCTGTAAAATAGCCTGCCGGCGGTCATTATTAGCGGATAACAAAGTGCCATTATGTCAGACAGACCGCTGTTTTCTCTGGAAGTTTCTGTTCTGCACGGGGGCACAGGCCGGCTGATACCGAATGGCCCGGAATGAAAAATATCTCCCACCGGAAGCTTACTAATTATCAGACCCTCGAGGATTTATCCAAATACCTCCACACGGTCCCTTCCTTCCTCCTTCTCGAGTCCATCCCACAAGCAATTGACCAAATTACCTGCTCGCAATGTCTGAAGTCATCATCAAGGCCGCCGAGGGTGTTCCCTACTTCACTCCCGCCCAGGAGCCGCCCGTCGGCACCTGCCTCGCCCCCGCCGAGGGCAAGGAAGTCCCCAAGGCTTTCCAGCCTCTGACCATCCGCGGCGTCACCTTCCAGAACCGCATCTGGGTCTCGCCCATGTGCCAGTACTCGTACGAAGACGGTTTCCTCAACGACTGGGCCGTCGTGCACTACGGTTCGTTTGCCGCGCGCGGCGCCTCGCTCACGATTATCGAGGCCACTGCTGTCCTCGACAACGGTGGCATCACGCCCTACGATGCCGGTCTGTGGAAGGACGAACAGATCGAGCCTCTGAAGCGAATTGTCGACTTTGCCCACTCGCAGGGCCAGAAGATTGGTATCCAGATCGCGCATGCTGGTCGTAAGGCCTCGACCATGCCTCCCTGGACCGGTATCAACTACGCCCACGAGGGTGCTCAGAAGGGTTTCCCTGATCGCGTCGTTGCTCCCTCTGCGATCAAGTTCGACGACGACTTTGTTCCTCCCCGTGAGCTTACCACGGCTGAGGTTGAGGAGTACATTGAGGCTTACAAGAAGGCTGCCGAGCGTGCTGTCAAGGCCGGCGTCGACGTCGTCGAGGTCCATGGCGCGCATGGATACCTCGTGAACGAGTTCCTGTCGCCCGTCACCAACAAGCGTACTGACAAGTTTGGTGGTTCGTTCGAGAACCGCACCCGCTTCGCTGTCGAGATCGTCAAGGCCGTCAAGTCTATCCTGCCCGAGAACGTCCTGCTCTTCTTCCGCACCTCTGCCACCGACCGTCTCGAGCACATCGAGGGTCTCGAGAGCTGGAAGGCCGAGGACACTGTCGCGCTCTCCAAGCTCATCGAGCCTCTTGGCGTTGACCTGCTCGACGTTTCCACCGGTGCCGTCGACCCCCGTGGATCGATCGAGTACGGCCCTGCTTTCCAGGCCAAGTACGCGTACAAGGTCAAGGAGGAGAACCCCAAGATCTTTGTCGCGCCCGTCGCTGCTATTCACGAGCCCGATGTCATTGAGACCGTGCTTGAGAAGACCGACGCCGTCTTTGTCGCCCGTCCGTTCTCGTGGGATCCTAGCTTTGTCTTGACGCTTGCGAAGAAGTACGGCATCCAGGTTAAGTGGCCCGTCCAGTACGGCTACTACACCTCGCACGCTCACTAAATCAGCGAAGAGTTTTGATGAATTTAGAATAGATATGTGTATGATGCTGGCTATCTGATTACCGAAAAGTATAATAGTGAATATAGTAATGACGTATAATTGGCTCTGTTTTTTGTGATAATGTATCATTAAGGTCAAACCATAAAACACCGCAGGACGCTTGTAAATCTAGCATGAAGAGAAAGATTGCAAAGCAAAATGAGCGATATTGGCTTACTATACAGATTAGAAATAAATAAACAAAACACGTAAAACAGTCGACGCAAATAGTATGTTCAAGCAGCACTTGGCTTCTCAGCCTCGAGCTGGGCCTCCAATTTGCGCCGTGCTTTCAAAATCATGTCTTCTCGTTGCTTTCGTAACATTGCCTGTCTCTCCTCCTTTGAACCGCTCCATTTCATCTTCTTGCCTGACGCGCCTGTACTTGAACTTGAGGCCGCTGCTGACGGTGGTGGTGGTGGTGGTGGCGATGATGATGAGGTGGCGGCAGAGGTTATGTCTTCTGCTAGTTTGGGCTCAATTGGTAGACCGTCGGCGCCAATCTTGGTCTCAAGATGATACCGCGTGATCAGATCGGGAAATGCGAGAGACGATGAGATGGTGGCGGGAGTGGAAGATGAGCCGGCCGCTGAGGAAGGAGCTGGCTGGGCGCGCGGTTGTGCGTTTGGAGGCTAGAGAGAGGACCACAGTAAGCAAAAAGGAAATCGGCAGATGCAAGACAAGAAGTGTAAAGGATTCAGTACCATAGGAAGGCCTCCCTCGGCAAGGAATCTGTCGATGGTAGCCTCGACAGAACCCGACCGCTCGAGATCGAACCGGATCTGCTCGACGGTGAGCGTCGGTGCCACGCTCTGCACGACCTCGATCATACCCTGCGTGACTGGTCGTCGCGAGCGCGGTCGCTGCAGCTCAGAAGCCAACGAAGACAGGCCGGCCACGCCTGTGCTGGATGCTGTTGCCCTGCTCTGCGGAGTGCCTGTGGCTCCTGCTGGTATCTGCTGCTGAGGCGCCGATACGTACCAGCGCACTACCAGGAAGCCGATGATGATGCAGGCGATGAATGTGGTCGTCGTGCTGTCGGTAGCCATCTTGAACTATGAATATCTCTGGGTCTTGTGATCTTCCGTGGATGAGCTTGGGTATCAGCTGCGATGCCGTGCTGCCGTGTTGAGCCCTCTCGCGCGTCTGATACTTGGGCAGGAGGGTCGGGAGGAAGAATGTCTGGCACGTGCCCTAATCCCGATTATGTAACGGAGATGCACCGAATGCCGGTTCTGCCACTGCGAGGGTGGTGAGGACGACAAAAGAGCCAATTGAAAAGAAGAGGATTAATCCACAGTGAATCTGAGCAGAAGCAGTCTGTTAAACAACAACAAACTGCGCAGAGCAGAAAGAGCAAAGAGCATCCGTCCGTGCTCGTGATCACATCACTCCCGTCGCCGACATAACCGCCACTTCGCGACGTCTGTGGGTTAGGAACAAATCCACGAAAATTCTCGAAAGTTTTCAGTTTTTATATCTTTTGCTCTCCATTTCGCTGTCGGCCACCCAAAAGCCCAGAGTCTTTGGTTTATTTCGCATCGAACACTCTTCTTCTCGCCTTCTCACAATGCCCTTCGCATTGCCGTCCTCGCGCGCGGCGGTCGCGCTGCGCTCTATAGCGAAATCATGTCCCTACTCCTCCTCGGCCTCCTTCTCGCAAGCTCGCTCGAAGAGACACTTCTCGTCCGTCTTCTCTTCCTCGCCCTCGGCCCATCCTCGCAAGCGCTCTGCTCCGGCTGCGCACCCACACCCGTCGACCGTCTTCCGGCGCGACTTCCGCGCCTCGACGCCCTCGCTCGATGGCAAATCAGACCCCTACGGCACCCTCGGCGTCAGTAAGACGGCCTCGGCCGCGGAGATCAAGAAATCATATTACAAGCTCGCGAAGAAATACCACCCGGACATAAACAAAGAGCCCGACTCTGAGAAGCGATTCCAGGACATTCAGGCCGCTTACGAGATCCTCTCGGATCCGTCCAAGAAGTCCGCGTTCGACACCTACGGCTCCGCCGGCGGTTTCGACCAGAGCGGCGGTGGACCCGGTGATGGGTTCAACCCGTACAGCAACTTCAGCGGCGGGTTTGGCGGATTCGGCGGATTCGGTGGTGGTGGTGGCTTTGGCGGCGCTCAGGGCTTTGATTTCGAAGATATCTTGAATGCATTCTCCGGCGGCCGGAGCGGTGGACGAAGGAGAAGTGGCGGTGATACAGTACAGGAGTTCAGGGGTGACGATATAGAGGTGCGATATTCTCGTTTGACTGTTGGTTTTTGGACCGTGAGTACTAACTACTTTCATTCTATTTAGGTCGTGTTGACGATCAGCTTCCTTGACGCCGCCAAAGGCGCCGCAAAGGATGTTCACTACAACCCTCTTGTTTCTTGCAGCACTTGCTCCGGCAGCGGTCTCAAAGCCGGCCACAAGCGCACAACCTGCCGCACTTGCCGCGGTACCGGCACACAGGTTCACATGACCCAAGGCGGTTTCAGCATTGGCTCGAACTGCACAACCTGCGGCGGCACGGGTGTCTACACTGATCCCTCCTCTGCATGCGGTACCTGCGAAGGCCAGGGCGTGGTCAAGACTCGCCGCACGACCACCGTCGATATCCCGGCTGGTATTGACGACGGGATGAGACTCCGTGTCTCGGGCGAGGGCGACGCTCCCGACGTGCAGGCGTCCAAGAACGTTCGCGTGCACAGAGGAGATCTGTACGTGCGCGTCAAGGTCGCGCCTCACAAGTCGTTCACGCGTAACGGCGCTGACTTGTTCCACACTGTCGATATCCCGATGACGACTGCCGCGTTGGGTGGCCGCGTCCGCATTCCTACTCTTGATGGAGAAGCCGACATTGCTGTTCCGCCTGCGACTCAGTCGGGTATGACCATCACCATGACCGGTAAGGGTCTGCCTGTCGTGCAGCGACGGTCGGCTGTCGGTGACATGAAGGTTACTTTCAAGGTCCAGACTCTAAGGTATCTACATCTCTTTCTTTCTTTTTACCAATCCCATTGATCATAGCTAACAAATCTTCTAGACCGACGACGACCGAGCAAGTCGAGCTCCTTGAACGTCTCGCAGACGCGTTCAACGACCAAACCGCGCGCCGCAAGCTCCACCCAAAGCCAAAATCACCCTCTCCATCATCCTCGTCTGATTCTTCGCCCTCGTCCGAGTCGGATCCTTCGTCATCGTCCAAGTGAGTAGTTCCCCTTCTTGCTTGGAGCTCGCCTCCGGTTTGCTTTTCTACCGCAAGCCAAAAGAAAATGAAAAAAAAAATGTGTGTATTTTTGAATATATGGCCGTTCGTGATTGACTGCACTCGCTGTTCTCCCGCATTTCTATTTGATGTTTTTGCTGATTCGGATGCAGGTCTTCTCGCAACCAAGCTGCTTCCAAGGACTCCTCGTCATCTGATCCGTCAAACAACGGCCAGCAACAGGGTGAAGGTTTCCTGAAGCGGACGCTCAAGAAGATCTTTCACACCGACGGGGACGGGAAGAAGGAGTAATCTGTGAGAGCTTTCCGCGATCATGATTCAAGATATACGAAGCTGCTCATTTTGTATATAACATATCCCATAGAGAACAAAAAAAATTCAGAGTGGGAGCATTAATGTGTTGATGTATATAGTTTCAGGTTCTTTTTTTAGACTCGCTCCCCTTTATTCATTTTGTACAAAGTTGAGGAATTCATTTGTTATCATTTATCTCAAATAAGAAAAAGCTTGTAGTAGTATTATAGTCTTTTTGATTACTGGGATCAACTCCATCTATCTAAACCATACCATATTACTATTGAACGCCCATTACTTCAACATAGAAGATACATTAAAACTAAAACACTAAAGAAAAGCAAACAGCACAAAAAGCAATTTTCCTGCCAAATTCATAAAAACATCAAGGCAAATCAACCAGCCACCACCGACTCCTCGCCAGATCATCAATCGACCCCCTCCTCGCCGCGTTCTTCTGCAAACACATCCCGAGAAAATCAAGGCACTCGGGACTCACGTCCTTGCGCTTCGACGTCAGATCCCACTGCTTATTGATCGCGTCGTCCGGCGAGCGGAAGGGGGTTTGGCCCGTGAGACAGGTGTAGATCAGGATACCGAGCGCCCAGACGTCGGATTTTTCGGCGTCGTAGGGTTGTGATTGGAGGACTTCGACGGGGGCGTACTGCAGGGTGCCGTAGAACTTGCGGAATTGGGCGCGAAGAGGGCGCGGGGTGCGGCCGGCGGCGGTGGAAGGGGACGAGGAGGAGAAGGACGAGTGGGGGGGTGAGGGAGGGGTCGTCAGAGGAGGGAGGACAACGGCGGAGCCAAAGTCGATTAGTTTGACGGTGAGGGTGTTGTCGACCAAGATGTTTTCGTCCTTGATATCGCGATCTACAAGTCGAGGTTAGCATAGGCGAATAAAAACTTCAAACTTCTGAAGGTGATACATACGGTAAATGCCTAGACTGTCAAGGTACCAAAGTGCATTCACAATCTGTCGCATCATATACCTAACTTGCCGCTCGGTCAAGTTCTTGCGCGTCTCAATCATCTCAAACAGATCATGACTGTCGCGCTTCATCGCAACCCGCACTTCAGGCTCCTCCTCTTCGCTCTCCGGCTCACTCTCCTCGTCCTCGTCTTCGTCATATTCCACATCCATCTCGGACGAGAAATCAACGTCGGAAGACGACGCCGAGTGCGGTGGCACGTAATCGCCGTCTAAGGACGAGTGGTACGATCCCGCGTCGTCTAGCTCGCAATCAGCCTCGCCCTCGGCGTCAGTATCAGCAGCACCATCTGACTTCATCTCTGCCGCATTCTTGGCCTCCTTTTTGAGCTGCTCGGGGCCCTTGCCGAGTGCTTGCATGTTCTGAATCTTCTCGACCGCAAGTTTGGTCAGCGGCTGTCTCGGCGCTGCAGCAGGAGTCTTGGGTTTCCGGCTCCATGGAGTTCCATGTAACTCAGTGATGAGCACGAAAAAGATTTCGTCCTGGAAATATTCGTAAAACCTGATGATGCTCGCATGGCCGCCGCCCTCGGCGACGCGTAGGAGGACGTACAGCTCCATCGGGAGCATGCCATGCACGCGGTCGTGGATCCACGAGTGCGAGGGGATCTTGGAGCGGTAGATGAATTTCGCGGCCACCTCGCGGCCGTCGGATTGTCTGGTTGCAGACATGACGAATCCAAAACCTGGCAGAATAGTAAGCAAGACGCGTCGTCGCAAAAGTATATCAGTAAAAGAAAAGATACATACCACCACTTCCAAGCTCATCGCCGAGCTGGTATCGTTCCTCAAACTCAGGAATCAAGGTATACCCATTCAACTTCTCGCTCACCACCACAACTTTCTTCCGTTTCTTCAGCTGCTGCTGCTGTGGCAGTGGTGGATAGTCCTGCTTCTGCTGCTGCGCGGCGGTCGCGGCGCGTCGGGCAGCGATGGTCGAGTACGACGCGTCATTTGCAATCTTTGCGCGCTTGTGCGAGGTCAGGGTCGAGGAGTTGACGCGCTTGGATGGCGAGGTGGGGAATGGCTTTGCGGACGGGACGGCGGAAGGCGAGTAGGACGACGGGGAAGACGAGGAGGGTGTCGGGGGGTAGAAGTGGTGAGTGAACGCAGGGGGCCGGTAGGTTGATCTGTTGTTGCTGGTGCTGCTGTAGTTGGAGTTGTTGTTGCTGTAGTTGTACTGCTGCGAGCTTTGTTGCTGGGGAGTGGCGTACTCTTGCTTGGGACGCGACTTGTATGTGTACTGCGCGTATTGCTGCTGCTGCTGGTAGGTCTGCTTTGCAGAGAAGTAGGACTGCGTCGGCAGTTGCATGTACGGCGTCGCAGGCCGGGGCGGCGAGGACGAGAGCCCAGCCGAGGACGATGATCCAGACATATTGCTGAACTGCAGTCGTGGAGGAGGCGGAAGCGGCGTCGGGGGAGTAGGCAGGGCATGCGGGTGCTGCGGAGGCAGCATGTTGACGAACGGTGAGTGCGGAGGGGACGAGGGAAGCGGATACGGTTGGTAGAGCGCGGAGTCGTAGTTGCTATTGCTGTTGCTGTTGCTGTTGCTGTGGCCGTACATTGTAAATCCTCGGATTGTCTGTCGGGAAGCAAGGCTGAGGGAGAAGCAGGCGAGAATATAGGCAACCGAGGACAAGGACCAGCCGAGACGCGTCGAACGAGCGAAAGTCCCGACGCGTCTGCGCGCGCGAACAAAGGAATTTTATGAAAATTCCCAAAATTGAATTTAGTCGTTGTTGGGAGACCTAACCCTGAACGCGTCCCGCACGCGCCGGCTGCCTTCTATTATGATAGGAAGGAGTTGTCGTTGGGGGACCAGGGCCTATTGGTCTTAAATAGAGAGATTTTTTAGGGATGATTAGGGACTGTTACAAGTAGGGCTAAATAAACAGCAGTAGTTTTGAAAAAGTTGGAGAGAGCTCCTTGGCCGTGCTCAAGTGCAATGCCAACAAGGAGTGGAATCTCGAGGCAAGACGTGCGCCTCATGGCAGGTCTACTCGAAGGGCATGAGTGAGTGAAGATTAGCCGTTTCCGCTGGCCGCTAGCGGAAGCTGGATTCACAATAATCTTGAGCACGGATAGAAACGTATATTACATTACTTGTCAACAACATCAACCTCAACCGACTGCCCAACCTGAATCGCGTCAAAAACACCCGTCTCGGGGATCCTATAGGTCTCGCGTTAGTTTCGTTCTTAAATATCTGCTGTAATGCTCAAACGTACGAAAACTTCTTAAGTGCCTGCTTGAGTTTCTGAATTGGCTCGAGAATCGGTTCGTCGGTGAGGATCCACTAGTGCCGAGCCTTGTTAGCAAATGCCCTCTCTACCTTGACCGTCAAAATCGCTAAACAGAAAAGAGGGACTCACGGTTCCAAAATGCATAGCAAGAGCCCTCTTCGCCTTCACATCCTTGAATATATTCACTGAGTCCTCGGGATCCGAGTGCACCCTGCTCATTATATGCCGGGGAGAATAAGCCCCGATCGGCAACAGCGCCAAATCAAAAGGTCCTCTGTACTCGCCAATCTCCTTAAACGCGGGACACGAAGGAAAATCTAGCTCGTGGTCGTCAATCTCTGGATCGAGTCTCGGAACGGCTCTGTACCCGGTATCGCCCGCGAAATAGACTTTTCCGCCATTCTTGTCGCTCGGACTGTCGATTGCCCATGAGGCACACAGGACCTTCCCATGGTCTGAGAGCGTTCGATTAGAGGTATGCTGTGCGGGAAGACACGATACTGTCGCAGACACGCCGTCCACGGTGATTTGCCGCTGGTCCCACCAGTCAAGTTCGGTGACGTTGCCGCTCCGCACGCCGGTGGCCTCGAACCAAGCCTTCATACCCAGCGGCACAAAGTAGTGAATCCCAGGAAACTGCTGCATGAGTAGTTTGATGGAATACGTATCCAGGTGATCGTAGTGCGCGTGTGAGATGCAGACAACGTCCACGCGGGGCAAGTCGCTGACTTTACACGGCGCCGGCGAAATACGGCCAAATCCCGGCAAAAACGACGGCGCACACTTTGTCCCCAGCAGAGGATCAAACAGCACATTGATCCCAGACGGCATCTCAGTCAGAAACGTCGCATGGCCAAGCCATGTTGCGCGAATCTTGCTCGCATCGCGAGAGCAGTCGGCGGAGAGAAAGGCAGGCACCGCCAGCGGCATCATGTCAGCAGATGACTTGACGGGCTTCCACTCGCCGATGATTTTGCTCCACAGCACCTCGGTGGGGGCAATATCGCCTTTTCCGAAAGATTTCCACGGGGCCTTGAAGTGGCCAGAGGCAGTGTGGTGGGCCTTCTCGGCTGCTGACGGTGGGTTCTGAGCGCTGATGACAGGAAGCGAAACAGTGACCGAGGAGGTCGAGGAGGCGTCTGAGGTGACAGAGGCTTTTGAAGAGGACATAGGTACACGAGACGCAGGAGCTAGTGTTCGAACTGCAGACAAGAAGGTTGATGCGGACGAGGATGAAGAGGACGAATGGCGCACAAAGACGCGAGGAAGCATTACTGCCGTAGACAATAGGAAGCCAAGGTCGGTGGAGAACTTCTACAACTCGCGAGTAAAAGTCAACAGATTTAATGAGCAGTACCAACAACAACTAGACAATATACAGTACGTCTGTCTCTCCAAGACTCTGCCTGCTGCACGAAGCAATGTCGAGTGCTGCCGTCTAAGCTCGAGAAAGCCGGGGAATGACAATAATTGTCTTTCCGAGAAAGATCTGGCGGCCGCTTCTTGTGCGGCTCTTTTATTACATAATGCTAAAGTGCATGATGACGTAGCAGATTACTCATCGAGTGATGATGTGCTGCAACCTCTGTCCGCATCTTCCCCAGCCCCGGTCATCGACTAAATCAGCCATCATGAGAAGCATTCATAGAGCACGCGCAAGAGTCGCGGTTGTCGACTCGTTTTCCGTTCGGATCCTTCGTTTTTCAGGACGTTCTGCGGCCTGTTTGTGTCTAGTCCGGCCGTCCTCCTCCTCGGCGCCGTCTTCCGCTCCTTCCCCTTCTTCACACATCGCTGGCGATCTTGACCTTTCCCATCCCCTCTCCGAACGCCATCTGCACGAAATCAAACGCTTCTCGGATCTACCGGAAGGCTTTGGTGTTAACCAACACATCCCAATTGACAACCATCTCAAAGAGCATCTCCGCGGGACGCTATGGAAATTCAAGGCCCCCATCCGGTATGCTTTCGCGTACGGCTCCGGCGTCTTCTCGCAAGGCACCTCCGCGCAGACCGCGCAGAAGCCGCAGATCGATCTCATCTTTGGCGTCTCGCACGTTCAGCATTGGCATTCGCTCAACATCACACAGTATCCCGAGCACTATTCCGCTCTGCGCCGGCTGGGTTCCGCTGCAGTTGCGCGCGTTCAGGAGCTCGGCGCGGGTGTCTACTTCAACCCGTACGTCGAGCTCAACGGGCTCGTGATCAAATACGGCGTTATCAGCATTGAGCGGTTGACCCAGGACCTTTTGTCGTGGGACACTCTCTACGTCTCCGGACGACTGCACAAGCCAGTCAAGATCCTGCGTGATGACCCCCGCGTGCGGTTAGCGAACCAACGTAACCTATTCTCGGTCCTCCGCACAGCACTCCTGCTTCTGCCAGAGACATTCACCGAGCACGAGCTATACTCGACCATCGCCTCGATCTCATATACCGGAGACCCACGCATGCAAGTCGGTGCCGAGAATCCACAGAAAGTGACAAACATCGTCACGAACCAGATACAGCACTTCCACCGCCTCTATGCGCCTTTGATCGATACACTTCCAAACTTACAGCTTTCGGGAGCGTACGACAACATCTCGCTTTCGTCGGATTTCATCTCGCTCAAGCAGGATATGGATCCCGTCAGAAGAGGCAACATGGTCGCCCGTCTGCCGACATCATTCAAGCAGCGACTATACGACCGCTACGCCAAAATCCTCTCCGTCGACCCTTCAAAGTACTCCACGCCCGTGGAATCGGCCGCCACTGAAGCCAACCCAGGCTACAACCACCCGTCATCCAAAATCCTGCCTCGTCTCGTCGGCACCGAGTTCGACCGCATGATCGCCGCCCGCGCCGACCTGCCTCAGGAAGTCTCGCGCGCAATCATCGACACCGTCAAGTGGCCTGCCGCCGTGCAGAGCGCAAAGGGAATCGCGACCGCCGGTCTTTCGAAAGGATTCAAGTATTTGGGTGAGAAGTTTGCGAAGCGAAGGGCGGCGGCTGCTGCTGCTGCTGAGCGCTCGGAAGAAAAACCATCAGACAAGTCGTCGTGAAGGCTCTGAAGTGCGCTCCGTAAACAAAAAGTTATTACAGATTAAAAAAGTTATTCTATGCTGAAATTATTAGTACATTATCCAGTTGATTTTAGACTATGTATATATGACAATACAACTAGCGCATTGTGATAAAACTAGTCTCTGTAATCCAAAACTCTTCATCTCCTCAGCGTTTCAGCGCCGCAAACCGTCTCGACAGCTCATCCAAATCAGGCACCGCATCCTTCTTCGGTGCCGCGAGTGCTTTATTGACATTCTTTCCCTGATACGTCACCGCCGGTTTCGGATTCTCCGGACTGGCAGAGATCGGCGCGACCCTGATCGGTGCCGTGCCCACGCTCGGTAGTTGCAGCTGCTCAGCCGTCTCCGGCACGCCGCCGCTGGGCGAGTCGTTGTCGTCATCAGCAGCGTCGTCTTCCGATGGCAGAAACTTCTTGCGCTCTTCCTCGCTCAGTCCGCTCCAAGGGATCTTGTACGTGCGCGCGATTTCCTCGAGATATAGCTTGACCAGTTCTTCGCTCGGTGGCTCAATCACCAGCTTCTTGTACACGCGCGGACTGACGACCGACGACGAGTTCTCGAGCGCATCGCGTGCGAATTCCTTGCCGTATCGGGCTATCAGTATGTCGCGCGCCTGTTGCAGCTCCTTGACTTCTGTTCGGCCTGCGGCGTAGATGATTGACTTGACGGCTTCCTCTAGGCCGGGGTCGCAGTCGCGGCTGTGAGATGTTAGATCGAGCTCTAATCAATCAAGTAGATAAAGAGAATCATACCGCTGGTCGATGAGTCCTATCCGAGCAAGCAGGAGTTCACAGTAGAGTTCGAGGATCTCGAGAAGCTCCACGTTGATCTCCTGACGGATCACATTCTCGACTCTGATTTTCGCAGACTCTGTCTTTTCGCTCGAGAGAAGTTGTGCTATCTGTCAAAGCTGCTGGTTAGTAATTATCCTCATATTATCAGAGTGTGTAGATGTGAAATCAAGAGATGGTACTGACATCACGACGCTGCTGCTTTGCAAGAGCGGTGTCCTTTTGCTGTATATGCCGAAGACGAGTAATTGACAGCTTGAGCTGTATCTTGAGGCGAGTCTATAGTCGAGAGAGACAAACGTCAGCGCGTGCAAACACATATGAATATAACTCGAAATTGATAATGGAGAACATACGCCAATCTGCGGGATAGCCACTGGTCGAGACATGGTTGAGATACTACTAAACCTGGATATAAAAGAAACTAGCTGAAACAGTCGTTGTATTTGTGCCTTTATAAAGTCGAACGAGCAGGTGATGTTGAAGATGAGTGCAAAACCGAGGACGATCGAGTGTGACGTTATCGGCTGCTATCTGATTTTGGACTCGGCCTTTGAGCTGCGAGCGGCTTTGCCCGAGTTTTAGGAACAGGCCGTTTCTACTCTCTTTATATCTACTATTTTCATTATCGCAGCCATGAATTTCCTTAAGATCTAACTATAATACACAAAAAATAGAATATAACAAAAACGCCGTGAATAACCAAGCAGAGCAAATCAGTCTTTGCCATACAGCCACTATTCTAATCGATCAAGATACTCCAGGCGATGCAGCACAACCTGCTTCGACGTCTCCTCGATTTCGCCCGCCAGAAAGACCTCGTCCAGAATCGCGTACACTTTGTAAAAGTTAAACACAAGATCGAGCTCGCACACGTTGCCGAAGAACGAGTCGAGAACTTCGACAAAGAAGTGGATGGCTTCGAGATAGGCTAGTTCGTTGTCGTTCGAGTCGACGCAGGCGCAGAAAAAGAGGCCGGCGTAGCGGCGGTAGACTATCTTGAAATTCCGAAACTAGCAAGCAGGAGAATAAATGCATTAGTATTGCAATAGTTGTGAAGAAGGAGTATGGAAGACAAATCAGGTTCGGAATTTACCTCGACGAAATTGGATTGATATTTCTGGTCTCTCGGAGCTACTAATCGGTGCACCTCGCCCTTCAATCGCACTTTCTCCTCATCCTAAATTCACAAATAATACGAGTTAGCTATACCGCTCGCAAATACCGCTGGCTGTGCACTCTCGGGCCTCCAGATACATCAAATCTCCTGATCGAGGGGACTCACGTCGTATGGAACATAGTACTTTGCCAGCCGGGTTTTTCCTTGCCGGTTCTGGATCAAGATAAACTGCAGCATCTGAAAATAACACAGAAACAGAGATCTCGCTATCAATCGATCGCTCTAAATAATCAGAAGCAAACCTATGAAACAATCACAAAAAGCTGGAACGAAATACGTAAAGTGATCCGCTGCAGCCGCGCCCGCGTTGAATTTAGCGTAAATAAGATTCACATCAACCGCATCACTCGCCTTTGTTTACTTTCTCTCCACTGAACTCCATCCCGCCGACAGACACCAAAACCAATGCCCAAACTGACCGCAACGCCGCTGCAGTCGAGCTCGTCGGGCCATTCGCAGCCTGGCAGCTCGATTCCTGTGCCTCGGCGCGCATCTTCGCTTTTTACGCCGGGGATCTCAAAAGTAAGTACCTTCTTCCTCGCGCGACAGTTTCTGATTCCACGCATGCTAATTCGTTTTGTAGCAACCTGTCTCCAGAACACTGTTCACATCAACTAATGACAATCAAGACAAAAAAGCTGGTCCGCAGCAAGCAAAGCAAGAAGATCCCGCGACGATAATCGCCGCTCTCCGAGCTGAGAACCATGCGCTGAAATACGAGCTCTCAAATCATAAAGACGAGCGTGAGCGGGACAAGCTGCGCTTCGAAGATACTATTCGCGAGCTTGAGCACAAGATCTCGGAGGAAGGCAAACGCGCAGATGTAACTTTTCTCATCTCTTGAATTTTGTTTACGTGGTGTGAATATCATACTGACTACAACGACTACACGCAGACCCTCGAAACAGATCAACAATTCCTACTCACAAAATTCAACGAATCAACAGCCGAGCTCACCGCGCTCAAATCCTCGCTTCCAAACGTGAAATCCTCGCTCGAGAAGCAAGTCCGCACGCTCGAGCAAGAACTCTCAGATGCCCAGGACGCACGGTTCGAAGCCGAATCCGCACTCCGCGCAGCAAACTCGCAGGCCAAGCGCCAGACAGATGAGCTAAGGATGAAAAATACGTCGCTTTCAACTGCGGTCGAGGAGCTTACTGAGCAGCTTGCTGCTGTGCAGAGTCGATCGCAACAAAGTCATTTGCGCGTCAACGAGCTCGAAGACGAGAATGAGAAACTCGCGCTCGAAAACAAGTCGCTCAAATCAAAAACAGAAGAACTATCAAACCTCTCGACGCTCGAGTCCCAGCTTTCCGCCCAAATCGCCCTCACAAAATCACTCGAGTCAAAGCTGCACATAATCACCCCAGAGCTCACATCTCTTCGCGAATCCCACAAGAAATTCAAATTCATCCAAGAAGAAAAAACACTTCTCGAAGCGCGTCTGAAGCTGATGGAAGATCTGCGACGGCAGGTCGCGGACGCAGAACTCGAGGCCGCGAATCTGCGACAGGAATCAGCTCGCTGGGCGGCGTTCATGGAAACCGAGGATGCGTTCCACTCGCCCGAGGACGTGATGCGTGCTCTGAACAACGAACGTGCAGAGCGGCTCGCTCTGCTCGACAAGGTAGGCCGATTAGAGGCCGAATTAGCGGCGCGCGAGGCAGGTCTGGAGGGAGACGCTCGCGAGTTGGCTGATATAGAGTCACAGGTGACTTCATTGCAGGAGACAATAGCTCGGAATGCGAAGGCGATGGCGCGACTAGAGCGACAAAAAGCGCTGGCGGCCAAAGAGTCTGAGTTTCTTAGGGAGCAGCTCAAGAGCTTTGATACTGAGGAAACGGTGTTTATGCAAGGGAACTTCGACGCGCAGAAAAATAAGCGGATCGAGAATCTGGAAAAGCTGTTGGCAGAGGAGAAAGAGGAGATTGACCGTCTTACCACCGAACTCGCAGCTTTCGACAAGAAAGACAAACAAGCAAGCGATACCTCTACGCCCCGCAAGCGCGCGCGCTCGCAAGAGGACGGCGTCGAGCACGACGAGCGGATCGGCGAACTACTCCGACGAAACCGCCAACTTCAAGACGACTACACAAAACTTGTCAAGAACGAAGAGACCGCCAAGAATGAGATTCGCCAGCTGCAAAACAAACTGAAAACACTCGAATCTACCGCCGCTGTTCAATCGCGCGTGCTGCAGCTGCGCGATAATCCTGCTGCTCGTGACCAGGCGATCAAGAAATCAATGCTCGACGCTCTCCGCGCGGAGAACAACTCGCTCCTCGCACAGCTCGAAAACCGAAGAGAGGATATCGGCCAGGTGGTCAGCATCAACACGCTCGACAGAGTGAAGCTCGAAATCAAGGAAATGGAGCGCGAGGTAGCCGAGAAGGAAAAACGGATCCGCAGAATGAAAGAGATCTGGTCCGCGAAATCCGTCGAGTTCCGCGAAGCAGTCTACTCGCTTCTCGGCTACAAGCTCGATTTCCTGGCCAACAACAAAGTCCGCGCGACCTCGATGTTTGCCTCCTCGGACGACGAGTCGTTCACGTTCGATCCCGCGGCGGGAACGATGAAGATGGGTGGGCGTCCTGATAGTCCGTTTGCGCAGGAGTGTGCGAATTTGATCACGTTCTGGGTGCAGGAGAGAAGAGAGATTCCGTGCTTCTTGGCGGCGCTGAACCTGGAATTGTACGATAAGACTACGAAAGCTGCTCGCTTTTGATTAAGTGGGCATATAGATTTGCTCATACGAAAGATTTTTTAATTCAATAAATCATTATGAAAAACTCCACTCGGCATAACACCAGATACAACGCCATTCACTGCACACTCCATTATTCTTCTTTACTAACCTCAAGCACTCCAGCCTCCTTGCCGTATTTTTCAAGAAACGCCTGCCTATTCCTCACCGCGGATTCGCGTATCTTTGTTAATCTCCAGTCGCATCTGTTGTTGAAATCACAATACCGACACTTGTGCGCCTCCTCGACCTCCACGCCCTTCGGGTCGCGCTCTGCGCGCCAGTAGGAGAGCATATCCTTGATATACGCCTCGAAATCTTCCTCTTTGTACGTATAGTCAAAGCCGCCCAATATTGTGCCTTCTTGTTGCCCAATGTAAGTCACTGATAGCTGATCACTGACTTTGCCTCTAAACTCCTTGAATTTGAGACACAGCATCTTCCAGACTTCACCCAGGGTCTCGTAATTCAGAAGCAGGATCACGTACTGCTCCCGCTCGTCCTCGCTCAAATCTGTGAGCGACGGCGATCGCGGACCCACAATTTCATGCCAGATCAAATCAACCACAAACTCGTTTTCTGTAATTTGACTGTGAAATTTCTCTGAGAGCTTCGTATTAAGATCGAGATTGAGATATTGTGCGACAGCGGCGTAGTCGAATTTGCCTTCAGTAAGATCCTCAAACAGACGTTTGTAGATCAAAACCTGGTAATATGCCGAATCGCGTTGAGATTTCTCCGGAAATGTATCGGATTGTCGGGTTTTGTCATCCCCGAGACGAATTCGTCGGGGCTTAGACGAATCATCGTTGCTTGGATTCAAGGTGGCCTCCTGTGGCGTACTAGTTGTTATGAACTGTGTAATGCTGGATTGCTTGCGATTTGGTGACAATACCTCGCCCGCGGCCTGTGATTGCGGTGTAGTGGATTGTTGAGAATCAGATGGGCTTTGGGCTTCTGTCGAGTCGCTGAATATTGTGCCAGATTGCTTTGAATCAACAGACGAAGATTGAAATCGTCTATGTGCTTTGCGCGGACGCTCAGGATTAGGGCCAATACCAATATATTCCACGCCTGGTGGATGATAGTCATCAGAGACAAACTGAACCTCGTCAATGATACCACTGACGTAAACGCCATCTATGAACCCAGGCGCTCGAACTTCACGTACGACTGCGTCTTCCCTTCCTTCAGATGCAAGCCGACACAACGATAGCAAGCGTAGGAGCGTATCTATAAGCTCCGCGGCCTTGATCTCTTCCCGAGTCATGCCCTCTGTGTCGACTTCCAACTCCTCATATTCCGCTTTCTCACGCTCGGAATGGATCTCAGTGCCTCTCTTCATTGCTGCCGTCGTCCGTTTGGTATCTGTATAGAGTTTATAGAAATTTTGAAGCTCGCAGTACATAGGTGACACAAGATCGGACACAGACAGTTTCCAGCCGCCGCGGTATTTGTCGAGCATAGACTGTCCTTCCATGCCAACCGCGTCCTTGAAATGCGACGGTAACGGAGAACTAAATCCTGAAAATGGGGCTTCATCCGACTCGGAGGGTGAAGATGGAACGCCGTCAGAATCCAGACTTTGGAGGGGTCGATATTTGGTTCTCAATGCAGGTACAGCGACCGCCTCGGACGGTTCAAATTCATATGGCGGAATATCAACGTCAAGCCAGACCACGTCCGATTTTTTCCTCCTTGAAGCGGTACCAGCAGTTTTTGATCTCCCCTCGACAGCGGATTTCCGACGAACGCGTGTCTTCGGCTCTGCAGGCTTGGGAGCGTTGTCTTGCAATGAAGAGGTCTCGACGAATACTACCGAACTTTTCCGCGGTCTCCCGCGACCGCGCTTGGGAGGCGCGGGGTCCAACATCGAAGGCAGGCCGATTGGTGGTAAACTGGGCAGCTTATCGCTGGTACCTTCGCCGACTGTCTATGTCGAGTGTTAGAGCGTGGTTCAGCTTTGAAGTGTGACACAACGACAGTCAAATAATACACACATTCAGATACCTCACGTAAGGAGGCCTCACTAAAGGGCGACAGCGCGCGAGTGTTCGTAGCAGCATTGTCCGGTTCTAGGAGTCGCTGCTGCTGCTGCTGCTGCTGCGGGCCGCTGATCGTCGACGGCGTCTTTTCACTTTCGCTGACAAGTGCAGCTAGATACTCTTCGTCACAGGAGAGCTCAGAATCATAATCGGTATCCCACATAAGAGGACCTCATGCGATGAGCTTGTGATTATACTTGGGCGGTACAGAGTATGTGCAGAGGGCGGTGAGGCTGCTGTAGGTGCTGTTGTTGTGGTGATGGTTTTGTTGTCAGTTTTTTGTTTGAAACTAAACGCCCATCGCGCGGGTCACGTTAATCAATTAGTCAGCAAATTTGCATCACGTGACTGAAGAGTAATAATGTGACTAAGCGATGGCGTAATATCACGGATTGCGGCGAAAGAGTCAGGGAAAAAAATTCAATCTCGGCTTGGGATAAAGCTCCTCATCTTGCTCGTCTACCATCGTGCGTTTTTGCCCATAACCCCCCAAAAATGTCTTCAGAAAGCACAAACATAACAACCGAGGCGTTCCCGCCTTCGCCTGCGCCTTCGACGCCTCGCCCGGGCGGCTCGACCAAGAAGTACAAGATCGAGACCGAGATTGTGTACACCGAGTCGCCGGACCAGTACCGATCCTCGTCGGTGCCAATTTACCAGACCGCGACCTTCAAGCAGGCGTCGGGCACCGAGATGGGAGAGTACGATTATACGCGAAGTGGAAACCCCACGAGAACGCATCTTGGTACGTGTTATCTGTGTTTGAGCGTTCATTTGAGATGGGGTAGGTTGAGATTATGTTGACTGACTGACTGGTTTTATTAGAGCGCCATCTGGCTAAGATTATGAACGCCAATCGCGTTATGGCAGTTGCATCAGGAATGAGTGCGATGGACGTCATTGCGCGACTTCTACGACCTGGCGACGAAGTTATCGCCGGAGACGATCTTTACGGTGGCACCAACCGTCTTCTCAAATACCTAGCGACCAACGGCGATATCGTCGTCCACCACGTCGACACGACTGTGGTTGAGCGGGTGACTGAGAAACTCACAGACAAGACCGCGCTCGTTCTTCTCGAGAGCCCTACGAACCCGCTGATCAAGATCTGCGATATTCCTACTATCACCAAGCTCGTCAAGGAGAAGCGACCACAGACCATCGTTGCAGTCGATAACACGATGATGTCGCCGCTCGCAATGTCGCCACTAGAGTTTGGCGTAGATATTGTGTACGAGTCCGCTACCAAGTTCTTGAGCGGCCATCACGATCTCATGGCGGGCGTGATTGCTGTCAACGACGAGGAACTCGGAAACCGTCTCTTCTTCACTATCAACGCGACCGGCTGCGGTCTTGCGCCGTTTGACTGCTGGTTGCTTATGCGCGGAATCAAGACCCTTGCTATTCGTTTCGAGAAAGCCCAGTCTAATGCTCAATACGTCGCCGAGAGATTAGAAGCCGCCGGATTCAAGGTGCGTTTCCCCGGCTTGAAGTCACACCCGCAGTACGACCTGCACTGGACCATGGCTACCGGTGCCGGTGCCGTTTTGTCTTTTGAGACCGGCGACGTCGAGATCTCAGAGAAGATTGTCGAAGGTGCGCGACTATGGGGAATTTCCGTCTCGTTTGGCTGCGTCAACAGTTTGATCTCGATGCCGTGCAAGATGAGTCATGCGTCAATTGACCCTGAGGTTAGAAAGGCGCGCGCGCTGCCGGAGGACCTTATCAGACTCTGCGTCGGTATCGAGGACGCTGAGGATTTGGTCGATGACTTGGCTCATGCGATTGTGCAGGCCGGAGCCGCTAAGCCGGAGGCGTTTGAGAAGAAGTAGGTTGCGAATGTGCTATAAGTTTGGATATTGATGTTGCGGAGATGTGAAGTACGGCTACGGATTAAAAATGATCACAAATAAACACTGTACAATTATTCCAGCAGAAGCAGATCTGTATCTGATCTCGGTAGAGCGGGGTTCATTAGTCAGGATACGGCTAAGAACATTAATAAGTCACGTGTAGTTACATAATCAATACGGATGCGGGAACGTGCGGGCAAGCGAGCGATGGAACCTTGCGATGATTCGTTGAGGAAGCAGCGCAGCCAGCCAGCTTTTTTTCTCCACACATCGCCCTCGAACAATTGAGAGCTCCAACACCACCAGAGCAATGGATTCCTTATCGCGGTCTGAGTACGCGGACAAGATTTTGGTATGCTGTCGTCTTGCATTTGCGGTTCTGCCCCCGGGCGGGACTTGGGCGGTCAAGCCGGTGGGTTCCGGTGTAAATTACTCAACAGCTAACTCTTGATACCAGTCCTCGATTTCGCCGGCCGAGGCAGTCACTCTTTTGGGTGATCGGCTTCAGTATGCGCGCAAAGCTAATGAAGAGCTTGCTAATTGGATTGAGGAGCGCTACCGAATCGAGCTGGAGTACGCAACCGCGCTCGCAAAGCTCTCCTCCCGCAATATCTCAGCAGATGTTCAGGAAGCGGGCCTGGGTTCGTTCGCCGCCGTTTGGGGAAAAGTCGCAGAGTCGACAAATACCTTGGCGGGTGCGTCGCAGAGCTTTGCAAACAAGCTCCAGGCGGAGATTATCCATACCCTCAAGCGCCATGCTTCTTTGGACGGAGGAGACCGCGAGTGGTCCGAGATGCGCATGATCCAGACGAATCTCGCGACTTTGGCCGATGATGTTGCGTCTGCGGAGGAGAAGGTTGAAAAGTACAAGCGTAAGGGGTCGAGCAAGATTGCAAGCGCACATGCGGGCGTCAATGAGATTGTGGCCGAGTGGGACTCGCAGGCGCCTTTGGTGTTTGAGAAGCTGCAAGGCCTCGATGAGACGCGGCTCATGATGCTGAAAGACACTCTGACCAGATATCAGACCTCTGAGGTTGACAAGGCCCAGCGAATTGTCTCGATCTGCGAGGGAAATCTCAATGAACTGCTCTCGTTCGACCCCGCGGACGAGATCAAGATGTACGCCGTCCAGGTTCAGACGAACGGTCTTCCGCATAGAAGCACCCGCCAGACTTCGCTCGCCCTCGTCGGTACTCACGGAGCAGGCACTGGTAGCAGAGCAGCACCGCCACCTCCACCCCACGGACACGGCCGTCCCTCTTCGCAGCAGTTGCAGCAGGCTGCGGCCCGAACTAGCTCGCTTAACGCCCTTTCGTCGCCATCGTCGTCCAAGCGACGGTCGTCTGTGGCCACTGAAGATTCAGTAACGCCGGGTATCTCTCTCCTATCAAATTCATCAATTACAATGCAACGTGAACTAACTTTTATCTAGCTACACCAGGAAAGTCTAGATTCAACCGAATGTCGACAATACTGCGCAAGTCCGAGACCGGTGGCCGCCGCTTGTTTGGATCGTCAAAGGACAAGAAGAACAAGCACCATATGGAGCAGATTGATGTCCGCGAGTCGGCGGAGACCAGCAGTCTTGCTTCAAACCGGTCGTCGCAGTACGCAAGCTTCTCGGGCCCGACTGGTCGCAATACTACGAGCGGCGCGGTTCCGGTTGCGCCTGCGCAGGTTGTTCCTCCTGCGGCGATGACGCAGACGCCTAGCTATAGCTCTTCTGTGTTTAACAGTGGTATGAACGGCCACGGCGATGACCCGGATGCGATCAACATCATTGGCACGTCGCAAGCCCAGCAGCAGCAGCCGCAGCCCACAGTGACGAGCATTCCTACTCCTGCGGAACCAGCTGTTGCCGTGCGAGAGTCTGAGGTCGATGATGAGGGATACTCGATTCCTCCGCCGGTGGCCAAGGGCTCGGCAGTGGCTGAGATGGACGAGACGTATGGCGAGCTTCAGCAAGAGACGGGCCATGCTCTGGCGATTGACATCCAGTCGACGCCTCTGAAGGATGAGCAAGACGAGGAGCAGGCGGCACGTGAGCGTGTGGCGTCAAGCCTTCGGATGAAGCCTACGGTGGCAGCAAGCAGAAGCATGCGCGGCCGACGGGGCGAGAACGCCGCGTCGAAGCTGTATCCTGGCGGGGTGCCGAGCCTGGCTGGTGATGTTCCTGCGCTTCCTGTGGGTCTGACAAAGATCATGAACAATGGCCATGGTGTGCCACCACCGCCTCCGCCGGCATCGCACAGAGGATCGCTGGAGACTACACGGGTTGAAGAAAAGGCCCAGTCACCGGTGGAGAAGTCGCTGCCTCCAATTTCGCCGACTGAGGAGGACGAGTTCCATAATGCTTTGGAGGAGAGAGTGCCGACGCTGCCGGTTGCTGAGGACGAGAGTGCGCCTTTGACTGGTACGGCGGTGACGACCGAGAAGGAGATCTCTACTCCGGTCGTGGACGACGAGGGTGATGAGGATGAAGATGATGAGGAGGTGGAGACCGCAGAAGAGGAAGAGGAAGCTGTGGAGACGGCGGAGCCAGTGATCCCGATACTGCCGGATCTGACGTCGAGTATCGTGGAGACTGTGAATGTGTCACTTCACGGCGGCGAGCCGTCGCGGGTGCTGATTGTGGGCGACATTGCGCTTTCGTACTCGGGCTCTGCGACGAAGCCTGTTCCTCTGCGGTTGATGGGCACGGAGACTTTGGATCGCGTGCACCCGAGTGCGCAGGTGATTACATCGGTCGAGGACGACGACGACGAGGAGGACGGATATGTTTTGCATCCGGACCGGCTGTCGTCGGTGCCGACGATTACGTTCAAATACTCGGTTACGAACGCGGATTACGTGCCGATTATTGTGAAGCCGTCGTGGAAGTTTGAGCCCCACCAGACGTCGGTGATTATCCGGTACGTGCTGAATCCGTCGTATCCGGCGGAGGAGCTGGTGCTGAGCGACATGAGTTTGGTGGTGAGCATCGAGGGCGCGCCGGCGACGGCGGCGCAGAGTAAGCCGCCGGGAGTGTTCAACCGGGAGGCGGGACATTTGGCGATCGTGCTTACGTCTGCGGAGACGCCGGAGATCAGGCTACGCAAGGGCGTGGAAGGCAACGCGCTTGTGCGGTTCTGGACCGACGGGCAGGCGAAGGAGGGCAATGGCGGCCGCGGAGGAGTGAGCTTAGCGTTTAGATATGCGCCGGAGGACAGCGCGAGCGGATTGTTGGTTGAGATCAAGGACGCGGTGGATCAGAAGGAGAGCGACCCCTTTGCGGACGAGAGCGAGGGGGAGTGGGCGGCTGTGCCTGCGATTCGGAGTATTGTGAGCGGGATGTATTTTGCAAGCGAGTAAGTGGGAGTGAAGGGCGAAGCGAGGCGAGCAAGCGAGGAGGTGGTGGAAGGGGGTTAAGGAAGGAGAAGAGGAAGAAGTTAATTAGAGCTGTGTACTTTATCAATGTTTTCATTTATACTGTTTTGTCTGCTGTTGCTATGCTACAACCACTTTGAATGGTATGCCGAGTCCTAGTTTTGTTTTGTTTTGTTTTGATGTTTATGTTTTTGGAGAAGTAGATGTGAAATACGACAGCTGTTAATGTGATATAGCGAGGTCGAAGTAGCTGCGGGCTGCAAGGGCTGCAGGCTGCAGGCTGCTTTGGGTCCCAGGAAGTTGGTAGGGAGCGGTTAGTAAGGAAGCAGGGGAAGCAGATGAAGAAGGCAGGAGAAGGCGGACGCGTCTCTCACGCGTCGGGCGAGGGATTTAGGGAGATTTAGGGTTTCGAGTATGAAACTGAATTGTGTGTGGGCGAACGCGCCTGATTCAGGTAAAGAAGCGGGCGGAGAGTCTGGTTTATCTCAAACAGAGGAGATTGTTGCTGAAATATGTAGTTTCTATTCTTTTGAAACTGTTATAGCAACAACTTCTTCTAGCAAGGGCGGATCAGGGCAAAGAGAGCAGCGAGCAGGCGACGCTGTGATCCGGATCACGAATGCGGGTGGAATGTGAGCCGCAGCCCCTGTCGCGTCTCTGGGTTTTGGCTCTCGCAGGTTGCCCCTTGTCGACCGATTTCTATCTCGCTCTGCTCCTTCTCTTCTTCTTCCTCTTCCTTCCTCACATCTCCTCTTTCTCGCGCCCGCACACGCACATCCACACTCCTTTCCTTTCTTGTTCCTCCTCAGTCTCTCATTAGCATCTTCTGTTCCCGTCCGCGCTCAGTTCGCCCGCAAGAACCACTCGTTCTCTTCATTCGCCGCGTGTTTTTCCCGATCTACGTTCCCTAGAAACCCCCGTCGCAAATGTCTCCCCACCACTCCCACGGTGCCCATGCCCGTCCCAAGCTGGATCTCAAGAAGCGCTCGTTCGCAGAGACCTTCGACGGCCATGATTCCCATGCCGACTTTGCCATGCAGCGACCGGCTTTTGCCCAGATCAAGAAGCCCGTCGTTCGCCGCCAGATTCTCACTGTTTACCAGACACTGACTGTCACGCGTGCTACCCCGGCCGCGACCTCCACTGCCACCGCTACCGCCATCGGCAAGGCTGTCTCTGCCCAGGACGGTAAGTTACTTCTTTGATACGTAAAACTTCATTTCTTGTTTTTGTGCTAACACGCGTCTAGCCGTCGAGAGCACGCTCGCCGCCTCGTCCGCCACCTCGTCCGTCGCCGCCGCCCTGACCACTTCCTCAGTCGCCGCCACGACCCTAGTCACTCTCACCAAGTCCATCTCCGCTACCTCCTCTTCCGCCACTGCCTCCTCGACCACTGCTGACTCGAACGTGCTCTCCTCGACCGGATCGACCGACACTGGCTCGTCTTCATCAGCCGAGAACTCCGGCTCTCTGACTGCTGGCGCCCGAGCGGGAATCGCCATCGGCGTGATCGCTGGTGCGTTCATTATCTTTGCTCTGGCGTTCTTCCTTGTTCGTCGCCGCCGGGTCGCGCGTGAAGCGCAGGAGGCCGCGTTTGTCGAGAAATCGGTGTCGCTGCCGTCTGAGTCTGCCGCGCCCCCTGCACTCCCTGCCGTTGCCCATGTCAACACCAAGGCCCCTCGTCTGTCGATCCGTGTTTCGCGCCCTGTCAGCGGTCTCTTGCCTCTCTCTCTTCTCTCTGGACGTGCTACGCGCACTTCGACTGGTGCTATCGGACAGGACAGCAGACCTCTTGCGAGCGACGCTGATTCCCTCCGCTCTTCTACCGGATCGTTCGAGTCGTTCAAGAAGGAGCTCGCTACGCTTTCTTCGTCGCCTTCGTCTGCGTCTTCCTACACTTCCTCCGTCTCTTCTGACTCGGGCTCGCTATCGTCTACGTCGTCTTCTCCTGTCATGGTCGTCCCTGCTCCTGCTGATAACGCTGCCGCTGTTGCCGCCGCTGCTACCGCTGCCTCTCCACTGCCCGATATCCCTGCCGACGCCGCGTCCTCGACTTCGAACGTCCACCGCGCGACCATGGACTTTGTTCCCTCGATGCACGACGAGCTTGCGCTCAAGGAAGGCCAGCTCGTGCGTGTGCTGCACGAGTACGACGACGGCTGGGCGCTCTGCGTCAAGCTCGACCGCTCCGCGCAGGGCGTCTGCCCGCGCTCATGCCTCTCTGTGCGTCCCTTGCGCCCGCGACCAAAACGCGGCGTGAAGAGCCAGCAGACACAAAGACAGGCGGTTGCGCAGTCGCCGACGCCGATGCCGCAGACTGTCGCGGGCCGGAGTAGGCCCATGAGCGGCGAGCGACTGATCACCTTGCCTGCGATCAACACCGAGGCCGCGAACACGTTCCCGTCTTCGAGCGCAGGCAAGGTCGAGAGAAAGCCTGAGACGCCGACGATCCAGGTCTTTGCGCCGGATGCGGAGAAGCCCTTTGAGGTCGCATGATTTACTGATGTGAATCAGTGAGATTATCTTTTTGGTTTCTCTCTAATTTCTCTTTCCCTTTTTTATTTCGGTGCTTTTGGCGGGTTTCTTATTTCATGTATTTCAAGTGATTGTATTTTTCATGTTTTTTGGGCTTTTTTGCGACTATCCACTAATTTTGTGTGCCGTGTTATGTACGCTTCTTCCTCACTCTCTCCACTCTCTTTGTCTCTGCTCTCTTTTCCTCAACGGCTCTCGCAACGGTTTTCCTCTTCTCAAGCCTGATGATCTCGTGATATCCATGCTTCTCCAACTCTCGTTCATTGTTTTGTTTACATGTGAATATGCACACATGTGACAGTCACTCTCTTTGATTACATTTTGGCAGGGGGGTGCATGAATATGCATCTACGTGTGTGTGTGCTCTTTTTGATCTCGATCCCCTCCCTGTCAACTCACGCTCTCTTTCCACTCTTGTTGTTGTGCGCAACAGTTACTCTCATTTTTGTCTCTTTTATCACGATCATTGTTTGCTTTTTGATTTTTTTTTTTGGAGGAAAACCGTTGACGAGAAGATTTACACGAGGAATGCGATGCGCGCGACGAAGAAGAGGAAGAAAGATGAAGAAGCAAAATAGATATGTTGAATTTATGACAATGAGATGAGCTTTATCTTTATTCTCCTTTTCCTTTTTCCTCTTTCTCCTTGATCCTGTTTTTGTCATCCCCTTTTCTTCTCCTTATCCAAGCGTCCTTTAGTTTAGTGAGACAAAATACCACGCGCCGTTTCGCGTTTGTTTACCGAATTCTTTTAAACTTCTAAAATAGAGTTTGTGAGTCAGGGATGTCAAACGCGTGGTTTGGCTCGTGCGGCGGGCATTCCATTCCAGCAGGGGGTTTGGATGGTTGCCAGGGGAACGAACGCGGTGTTGCTGAGAACGTGGATGGAGGATGCTTGGATATTTGGTATATACAACCCAAGATAATGATATGGTAAATGCTACAGACCGCCTCTCCGATACCTCTTCTGGGGCAATTCATACCCCAACTCCTCCACCTCGCCCTTAAACCCCCCAAACCCTCCTCCTCCCCTCTTCTTCCTCCCGCCCTGCCCGTCCGCAGGAACAAGAACCTGCTTCCCATCCGGCATCCGCACAAGCACACTACTCCGCCCATCCGCCATCCGCGGCGCAAAGTACGGCGTGCCTTTATTCAGATCCGCGCGCCGCGAGGTATTCCGCTTCGCCGCGAGCTCGATGTGGAATTCGCAGTAGTCGGTGCGCGAGGTGCATACCCAGTTTGCGCAGGGCTGCTGTTTCTTTGTGAGGGCTTTGCACAGGCCGAAGTCACGCGCGCGGCCGAGCTCGAGGACTTCGTCGTCGGGTTGGTCGAGGTTTATCCTGAACCCGCGCTGCTGCTGCTGCTGCTGCTGTGACTGTTGCTTGGGCGCCCACACGCCGGGGTTGTAGACAGCAATTAAATCCCCGACCCGTAGTTTCCACAACTTCTCGACCTGCGGGCCACACACAAACAAATCGATCTCGACGCGGAGATCGGTCAGCGTGACGATAAAGTAGCGCCGTCGCTTGCGGTCCTGCTCGGCTCGTTCGTGGTCGTCGTCCGCGTCGGGCCCGTCTTGCTGGCGCTTGAGTTCCTCTTTCGTGCGCTGCCGACGCACGCGCGCGTGGTACTGCCTAAACGTCTCGTCGATCCCGGCTTTCGCGTTCGCCGCGTCGCGAATAATCCGCGCCTCATCCACCTTCCCCATCTTCTCCTTCTCACTCTCACTCTTGTCCCGCTCCCGCTCGCGATCGACGACGAACTGCGGCTTGCGCATGTACATCATCCCGCTCTTGCGCGCGACAACACCAAGCACAGCCCAGTCCGGCCACGCGGGCGGATCGTATTCTGGCGGCGAAATCGCCTTGCAGAGGCCAGACACCGAGACTACGGTCTTGTGCGCGAGCGCGCGCGCGACGGCGGCGGCGGGGGTGTGCCGCGTGGTGAGGTAGAGGTTTGTGTGCGGGTCGTAGAGGTCGTCGTCGTCGTCGTCGGCGGCGGAGGTGGTGGGGGGAGGCGCGGAGGTGGGGAGTGTGGTGTCGGAGGAGGAGAGGGGGGTGTTGATGATGGGAAGAGGGGGTCGGTTGGTAGCGGAGGTTCGATGTCGAGGTCGGATTCAGAGTCGCTGCTGGGTTCGGGCGGTGGTTGCGGGTGCTTCTTGTCTTTAGTGATGCTGACCGACACTGCGTCTTTCAGAGGTTCAGACCTGCCCTCCCGCTGCATCTTCCTAATCCTCAAAAAATTATCCGCAAAAGAAGTCTTCCTCCCCCCTCCTCCTCCCCACCCTTCCTCCTCTCCGCCTCCCCACCACTCCTGACAACGCTCCCGCGCTTCAACTCCCGCGTCTCCCGCGTAGACCGTAACCCGACCGTCGGCGCCTGAATCTTCTTCTTCGCCGCCGCGTCCTCCACCATCGCGCGCTCGATCCCATGCTTTATACTCCGCGCCGTCATATCCTTCCCCCCTCGCGCGCGACTCAAATTCACATCGCCCGCGCTCCGACCGACGTCCAGCCCCAGCAGCACGCGCGCTTTCACCGGCGACGGCGATTTCGGCACTTGTATCTCCTCTTCTGGTGCTGAATAGTCATCGGTATGCGACTGCGAGGTGCGCGCGCGGAGGATGGAGCTGGCGATGGCGGGGGAGTAGGCACTAAGTTTTCTGCGCTTGATGATTTCTGCGGAGAGAAGTTTGCGTTCGCTGGGGGAGAGCTGGAGTGGTCTGTTGTCTTTGTCTTTATCCTGGCGACGGGAGTTGTCTCTATCCTGCCGACGGGACGGGGGGGTCGGTGTCGCGGCGATGATGTCGAGCTGCTGCTGCGATGATGATGACCGCGGCGTTTCTTGGACTACCAGCTCGTCATCTTGCGTAATCACTGCAACAGCGCGTTTCCGAGGCGGCGGGGTAGCAGGCGCAAGAACAGCATCAGCCGCTGCTGTCGAAGAAGAAGAAGAGGATGATTTCAGAGCAAGTCGTTTCCGCCGTCTGATTTCAGCTAGTTGTAGTTTTGCCTCGAGTTCTTCTCGTTCTGCGCGGGCTTTTGCGAGGCGGAGTTGTTGGATTTCTGTATATTAGTTAGTTTGTACTGTTAAGAAAGAAGGAGAGTAGAGAGAGGAAGAGAGATACCTTCCTCGTCATCTGAGGAATCCATGATGCACAATCTAAACACAACAACAAAACACAAACACAAATGCAAGAGAATAAATGTATATATGCAAGTAAACCCCAACTACTCAAAACTACCACTCAAAAGCAGCAACTCAAACAATTTTTCTCCTCTGCAGATGGGAAACAGAAGAAGAAGACGCGAGCAAAGGGAGGAGAAAGCAGAGAGGGATTTTAAGGTTTTGGTGTTTGTGGTTTTGACGCGTTCGTTTGTCCCAACGCGTTTTTGTAGTTTACCTGTTTATGTTTTTGAGCAGCAGCAGCATCGATTAGAAGAACAAACAAAGAATAAAAGAGCAAGAGAAGATGTCGCGGGTTTTGTTAATACCGGAGATTGAGTCGTCAGCAGCACAGAAGAGCTCGATAATAACACTACCACATCCAGCAACCTCGCAACCGACGCGCTTCCTCTTCACGCAACCCCAATGCCACCTCTCCGAGCTCACGAGCGTGACCAGCGACGACCCATGCTCCACCATTCTCTCTACTTCAGACGACGACGACAGCGAGCAGACAAGAGGAAGCATAATTTCCTCCGGCGAGATCATTGTCGCGACGGCGGTGAGCCCGCTGTTTTTGCTGCTGCCCGCGCTGGCTAAACATGCGCAGCAGTATCGCACGTGGGAGGATCTGTCCGACACGCTTGTGTCGTCTGCGGCAGGGTTTACGGTCCTCTTACCCACGCTCGAGCGGTACCTCGCAGGGATCACAGACACGACCGAGCCCGCGCCAGGGATGGTGTGCTACCGGCTCAACAAGGACAAGCTATTTACGAAACTGGACGGGCTCGCGACAGAGATGGGGAGTCGGTTGCCGACTGCGGTGGCGCGGAATGAGGTCGGGCGGGTGCTACAGCGTGCGCGAGCGAGTGACGAGCGCGCGCCAGAGGAGATGTACGCGCGCGCGAGGAAGGGGGTCGCGGTGCGGGTGCTGTGCGCGCGGTTTGTGTGTGCAGAGTTGGCGCGTGAGTTTGAGGCGCGGGTGGCGGATGACGGGGAGTTGGCGGGGTACATTTCGAGACTGAAGAAGGAGCGGGAGGAGGAGATGGAGAGACACCAGATGCTGTCGAGCAGTGTGGGCGGGAAGCGGACGCGGTTTGAGGCCGAGGACGACGAGGTGCGGAAGGGGAAGGGGACGAAGGCGAAGAAGGCGGCAGTTGGGGCCGGGGTGCGACGGTTGATGAAGGCGGATAGAAGTGGGATGAGCAGGCTGGATACGTTTTTCAAGAAGAAGTAGTAGTTAGAGGAGGAGAAGATTTACAGAATTCCCGATTGGGAAGGGAAATAAATTAAATGACTCTTATTCTCTGGATGTTGGTTCTCTAAAAGGGGCTCGGTCTGCTTATAAGCAGATGCTCGTCCATCGACCGGATCCTTACTCGTTCTCTCTGTTCTGTCTGCCTGTTCTGATACTGCTTGTTATAACGACAGCTATAACTACTTTTACAGCCTACTAAGATCGTCGAAGATGCATTCGTCCTTTGTGCGTGCTCTGGCTCGCAAGGTCCGTCAGCGCCTGCCGGATCAGCAGTGCTTGGTATGCGGCCGCCAGCTCACCCCGAACGAGCTTTTCTACTGCAAGCGATGTGAGTGTGCTGTTGTTATTAATGACTGAAGAGATACTGATGAGAATGATGTAGGCCGCTAGCAGAACAGAAGAAGAGAAGAAGTTATAGCAGAAGATTGAAGTAGTCATTGATGGATCTAGCTCATTGATCCATCTCGCTCGCTCTGTATTATTATTGTCATTATCATATCATTAGCATGCGGCCAGAGAGCCAGAAAGGATTACCAAAAGCATGAAGACTGAAGGAGGAGGTCAAGACCCCTGCTTCTGATGGCGTCCTGGTTGTATTTTATCATTGCTTAATATCAGAATAACATATGCCCGTAAACAGCAACTGTATCTGCCCGACACCACGTCTTACAACAGATCAACAGATCATCAGTAACTCAGCACCTGTTCTGTTCTAATACTATCCTGTTCACTATCTATCAAATACCGTTGCTATCTCCTCTGATCTGCGGATCTGCGCAGGGCACACACGTGGACAGGAACCCTAATCCGACGAGAGCCAAAGAAGAAGCCTTAGTCCGAGTCGCGTGCGGGCTAAGCGCGCGGTTGGTTTTGAACTCTAAATTTTAATTGTGTTTTGGGCGATCGAGGAGATTTGATTCTTGTTGATTTAATTGATTTGCTTTCTACTTAAACCTCCTCTTCTTCCTTCTCTTCTTCTCTACTTCCTGCTACTATCTGCTACTACTGCTACTGCTACTGCTACTGCTATCATCACCACTTCTACTCTACTCACTACTACTACTCCTACTCCTACTCCTACTTCTACAATGCCCCGCTTCGCAAGACTAAAACGCGTCGTCTGCCATCGTCGCTGCCTCAAATGCGGTGTGGTCATTACAACCCCCTACGGTTGCTACTGCGAGAGTGAGTCTCTCTTCTACTCTACTCTACTTCTACTCTTCTTTTCTCTCATCTAACTCTTCACAGAATGCACTTAATCTCTCCTCCTCCTCCTCCTCCTCTCTCTGCATTCCGGCTGGATCCGTAACCCCACCTCCATCTTCCTTGCTCTTTTCTCTGCTCACAGCGGCGTTGGTATCCTTGCTTCTTTCTTCCCTTCTCCTAGCAATCAAAATCAATATACATCTCACACCAAAGGCCTGTTTCATTCTCCTCCTGCTAATAAACCCCTCGCTTAGACTAATAATCTAACTCCTCGCTATGCTTATATTTTCCTCTTTCGGCCCAATTTATCCTCTGTAGAGAGAGAAAGATAATAATAATGCCTAAACACTATGCATGAGTTTAATTGACGTCTATTCCCAAACTCCATACCAAAACCCAGATATCTAACAGTAAACAAGAAACAAGAAACAAAAAACAAAACAAGGCATTATCTCGCAGAAAAATATCTCTGCTTCATCAACTTCAGCTTCTCGCGACTCTTTTAAGACAACTGTCGCGCCAGATGCTCAACCAGATGAGCCCCCAAAACATGCGGTTCCCTCTTCGCGACCGCCGCCCGTCTCCGCCGGACATGAACCGCCTCGTCCGCGCGTCTGTGCATCATCATCTTCTTGCTGCTACTGCTCTCCGTCATATCCGAGAGCGAGAACCCGCACTGCGAAGGATACTCGCGGTCCGTCAGCGGCTGCGGAATCCACCCCTGCTCGACGCCCTTGATGAAGTTCCACAGCCCCGGTCCGGCCTGGGACCAGAAGAAGTAGCCGGACCCCTTGCCTTCCCAGACGTCCATCTGCGCCTCGACAAACTTGCGCACGAACGCGGTCACGTCGGACGTCCACGTCGCCTGGTCGTCCGTCACGCACGAGCACCCGTCCTCGTCGCAGGACGTTCCCGCGGAAGAACTGCCGTTGCTGAAAAAGCACACGTTCACGGCCGCTGACCATTCGCCGACGTACGTAGGCATGTAGTCGTTCGACGCGCTGATCTCGTTCGCCTGCGAACACACGTTCTCGATATGTCCGTCGCCGTCGAGCGATGTCTGCGAGTCGTCAAAGACCTGGTATCTGTGCGTGTCGATCCCCAGCAGCTGCTGCGACGAGCCGTCGGAGGACGAGGAGGCGCCGACGGTGCTCGGCATGTCTTGCCAGTACGACAGGTCCTCGAACGAGTCGTGCATGATGATCATCAGGTCCTGGTTATCTGTCAACGCCGCGCGCGCGGACGCGTAGGCGTCGATGTAAAACTGCCGCGTGACCTCGACGTCGTTATTCCCCCACGAGATCGGCTCGTTCACGAGCTCGATCGCGACTACAGTGTTAGCGTAGTCCGAGCCAGAGTACTTCGCCGCCATCGTCGTCAGCACCGAGATCGTCTGGTTGATGTTTCCCTCGCCCGTCTGCCAATCGACCGAGCCCTCGTGCCCGGAATTGTCGTATCCGTTCTGCGACCCGGGAGCGCCGTGCAAGTCAACCCAGACCTTCATGCCCGCGCTCTGCGCCCACCCGATCGCCTGGTCGAGGTAATCCTGCGCGCCGTAGACGTACGGTGAGATCGAGCTCGCGTCGTCGACGAACGACCAGTACCCGATCGGGATGCGCAGCGCGGTCAGGCCGTACGAGGCAAGCGTGTTGACGGTGTCCTGCGTGAACCAGGTTTCCCAGTGGGTTTTCATCGCGGCGGAGGCGGCGTCGCCGAGCGCGTCGCAGAGCGTGTACTCGTCTACTGCGTCGGAGGCGAGGGCCCAGAGGTCGTCGGCGCCGCCGAGCCATTGCTCGAGTACGAGCCAGCCGCCGACGTTGATGCCGCGGATGGTCGAGGAGGAGGAGGAGGAGGAGGAGGAGGAGGAGGAGGAGGAGGTGGTGGTGGTGGTGGTGGAGGCGGTGGTAGAGGTCGAGGAGGAGGAGGAGGAGGAGGTGGTGGTGGCGGCGGTGGAGTCGTCGGAGGCATAGGAAGTCGTGGTCGAGTCCATGATGCCAATCACGTATGTTGTGCTCGCGTCCGCATACACCATCGTCGTTGTCTCTTCAGAGGAGGAGGAGGAGGAGGAGGAGGAGGTAGAAGTCACGGTGGACAAAGTGGTAGGAGTAGTCGCGACCGCAGCAGTGGTGGTGGGCGCAGTAGTGGTAGGAGTAGTCGTCGCAGCATCACCAGCAGTGTAGGTCGTCGACGGCAAGGCATAGACGGTGGTATCCTGGTCCGCTGCCGCGGCGGTCGAGGTCGGAGTATCGTCGAGATACGAAACGTAGACGGTCTCGAGCACAGTGACGACGACGTCGTCCCAGTCGTCAGGGTTAGCGACGGGCAGCGCCGAAGCCAGCGAGGGAAGCAGGTAAAAAGCCGCAAGAGCAGCGCCGGCGGTGCGGGAAGAGAAGCGCATTGCGGACGAGGTTGCGAGATGTATACCGAGATGAGGAAGGAGATTCAACGCAGAGCGGGCGATCGGAGCGCTTTATAGTCGACCGCCTGACAGGGTCCCGGTCCCGGTACCGGTATTCGAGCGCGATGAGGGCGGAAAGTCGAAACCTGCGTAGATTTCTCTTTGGTTATTGTCTGTCCGGTCCTCTGCCCAGCCACGGTGCGGCTCAAACCAGGGGTAGGTACCCATTTCAGGCCCGAGTGGCTGGGTTCCTGCGCAGGACGGGCGACGTGGCTTGGCCCGACGAGGCTGGAGGCTGGGCCGCAAACCGCTCGAGGACCGGTGGACGCGCGTGGCTCTTGATCGAGACTTGGGATGGCTGGCGGGTGTCTTGATCTGCTCAATCATACCAGATGTCAGGCAATCTTTTATTAATGGTTTTTTTGGTATCTCATATGCCGTGAAGTGGTAATAGATAGACTAGGGACCATCGGAGCCGGAGGGATAAAAGAATACAGTTCAGGCGGTGCGGCGCAGGGGCAGTTGGGAGAACGAAGAACGCGCGCACAGAAAAATAAAAGACTGAAGGGGTTCGACTGGCTACTATCGCAGAGACTACGAGCAGCACAGCAGAAGCACAAGCAGCTGAGAAGTGCTACGTGCGTATATTCTCTGTAAACTGCACGTCGCATATCCGTCCGTGTGGCGGACGGGTGGATGAGGCAGTCGAGGACACCGTTGGACGCGCGCGTGTACATCAGCGACAGAGGAGGAGAGGCTGAGGTGAGGACGCGACAGACGGAATCCTGCGGCCGCTCACCGGCGCGCGCCGTCACATTGCTCGCGGAGATATCTGCGCTGCCCTTCATTCTGTTGCTGTTCTTTGCAGATTATTTTATTGCTATATCATTGTTGTTTGTAGATGGCAGACTTACTCGAGTAGTTGTACTGTCAGTGCGCAGAAGAACAAGCCAAGCTCGAGCCCGGCTGACGCGTTCCCGCACTCACCTTACACACCGAGCAGCAGCAGCAGCAGCAGCAGCAGCAGCAGCAGGCAGACGTGGAGTCGTTTCATGACCCGAGCAGCTTAAAACCCGCACTGCACAAAGCTGCTCGTTTGTTCAGTGAACTCTTATTTAGCATAGACTCACATGACCTGCTCCTGCTTCTACCTGTCTGCAGGCAATCAAGATACCCCATCGAGTCTTGATTGCTCCCAACCCTCTCTCCATCTCCATCCCATTCACTTCATAATACATCTCAGATACAATTCTTCTATATATCCTCTAATCAAACACACACACTCATCACCTCCTCATCCTCAACAACTGTTCAAATAATCATCATGCGTGGACGCGTAAGCTGCACGACGGGGCTGGTCTCCCACGCACCATCCTCCTTCCACCACCGCTGCTCTTTCCTTTTCCTTTCCCCCCCACAGCCCTTGCATCGTACTTCCTCCCTTGTATGAAACAAACTGACTGTACAGAAAACAAGAAAAGAAAAGAGAGAATTGCGAATCCCGAATCACACGGAAAGCGAAAACTGCCGAACCGAAGGGGACGCCAAGTCATTAGTCAGTCAGTCAAGTCAAGTCAGTCAAGTCAGTCAAGTCAGTGTCAGATCAGTGTCAACGATAATCAGCCATTTCTTCGTTCCGCGATTCCACTCAAAACTACTAAACAACACCCACCAGACCACAAAAAAAATCCCTGCTATTTATTTTCTATAATAACAGATAGTAAAATAAAATGAAAAAAAAAAAAAAAAAAAAAAAACCGCGTCTTTGCGAAGAAGGTCAAGTTCCTTCCTCACCAGGGGTCGAACCTGGAATCTCCCGCTCACTTTGCTGTGATGAACATCGTAGGCGGACGCCTTGCCATTGGGCCATAAGGAATCGCGTTGACGAAAATTAGAGTGTGGTCGTTTATAAAGGGTGGGTGAGATGGGGGATTATTGTAGTTTATGAGCGGGGGTTTTGGTGTTTTGGAATATTTCTTGCGGTAGGAATGATGAGGTAGAGTACTTATTGCATTCTTGTGCTTCAAAATGTTGGAAGACTATGGAGAGCTGGATAATCGATCTTCACTTCCCTCATACATTTCAATTAGCATCTCGCTCTCAGCACCTTCCTCGTTATTTTCTTGATAAGAACTCGAATCCCGTAACTCCAGGAAGCATAGCATTGCTTCTTACTACTCTCTCCTCACTCAATTGCAACACCGGGCAAGCAAAAACAATTGACCCGAGTAGATAATCAATTCTACTGTACTACAGTGCGTAGGGTTTTCGTACTGAAGCAAGCAAGCAAAACGGCCAGAGTAAGTTACTCGCTTTCCACCGCAAAAATCAGTAAAACGACGCGCGTGCTCTATGCAAGTGTACACCATGCAGGCACCAACTCAGCTTCTTACCTTGCCAGCAAACCACACCACGAACATCCGAGATGCAGATAACAATGTACGAGAGAGAGAGCATGTGCGCTCTCCGAGTGGCTTGTCTACGCGCAGCTTTGATTGTCTGCAGCTAGCTCACTATATAACTAGAACGGAGCAGGTACATCGACATGGCTAGAACGGAGAAAAGAAACGTGGCGGTGCGAGGAAGGGATGTATTTTCTTTTAACTCTTTTATATACTGCACTGCAAGGAAAAAGAAAGGAAAGTCAACGCCGGCGGGAGTTTTACTCTTCACTCATGCGCGAATACGAGAGTTAATCCACCGGCGAGAGTTTGCAAATCCGTGTCTGATGTAGCGAGCGAGCGAGCGGTCTGGGACCAAGTGATTGCGGAAGGGGATCTTCTGTCGGCTGGCTGGGCGGGTGAGTGTGGGTGGTGGAAGACGAGGGGGTCGTATGCGAAGCCACATGTGCGTGCGAGGTGGGTGTACAGGTTGCTGATAGTCGGTCCCGCGCTCTTTGGATTCTCTCAGGGTATCTCTGTCTATCTGCCTAGATCCGCCGGTCTACTACAAAACGCACCTTACTATAGACTACTAGTTGACTAGTTGACTAGTACTAGCCAGCCTCTCTAGCTCTATCAAAGAAGCTATAGACTACTAGCTCAGGGTCTCCTCCGTAGCGTCGCCCCGAGCCGAGCAGTACGCACGCTCACATGTCCGCAGCTGAGGCTGAACGGGATCCAAAAATCTTCTTTTTTCTGATTAAATCCGCCATCTGCCCAGTCAAAGTACCAGCACGGACGCTGTTTCATCGCACCAGGCGTTGAGAAGAAAAGAAAGGTGTGCAAGGTCAATCACGATGAAAAACAATTGAGGGAGGAGGAGGAGGAGTTAAGCACCCGGCGGACCGAACCGGGACGCTGGAACGAGAAGGTTATCTTGCTGCTGCCACTGCTGCTGCCGTCTTTTTTTCATTCATGATTCTAATAGATATGCCCTGCTCGATCTTTCAATCTGTCGTTCTGCTGTTGTAATCTATATCTGCAGAATACGTCCGCATAAACAACCAACCACCTTCCCGCGGTGACAAGCAAGCAAGCAGCACTCACTAATCCCTCGTACGCACGGATCTATCCTCCCGCCGGCTGTCCTCCCGAACTCCCAACCTCTTCTCCTCTTCTCTTCGCCCTGTGGCTGGTGCCTGCATTTCGAACCCCTCCCGACAGAAGCTTAAACCCTATCGCTGCGTACGACGGTCTTGACCGCCCACACGAAACGTCGACGACGACGACGACGACGACGACGGCAGCGAAACGAGACGCCAGACGGCGATCATTCTCCCTGAGCCGGTCACTCACCCACTCACTCACTCACTCACTCACGCAGCTCAATCGAGAAGCTCAAAACCCTCCTCCTCCTCCTCCTCCTCCGTCCACCCTCCTCCCCTCTCATCGTACACTCTCAGCCACACCGCGCACTTAAGAAGAAAAAAAAAAAGCAACAATGAAATCCTAAACTCGCTCACTGTTCTTTCCAGACTCCAGCAGCAGCCCCTTGCACACTCACTCACTCACTCACTCACTCACTGCTAACTTACTCACGCACGCCAGCCACTCGCTAGAAATATCAATCATCCCTCTCTTGTTGTCTTCGGAGTTGTGCTGGAGGCAGCAAGCGAATATCACACCCTCTTCTCGCCGTGACTTGCTAAAGAATCTTTTTTATTCTCTTTTATTCTCTCGCCGCAGCTACTAATTTACTATATACAAAAAAACAAACTCAAGTCCTATTTACATGGCGACCGCCTCAGACGCCCCAGTTTCCCCTGCACTAGCGGCAGCACCTGCGCCCGCCGCTGCAGCACTGGCACTCACGACCTCCCACCCGCCCTGCTGCGAAACCCAGTCCTGGCTCGCTCCCAGCAACGCCACACTCCGTCTCTCGTGCCCGCCCACAAGGTACCGCTCCGCCGCGTCGCGCACCTCGCCCGCTCCCACCCCCAGCAGCTTCTCCCGCCTAGCCTGCCTCATATCGTCCGTGATCCCGTGGTTGAACAGCGCCATGCCTTCGCTGTCCACGCTCTGCGGCGCGTCCACGCCTTGAAACACACTCAGCTTGGCCTCCTCCAGATCCCGCTCGCTCCACTGCTTCTCGACCGCCCACCGCCCGGCCTCCTCCGTCACCCGCAGCGTGTTCGCCGGGTTCGGGTCCCGGTACGAGTAGTAGCCAAACACGCCCCCGACTCCGTTATACGACGCGCCGCCGCCGTACGCGCCGCCCTTCTCGCGGATCTCGCTGTGCAGGTGCTTGTGCGTCAGCATGTTTGCCAGAATCTGCAGCGCGGCGCTGTCCTCGTGCGTGTAGGGAACTCCGCGCACACACGCGCCCGCGTATGTCACCTGGAACGGCATCTCGTAGAACTTGCGCACAACCCCGTTCCCACTCCGCACCACAAACCCATCCAGCGCGTTCGCAGACTTGCCGCTCGTCGTTCTAACCGTCTGCTGCTCTCCCGCACCAGGCAACCCGCTCACAAACTTCGCCGCCTCGGCCGCGTTCGCCTGCACCGCGTCCGCTCCGCACGTAATCGCGATCCTCAGCCCATCGCTCCGGCCACTGATCGCCAGCCGTGCAATCTCGCGCAGCTTCGCGCTGATCAGCGGCAGCGCGTCGTCCGCGTACCCGTCCAGCTCGTTCATCAGACGCACCTGCTCGATCCCGCCCAGCTTCTCGTCCAAGTACGACGCCGGCGTGAGCACGGCCGCCGCCGCGTTCCGCGCGTAAGCGTGTCCGTTGCTCGCGATCGCGTCCGCAGAGCCCGACGCGAGCCCGCGGATCAACGTCCGCAGCTTCTCGTGGTTCTCAAAGTTGGTCTCGAGCAAGAGCACGCTCATCAGCCGCAGCAGCTCGCCCACGTTCTTGTCCACGCTGTAGCCGCTCACCGCCAGACTCACCGACCAGCTATCGATATCGTCCGGCTCCGCGCGCACTTGCACGCCCGCGCCGATCCCGCCCGTCTTCAACTTGATCTCGTCCTCGAGCGAGGCCATCGTCCGCGTGCTCGTGCCCAGGTTCGTCAGCGCCTCGGAAAACAGCGGGAGATAGGGTAGCAGCTCCTGCGGCAGGTCTTGCAGCGAGATGCGCGCCCGCACATAGGTCAGTCCGTTCGTCGGCGCTACCCGCCACTGCACACTGACGCCCTCGCCGCCGCCGACCTTGTCAAACTCCAGCTCCGCGCGCTTGATCTCGCGTGGAATATCCTTGACATACAACGTCGGCAGCGACGACAGGTCCTCGGCCTCCTCTTGCTTCTCAAGCAACTCAAGCCCGAGCTCGTACACCTCCTTCTTCTCCGTCTCTCCCAGCCGCGCCACCCGCTGCGCCAGCCGCTCTTCCTCGTCCTTCGCCAGCTTCTCGCCATAGCTCTCGGACGGCACCATCGTGAACGAAAACACTGGCTTGTCGTCCAGCAAGAACCGCTCGAGGTACGACTCCAAAAACCGCGGCTTTTGCAAATCCTCGCGGAACCGCTCGATAATTGAGTCCCACTCTAGCATATCCACCGGACTCACGCCGTTAAACCACCCCGCCGTCAACCCGTACAGCAGCTGCATGCCAAAGTTGGCCACCGTGTGCTTGCGCGACAGCTCCGCCTGCTGCAAAAACGCCTCCACGCGCTTCAGATCGAGACCGTCTTCATATGTCTTCTGGATCACCTCCCGGATCGTCTGCTGCACCTTTTCGACATTCTCCTTGGTCACGCCCTGCGCGCCCACCGAGAAAATGTTCACAGGCGAGGCAGAGTCGAGTCCGGTGTTGGGCGAGTACTCGGTTCCAAGGTCAGACTCAATCAAGGCCTGGTATAGAGGTGATGAGTGTCCGTCTATCAGTAGCGAGGTCACAGTCTTCAGACATAGCGTCTCGTACGCATCCTTCGTCGGTCCCATAAACCAGGTCAGCGAGGTCTTGTACTGTCGCTCGGGATCACTCAGCGGATCCACCGGTCCTTCCTCGACCACCTGCACGTTCTCGTTGAGCGCGATCGGGTACTTGACTTGATCATCAGGCACGCGTCTCGTGAACGACGAAAACACGCCGTCGATGTGCGACAGATGATCCTCGAGCGGGAAGTTGCCGTACGTAAACAGTTTTGCGTTGGAGGGATGATAGTTCTTTGCATGGAAGTCGCGCAGTTGCTCGTACGTCAGATCCGTGATCTTGGCCGGGTCACCGCCACTGTTGTTTAGAGACGGGTAAATGCTCTCTTGGAACCGAATGTAGTAAAGGTACGACGTGTCCGACTATAAACTGGTCAGCACGATTACAACACCACTCTAGTCTCATATCTACTCACCATCTGCCCCTTCATCTCGTTATAGACAACGCCTTTGAACTGTAGCGGCGTCTCTGGGTTCCGTGGGTCAGCATGCTCGAGGCGCCATCCCTCCTGCGTGAAATCTAGCGGTCGGAGCAGAGGATGTAGCGTGGCGTCCAAGTACACATCTCGAAGGTTGGCGAAGTCGACCTGGTTCGTGGTCGCAAAGGGATAGAAGGTGTAGTCACTTGCTGTATACCAGATATTATGTTAGCGGACTTGAATAGTACTCGACAAAGAGCAACCACTAACCTGTCATTGCGTTCATAAAGTTCGCCAGACTGCGATTCAGCATCTTAAAGAACGGATCGCGCACTTGGTACTTCTCCGATCCACAAAGCGTAGTATGTTCAAGAATATGCGGCACGCCGGTCGCATCCGGCGGATTCGTCTTGAACGCGATCGAAAACACGTTATTATCGTCATTCCGCGCGAGATGGAGATGCTCCGCGCCCGTGGCGTCGTGCTTCAGATGCACGGCCAGCAGCTCAAACTCCGGAACCGACTTTGTCTCCGTCACCGTGAAGCCGTGGATCTGGCTGCCGATCGGATATGATTTTTCGAGTGTGGCGATGGTTGCAAAGCAGTTATTACGCTGGTAGGCCGCGGGTAGACGCGGAAGCTGACGACGCAGAAGGCTAGAGCGAACTGTGCTTCTGCCTGCGCCGCTAGAACGCGCAAACGAGGAAATCATCTTTGATGACTGTTGAATTGCTTGCTAATCACTCCCTTGAGCAGGTCTGTTGGTTGATAACAACAAAGAGGAAGAACAAACAGAGGCGAATGGTGAATTGTGAAGTTCGTATTACAAATAGCTGGATTCCAGCTCTTTGAAAAAATACCTTGGAGCCGGAGCTCATCGCGAAACCTTAAACTGACTCAACGAAGAGTCGACGGTTTAAATTTTTGATTTCTTGTAGGTCGGCTGTAGCTGATGATATTTGCAGTTCAGCCAGCAAGGATAACTTGTGGAAGGAATAGAGAGAGATTGACTGTTTGTGTTTGTAAGCGGTCGAGGATTGAATAAGGCGGAGCAGCGACAATGGTTTACTACTTTACATCCAAGCGGGAGGACGTCGACAGGGACGTAATGATTTACATGGGAAAGCACAAAGAAGAGAGTTAGTCTTCTTTTTCAATTTGAGATTGTGCGTGTGCTCGCAGCTGACGTATTTTTTGACTCCTAGATGAGGACTTGATCAAATACGGGCTTGACTCGGATCTGTGGTATGTCATCCAGCGCTCTATATGCTCGCTCGTCAGATAGAATAACGGGGACTAATAGTATCCACAGGTTCCACGTCGACAAACTGTCATCAGCTCACGTCTACCTCCGCATGAACCCCGGCGAAGAATGGGACAGTTTACCGGAAGGTGTTCTCGAAGACTGCGCACAGTTGACGAAAGCCAACTCGATCGAGGGAAACAAGCGGGACAACATCACAGTAATCTACACGCCATGGTCGAACCTCAAGAAGACGAACGACATGGCCGTCGGCCAGGTTGGGTTCAAGCAAAACAAGATGGTCAAGAAGGTCCACATTCCCGTGCGCGTGAACGCGATCGTGAACAGGCTGAACAAGACCAAGGTTGAGAAATTCCCAGATCTGCAGGCGGAGAAGATCGAGTATGAGAAGGAGAAGAATAGAGAGGCGAGGAAGGCGTTTAATGAGCGGTATAAGAGAGAAAAGGCAGAGGCAGAGGCGCGACGGAAGGAAAAGTGGGAGAAAGACCATGCGTACGAGGATCTGTTCTCGGAGGAGAATCTGGCAAAGAACAGTAACCAGAACAGAGGAGAGGGGTGGGTAGAGGATGACTTTTGGTAGTCGATAGAATGCTACGTATTAGAGTAAAGGAATAAGACATGCTATTGCCCTGTCAGAACGAGAAAACAAAAATAGAAATCAGTTCATGTTGATCATCTATTGATCTTACTATATGTACAAAATACGATGAGACGTAGTTTCTTACTCGCTCTTCTTCGCAGCCTCCTCCTCGGCACCCTCGCTCTTGGCTGCCTCCTCGTCCAAAACCAAAACCTTAGCCTCATCTAACAGCTCAGAAAGCTCACCGGACTGGTGCATGGCGATCAAAATGTCGCATCCTCCGATGAACTCGCCGTTGACGTATAGCTGCGGGATGGTCGGCCAGTTGCTGTACTCCTTAATTCCGGATCGAAGCTCGTCGTCCTCAAGCACGTTAAACGCGGCAAACTTCTCCGGATCGACGCCCTGGAGACTGAGGATCTGGATAGTAGCGCGGGAAAATCCGCACTGCGGGAACTCGGGAGTGCCTTTCATGAACAGAACAACGGGGCTAGACTTGACGGCGTTGTCGATGGCGGAGCGCGCAGTTTCGCTGAGGAAGCGCGCCTGCTGGCCTTGCAAGACGCGGACAGACAGCGGCAGAGACTTTGAAGGGGAGAAGGCGGATCTGAGCGAAGTAGCAGCAAGGAACGATCGCGTCTGTTGTTTTTTTAAATGTTTTGTCAGTCTGGCTATTCGTTTGATGCTGACTCATTCACAGAGCAGGCCGAACAGGATTCGTCACTTACCCGAGCAGTACCGGCAATTGAGCGAGAAAGAGAGAAGGACATGATGGATATTCGAGCTGTCTGGACGGACTATGCGATGTGGAAGTGACGGCAGGTGGATGGACGATGGCGAACGTCTTTATCCGACTTTTTTGTGCCTTCCGAGCAGAAAGTAGTTCACGTGACTTCACTTGTTGATTATGTCAGCGGACCTCATCGGCTTGTAATTTGCGAGAGGTAATTGGTCCAAGGGTGTTATTCCACGAGCGCGCGCACCGGCTCTGATTCGGCGGGGAGACTGTAGACTGAGAATAGTACTGTGAAATACAGCAGAAACCGGGATATTCACTGCAAACAGCACTTTGTCGACGAGCAGAGAGGGAGTGGACGAAATAGAGCGAGCTGGTGGTGTTGGGGATCCAAATGCATCAAAATTAGGCTTCTGGCACCGCCTCGAGCCGCACGAAGCTTTCGGTTACTGCAGCTTCCTGCGGGAATCTCATCTCATCAGGTTGGTTGTTTGATCTGGAACAGTATTTATTATTGCGTTGTTCAGGCTGTAATCGCATGATTCAATTGAAAGTCTGGTAGAAAAGAACAAGCTGCTGAACCACATTCTTCTGTCTCTTATGTTCCGGCTGTCGACTAGCTGAGGGTCTCATATGGTATCTACACATCCAACCTTTGTTCTCAAACAATGCGCATCCACCTCCAACCGTCTATTCTGACACACTTTCAACAGTCACAAACCTCATCCTCATCATAACAACCCGGGAGATCTGCATACAATCCGCACCAACATGTCTAATCCCGACTCGTCCCAGTACACGCCCACCCACGTCTCTTCCTCATCCTCATCCTTCTTCGAGCTCAACCGCGGCCACCTTCATCGTCTGAACCCCGGCAGCGCTTCCCCCCTACTCTACAGCCGCAGCCACACAGCATCCCCCCTCTCGAGTCCCTATGCTCTCTCTCCTCGCCGCTCAGACCCTCTTCGCACCCACCGCCTGCGAAACATTTTCTCCGCCTCGACCCCATCGCGAACATTGGGCTACACTGGCTCCCAATCCACACGCCCAGAATCCGAGAGCGCGACGAAATGGATCCATTCTCTAAAATCCAAAGCTCAGCGTGCGCTAGAGGAAGATCTGCAGTCAGATCAGGAGTTTCAGGTGCTAATCGAGGCCGAAGAGCGTCGCACGCAGAAAATGTTTGAGTTTTCCTCCTCGATAGTCTCAAACGACGAGACCGAGACTGTCAGATCGCAAGCATTTGAGACATTGGAGAAAGTACTACTTTCTGAGAAAAAGAAGCGCGAGTCAGAGATAGCCGAGGCAACGGACAGCGTCAAGCGTCAACGACGAGAAGATCCAGCCGCAGCAGCGTCGCCGGCGGCTCGGCCCGTAACCAGCACTGTCACCCAGCCTTCGCTATTCAATCCCTCGCGCTATGCAGATAGCGCATCTTCATACTCTAGGAAAAAGCATAGTCCGATTCGGATCTACGAGGACCCGCAGTCTCGATCGGGGTCAGAGTATAACAGCTACGGAGACAGTGGCCGGTCTGAGGACGACGGCGAGGTTTACGCAGACGAGAACGTCGATCCTTTGGTTCCTGAGAATGAAGAATCGAGATCGGGATCTGAGGGAGATCTCGTGGATGAGTATGACGAAGAAGAAATTGAGGAGGAGTATGATGAAGAAGCAGAAGAGCCAGAGCAAGTCATGCTCTTAGGAGAAGACGAAGAATCAGAAGCCGAGTCAACTAAAGACTATCAGAGTCGGTCGAGCGAGAGTGCAGACTATGAGGAGAACCCTGCAGACAGCGCAGAACGCGAGGAACCGGTAGCAGCAGACACTTACAGCGAGCCGGAAGAAGATGCTGGAAGTCAAAATCATAACCTACTCAGCACTGCACAATCCCAAGGCGAGAGTGCAGACTACGAGCAAAACCCCGCAGACAGCGCAGAAAGCGAAGAGCTGCTGGCAGCAGACTCATACAGTGAGCCCGAAGTCGAGATCGGAAATCGAGATCAACCACTTCTCAGCGCCACCGAATACCAGAATATCGCCCGAGCATTGGCCGTTCATAATCCTTCAGTGTTTGACACCGTTGGTCCCGGCGTTATCGCAGAGTCGACTCCTACATTTTCTCAAGAAATTGGTGGTTCGGAAGTACCTCTCGACCCCGCTCTTTTTTCGGTCAGTACCGAGGACCTCATTTCTCAACCCCCAGTTTTTTCTGAGGGAGCCGAGAAAGAGGAAGAAGATGAAGATCGGGTCCATCATAACGACTCGGGAGAGGAGATGTACTCTGATGAGTTGGAGAACGCGTCGGATGAAAGTATGGGAGTTTATCAAGATGACGACGAAGGCGAGGAGGAGTATGATGAGACATTCGAGGACGGAAATAGTGAACGGCGCCGTGAGAGTGCTTTCATCAACGAGGACGACGAGGCACCTGATTCCGAGTCGGATGAAGAGGAGTATGAAGGGGAAACAAGAGAGGAGTCGGAAGTGGAAGAGGAGGCCGATGATGACGGGCCAGGTGCGCAAGGATCCGAAGGCTCGAGCGAGATCAGCGACGGTGAAAAAAGTCCAGAGCCTTCTCGTCAGCATCTCCGGTTCACTGGCAAAACGCGCCCATCGGCTATCTCTCTGATTGATTCCGTGCGCTACACAACGAGCTACAGGGGTGACTCGGATGATAGCGAGGATGAGGGAGAGGGAGATGCTGAGGAAGAGGAAATGGAGGAAGGCGAGGGTGATGAAGACGAAGAAGGCTACGAAGAGTATGACGAAGAGGAAGAAGAAGAGAATATGCAGCGTGCAAGTATCAAACAGGCCGGTACCGCCGCCGACGCAATCACGCTCTCAAGTGACGACGAAGACGATGTTGCAGCACCAACAGCAACCGGAAACGATGCCGAAGCCTCGTCTTCCCCCACGTCCGAGTCTGGGTCGTACAGCGGTGAAGAATCCGACGGCAATGAAGAGGATAACGACAGACGACATGCCGCGGAATCATCCGGATCGATGTGGACGCCGTCGATTCCTAAGAGCGGCAGCAGGACGCCGAACGATACGCCTCTGAAATTCTCAGGCTTTGAAGATACATTTGCACCCGCTGACGAGGAAGAGTCCTCAAGTTCTCAAGATGAAGCAGAGGATGGAGATGTTGAAGACCAAGCTGAAGACGAAGAAGGTGATCGGGAGATTGCAAACGAAGAGCTCTCGGATTATAGCAACGGCCACGGCGATGACAGCGACGTCGAAGAACAAAAAGTGCAGCTGGAGGAGATTCGGAAAGAGCTTGAAGTCGAGCGAGCGGAAGGTGAGCTCGACGACGCACCAGAAGATCTGTCGGCGCCGGCGAGGTCGGGCAAAGATGAGGATGAGGATGACGAGCCGTTTATTGAGGAAGAGACGCAGACACCGCTGGTTCATGAGTCAGATAGCGACCCTGATGCGCATTATCCGGAGGAGTTTGACGACTACGATACTGCTGAGACGCAGGAGAAGGGAGTTATCGAGACTGCTGCAGAGGCTGGCGTGCCGGAAAGTTTGCCGGTAGGCGACAGCGCTGTCGAAGAGACTACGAGTGGTGAACGAGTTAATAATGCGCGGTGACTTGATAATGGGTGCTGTAGGATATCTTGTATTTTTTTCTATCTACTGACGATGTGTCGTCTAAAGTTGTATCATATTTTCACTAGCGGTTGTATGATACTATAGCAAGAAGTGTAATTTCTAAATTCTCAATACGTTAGTAAGATCGGAACAAAGGCCGTCAGGTGAGATCATCCCTATGAATCGCGGCAGCAGTCCGCTCAGTTAAATCTGTATAACCTTCATGTTCCCAGCCAACCAGCCGACTCCTGTGTTTTTCAGACGTGTACTCAAGTCCGAATCATGCAGCACTCGGTTTATCAACCTCTTGACCTCTCAATCTCAAGGAACCGTGCCCGATGTGTAAATCGACTGTATTCTCAAGCCATTGACAATGATCTCCGATGAAGTAGAAGAGCGTCGACAACGACGCACACAGAGGCAGTCCCAAGATTGAGAGATAGAGAACTGACACGGCAAGGTGGGCTTCAGCGCTCAAACTAGATCCGCGATGAAGCGCGCGCCTGCGCTGAAATCAGATCGTCTATCTAGTTGCTGTGCCCTGGTCAATTGCTGAATTCGTCTGTTGAGATAACATGCAGGGCACGATCAGAGAGGAAGACCAGGAGTATTATTATATACACACAGGCTGGCTTCTGTAAGATAAGAAAGGCAGGTTTGAGAACCGAGAGATCTGAGATGTGGACTTGACAGTGCTGAGAACGACGAAGAAGTCGCGGTACAGGTTGGGATCAGACCTTTTACCATGTCTCCATCACTGCGGATCCGCTGCAACCATAGAGCCTCAACCAAAAGTAATAAAGCAGCAATAACATACCAAAACACCGTAAATTCGCAGAGATTCCAGAGATGAGATCTGGCTATGAGAGTGCGAGAGACCCCAGCCACCTCACAAATGGCGAGAGCACGTGCACCAGCGTCCTCCGCCGCAAACTGCAAAGTCATCGTCCATTTACCTCTTCCTCTGCCTCTTTTCCCCACGCAGCACCCGCCCATCGCCCCCTCGCCCTTCTCAATTACTTTCCTCGGGGAGATAAACAGCGCAATGTCAGTTGTCTTAGCCTCGGCTGGTTACGACCACACCATCAGATTCTGGGAAGCGCTCTCCGGAATCTGCCAGCGGACTATCCAGCATCCCGATTCCCAAGTCAATCGTCTCGCCATAACGCCGGACAAGCGGTTCCTGGCCGCTGCAGGACGCACCAATGTCAAGCTGTACGATATCAGGGGATCGAATCCAAACCCAGTACGTGCTGATTTTGCATTATGGTTCTATGTGGTGAGGGACTAATCATTTTCTCGGCAATAGGTCACTGTTTTCGAAGGACATACAAACAACATCACCGGTATCGGCTTCCAAAGCGACGGAAAGTGGATGGTCACCTCCTCCGAGGACGGGACAGTCAAGGTCTGGGACATGCGGACGCCGATGGTGCAGCGGAATTACAAACACCGAGTACCCGTCAACGACGTCGTCATCCATCCGAACCAAGGCGAGCTCATCAGCTGCGACGAAGGCGGCAACGTTCGCATCTGGGACCTGGGCGAGAATACATGCACCCATCAGCTGATTCCCCAGGAAGACACGCCAGTCCGATCGGTCTCGGTCGCTACCGATGGCTCAATGCTAGTAGCCGGAAACAACAAGGGAAACTGCTACGTCTGGAAAATGGTGAACAGCCACGACACAACCTCCCTTATCCCCGTCACGAAATTCCGCGCCCATTCAAAGTACATCACCCGCGTCCTCCTGTCTCCGGATGTGAAGCACCTCGCCACCTGTTCTGCAGACCACACCGCCAGAATCTGGTCGACCGAAGGCTTCGGTCTTGAAATGTCGCTCACCGGCCACCAGCGCTGGGTTTGGGACTGTGCTTTCAGTGCCGATTCCGCGTATTTGGTAACCGCGTGCTCGGATCACTACGCTCGACTATGGGAACTTGGAACTGGCCAGATCATTCGGCAGTATAACGGTCACCACAAGGGCGCAGTCTGTGTTGCTCTCAACGACGTTTAAGTTACAATCTCGATTACTGAGATCTATGGGATAATCATTTTTTTCATTGAACTGCATGGTGCACTACGGAGTTTTCTGTTTTTCGTCTTTGGGATTGGCTTTACCACTGTATAATAACTCGTGTTGCTTACAGTCTTTTTTGCTTATAATGTTCAAAAATATACGAGATACACAAAAAAAATGCCAATATATTAACACAAATAACTAAATAAAACTTTTGCTTGATGTTCAACCAAACCCACTCATTCCGTCCCCTTCCAATCTTACACACGCGACCCTCTCGTCATGTCTAAATGCTTGCCTGGTCGTCTTAGGCAGTCTCGGTCTTAGCCTCGCTTTCGGTCTCGGTCACTAGTTTCCCTGATTCAGTCAGGTTCAAGTTCTGGACCGCTTCGATTAGGAAGTCGTCGTCGCTGGTCGCTTCGAATAGAGCGTCTAGGTCGTCCAATGTCTCGAGATCCTTTCTGTAGAGAGAAAAAAAAGGCTGTTAGAAGCGATTCGGTCTACAAGAGTAGGAGGGAGCAACTTACTGCATCGCATATGCATCTTCACCGTCACCGTAGTATGCCTTTGAAATCTCCTTGACACTAAACACATAAGAAACCACCAGTTAGTCAAAGCCAGCTCAGGATATAGGTAGAAAAAACACGTACTCGAACTTCAGAGTATCTCTGTACAGATGGAGCGCCGCTCGGTTCGATTTTCGTACATGGAGACTGACGAATTTGGCCCCGTAGCATTCGTATAAGCTGCGCACTACACCCCCAACATATTAGCCTTCACAAATCCCTCTAAGAATAATCAAAGCTGCAGATGAAACACATACGCGCGAGCTCCATCAATTTTCCAGCAAGGCCCATCCGTCGATACGTCCGCATGACCGACAGACTGGTAACATGCCCGTGCGGAACGCCGTCCTTCTGCTCCTCTTCCTCCAGCTTCGCAAGCACGTACCCAACAATCTTCGTCCCCGACGCATCAGTCGCCACAAACGACGCCTGCGGCCATGTCGTCGCATGGTACAGGTAGTAGCGGAAAACGTAGTTCTCGGGCAGGTTCATCAGATTCGCATTCTGCATGCCGGTGATATCGGCAATAGTGGCTTGTCGGATATCCATCTTGCTGTCGGGTTCACTGTTGGCCTACTGAAGAACTCGTGAACGATCTGGTGACGACCTCGAGATGGAAGAGGAAGAGACCGAGTTGCTGATTCACGGAAAACTGCAACAAAGTCCATAATCGTCATTGATTTCAATTAAAAATTGTGTTCACGTGATTCAGCGGGTGACCGTCGGGTTTTTACCGAAAAGGGCTATTGTTGCTCAAATGATGGATAAAGAACTATGGAATACTGTATAATTATATCTCTATCTATACTTCTATCTCAAACCATATTTTCACCAAATATCAGCGCAGCATGGACACGTCGGACATCGCCCGTTTTCATTAAACCCGGCCGACTTGCGATCAAAGTTATAAGTCCTTGTTGAGTGAAGTCGCACTTCTAACGGCTGCTTCAAGATCTCAATCGAGTGACGTACCCCGTTCAAGTGCTGGTTCTGTAGTGCTTCTTGTGGTAAATCCAAATACTCATCCAAGATGTGGATCGTTGTCTCTAGCGGGTCCTCATACGCACACTCCATCGGATCATCCATTTCAAGTACCGCTTTGAGACCAGAAGCAGTCACAGCTGTATGAGAGATATCCAGGTCACGCAGTCGTCCGAATTTTCGTTCTCCGTACTTGATCATAAACATATACTGCAGCAGCTCATCGTCGACAGAGCTGTTCTTGCTAATGTCAAGAACTCGAAGTTGAGGAAGGAGATTGTCCATCTTGTCGATCAAGAAATTGTCAAAAACCACCGGACAGCCGGAGATTTGAAGTGTTTTTAGTGATGAAGGGTTGAGCGCTGACAGGATCTGAATCAGTTCCTCTTGGTCGATATACCTATTTTCCCGTAGATCGAGATGAGAAAGCTTAGATGTCTCGAACAATGACGTCAAATCATCGCTCGGAATCACCAAAGTAGAGGGTAGCAGTAACTCCTCTATCAACACCGGAAGAACTGGCAACCTGTCTAGATCCGACCCGCTCAGATCAAGTCGCGAGATACTATGCTGTCCGAGATCCAAAGCAGACTCTCTCGCTTCGCTATGAACAGTCGTATGGCTCACCACGAGTGTGTGGAGACTCGGCATATGACGAATAAGCGCTTTCAACTGATGCAGACCCATCCTGTGCTGTGGGAAATTGCAGTCTTCGTTGACCGGATAGTCGCATGCCATCTCCTCGTTTACTCGAAAGTCACGTAGATTAGGGAACAGTACCGTGTCGTCTGGAAACTGCAGTTTTCGGTTCCAGGTATCTTCGATGACTGCCTTATCTTCCCAGTTTGCATAAAACTTCAGGTTTGTCAGTCTCTTGTACGATTGAGCACTTGAAGCCACTGAATCTAAAAACGCAAGCATCGAGTCCACTCGTAAACTGAAATACTGCACCCAGGTCAAGATTGAAAGCGTCAGGGAAACCTTCCAGCCGTCCCACTGCAGCCAGCTGTTCATGTTGAACGACAGATCAGCATCTTGATACCACGCCGACATATCCGTCACGTTCTGCATAAAGGTCTTGAAGAACCCTTCGTCAATTCCAGCGTGATACAGCACTCTGAGATCGTTTGATTTTGCCGCTTTCGGCGGGACCCTGTACAGAAACCGCCAGCTGAGCTGGGGAATGAAGTTTTCGCTCGTTATCGGAGTCACATTGTGGTCGTACAGCATCCGAGTGTAGAAGTATATGTCCTTGATCCGGTCAAGCGATATAAACAGCTGGGAGACCATGCGTTCTCGAAAATTAGGCCACATCGCATCCGTCATTTTCCGCTCCTTCGGCGCCACTACACGCAGTGTTCCCAGCGATCTCCGGACAAGTTTAGTGACATTGCTTAACGGCATTCGATTATTGTAGCCAATCACAAATAAGTCATAAGAATGAGGATCTGTCTCGATATAGTCGCGCCAGCTCCGGCACACGGCTTTCAACCGACACCGCTCCGCATAGCCAAACCCGCCAAAGAACAAGATCTTTCCAAACAGCTCTGGAGGCAATTTCCGCAACGGGTCGGTCGTTTCCAGAAAAACAGCTGGGCTACGTCGGGAATCAGAATTAGTCACTTCAGCTCCAGGCAGGTCGCTTGTATCAGTCATGAAGTTGCACCTGAGATTGCTTACTCTGTTTGCGTCAAACCACCGACCGGCACTGGACATTCACAATCCACCTGCATTGGATATTCACATTGTCCAGTCAATTGCCTGTACAAATTCTGTCTCGCGAGCAGGCAGCAGACTGAATCTAGATCAACTGGCTCCGCGCCCTATCGATAAGGACCGGCTGCCGAGTGTCAGGATCAACCACGTGATCCGATGCGATGATGTCACCGCTGCCGATACAGCGCACCTCAGCCAATTTTTTGTCATTCGCCGGTTCTGCAGTCATCATCTCGCTCGTTCTTGGACCTCAGCCATATATATATCTCAGTCTTGGGCACATGTTTTGCTATCACGTTGATCTATAGCCGTTTAGTTCTTTCGCCATGACAGATTTGCGCAGATTAGCTGCCTCCAGGCTTGCCCATAAGTCAAAGGGATCAGGCCGTAGTACTCCCAAGAACTCTCGCATTGAAGACGATGAGGAGGATTGGGACGATAATCTTTCGATCTTGTCAGATAATAGTGATTGGAGGTAGGCTAAATCTTGCCTTCGTGTGTGTCTGTTTGCTTTCTAGTACAGCTAACGATCGTACAGCGTCGCTTCCGTTGATACATTAGACTCGTTCGGCACAGACACCGAATCGACATCAAGTCGGAGTCCCAGCAAATCTCGCCGTAAGGATCACGATATCGGGATCGAGTGGCGTGAGAAGCTCAACGAGTACATTGACAGCATCTCTCTTGAGCGCAAAAACTCCAGCACCTCCAGTCGCGAGGATGCGCTGGCGAGGATCTGCAAGATCATGTGCATGAAGTACGCCTGGAGAATCGCGGAGGGCCGGCATGCTGATCTAGAAGATGGCGTCCTGCGATCTTTGAAAAATGGAAGGTCGGATAAAGAGACTATTTTGGCTGCTAAAGGCAAGTGCTTTCGTACTTTTCTATTCCCTGGTACATCGCGCTAACCTTTAGTGATTCATCAGTTCTTTCGGTCCTCGTCGTCACTGATCCCGAAAACGCAGTATGGTACACTGACTCTGCACCCACATTAAAGGATTTGATATTCAGCGTTGAAGACCTGGCGGTAAAAGCAGTCTGCATTACTGCTCTAGGATCAGTCACTTTTTTCTCCTCCGTTGTCGACGATGAAGAACTCGAACAGACCATAGATTTCCTCCTTGATATCGTGACTAGCGACGGAAGCTCGATCCAAGCAGCTGACTCTGATGTCGTTGTTGCTGCTACGATCAATGTTATCGGGTTTTTAATATCAAAAATGGATGATGCATACGAGCTGGCTCAAAGGTATTCTCCTCTTTCGCTGTCACATAATTTATGCGTGATCTAACATACTCTTTACAGTGCAATTCCCGTCATGGTTGATCAGCTAGAATCTAGCGAAGTCTCGATCCGCATGGCGGCTGGAAACGTCATCGCCCTTCTCTATGAGAGATTTGCGGAAGACACCGCAAATTACCACACCTACGACGAGTCCTCTGGAGAAGAAGACTATGAGTCCAAGGAAGCTCCCGAGGACGATGCCCGCTCAGAAAGATCGACAAGTGATGACGACGCGGACGAGAGCGAAGAAGAAGAACTCGCATCCTCACAAAACCTGAAGCGGCCACAACCAAAGCGGACGCCGTCTAGTCAACCCTCGCTCTACTACGACGAGGATCAACTGATCTACCTGCTCACAAACCTCGCCACGAGCTCCACCAAGCGAATAGCAAAGTCGTCAAGGAAAGTCCAGCATTCTGTGTTTCGCGATATTCTAGAGACCGTCAAAACCGCCATCGGATCGAGCGAAGAGGAGGACGAAGACAATATGGGCTACGAAGATCCCACTTCGTCAGGCTCAAAACCAAACATCAACCGAACACTGAAATTCGAAGGACTGACGCTATCGATCGAATCTTGGGCAGCCTACGTCCGCCTGTGTCATGTCAAACATATCCTATCAATCGGTCTTCCCGTGCATTACACCCACAACCGCGTCATCCGCCTCGCACTCGACCCACAAGGTTCCTCGACCTACGAAAAGATCTACTTTGAGCGCTCGAAAACCGTGCCGTCCGGGAACGAGGACCTCGAAGGCGAGCAAGAGTTCGACATTGACCCGTCTGAGAAATCAAGAGCGCATCAGTTCAACGCTGCCAACCGGCGCGCAAGAGATACGAGCATTAAAAAGGCGCGGGATAATAGAGAACGGCAGAGGTTGGAGAGTGAGCTGAATGAAATGACGCCGGGGCACTCACTTGAGGGTGAAATCTAGTATTCTCACCGGTAGGTTTTTGATATGATTCGATTTCTGTGTCTTAATCTAATACTTGAATCATTTGGTCGCAAAGAATAAGGTCGAGGCCGCATTATTGCCACCCTGTAATTTTGTGTTTGCCTAACAGTCGCAAAATATAAACACTAATCAAATTATCATTACTGTTCAAACTGTAATAAATACTTTTTGCTTAAAAAAGCTCCAAGAAACGCCAACGTAGCTTATTATGACACACGCACATGAGAAATACACAATACAAGACAAACCACCACACAAAAGCTCACGCGCTCTTCTCCGCACTCGCATCAGCATTTTTCCGCCATCCAAAAGACTTGCCCAACCTCTCATACTTTGTCCGATCCTTATCCGACACACTCGGCGTCACATTCTGAAACGCAGTCTCGAAATCGTCCATGGTGACAATAATCTTAGTCTCCTCCGCCGCGCCGCCGACAGCGTCGTCGATATTCCCTTTTTCGTCCTGTAACTGAAACACCGCTTTCCGCAGCGCGCAAACCGCAGACTCACGAACCAACGCAGCGATATCTGCGCCGCTGAAATTCCGGCACCGCTCGTCCTGCGCCAGCGCGTCGAAATCGACATTGTCGTCGATCGGCGTCTTCTTCGCAACAGTCTTGAAGATCTCGGCGCGCTCTCTCGCGTTCGGAAGCTCGACAAATAAAGGCTTGTCCAGACGGCCGGGGCGGAGCATCGCCGGATCAATCATGTCTGGACGATTGGTGGCTGCGATGACGTAGATGCCTTTCCGGTCGTTTACGCCGTCGAGCTCGGTCAGTAGTGTGTTAACCATCCGAGAGGTAGACTCCCGCGAGTCGTCACGAACGGGGACAAGAGCGTCGATCTCGTCAAAGAAGATGACGCAAGGAGTAGACGCTCGGGCTCTCATGAACACTTGTCGAAGCGACTTTTCAGATTCTCCGACCCACTTGTTCAGCAGCTCAGGTCCGCGGACTGAGATGAAATTCGCTCGGCTCTCGTTAGCCACCGCCTTTGCCAGAAGCGTCTTACCGCAGCCCGGTGGACCCCACAGCAAAACTCCCGAGGGAGCAGTGATACCAACCTGGGCATACAGCTCCGGCCGGCGAATAGGCTGCACGATGGCCATCTGCAGCTCGACTCTGATGCGCGCCAGAGCACCGATGTCGTCCCATGTGACGCCGGGGATGGTCGCGAACCCTTCACGCTTGCTCGACGGCTGCACGGTCGGCATGGCGGTCATGAAATCTTCAATCGTGATTGAGAGTGGCTCTAGTTGCTCGGGAGTAAGCGGGTTCGGGAAGCGGTCCAAAAAGTGCTGGATGTCGTCGATTTCCTTGCGATCGATGATATGCTGCGCCCTTTGAGCGGCGGGAATATCGTCATCGTCATCCTCGATATTGACCACATCATCTACCTCCATCGCGTCGCTTTCACCTTCTCTGTTATCAGCACCTTCTCTAGTATCAGCAGCTCCATCCTTCTCCGCCTTCTCCACCCCGCCATTCTCAGCAGCAGCCGCGTCCTCGATCGGCTTAATCACATTGAATATCCGCTTGATAGCAGCAATACCGGCAGCAGTAGTCAACGCATTCAAATCCGCGCCGACAAACCCCGAGGTCTGCTTCGCCAATGCTTTAAAATCAAATTCTCCAGAAAGTCTGAGTTTGCCACACAAAATCCTAAGAATGCTCTCGCGGGAGAGCTCGTCGGGAACAGTCATCTGAATCTCCCGATCAAATCTACCCGCGCGCCGGAGCGCGGGATCAAGCGAGTCCGGGAGATTAGTGGCGCCAATCACAATCACGACCTTCCCATCCGTCTTTTCGAGCGAGAGATCGTCCATACACGTCAACAGCTGGGCAACGATACGTCTCTCCATCTCGCGCTGCGCGCTTTCGCGCTTGGGCGTGATCGCGTCGATCTCGTCCAGGAAGATGATGCAGGGCGCGATCGCGCGGGCTTCTTCGAATATCTCGCGGACTTTTTTCTCGGACTCGCCTGACATTCCGGAAACGACTGATGGTGCTGAAAGGGAGATGAAGGGGATGTTGAGGTCCTGTGGCATTGTTAGCGGACGAGATCACAGATGGAGATATAAAGTGGTTTACTTACAGCTGCGATAGCATTCGCCAGCATAGTTTTACCGCATCCAGGTGGTCCATGTAACAAGACACCCCTAGTAATCAAGTCAGTCAGACAGTACGATCTCACAACTCACAAGAAGTAAACTCACCGGGCAGGCTGCACGCCTGTATGGCGATAGATCTCTGGATGTTCGATAGGCAAGCAGACGAGCTCTTTCATATCCCGAATAACATGATCCATGCCACCGATATCCGACAGCTTGACATGAGTCGGCGGCGACCGGTCTTCTTTCGACACCGTCGACCCGCCTTTTTTCTTCTTGGGCGCGGCAGTAGTCTCGGCGGGTTGCGCTCGGTCGCGTTTTTTCGAACCAGCTTGGGATGAGGTCGGTGGTTTGGTGTCTGTTGGAGCTGCTGGGGTTGCTGGAGATGCAGTGTCGACAGTGTCGTCTGGAATCTCGACTGGTATGATCGGACGGGTGTTGGTTTCTGTGTTCCATAAGCCGACGATTCCTTTGTTTAGAGCGTTCATATCCTATACACCCACTAGTCAGTGCCTTGACCCAGACCCAGAGATGGCCGCATCTGTTGATACTATACCTTAACCATCATCATTTTAGACTCATCCATGTCGCTGAAATCACCATCCAAAGCACCCTCCTCCTCATCCAGATCACCCCGTTCGCTCTCCTCCTCAACCAACATCTCAACCACACTCTCAACACTCTTCTCCACCAACGCCCTCTTCAACCTCCTCAGTCCCGCGTCACAATCCTGCACATACTGCACCAGCACGGACGGCAGCACCCGCTTAATCGAAACAGGCTTCTCGCCATCTTCGGCCTTCGCGGCAAGATACCCCTCCACCAGATTTTTCACACGCTTGTCGATGGCCGCCGACGTGAGAAGTGGACCGCCCGCGGCCTGAGCGACGCCCAACCCGTTCAAGTTCCGAATTTTGCGAGCCATAGCGCTCTATTCAGACTCCCCTGTTATTATGATACTAAATTCTGTAAAACCCGGAAAGATCTCTGCCTGAATCTGCAGGGAACCTGGCTGATTTTTATTTTTTGTTTTATTTTTTTATTTGGTGTCGAAACTCCCAATTGAACCTTTGAACTTTATCCGGCGTCGATGAGCTCGTGCGTCTTGCTTCCGCTTTCGAGCCTATCTTTAATCCTCTCGCCCACCGCTATCCTCTACTCATTCATAGTTATACACAGTCACTCAGCAGCGAAGAGAGAGGAGCTGTATTCAAGATCAGGGACACCGCTGAGATTACGTTTTGGAAGAGAAGACACTAGCTGTGAATAATACCCACCCAGCCACCCAGGACATCCGTATCCCATGGGATCAGGCACATCCCGGCCCTCGCGCCGCGTCACCAAGCAAGACAATGCGATTCTCAACATGAAGTTGCAGAGAGACAGACTACAGCAGTACCAGCGACGGATACAGGTCGTGCTGGATCGGGAGCGGGACATTGCGAAGCAGTATCTCGAAAAGGGAGATAAAGAGCGTGCGCTTCTGGCGCTGCGGAAGCGAAAGTACCAGGCGCAGTTGCTGGCCAAGACTGACAGTCAGCTAGAGACATTAGAGAAGCTTGTGAGCACCACTTTTATCGTTCATTTTGGGCCTCTGCTGACGAGAATCCCAGACACAAAGCATAGAATTCGCGTTGGTCGAGAAAGACGTCTTATTCGGCCTCGAGCAAGGCAACCAGGTCCTGAAAGAGATCAATAAGGAGATGTCAATGGATAGAGTTGAGCGGCTACTAGACGAGTCTGCAGCCGGAATCGAATATCAACGGGTTAGCATTTCCTCTCATATACCTGCAAAGTCTATGACTAACCTGGTCTGCACTATCATACAGGAAATAAGCGACATGCTAGCCGATACGATCACAAACGCAGAAGAAGACGAGATCGAAGAGGAGCTGGAAGAGTTACAACGCCAGGAGGTTCGCTGTCTTTACTTCATAATCTCGCTACTTACAAGCTCTAACTATTCTTTCGATAGATTGCCAAAACAATCCCCCAAGTTCCGACTTCAAAGATCCCAGACGCCGAACCCGCAAACGAACAGGAAGAAGAAGAGGAGGAAGAGGAAGAGGAAGAGGAGCGGGTACCTCAAAAAACCCGCAATCGCGGACAACCAATGCTCGCAGCTTAAACTCATTTGTACATTAACACGCATTTTATGTTTTGAAACAGAAGCTGCATGGACCGCAATCATTACAATATGATGCTATATTACACACAGTTACGGAGTTGTGGTTTTTGGTTTAAAAGAGTATATAATGTGGAACGCGATTGTATTGCAATTCTCAGCTGTTGTGCATATCTCAACGAAACTGTTTCCCGACATAAAAACCAAACCACTTTTTCCAAACTATACCAGAAAATTATCCAATTCCGTAATATATCTCCAAGAAAGAAGCGACTCTCGACAGATTACTGCTCATCCAACCAGTCCAAGAAATCCGGGGTAAAGTAAGTGATAATAAGCGTAGCACCCGCACGCAGACATCCATACGCAGCCTCGTACGCAATCGTCTTCAAATCAACAACCCCCTTCTCCGCCGCCGCGTGCAGCATCGCAAACTCACCCGAGACCTGGTAAGTGCAGATCGGGAGATCGCGCGCGAGCTCCTTGGCGTCGGAGATGATGTCGAGATAGAACGTCGACGGCTTGACCATAATGCCGTCCGCGCCCTCTTCGATGTCGCGAGCGATCGCGCGGCGCGCAAGGCCGCGGCCGCCAGGAGGAAGCTGGTAGCACTTGCGGTCGCCGAAGCTGGGCGCGGAGCCGGCGGCGTCGCGGAAGGGACCGTAGAGGTTTCCGCTGAACTTTGCAGAGTACGACATGAGCATGCACTTGTGGGCCAGGCCGGCGTCCAAGAGGCCCTGCTTGATGGCGAGAATGCGGCCGTCGACCATGTCGGAAGGCGCGACGCAGTGCGCGCCTGCTTTGGCGTAGTTGACGGCGATGGCAGCCAGGCGGCGGACACTTTCTTCGCGGATGATGGTGCCGTCTTCTCGGAGGATGCCGCAGTGACCGTGGCTGGTGTACTCGCACATGCAGACGTCGGTCATGATGAACAAATCCGGACAGGCAACGCGAAGGGCCTTGATAGTCAAGATTACGGGCCCGTTCGGATCATCGGCGGAGGTGGCGTACGGGTCCTTTGCGTCCTCGGCGAGAGGGACGCCGAAGAGGATGACGGCCTTCAAGCCCTTTGCGACGAGCGACTCGACGTACGGAACAACTTTCTTGACGCCCCATCTAAAAAATTTAGAATGTCAGTGAGCTAGTTGAGAGAGAGAGAGAGTAGATATAAAAGTCTTGTACGCACCGTTTTTGGCCGGGAAGAGAGTCAATCGGAGTCTCCTCATCCTCGTTATCGGTGATAAACAACGGATAGATCAACGAAGACTAAACAGTCAGCAAACAGCACCAGTGATTAGTCCGCCGTATCTCAATCAAATTGCAAACAAGATAAAGGCGAAAGAAGGCGTTAAAAGGAATGCGATACCTTTGTAAGCTGACGCTCGTTCTGCCATTGCCGCAGCAGAGGATGATGATATCCGCCCGACAGAATCGACGAGATCTGCGTAGGCTGTGCGTCGGTGTACGTCGCGACGTGCTTCTTTGTTCCGTTCGTGGCCATTGCTGCTGTAGACGACTGGTTTGCGGACTATTGAACAGACAACAAGACTCGGGACAGCAGCTAAGAAGGTCGAGAAGCGAGTCGGTTTGAGATTTTCTTTAGAGTTTAATGAGCCGCACGGGGTTTGATGACCTTAGAAACGGATCAGAATCGCGGTCGAGGACCTGATTTTGTTTGAAGAAGAGCGAGTTTTGATCTTTTGTAAGTAGAGAAAGGATGTCGGAGCATACACACAGTCACAGTCATCACGGAGACGGCGGAGGACACGGACACGGCCATTCGCATTCCCACAGTCCGCCGCCAGAAGACACGTTCGACTCTCAGTCCTTGTACAAGCACATCAACATCGACCAGGTGACTACAATGAACGAAAGCGAGCCCGATGCTGGGAAGGGCGTGATTAAGCCCTGGAGCGAGAGATATGACACGACAAAGGTATTTTGAAGAAAGAAAGAGCGCGTTGCTGGAAGTTGGTCGGGTATTAACTAGCCTCGAGATCCTGGAAAGCGACGCCGATGAGCAACTGATCATGTTCATTCCGTAAGATCCCTGGTCTCCTCTTATAAAGAATCACAGCTAATATAAGAACACACAGATTCACAGGAATGGTAAAGCTCTACTCCCTCCTCCTCCGCACAGCACCCACCTCCTCCGCCCCGCGCACCCTCAAACTCTTCAAGAACCGCACCGACGTCGACTTTTCGATCGCAGAAGACCTCAAAGCCGACGAGCAGCTCGAGCACAACAACTCGATCGCCGATATCGTTGAGTACCCGCTCAAGCGCGCGATCTTCTCAAACGTGAAAAGTCTCACGCTGTTCGTGCAGGATAACTACGGTGACGACGTCTCGATGATCTCGTATATCGGACTGCGCGGGGAATGGAAAGAGGTAAGCTCTGTTTTCTATATACTACTTCCCTTCTGTATCTGACTAGTGTATAGCTTTCGAAGGACCCGGTGATTACGATATACGAGGCTGCGGCCAATCCAGCAGACCACAAGAATCTCGTCGGAGCAGAGAATTTCATGTCCGAGTATAGCGGCGGTGCTTAAATCTTGATCCCTGCTCTACCGAGAAATATCTAACTGTATGCAACTTACAGACAACATATTGATAAGCAATTGTATTATTCTAGGAAACAAAAAGACAAACATGTATACCAAACAAACCATGTTCTATAAACACTCATCTGACTGCCTTTTATATAGTCCCCACACACTATCCAAATGTTCCAAATATGATCCAAAACCAACCCTCAAATCCCAAACCAATCGTAAATCTCCTTCCCCCACAGATTTCTAAACTCTCGACTCAACCCCGCCGCGAGAATAGCTACGCATCTCAATCGACTCCTCAGGACTAGGACTCCTCGGCCCCTCCGAGATAGCGCCAGACCCAACTTTCGAGTACACGGCTTCCGAGCTGCGCTTGCTGACCGCGACCCACACCGCCGAGCCCAGAATGATGCCACTGCCCGCGATCTCCATCCAATCCGGCGTATCGTTCCACACCAACTTTTCAAACAGGAAAGCGTAAAACATCTGCAGATACAGCATGTTCCCCGCCCGCCCGGCTTTCTCGCGCTGTAAACCCGCCGTGAGCAGGAACTGGTACAAGAATCCACACACACCAATGCTCAGGAGAAGAACCCACTGCAGAATCGTGCTCGGAAAAACAAAGCCTATACTAGGCGTTGCAATGAGCGCAATGCAGGAGATGATTGTGCACCAAATTGCAAAATAATTGACGGAAATAAGCGGATGTGCACGCTTGCCTATGCTGCGGATCACGGTGAACGCGCCCGCGGCGCCAAACACTCCAACCATGGCCACACCGACCGCGCCCCATCGCTGCGCGGAGGTGACTGTGTGTCCACCGGTCGATGACGGAGGCGGCGTGATGCCCGGCTGCGCGATCAGAATCACACCGGCGAAGGAGATGAGGCCCGCAATGAATTCAATGCGACCAAAGGCTTCGTGGAGGAAGATCGAGCAGGCAAAGCCCGCGACGGTGGGGGAGAGGAAACTGATGACGGTTGCGTCGGACAGAGAGAGGTAGGTGAGCGAGTAGTACATTCCAAACAGACCGAAGAAGCCGGTGAAGCCGCGAAGGGCGAGCAGGCCTCGGATTCCTTTGGGACCCAGCGGAGCATCGGGAACCTATCCACAGTTAGACTATGCGCAGAATATCACAACAAAGTAGTGCTCACCTTTCTATACCACATGTAACCAGTACACGCAATCATCGTAATCAGCATCCGAGTGAAGACAATCTGCAGCGCATGAAACGGCGGATTCGCAGACGTCTCCAGCAGTCTCGTAAACAGATTCATCGAGCTGCTAAACAGCTGCGCGACCGCAAACAGCAGCAACCCGATATTCGCATTAAACCACACCTTCAACGACCCCACCGCCTGCCGCCCCATCAGCACCGCGCGCGAGCCCGCAGCACCGCTGCCGGCCCTCGCCGGCTCAATCCCGCTTATCGGGAACTGAGGAGTCTCGACCGAGAAGTCGCGTGCCGCGCCGAGCACGGGCGAGTTTGCGCCCGACGATGAATCGCTGTGGACGTCGAAGTAGTCCGCGGGCCTGGTCTCGGTCCCGGGCTTGGTTGCTGCGCCTGTGAGCGGTGGTAGTGGTGCGGTCTGGCCGACGAGCTTCGAGGTCACATCTTCAAACTCGGGTGCCCCATCTGTGGAGTCTGTCTGTGCCAGCAGGCTGACTTTAGCCGGATCCGCCATTGCCGTAGTTCTCAGTTGTTACTTGAGTCTAAGAAAGAATAATAAAACCACAGAGACCTGCAGCGAAGCAAAGAACGAGAGCAGACGGTGATAAAAAGACCAAGAACCAGCAAACCACCGGAGTTTAGTCCGCCCAGCATTAAATTGATTTTCTAACTCGATTAAATTCGCTTTTTTCTTTCTTTTTTTTCTTTTTTTCTGGGCATAGGTTTAGGAATGACGTCATTCTGCGCCGCAATCACTTAATTTATGAATCTGTGCTTGGCCGAGGCAGATAAAGAAGATGGTGATGATATTGTATTTATAGGCAATTGTTGCTGAACTTGTCGACTATCGCCGGTCGATGGTCGAATGCAGCACATGCTCCCTCATAATCGCTGCCATCGCGGCAGTCGCTATCCCCAGCACAAAACACATCACAAACACCGCCCGCGACGCATCCATATACGACATGCGCACGACCGGAATCAAATACCCCGGCAGATTCCTCACCTCCTCCACGTTCTCCAGCACCCGCTTCACAATCTCCTCCGCGTCCGAGCCAAACACGCGCTCGCGAAGCGACTTGGCAAGCGTGTTTTGGAACAGACTCGTCGCGACCGCTACGCCGAGCGTCGAGCCCGTGCCGCGGAAGCCGTACTGGATCGAAGTCGTCACCGCTTGGTACTCGTGCGGAACTGCGGCAATCAGCGCGATCAACGTGACCGTCAGAAGCGAGCCGTAGGCCGCGCCCGGAAGGAACGTGTACAGCCAGACGATAGTTATCGGCGTGTCGACCGCCAGCGTGCAAATCATTCCCGTGCCAACGATATAGAGACCCGCAGAGAGCATCGCGATCTTGTAATACTTTCCCGTGGCACGCATGTATATCCCCGACCCGAACGAGCCGACCGCGACGCCGATGAAGTTCGTCACCAGACTCGACCCCGCCGTCGTCTCGGACGTGTCCTTGACCGCGACAAAGTAAAGCGGGATGAAAAACAAAAGCGAGTAGACCGACATTGTCATGAACCAGTTACAAAACGCCGCACCGAAAATCGTCGGGTCCTTCAGCAACTGCACAGGGATAATCGGCTCCTTTGCAATGTAGAGCTCGATATAGACCCAAAACGCCATAATGACAAGCGACAGCGGCAGCGAAATAAGCACCAGCGGGTGCGACCACGGCACCTGGTTCCCGCCAATCGACACGGCAAACAAAAACACCAAAAGCGAGGCCACCAACGTCGCCGCGCCCGCGAAATCCACACGGCCCAGAAGTCGATGCTCGCGCGCAGTCTCGGTCTCCTCGTCATCGAGAATCGCATCGTCGTCGTCAGAATCGTACTCCCGCGCCTTGGGCGGCAAAACAAGCAGGAATTGGATCGCAAGCGTAGACAACACAATCAGCGGCAGCTGCAGCAAAAACGCCCATCGCCAGCCCAGATGCGCAGTCACGTACCCGCCAAAGATGCCGCCGAGAGCGGCGCCGGAGCCAAACATGATGTTTCCAAAGCCTTGCAGCACACCCCGCTTCCGCAGCGGGACAAGATCTGAGAGTGTGATTGTCGAGAGTGCGGTGAGGCCACCACCGCCGATGCCTGCTACTACTCGGGCAAAGACAAGAAACCATAGGTTTGTGGCTACTCCGCATCCCAAGCATCCAACACCAAAACAGATCTACATAGCAGTCAGTCAGTCAATCTTCCTATAAGAAGCATAAAAAAGGTATCGAGAAGGAACTCACATTACTGAATAGGAGACCCGGTCTCCGTCCGAAAATATCAGTCAACTTTCCATACAGAGGTTGAAAGGCCGCGTTCGCAATAAGATACGCAGTCGCGATCCACGACACGTTCTTAAACCCATCAAACTCCGACGCAATATGAGCGAGCAAAGTCGCGACCACCGTGCCGTCCAAGGCCGCCAAAAAGACACCAATATAGAGCGACAGAAAGACGAGCGCGAGCTTCAAGTTCGACAGCTCGCCCGATCCATACGCGCCACTACCGCCCGAGGGCGCGATTCCCCGGGTAGACGAGGTCAGCGAGGCCGTGAAAGAGGATGTTCGGGAAGACAGGCCGCTGACGAACGGATTTGGCAGCGTCGCGCGGGTGTTGGACGGCAGCAAGGGCTCGGTTATGTCCTCGATGTCGCTGTCGATGATGATGGCCTCGTGGGCGACCACCTCCGGCGGCAGTTGGCTCGTCCGGGTCGTCGGAGATGTGCTCGGTGCGACCGACATGGTGTGTGTGTATATCTCTATTTTGCAGCAGCAGGAAGCTGCGTATATGCTGGTGATGCTGATGATGCTATTGCGCTCTTTGGACGCTCATATCGAATCCGGGCATCTGCGTGCACAAGACTGGGTCACAGATATCTGTGATTTGTGATTACGATCACAGAGCACTGACTACATGATTATCAGATCAATCTCCGTATCTCCACAATGTGCAGGAGAGCAGAGACAATTGAGTGCTGTGATTGTGTTCTGGCTGCGCGGAAAGTGACGGTAGAATTTCGTAGGAAGAGAGAGTCAGAGTGGAGATGGTGCTGAGGCAATGGTGTGCAGACCTAGAGAGCGAAAGGGCACTTGGTGTTCACACAATTGAAGTGCTGTAGAGTATACTGTAACAATTGTATTCAATATAACAAAGAGACTCTATAGCCTCTCCTTTCTTTCATTTTATAAGTCATGACCAAAAACACCAAACACTAAACGAACGACAAACGAGTGAACCAAAATCGAGCAAAACGACGGGATACAAGACAAAAACAAAAGCACAAAGTCAATGATAAACCAAAAGTAAAACGAGATGAGGAGGGATATTTAGTAGTTGCAAGTCAAAATAAACGAAGGAGCGGTGCGGAGAGTATCAATGCGATAAGACGGCGACGAGAGGAAGAGAGATGCGGTGAGCTGTGCGCTCGCTCGTGCTCGCTGATACTGATTCAGAACTTTTGATAAGACGTGTACTTGTGTTCAAACACAAGAATCCTTCTCGACCAACACTTTCTCGTTCTTTGCCGTAACTCTGGCGTGAAGAAACTTGATATCTTCACAGCAAAGCACTTGCCGCGTTTTCCGGAGCCGCGAACGAACACCGCCCTCCAGCAGCACCAATTGATCGAGCACCCTCACTCCCACCCCCGGCATCCACGACCTCAATCCTCATCGCCAACGACATGAGCGCAAAGACAAGACACGCCAGACTGAGCCAGTGCTGCCGTCGCCGATCGTCGCGGTCGGTCTTGCCCGCGCCGCGATAAAGCTGGCCCGCGACCGTGACGACGATCACGTCGTAGAACAGCGAGACAAAGCAGCCCATGATCCTTTGCTTCTGCTGTGTTTCCTCCTCTTTCTTCTATCGTGAATTGTATCCAAATCCAAGCGCTAATTGAGCATCGACAAGACCGCAGACGAACAGAAAGCAGCGGCCGAGGCGGGGCAGCGGCGAGGACCCGCGGGCTATTTATTTAATTGACGTGCGGCTCAGCTGCCACCTCGTCGAGCCTTTTTGGGCCTCGAAACCAAACCGACCAGAAGACCAGAGATCAGCGGTCGATCTTTGTTTTTGTTGTTTGAATGTTGTTTAGTTATTAAGAAATGAATCAATTGCAACCAAACCCAATGCACCTTTGACCGTGTCTTGTTACTCCCTCTGCTTCTCCATGCCGTTGTCGCTGCCATCAGCGTCGTCGCCCCTACCAACATCGAGCTCCACCACCTGCTCCTCCTTCCTCTCCTCCTCCTCCTTCGCCCTTAACTTGTAATACCTCTCCCGTCTCCAATCCCCTCCCTTGACATACTCCCACAGCAGTATCGGAATCGCCAGCAAGTCCATCCCCGCAACAATCATAAACGTCCACCCCATCCCAATCTTCCCCACCACGATATCCACAAGCGCAGACCCCGCCGCGCCCATCAGACACCGCACAAGGTTATTCGACGCCGTCACAGACGCCGACTCCTGCGGATACAGATCCACCAGCAACACCTGCACGCACGTGAAAAACCCCACGATCGAAAGCCCGTTGAAAAACAGCAGCGTCAGCGGCGCGGCGTATGAAATGCTCTTCCGAAACGTCCACCCGTACACCACCGTCAACGCAGCCGACGTCAGAATCATCGGGAACGCAATCCGTAGCCGCGCTCTTTCGATTGGAAAGTCGGGGTTCTGCCGAACACTGCGCCCGCCGTCGGCGCCGTAGCCTGCTTTTGCCGCAAACCGCTTGAATTCCTGATCTAGCAGGCGCCCGCTCGCTATCGATCCAATCGAGCTGCCGACGCCGTACGGCAGAAAACACAGGCCGATCTTCAAACTGCTCAAGCCGTAGATTGTCTTTAGCTGCGACGAGAACGCGACGGTGATGCAGTAGTAGCCCGTATACACCAGTGCGTGTCCGAGCAGCACCACCGCGATATCCTTCTCCATAATAATAATCAAGCACCGCAGCGGGTTTCCCATCCTTTTCTTCCGTTTACCCTTCTGCGCAATCTCACCGCATTCCTCCTGCTGCTGATGCTGCTGCTGCTGCTGTTGCTGTTTCTTCTGCTTCCTGCGCGACAGCTTCTGCAGCAAAGACTGATTCCACCCGGTCGCAGGGATACTCCCGTTCCCCACAATCATCCGACCCGTCTCCGGCAACCACAAAAACAACACCGACACCAAGACCGCACCGGCGGCAAACAAAAACCAAAACTGCGCTTTCCACGAATCATTCGATTCCGACAACAAGCCTCCCAGCACAGGCGCAATCGCAGGCGCAACCATTACGCCCCCGGAAAAGATACCCATGTACGACCCCCGCTCGGAAGGGACCACGATGTCGCCGATCGTGCCTGCGCCAATGGCGACAGTCGCAGACGAGCCCGTGGACTGGATCATCCGCAGCACGAGTAAGCCCGCGTAAGACCCTTGCAGGGCTAGCCCGAGATTCGCAGCGACAAACACGAGGAAAGTGAGGATGTACACTGGTCGCCGACCGAGCGCGTCAGCGAGCGATCCCCAGAATGAAGGCGCGAGACCTTGGAAAATCATATATGTAGTCACGGTCAGATTGATTCTCTCGACAGACACATGCAGATCGTTTGCTATCGTCGTGATGGACGGGAAATATATACTCGTCGCCAGCGGCGAAAAGAGCGCTGAGCAAGTGGCCGTGGCGCAGAGTGCTCGTTTCATCGACTTTGAAAAGACAGAGTACGGCACGGCAGAGGACGCTGTCGTCGCTGTGGGCACCACCGGTGGGGTTTCGAGATCGTGCGTCTGGTTTGCTGGTTCGTAGTCGGTCGGTGTCGCGACGCTACTCTGCTCAGTCTCCTGTTCCTCTTTACTAGAGATATCGTGACTCTGGAACTCTTCTTGACTCTGTCTGTCTTTTTCGTTTCTGCCCGACGAGTCTGTGGGGTCTGAAGACGCTTGTTGCGTCGGAAATAGTTCCGTCGCAGACTTCTCACGCGCCATTTCGTCGCTATCGCACCTCTTCCAGCCTTTCAACTAGCTTTCAAAACAACTAAGCAGCAGGTTCACACTACCGCAGTGCACACATCGATGTAAGCAACTCCAAGAAGGAGAAGAAGGAGAAGCGGTTGTTGGTTGAGTCAGAACGCGGACGGTATATGACCGAGATGACGGAGGTAAGGAACAAACTGAAAGCTTAAGTTCCCCTGTCGATTTAGTGCGGTGCAAATATTAGACACCTTCTCTTCTTGGAAATAGCACTGTTATCTATAATTGAATCATATAACAACAGTAGAATAAGCCAATCTGTTTTGTAGTTGTGTGTATCCACCGGACAGAGAACTCGAACAATCCGGACCTCTTCCTTACTACTTTGTCTACTTGGAGTAAATGCACCATCAAGTCAGATTAACACACTATCCTACTTTACACCGCCTAAAGTCTCCGTCCCACACTTTATAACACGTACGGTACAAGAGAGCATAGAAAAACACGAAAATGACAAGGTGAAATAGAAATGAAGAGAAACAAACGACAGATGAGAATCAAACAACATGCAATCAATACACTATCTACCATCATCATCCTCCTCGTACCCAGGCCAACGGAACTGCTTCGCAATATCAAAGTACATATCCATAACCTCCGCCACCGAACTGCTATAATCAGATCCCTGGATCATATTCCGCAGCTTCTGCGACCCTTCCTCCAGCACCAGCCCCTGCATCGCCCGCACCAATTGCGGCGAAAACTCCTTGAACCAGCGGTGATTGTACGATGTCAGCTTGATCGCCGTGTGCAGCACCGTCACAAGCTCCTTCTTGGCAATGTAGATCTCTAGCAATCCCTTGAGCGCGTTCGCCGAAAACCGGATCTCCAGCGCAGAGTTGTACGCCTCCGCGGCTTCCTCCGTGTGCTTCATCCGCACCGCCAGCGCACCGAGAATCTCCCACTCCCGTAAACTCTTCTTGTACGGAAGCTGCTGGGCTCTATAATGCGCCGACTCGGCCCGCCACAAGGTATACACCCGCATGTCCTCGTACATCACCATAAACAGATTATCAAGCCATCGCTCGCACAGTCTCTTGCTTCGGAAAGTAGTGCTGCTTGTCGCCTCATCCTCACCCGTCGCGTGATGCCCGTCCTCGCTTCCCTTGACAATAACCGCGTCGACGCTGTTCTCAGGCTTCACGAGATTCGCCAACGCAGCTTTTTCTTCCTCGCCCGCTCCCTCGGGAATAGACGTCGTCGACTCTCTTCCATTCACCGCAACATTTGACGCGTCGCTGTCCGCGCGGCTGTGGTTGTTTGTCTTTTGCACACTCGACGTCTCCGTCTTGAGACTGCGGTACTCTTCTTCCATAATAAACACCTTCGAGCGGTACTTGAGCAGCATATCCCATCCAATCTCATGAACAATCTCCACCAGCAACTCGTACGCCTGCGCAAACGTTCCGCGCAGAGACGACGCAGGAAGACGTGCAAGCGCAGGATCGACAGTCGTCGTCTCGCCTTCTCCGGCAACCGCGTCGTCAATGATGTCCTGAATGATTCCTTCGGGAGGAATAGGAAGGTGGACCCGCTGGGCCACTGGCATTCTATGAAGGTCAACGTTCTGATACGGAAACATCGGGCAGGAGTTCAGAGTGAGCAGCGCCTATGCAAGGAAAGTGATTAGTAAGAAAGCAAATGAACCTCATATTTTCTGATTGTGCAACATACCGACTGGAAATCCTGCTGCTCGATGTAGACCTTCACCAATCGCGCCCAAGGTGCAAACTCAGAGGGCGCAGAGTCGACAGCACGCTTAGCGGTCGCAACAGCAAAATCAAGCCGTCCTTTCGACATGCAAAACCTAGTCTGAAGGTCCAACAGATTAGGATCCCGAAGAGACTCCTCCACGCTGCTATGCAAAAGCTGTACCGCTTTGACTTCCTCGTCCATGTCGAGGTAGCAGCGAGCCAGAAGGGCCGCGAAATCAGAGTCCTTTTCTCTTAGTTTTTCGAGGAGATTGACGCCTTTGTCGTAGCTCTTTGTCACCTCGAGATACTTGAAGAAGGTCGCGGTCAGGTTGTTTGAGATCAGGGTGGGCACCTGGACTTCGAGCTCTGAGCCAAATTGCCAGCCTATGGGATATCAAGTAAGAATACTGATCGCTCGTAAGAATGACAGCCGACAGAATAGATTACCTCTAGAGAACATTTTGGCAGCCGCATCCAAGAATTTATCCTCGGCTTCACGGTTGGGAATCGGATTGAACCGTCGGTAGGCAGTGATATTATAATCATCATCATCCGCAAAGAGGAACGCACGAATGATTGAGCAAACATAAGTCTCCTGCATCAGCTGTTCTGTGACCGGGTGCCTGGACAGCTAGATTAGATCAACGCACAACGACTTTCTTCTTTCAGATGGTAGCATACTTTTCTCCCCGCTCGTCAATGACAAAGGCCTCCACGGAACCTGGGATGTGAACACGGACACGAAGGTCTACTCTAGATAGTGAATTGTAGCAGCTGCATTATCTGTTAGCGAGGCCATTCACCCTTTGTGACACCGATCGCAGCAATAACACACCAGTAAACACCAGTCTGGATGTTCCAGTGCTGGACTTTTCCAAACCAAATCTGTCCCTCGCCCGGGGCGTATGTGAGAGTGTTCATGTACGCAGCAACGGATGCCGAGGATGGGTCGACGCCGGTGACATAATGATAGGTTCCGGCCTAGAGCGCAATTGTAATTAGCAATCATAATCGCGTCTTGATACCTTCTTCAGACAGATACAAAACCAACCTCTTTCACTCCAGTGCGCGCGTGTACTTTGGTGAGATGAACAAGATCGGGTGGACCGAGGGAGTGGAACGAGGCCAATGCCTGAGTACGCGCATTCACGGCCTCACCGATCTCAATCTCTTGAATCCTAGCAATCGCAAACAACAGTTAGCATCCAGCAGCAATCGCGGTCTATCAATGACTGCGCGCAGATAGCAGCGGTCGCAGGACACTCGGTGAATCAAGAGAGCTGTTCCGGAAGCTCTCTCTGTACAGCCCCAGTGCCCCTGCTTTCACTGCCCAGCACCCGCGGATCCGGCCGAGCACCAGAGATCAAGCAACACAAAATAAAGACATACTCTGGAACAGCTGTCTGGACCATTTCCTAATTCTAGCAGGGATGCCCGGGATGTGTTGATAGAAAGGAGATGCAAAGTGCGCGAGTACCGTGGCTTTCTCCTGATCTCTGGGTGTTGCTTCGAGGGGCAGTTGCGGCTTACTGTGAGTCTGAGGGGTTGGTGTTTAGATATTCTTGGACATCATCACACTGCGGCAGCAGTGCGTTTGCAGGTCTAAAATACAGTCTGATAAGACCGCAGAGCTCTGTTATCTGCAACTATTGCAGAAATATAGAAGAAAGCACATGGCAGAGGGTATGATAGTGATGTGAAGCAAATACATATTCTGGATCTAATAATCCAGCCCTCACAATACTAAACCGCCCGACATCGCGACCCAGAACTGCACAGCCACGCGAACCGAGTCTGAGCGGCGGCAGAGCACGTTGGGAGTTGCGCGCTCGCTGATACGCGGCGGCAAAAAAAATTCCCAACTTCCCCAAACACCGTCTTTTATCGTCACTCTGCTGCTCTCCTTCTCGCCATTAATGGCATTCGCTCTGTAGTATTCTTCTTCACTGGTACTTGCTGCTGGGGGCTTTTGCTTTCTGCCGCTTCAAATCATCTTTTTGCGCGGCTTTTCACTCAAGGTACACCTCTCCCCGACCCACATCCCCTTGCTGGCCACCGCTGCTAACTTACTCCCTCTCTCCGCAGTACTTCTCCTTCACAACCAATACATCCCAGCAGAGATGGCGGCCGTGTTTGCCTTTGACGAGTCCGAAATGGACATGGACTTTGGCCGCTCGCGTCGGCGCTCCGTCTCTTCCGTCAACTCCCGTGAGGATATCTGGGCCCCATCGCCTCTAATGGACGATCAGCCATTTGCGGCTTCGGAGCACCTGGCAGGGAGTTATAACGGAAGCAACAGTATTCCCATCATTGCAGAGGTCGACGAAGCGGTCTCCGAAATCACAGACGGGGTGGCAAAGATGGGCAGCTACCTCAAAAACCAACAGTTCATGCCCGACGACTCTCTCGGTACCTCCTACCAGGTCGACATCTCGTCAGACTATATCGACAGCAACCTCGCAGGTATAGCCGACGGCATCAAAAGAAAAATGACGACCTCGGATTTCGAATACATCAAAGTCCTCGGCAAAGGCGCGTACGGCAAGGTCCTTCTTGTACGCGAAAAGGCCACCGGCCGTCTGTACGCGCAAAAGCAGCTGAAGAAAGCGTCGATGATGGTTCGCAAGAAGCTGGTCGAGCAGACAAAGACCGAGCGCGCTATTCTAGAGTCTGTGCGTCATCCCTACATCGTCAAGCTCTTCTACGCCTTGCAGGATCAGCACCGCCTCTACCTGTTTCTGGAGTACGCCCAAGGTGGCGAGCTGTTTTCCCACCTTGCTTCCGAAAAGATGCTTTCCGAGCCCGTTGTCTCATTCTACGCTGCCGAATTAGTCCTTGCTTTGACCCATCTCCACACAGTCGTCGGCGTCGTCTATCGCGATCTGAAGCCGGAGAACTGCCTGCTCGACTCACAAGGGCATTTGGTTCTGACTGATTTCGGCCTCAGCAAAGTATCCAGCGACGGTGGTGAATGCAAGACTTTCCTAGGCACACCAGAGTATATGGCACCTGAGATCCTGCTCGGCAAGCCGTATGATTTCGCTGTCGACTGGTGGTCACTCGGGGCCCTTTGCTATGATCTCCTAACCGGCACTCCCCCATTCACCGGCAACAACTACAAGCGCATTGTCGAGAAGATCCAAAAGACAAAGCTAGTCCTGCCATACTACATCACCGCCGAAGCCAAAGACTTCCTCACCCGTCTCCTACGCAAGGAACCCAAGAAACGTCTGGGCGGCAATATCCCCGACGACCTCAGCACGATCCGCAAGCACCGCTTCTTCCGCAGAATCGACTGGGCAAAGCTCGAACGCCGTGATCCGTCGGTGGTGCCCCCCATTGTCCCCATCATCACCAATCCGATCTTGGCAGAGAATTTCTCGGACGAGTTCACGTCCATGGCACTCAGTCCTCCTGGATCGGGGTTGGAAATTCCCGGCGCTGACCAGAACGGGTCGTATTCCAAGGACGACACATTCGCGAACTTTACATTCACAGCCAGTAACAGCTTCATCGAAAACGCGATGAACAACGTCGGCGGGTACTAAAACACTCATCAAAAAGGAAGATAATTCTCGGATTGGATTTGGTGCGGTCATAGTTTGTTAGTCGTTGATCTTTTCACTATGTATTTAGCTAGGGTTTACATATTTCGGGTGATAGACTTATAGGAGTATTGGGCTGTTTTTATCTTGTTTCTTGTTATCGCATATATGGCTATAAGCCTACTTTTCATTTCAATATTTAGATTTTTTCTTATTTTTATTCACATGAGTCAACCTGACTAAATCGGTAAATGCAAATAATACCCAGATGACAAAAACAACCAAACGACCCCGCGCAAAACAGATCCGCAGTAACCAAACAAAACAACAAAGTAAAAAAAATGAATCTCCTGGATAAAACTGCTAAAACCAAAGCCGTAGAATAAAATGAAACCAACGCCCGGTTTGTTCAAAGTCCCTGCCACTGTCTCTTGGTGTTCAAGCTAAATCACTTGTTGCGGAGCTCATGGAAGCGGGAACTTGAGCTTCAGAGTCTCATCTGAAGTAAAACAAAACATTAGCCAGATCCTGACGACTAACACCAAACATACAAAAAGACTCACTCTGATGCCTCACGGCGTAAAAGAACCCAGCAATCATCTCGACCTCGCGCGCAGGCTGCGCGATAAAATGCCGCTTGACCGCACCGGCGAGCTCTTCTTTCGTTATCCGGTTCCGGTGCTTGTACGAATACGTCCGTTGCCCGACCTTACCGTTCAGCAGCATGCCCAGGTTCGAGATCGAGGACTTGTCGGGCATGCTGTATGATGCGCGGTACTTGCGCAGCGCATCGTCGGGGAAGGTGTCGAAGTTCACCTAAGCAGACAAAGACTGCGTCAACAAGAGTTCCTTGCCCATCACACACGTTCTTTCCGACCGAGAATCATAATTATCAAAGCAGAGAAAGACTTACAGGATCGATAGGCACTCCGGCTTCGTCGACCCCGGCAGCGTTGGCAGTCGCGGCACCGGCGTTGGCAGCCGCGATCGCAGCAGCGGTGCCGGTAGCAGCAGCTCCTCGCTTGCCGCTGGCCGCGCCGGCAGCGTGCGATACTCGCGAAGAGGCGTGGTGAGAAGGGCCAGCCATGTTGTTTTCTCAAAAGCAGGATAGCTGAAAGACTCGCCGGGTGAAAATAGGTCGGAGAACGGGCAGAGAGGTGGTCGGGGGCAAAGAAAAGAGGATTAGAGTGGAATCAGTCGGTTTCTCTGCTCGAGAGCCGAGCAACAATCGGCGGCCTAATCGGGAACCCAAACCCGATGGGGTTGGTCGCTACTTTCTTGCCAAACGACCCGAGGATACAACCGACTGCTTGGATAGCACCTTTGTTTATAGAAGTTATGATTCTACTTGGGTAGTTTATGGAGAGGCATTGACTACGTGTGTATCATAGTTCTTGAGCTTTGAAAGATCTCACTGGTTCGTAGATTTTGGCATACCTAACATCCCCGATATCTCGGTCTGCGCGAATGATCAGCGCTCCAAATGAATGAACTTATATAAAAAAGCGTGCACAGATTGCTACTGGAGCATCAACTATATATGGTCTGTGGGATCACAACGGTAAATGTGATCTAATCAATTCATCGACCAAGACTATCTGAACATGGCTCACGACCCGGGTGCCAATTCATCGCTTCTTGCCCTTCGTGAGATACTCGGTAATACCTTTGATCCTGTAGGTTTCAAACGTTAGCAATTCATGATTCTGCGCATAGGTGTTGATAGGCCATAGCGAGAAGGACTTACTCATCAATTGTAAAATGAATCTTATTTTTGTCGAGAGCTGTTTTCACTATATCCCACAGACAAACGTCGTTATAATTAGCACACTATCATTCAATCGCAAAATATGAATCAAGATAAAATAACGTACAGGCCGCCATTGACTCGCTGATCTCCTTGTCGCGAAGCAATGAGAGAAACAACGACATACTCGGTTTCGTGTCGCCTGCTAACGCACCCTTTTTCCTGATGGTTTCCATGACGTCTGCCACACAGTTCATCACCTATGTATTCGCTCTCTTGTTAATACCGAGGAGACAAGGGCAAAAAAGCAAAGTATGGAATCGAAAAGAGAAAGTAATGAAGACATACCTCTGGGGAGGACGAGATCTTCTTCATAAAAGTGGACTTGAAAATCTCCTCATTAATCCCCGGGCCACCAGAAACAGCGTACGTCCTCTCGTGCCGAGCACCAAACGACCCTGCTGCTGTGTTGAGCCATGGTGTCCTCGAGGCCGAGACGGCGCAGAACGTTCCAGTGCTAGCTCGCAGCCGGCTTGCGCGGAGAAGAAGTTGTCTGTTAAACGACATTGTGGCTTATAATGATATACAAAAAGTAGATCCAGTCAAACAAATACTAATAAAGGCCTCGGAGTTGAAGATCAGGGAAAGACGGGCAAGAACAGTTGGATATGGGAAGTACTGGGAGTTCTGACGATGTCTGACTGCGAAGTCGGAGGCGGATTCTGGATCTACAAACCTTATTATGCGTGCCCAAACAGGAAGTTATTGGACGGACTACTTGCGACAGAATAGACGCAGTACCGCTGGATTTGTCTGAATTGTATATTGCGGTGCTTAGAATATGCAGAAGAAGTTATGTTACTTTTCACCTGCTTTTGCCTGCAAAAATGCGTGTAGAAAGATGTCTACGATTCCTACGCGGAAGCCGACAGTCAGCCGAGCACAGTAAACATCAATCATCCCAAGCCTCAGACATCCAGACCGATTCTCCCCAATTCCCCACAACCTCCCTTAGAATACACGATAGAGCACTCCACAATGCTGCTGCAGTGCTATAGAAGACGTCTTCCACAGCTGGCAGGAACTAGACTGTCAGCGCAGATGTGGGCGCAAAGCTGCTGGCTTCGCCGGAACTCATCGACTTCGGCGCCTGCTAATTCGCATCTCGAACTGCCATTGTCGGGCGTGCGAATCGTCGATCTTACGCGTGTACTTGCAGGGCCTTATGCGACTCAAATCTTAGCTGACCTGGGGTACGAAGCCAGAACAAAACGAATAAGGAGGAGTTCAGAGACGATAACTGTACTAACGCGATCTTTCGTCTAGAGCCGAAGTTATCAAAGTCGAACACGTCACCCGGGGCGACGATACCCGCACATGGGGTCCTCCGTTTGCAAAAAACCACAATAATCTTCAATCACCCGGCGAGAGTGCCTATTTTCTTGGTGTGAGTTTTCCAATTGCGGGCACTTCATCTCTATATATGTACTGACATACCCTCGTTTCAAGGTCAATCGGTATGAACCGCGTCCCACTCCCCCTTTTTGAGGCAATTTCCTTTCCCTAACTCTGTCAGTTTTTCTGACCACGGCGCAGAAACAAAAAATCTCTAGCCATTGATTTCAAAGACAAGCGAGGACAAGACACGTTACGATCGTTAATCTCAAAAAGCGACGTCGTTATCGAAAACTACCTACCTGGAACTCTGTCGCGGTATAACCTCGCGTACGATCAGCTAGAGAACGACAAGGTTATCTACGTCAGCATCACGGGATATGGCCAGACTGGGCCCTATAGAAACCGAGCAGGGTACGATGTAATGGTTGAAGCGGAAATGGGATTGATGCATATCACTGGCGAGGCCAATGGGCCGCCTGTGAAAGTGGGCGTCGCCGTTACAGGTATATATTTGCTGAATAGCACCGTGGAGCTATAGAAGCTGGTCGTCTGATATCATCTTTACAGATTTGACGACCGGTTTGTATGCAGCAAACTCGATTATGGCCGCACTACTAGGACGAGCAAAGACAGGACGTGGACAATACATCGACGTGGCCTTGTCGGACTGCCAGGTACCTACCACTCCAAATATCAAACGAATATCCTACTCAACTCGAACTAACCACCGCACAGGTTGCGACCCTCGCAAATATCGCATCATCATGCCTAATATCCGGCCAACCAGACGCCGGCCGTCAAGGAACCTCCCACCCCAGCATTTGCCCGTACCAGGCCTTCCCGACCAAAGACGGGGATATCATGATTGGAGGCGCAAACGACAAGCTCTTTGGAATCATGTGCAATCTTCTCGGAAAATCAGAGTGGATAGAGGAAGAGAGATTCGCGACGAATCCGCTCAGAGTTAAGCATCGAGAGATGCTCGTACCTATGATTATTGAGGAGACGACCAAGAAAACTACTGCAGTATGACTCTCCCCCTTCAATTTTCGCTGTAACACTTTTTACGTCCTAGAACTAATATCGCTCTCAGGAATGGCTTACGATCTTCGAAGGCAGCGGGATCGCATACGCAGCAGTCAACGACGTCCAGTCAACACTCAACCACCCGCACGTCCTGGCCAGGGACATGATCGCCACAGTCGACCACCCAGACTGCGGTCCGATCAAGATGGTGAACACGCCGGTAAAATACTCGCTCTCCAAGCCGTCGATTAGAATGGCGCCTCCTACTTTGGGACAGCACACCGACGAGATTTTGGAGAGAGAGGTGGGGCTTAGCAAGGAGGTTATTTCTGAGATGAAAGCGGATGGAATCATAGCTTGAGTCTCATTTCTTGGATACCTACCGCAATCGCAGCACTTTATCTCGATATTCAAGATATCCAGCATAACTCGGTCACTTAAATTGCCATCAGATAACCCACAAACCAGCACAGTTAAAGTTTAAATACACATAAAGTTATGCAAATACGCATAAATAAGGTTACAAGCGTCGACCGCTCAGGGGGACAAGTCCCAGGCTGTCGGCTGCGGAGCCAGACAATAAGACCCAAAGACCGACGTGAGACGATTACGATACTGGTGCGCGCAAATTGTTGACGAGGACAAGAAGAAGAATGCGTTGGATACGAGGATAGCACTGTCAAGGTATGGGTGAAGAGAACAGTTTATTTAGTGGTGGTGTGGAGCGTATTGTTGACATGTGTTGCAGATACCAACACCATATTTACCGGCATCCACGGTCGGAATAACCAATTTCCATGACTTTCATGGGCAGATACGCGTGAATCAACAGTAGCAGATCAGAACCAGGCCAGCACGATGTCGTCGGGGGCGCAGATGGGCTCTGCTGTCCCGCAGGACGTGTATCAGTCCTCGGCGCCGATACCGACAAGCGCAAACACAAGCACAAACACAAACACGAACAACGGCACTGCTCAGACTAATACCAGCTCAAACACAGCATTACAGCAGACGTACAATACCTCTGTGCAGGCTCTCGGTCAACAATCACAATCACAACCACAGCAGCAGCAGGCGCAAGTCTCCTCAAACTCTCAATTCCCGCTACTACAAACCCAAGCGAGCGCGCCAGCGGGACAACTTGGAGGTCAACAACAACATCAACAGCAACAGCAGCAGCTACCCGTATCTGAGCATGCTCCTCTTGGTTACACAGCACTAGGCCAACCCCGAAAACGCGCCGCTGCAGGCACAAAACCAAAGAAAACTGGGCCGAAGCGAAAGCAAAGGCGATCAAAGAAGAGCGTATGCTGCGTTCTCGTTTTTCTATCTGCCCTGGCTTACTGATACTAATTGTGTCTTCTAAAGGACGACGAGGACTCTGACGAGGGGTTTCTTTTTGACGGTTTGGAAACAAAATCTGGACGGAAAGTCCATAAGCCTCAGCAATTTGACCCGCTCGCAGATACAGATGGTACGTCTACTTCCTACCTCCCATTCATCTTACTCCAATCTAACCACTCTCCACCCTCCAGGCAAGAAAAAATCCCTCTTCTTCCGCCGCGACCTACAGATCTGCAAAGTGTGCCAACGAGGCCACAGTCCGGACTCGAACCTCATCGTCTTCTGCGACGGCTGCAACGATCCCTACCACCAGCTGTGCCACAGTCCGCCGATCGGACGCGAGTACATCGAGGTCGCGGAAGCGCAGTGGTTCTGTGCGAATTGTCAGGCTAAGATCGTGGTGCATGCGCCGTTGGAGACGGGTATGACCGGCGCTTCACTCACTCAGGAAGAGGTACGTGAACTCCTCCATCCTCAAAAATAACGGGCATGCTAACGATATACCCAGAAACGCGTCTACCTACTCTCTCTCCCGCCTCAGCAGCTAGTAGATCTGCTGCTTATGGTCGAGGCACGACACCCCGATATCGCAATCTACTCTCCAAACACAAAGAAGATTCTCTCCCAGCGGAAATCGAAACCTGCGCTGCCGCTGCTCACACGGCCAGGCACAGCCTCCTCGACTCCAGTCTCTGGCACGAGCACTCCTATACTCTCATCCAAGGATCCTACCAAACCCGTTGTCTTCACAAACGTCATCGACGTAAGTACACCCCCCAACCCCTCCCTTCAAATCACCCAAGCAAGCTAACCCTCCCTCCCAGGACACAACCCCCCTTCCCGGCGCCGGAACCCAAGTTCCCCAGGAAACAGACCAGGACGCACACTACATGGTCGACAACGACACCGCGCTCTACAGCCACTCGGTCTACAATCTCATGCCGAGGGTGCTGCAGACGCCTTCGTTTGCCGGCTTCGAGCAGCCGCTTCATCAGGTGCCTGTGCCGCCGCAACAGGGGCCTCCCCCAGGACAGCATTACGGCAATGACCATGGTCTTATGATGAATGGGGCGCTTCAATGAGGTCTGTGCTGGCTGGGGTCTGGGTACTGCGTCGGCATTTTTGATTGTAGTTTTATTGTATTAGTATGATTGCCTTTCTGTATTCTACAAGGTTTTGAATTCTACGACATATTCGTTTTGAACAAATTAGCGTACATTGATATAAAGAAAAACTCATCCGATCGCGAGGAACATATGAAATAAATCGACGCCAAACCCGTAACCCAACCCAGAATACATTTTTCAGACACACCAGAGCTATCCACCTTTCTCGATTCGTCATTCACTCCTCCATTTTCCCTTCCGCCGCGTCGGCATCTACAGCTGCACCACTCGCTTCCACGGCCGCGGTTTCTGCACCATTCGCCTCTGAAGCCAAAGCCTCAGGTGCAGCGTCTACAGCATCTGCCTCTGCGCCATTTACCTCCTCGCTAACCTCGGCCTTCTCAGTCGTCGTCGTCGTCGCTGCTTCGTTTGACGAATTGCCAGCCGAAGAATCAGCAGCCTCCTTTGTCTCTTTCGACGACGGTTCCTTACCCGCAGCGGATTCTTTCGAAGCAGTATTAGCTGCCGCAGCTGCTTCCAAAACCGAGACATACGGCTTTATCAGCGCGTTAGCTCGGGATATGACCTCCTTCTTCGTCACTCTAGCTGTTCGCGAGCGTCCGGTGGTAGTCGTAACCGGTCCCGTAGTCGGAGCAGGCGTACCTGGAGGCGCAGCAGCATCTGACGCCATCGTTGTAGTCAAAGTTCCAAGCGCGGAAGAGACGGCTTTGCTGTCGACTGATGTCGGGTTATGATCGGATCCCGTGGGCGTGTTGCTGGCAGTCACATAATGACCCATCGGCGAACTGCCGTCGTCGCCGGACATGTCGACGTCCACCGGCGGAGGCGTCGTCGGACCGCCGGCTTTATCAAGAAGTTCTCGCTCGAGCTCAGGGACGGAGAAATACAGCTTCAAGTAAATACTCGAGAACGCGTCGTCGAGTCCTAATCCGGCCGTGGACGCAAACCCGACATTCATCTTCCGTAATTCATACGCTTCATAGAGATAATACAGCAGTTTCGGCAGCGGCTGTATGGACTTACAGCAAGTCTCGAGTCTAGCAGACTTGCTCAGAAACTCATCCACAGAGATCGCCACGAGATTGTTCTCGAGATAGCGGTCCGGAATATCGCTCAGCTTCCGCAACACCTCCACGATATTCTTGCATGCAAACTCCCAGACCTCCGAAGGATTGATAATCACGTTCGACAGCTTCCGCAGCTTTCTGGTGATGAGATTAAGCGATTCCAGGTCTGAGTCCCTTCCTAGCAGGTCGATGTAATACTTCGTGTACTTGTACGCATAATAGAAATGACGTCCCGCTCTCTCAAATTCTGGGCGCCATATATTCATAAACGATTTTGCCGCCTTCAGAGAGTACAGACTCGCCATTTCCTCTTTGGCTCGAGTGACATCATTCAGACCTTTATCCGCTATAACAGCGATCCGATAAGTAGGACGGTGATGCCAGTGCTTCTTGTCCGCCGTCCTCAGGCGCGTAAGGCAGTCTATCAGCAGAGTGAAGAGCTGCGCGCGTTCTGTAATCGGCTCCTCAGGCTCCTTGTAGTATTGACTTTTCTTGACATACTCCAGCGCAGTAGAAATATCAATCTGCTCGCGATAAAAATACTTGGAAATAAGTGCAAGAAGTCTGTATTGCGGCTCGAAAATCGGGTCTCCGGACGGCGCTTTCTCAGGCACAAACTCCAGTGCTTTGACATAGCAATCTAAAACCTGCTTCGGCTCGGCGTCCAGCTTCCCCAGACACTTGCCTTGCATGTAATAGTTCCTCCATTCCGTGGGCTCTTGTTTTATAGCTTGCTGAAACATATTCAAACTCAGCTTCAAAGCAGCCGTGGATTTGACTTCCGAGTGAGCCGGCTTCGTATACATTCCTAAACTTCCGCTGAAATGGCGCTCGTATTCAGCAACCTGGTAGGCAGCCATTTCATTAGGAGGCCGGGTGGACGCATACAGCTCATATCCGAAATCAGTCCAGAACGTAGAGAGCACAGAATCAGGCGGAACGATCGCTTCGTTCCTCAAGAGTAAACTCAAGGCCAGAAAGTAGCATAGTAGCGCTTTTCGCTGCGTGGCCGCGATCGCAGTCTTTTGATCACCGTTCAGTTTTTCGGCGCTCCAGGTTAGATCGTCTTCGGCCTGGGCGTCGTAGGTCTGCGCTAGACCATACCACGATTCAAATCGATTGGTATCGCAGACAAGGTCGTGCTGTAATAAGATATATCAGAAATGCTCCAAAGGTCCAAAACAGGTGTGATAACTAACCTTGAAATATCGAATTGCATAGTCTAGATCCTCGGTGCGGCCTGCCATTGTCCTCTTTCGAGATTTGTATTGAGTGAGGTAAATTTGACCTTGAAGAAAATACAATCCAATCATGGCAACTAATAGCTTGATCAGTATTATAGTTACGTCTAACGAGTAATATCTGCCAACTTACCCTTTGAGTAGTCACCCTGTACCGGTATGGTAGATATCGTTTCCAGGCCTTTAAGAGATCGCTGTAGCAACAACGGGTGGATGGACTTGGCAAGATAAGTGTCGATGACGCTCTGGTTATAGTAAATGGAAGCTAAAGAGGAATGTTAGGTACAAATCAGTTAAAAAGCAAGTAAAACGAACTCACTCTGATCGCGGCGCGGCACCCCGATGACCTCGCAGCACTTATCCAAAACAGACTTTAGGTCGGCTTTCGGCATATTCGACTGCGTGTTTTTCCGCCGCATGGCCAGAGACATCACCACGCCCACCAACTGAAGAGCGTTCGTTTTATCAAACGAGATCGGTGTAGCTTTATGGTCATACGGAAAGAAATACTCGCCACTGATCGTGAGCCCGAATCGGCAGTGGATACATTGCAGCAGCTCGTATTCTGTTTCTGAGGGCCGGTCTATCCTCATGATTTCGTTCTGGAGAAGTTGCAGAAAAATACCATGAGACACCATGCAAAATTCTCGGGTACCAAGCTCTTCGTGTAGAGCAAAGAGGAACACAAGGAGTTTGGTGTCGCGAGCATATACATCGACCTCTGTCTCCGTAATCCGTCTTCGGTAGCAGAGATAAAGTAGGCTATGAACTGTTAGTATAAAGTCAAAGTTTGGAAGCAAGATCACAATGCATACCACCAAGCCTGAACTATCATTGTACGCAATCTTGAAGCACATTTGTTATACGTGCTATTATCGCTTATAGATCCACCCGCAGCAACAACACCGTCTTCGTAAAGAATATAGACGTGAAGAATTCGAAGGAGCTGAACTAGAGACTGAGACGTCTCAATCACCGCATCGTTTGTCAGCGACTCGATGTATTTATCGTCAGACATCACAGAATCAGCAGCCTTAGCTAGTAGCTCACGAATCAAGAAAAGAGACTTGAACATAACGAAAGATCGGTGGCTGTAATCTAGCTTCTCATAGTCCGCTGAGGTCAGATCGCGAATGACAAGGCGAAGTTTGATCAGCACGCAGTCGAATGACTTTTTCCAATCACTAGCGAGCTCGTACGACTGTCGAAGAAGTGTCCACAGATACAGCTTGAACTCCGTAGACGAGTTCTCGACAAAATTCTCAATGACTTTCAGATCAAACCCAATGTCTGAGAGTTGATCGCGATCTCCACGTTCCAGAATTACCTCAAGCAGCTTGATTCTTTCCTCTGGATCATCGGTAGAAGCTTCAAAGATCCCAGAAAATAATGATGCAGCCTGCAGCTTTGACTTTTGCAAATCGATAGCGGCAGCAGAGATATCTGGTATGAAGGCGCTGTTGGGAAGTAATATTGAAATATCAGCAGATAGAAGCTCAATTTTTTCTCTGAAATCCTCAAAGAAGATCGAGATATCCTCATGAGATGTCCCTATGGCTTGCTCGAAAATAATAGTGGCCCATTCGAAACGAAGGCGGAGGTTGTCATCAATCTCGGAGCCTAGCGAAGATAGCAAGTCCATGGTAAATAGTCGCCAGCATGTCAGTCTCTCTTGATACTCCGCAATATGCGCCTTCCCACTCGCAGAGCCAGCCTGCTGCTGACTACAGTCGATAAAGTCATCTAGAAGTAGTTCGAAATATGATTGAGCTAATCTGGCGTATCTCACGCTTGATTTGGTCGGCGCCTTCACAGACTCCGAAATCAGATTCATCATTAAATCGTAGTAGAAGGTCGCCGTCCTCTTGATGACTTTGGTGAGACTGGATGGCCATTGGTATTCCAGGAAGAGCTCAGTACCATCATCTTGCGGCAGCATGAAATGATTGATAAATGCAATAGAGGCCTCCTGGTAAGAATTCTTCAGATCATTGACAGATGAGACGAACTCCTCAACTCCTTTTGTCTCGTCGAGATGGTCCGTAGAGGAAGCGACAGGCTTTGATATAGCGAGATCCAAAAGACGTGAAGCCGCAGCTGAAGGATTCTGAATTCCGTCGCCGTGCAGTAGAGTTTTAGATAGGTTATCTTTGGGGTGCTTGAGATTCGACATGAAGTCTTTGAGAGGAAGATCGGGTCCCGCAACATCATCCGATTCGATACTCGAAGCGGCAATCAAATCACCAAACTTGATTCCAAGCGGCTCGAAGAGCTGATCCATTTCATTAAAGAACTCGTGATCATTAGTTGTCTCCGCATTTGATTGCTCTTCAGCACGCGCACGTACTCTCCGACTAGACCGCTCGCCTTCGATCTGGTGATCTGCAAATGATTTCCTTTTCTTCTTCCGAGCAGCTTCGATCTGGTCATTGGCCTCATTGTCTTTCTCAGGTTTCTCCTCCGCCTCTGGTTCTGTCTGCTCGGATTTTTCGACAGGCGCCGGTTGCATCTTCACTTCTGCGTCTTGTGTCTCATCTGGTTGAAGTTCTAGAGATACGATAGCAAGCTCAAGAGGCTGTATGGAGAGTGACGCTTTTGAGGAGTACTGTAGCAATGACTTCCCCACCGATGTCCAGGTCTCGTTCGAAAGTTTGATGGTCACTGGCTCGGGCCGGTTATTAGCCAGAGTCTCGGATATTAGAGGGATATCCTCGATCAAGGGCTTGAGCCAATTAGGGGTGCTTGTGCTGGCCTCGATATATTTCTGTACGGCGTCATCAAACTTGAGTTTTTCGAGTGTTTTGTAGAGAGGGTGTTCCAAGGCTTTGATATCGCCGAGATCAGTGAGCAGCTATAGGATGTTTAAGTTAGAGCTGGTGGTCACCCGGATTGTTAAGAATTGATAGAGCATACATTTCGTAAAGCGTTCACGCCAGCCAAGTCGTCTAGGGTCGACAGGGACTCGGTGCTAAGAGCGTCTTCGAAGGTGTCTGGTCTGGAATTCTCACTGACGACGCACTCCAGGGCATAGCGGGAGAGGCGTTTGCAGTTCAAAGCCGGCATGTAGGCAGCGATCTTGAGCCAGAAATCAGTGTCATCAGACTCATGAATCAGAGCCTCTGCAAATTCGGCCATTCCCTGAAGTAACTTTTCGTGCAATTCGCTGACGCTGAGCGAACGGTGGCTGAGCCTGATCCAGTCGAGAACGAGCTGCCCATGGTTTTTGTAGGCTAGATACTTTAGGCTGTGGATCGATGGGGGATATTCCCGGTCTATCAACAAGTCAGTCATAGGAGAGAGATAGGAATCGTTGAAGAGAGACAAGAACAGGCTTACGAGTTCGGTTGAGAAGATATCGACTTTAAATAGCTCATTGTATGTTTCAGAAGCCAGCTCCCAATCTTTGTCGTAATGAGCTTTCAAAGCCTTTTGGAATAGCTTGAATGCCTCTTCGATCTGGAGATAGAACACAATCTGTGAGTATGCGGTGAGATATTCATATTTGATTGCATATTTACCTGAACTTCGCGAATATGATCCTCTCCATCTGAGAAATCGCTGTCCTCTTCGATATTGAGGGCGGTGAATGAAGCCTTGAAGCAGTCAGTATTCAGCTCCAAACCAACCGTCAACACACAAACAAACGTACAGCCGAGTTCTGATCGTGCGGCATGTCGGGCAGACTCTGCAATCGGCCTCCTCGCGAGAAACCTGGCGGATCAGCAGCAGAAGCAGCAGGAGCAGCAGCGATGTGGAGTCATTGACCGGTATTTGAGACGCGAACGCGTAAACCACGAAACCCTCAGAAATGCGAACAACGTTTAAACCTTAAACGGCGGCCTGGGCGAGAAAGTAAACAAACAGTTTCACTCAGTTTGAGCCTCCGCAGCCGTTGTTTGCGCGTTTTGAAGGGTTGCGCTGAGGATATTGAGAAGAAGTGAGTGTTCTGCTTGTATTCTAGTCAGTGGATTTATTCTTATCTAACAGAACTGTTCAGAAATCACAGTATCGCCAGATCAGCGGCCGGCGAGTTTAATTAGGGTCAACCAGCAGCTTAGGATTCAACAAGGAACTCCCGCCAGCAGCACCAAATCCACCATTCGACTCAACCACTCCGCCTTCCGCTTTCTTTCTCCTCTTCCTCGTCAGTCAGCGTGCTCTACTCTTCTCTGACTCTGATCCTCGCGCGTTCGGTGCAGTAGTCTTGCTGGCCCTGCAATCATGCAAACGGAGGACTCTCCGTATGCACGCTCGCGTCCGCCCCGGCCTGGCCACGACTCACTCTCGCGGTCTAACGGCGTTGGCTCAGCTTCTCTGAGTAAACAAGGTGTGTATTCTGCTTTGTTGTGACAATACTCAATCGCGTGCTTGTCGTCTAACTCTTAATACGCGTACAGATGCAGGCGCTGAATCAAGCCAGCCAAGAGCCGCTTTGCGCGGCACACCGGCAAGAACAAACAAAGAGTCACTGCTCTCCTCTCGTCCCCGCAACACCGCCTCTGCTGTGAAGACCTCTCGAGCAGAGCAAACTCCCGTTACTCCATCCACTCGAGCCAGGTTCGTGTTTTCTGTCTTCTCGGGTGCCATTGCCTCTTATAGCTGCCTAACCCGGACTGCTCTAGGTACTCTCTCCAAAGCCGGTCTCTCAGCCATCAGCCCAGTTCAACCCCCCGGACTCAACCTCGTCGCGACCCATTTCCATCATCAGTCACTCGGATTCCGACATCCTCCGTGTCCGCATCAAAACGCTCCGCCCTGTCGTCTGCGCCGTCAACGCCTTCGGTAGCCTCCGATCGATCGTCAGACCTCTCCTATACCACTCCGGCGCGCTCGATAGACTATGGAGCAGAACACGAACGGTCAAAGCAGATATTAGCTCAATCTAATGCTCGTGTGAGGAAAGCTCGAGAATCTCTAGCAGCTTCGTCAGTCGAAACATCGGTAGCGACTCCCGATCATAGACGTGCAAGATTGAGTCAGCTACGGACTACCGAGAAATCACCTGCCTCAACTTCCTCGGTAAGGCTGGCGACTGATCAGGCGTCGACATCCTCTGCGGTAAAGCAACGGCAAGTCAGTCGGCCTAGACCTACTGCTGGGCGTGCGCGTGCAGCACTAGAGAAGCCTACATCGAGTGGAAGCGCGACCGCGACACCTCTATCTCCAAGTAGTCCCGGAACCTCGAATTCCATGTCGCAGACGCACAGTCACACGCAAGCGTCTCCTAGGTATGATCATCCTCCTTGCTCGTTCGAGATCTGCCCAACTAACAACCCTACAGATCCGCCAAACACTCGCCGATCAATTCTCCAACATGTAACGCAAACGGCTCGCCATCTACAATACGGGGCCTCGGTGCGCGAACGCTCAGTCCCTCAGACCGTCGAAGGCTTTCTCCAGGTAGTCCTGCGATCAAACGAGATGCCTCGAAAGAAGAACTCGCCGATACGTCTCCTAGTCTCCGCAAATCAACTGCGGGTACTAGAATGCCGAAATCTACATCAATGGGCGGCCTCCCGATACCGAGTCCATCTAAAAAACTTGCACGAAGCCAGCATACTCTGACGACACCGCGCGTTGAAGCCGCGGCTGCCTATCGTCGCCCCGCTGCTGCGCCAATCGACGACGTTCCTCCCGTACCGCCGCTTCCGAGCAGCATATCCAACATCCCCCTCTCCTCTCCCAGCTCTAACCAACCCGCTCGCTCACGTACTCCCCAGAATGACGGTGGCCGTCGACAGTCCACATATCTGCAATCAAACGGTCCCTCTACGGAACCCCGCCGTCAATCACGGGTGTTCACCGTCTCGAACGGCGTGCATGAAACCGGTCCGGCTGCCATGCCCCCTTTGACAATAGGCGCTCTGCCATCACAGACTGTCTCAAAAGTCAATGCTCTGCAGACAAACAGCATGAGATCCGCAGAGCCTGACAACAGCTCTCCCAAGACAGAGTCATCAAACAAACTTCATGTTTCCTTGATGTCGCATTTCAGAAAGGCCTCGTCGGACGGGAACCGGGTGGCTGAAAAGAAGAGTCCGTTGATAGCTCATCATGTAAAGCATGGATCCGGATCTGCTTTCCCTTTTCTGCACAAGAAGAGCAAAAGTAATGAGCTGGGTAGTATTATGGATACCAAGCCGGAACAGGCTGAGCGAGCAATTGATGCTCAAGAGACCCCCTCGAAAACTCGAGAATGGCTTCCTCAAAAGGGGAGACAGGGTTCTGACACCTCAGGCGTGGGCGTATCATCATCTATCACCAGCACACCCGCAAGCAAGAACCAGACTGCAAATGCTGATAATGCGCCGGATAGCGCTCTACGGATTCCAAGCCGGCCTTATTTACGAAACACGCCTAGTCTAAGTTCTCTTCGCGGCTCGTCTTCTTCTATCCCAGTATTGACATCACTTCCGTCGTCAAAGTCGTATAACAAAGACCTGAGCCTGCAAAGCACGCCGCTGCCGGCCTACACTTCGCGGGAAGGAACTGCGGTGGCGTCGCCTTCGCTGCCTGCTACTAATTCTCCAAAGAAACATACCACTTCTCGCACCCCGATTCGCATGCGTCTTCATAGACCGTTCAAGAAACCGGCAGCAAAGGCTTCGGAGCATAGAGCTACTCCGGAAGGCGACTTGCTAAAAACAGCCGGCCTTCCTCCGATCCTGGCTCCTCCTCCCTTGCCGAGTGATTTGTTGGCGAAACAGGAGGAGATTGCTGGTAACGAAGCAGATGTGGATACAGACCACTCTGGCCGGTCAGTACCGGAGTCGGTGCAATCGATTGATAGGTTTATCGCTCGTCGGCCGAAAGGTCTTCAGCACATGGACTCGATGGACTCTACAATGTCGACAGAGAGCGCGCCTCTCCCGCCGCCTCACTTGAAAATGGGCTCTAGAAATGGAACTTCGAGCTCGACCTCCTCTCGGGAGACACCAAGGGGGACTCCTAGAGGCAGTCCAGCGCTGAGTATTCTCCAGTTTGCCAAACCGAAGCTTGCGGTGTTGAAAGATTTCGCGCGGACGTCGATTGCGAGCTCAGCGAACTCGAGCACGACAGACCTGCTGCAGTTCCAGTCAAAGACGGAGTGGGTTCCAGAGAACTACCTGGTGGAGGACGAGACCGACCGTGCGGCAGATGAGGAGATGCGACAGATCTGCGGGCGGAGTCGCAAGCTGCGCGGGATGGCGCGGGAGCTTGCGGATTGCAGACGCGAGCTGGGGGTTCCGAGTACGGCGATGACGATCTCGCAGGCGGCAAGGACGCAGCTGTTGAATATTTATGAAAAAGGAGAGATTCTTGATTTCCATGAGATTTACTTTTGCGGCAAGAAAGGTTGTCATAAGATGATTGGAGATTTGACTGCGTCGACGACGAATTTCGGATTCGACGACGAGAAAGGGGATTATAAGCTTGTGGCAGGCGATCACCTTGCGTATCGGTACGAGATATTAGGTGTTCTTGGGAAGGGCAGCTTCGGACAGGTGGTTAAGTGCGTTGATCACAAGACGGGCGGGTTGGTGGCGGTGAAGATTATTCGCAACAAGAGACGGTTTCATTCGCAAGCGTTGGTAGAGACGCGGATTTTGAACGATCTCAAGAAATGGGTGAGAGAAGAGTTGAGTTGGTTCGTTGTGAATTATAACTAATGGTGTACCTCTAGGACCCTGATAATTCCCACCATCTAGTGCGGGTGACGCACAACTTTTATTTCCGAAGCCATCTCTGCATCGCGACGGAGCTGCTAAGTCTGAACCTGTACGAATTCGTGAAAGAGAACGAGTTCAAGGGCCTGTCGCTTGCGATTGTGCGGCGGATTGCGAAGCAGATGCTGTTGTCGCTTATTTTGCTCGAGCGCAAGAACGTGATTCACTGCGACCTCAAGCCGGAGAATATCTTGCTGACGTCGCCTGATACGGGAGAGATTAAGGTTATTGATTTTGGGTCATCGTGTTTTGAGAAGGAGAGAGGTGAGTGAAGTAGTATATGTTTATTAAGAGTAGGTGCTGACGAGGATTTAGTGTATACATATATTCAGTCGCGATTTTATCGATCGCCAGAGGTGATTTTGGGTATGAAGTACGGACTACCGATTGACATGTGGAGTTTTGGCTGTATTCTAGCCGAGATGCGTACGGGGTACCCAATTTTTCCGGGCGAGGACGAGAAAGAGCAGTTAGCATGCATAATGGAGATCTTTGGACCCCCCGAGCCGCAGGTGATTGAGCAGGCTACGCGGAAGAAGTTGTTTTTCGATGCGTCAGGGCGGCCGCGACCGGTTGTGTCGTCCAAGAACCGGAGGAGGATACCGTTGACGAAGAGTCTGTCGGGGGTGTTGAAGACGAATGATGCAGCGTTTATTGATTTTATTGGGAGATGCATGCGGTGGGATCCGGAAGAGCGGTTGAAGGCGAACGACGCGGTGTTGCATCCGTTCATCACGGGAGCGAAGATGGAGCGGCCGTCGATGGCGGAGTCTAGGTCTGCGTCGGCAGAGGCGGGGGGAATAACGCATGTGAGCAATATCTACGGCACGGCAGATAGTGGACGGAATACGGCGTCTAGCGGCGATAATCAGTCCGGGCAGCAGTCATCGCGGGTGGTTGGCGGAAGACCTCTGCCAGAGGTGCCGAGGACGCAGTCTTACAACAGCGGTGTTTCAGTCGGGCGATCGAGTCAGGACGGTGGCAGGCCTAGACAGCAGCCGCCGTCGTCGGCGTTACAGCAACGATGGCAGCGGTCGACGGCCGTGGAATCGCCAGCAGACGACATCAGCGAGCTGCGGTCGGCAATCAAAAGGATGGGCGCGCCGTCGTCGAGTAATCCACAGATGACGTCGAGCGTGAGCGCGAATAACCTGAACGTGAACGGGAGTCACGGTGCGAGCGGGATTCCGCGGTCGATAGTGACGAGCGTGAGCGCGAATAAGCTGTCGCTGATTGCGGCGGGAGCGGGGGAGGATGGGGGTAGTGAGCGCATGCCGAGGCGAGTGGAGACGCGGACGCCGAGGAAGGTTGCTGGGGTTGGTAGATAGCGGTATCCTGAGTATGAGTAGTATGAGTAGGTACGATAGATCTACTCGGTAGATACGAATTAGATCTATGAGATCATTGTGATTGTAATTGTTTGTTTCTAGCACGGCATTTTGTTTGTATAATTGTGATTCATTGAAGCAACGGCTGTTTTGAAAAGTACAGTATATTTCCAACTGCAGATAGAAAGGCTTTTAAAAAGAAGACAAAGAGAAGTACTATACATTTTCACTCTCCGCAACAAAAGCAACAAGAACCTAAGCCTCAGCGGCCTTTGTCTCCTCCTCAGTCTCGATCTTTTGCTTCTTGGAAGGAGGCCCTTCCTCCTCTTCCTTTGTCTCTTCGGGCTCTTTCTTCTCAGACGCAGGGGTCTCGTCGGTCGATTTCTTGCCGTTCTCGGTTTTGTCGGTGGGTTCTGTGAGAGAGGTTAGATCAGATTAGTGACAATTGATGGAGTGAATATAGCAACGCACCTTCTTCTTTCTCTTCAGCAGCAGCTTCTTCTTCTTCCTCTTCCTCTTCATCCTCCTCGTCGTCCTCGTCATCATCAGCAGCCTCATCGTCCTCATCGTCTTCTTCGCCTGAAGACGACGCACCGCCGTCGGTGTCTTCGTACTCCTCCTCCTCCTCTTCCTCTTCGTCAGAGGGAAGAGCCTATACACGCAATCAAAACACGGTTAGTCAGTAGTTCCAATCAAACTAATTAAGAGTCCTGGCAGCAAGGGATCATCATCCATAGTCGATCGATGATAATGCACAGCACATACCTCAAGCTCCTCATCAGGATCAGCGCGCTGGCGACGGGTAGTCATTGTGTCTTTATAATATTACTGAATAGTACTCCTTCAAGCAAAAACAATTGATATCTCTGATTATACAGAAACTGAGCAGAAACAGGAGCAATTCAGAGGAAGAAAGCGGAGGTTCTGGAGTGCGGCTTCCGGGGCGAGGCGAAGAAAGGGATGAGCCGCGATGAGCTTCGAGGTGATAATTAGCCGAATCCGGTAATTGTTGTGTGTCTCTTTTTCTTCTGCTACAAATGCAAATAATGAAGTTATTAAACAATATTTTATTTACTTTCTCTTTACTGATTCATTCTTACATTTCACACATCCTCAACAACAAGCAAACCCGCACAATACTCAACTGTATAACTGCACCACATCTCCACACTTACGCCACAACTGCACAGCCTCCTGTTGCCACAGCAACCAATCTATTATTTATCCAGCCACGCGTACCAGCCACCGCTGCTCGTCTACCAACAACGCGTCGGCCATCGCGAGCAGCAGCAGCCAGCCACCCGCCTGTTCTGTCGCAAGTAAATATTCTGTCTTCTGTTCTGTTCTTCTTCTTCTTCATCTTCTTCTTCTGTCTGTTCTTATTGTTGTTGTTGTTCTTCTTCTCGTCTCAGTCACTTCTGTCTTCTTCGCCATGAGTGCTTACCTCCAATATCAGACCCCGTCGATCAACCAATATCAACATCAGACACCTCCCCGACCCCACCGACAACTCTTCCTCCCACCCCAACTCTCACCGCCCCGCATCCCCGCCGTCCTCGTCCAGACCAACCACTCTCAACCCGCCCTCGCGCCCAAGCAGAGTCTGCACAGAGGAAACCAGCACCACCGCCATCTCTTCGACGACGTCCCCGCCGTTCCTCCCGTCCCCGGCCACCAGCAATCCAGAAAGACAACCAAAGACGACAGCGCGATCCCGAACTTCATGCTCAAAAAGAAGAAAGCGAGGGTGTCCTCGCTCCCTGCGATGCCTCCGCAGCCAACCATCGACGCCCCGATCTCAGACGTGCCGCCGCTCAAAGAACTGCCCTCGATTCCTCCATCACACCGATCGGCAGCCACTGACGACATCAACTACACCGCCGCTCGTCCGTTTGCCGTGCCGCCTGATAGAGTCGCTGCCGATCAGCAGTGGCGCAAGCAGCAGATACCAACAGCTAGAGTGGTGAATCGCCAGAACGCTATGATTAAGGAGAGGTTGGATCAGCAGTATCAGCGTGATATTGCGAGGAAAGAGCAGCGGCAGCTCCAGTTGCGGCAAGAGCAGTCGCGGCAAGAACAACTACGGCAGGAGCAACTACGGCAGGAGCAACTACGGCAAGAGCAACTGCGGCAAGAACAGTTGCGGCAAGAACAACTACGGCAGGAGCAGTTGCGGCAAGAACAGCAACTCCGCCAAGAACAACTCCGTCAAGAACAGTTACGACAGGAACAACGTCGACAAGATCAACTTCGTCAAGAACAGTTACGGCAAGAACAACTCCGACTAGCTGCCATCCACAGACAAGAACTCGAGCGCCAACGCGAAGAACAACTTCGTCAAGAACAAATTCGTCGACAACAGGAAGTTGAGCGGCAGCGCGGGGAACATCTTCGTCAGGAACAAGTCCGTCAGGAACAACTTCGTCAAGAACAACTTCGCCAGGAACACCTCCGCCAAGAACGTATCCGTCTCCAAGAACTCGAACGCCAGCGCCAGGACGACCTCCGTCTCCAAGAACTTGAACGCCAGCGCCAGGACGATCTGCGCAGACAGGAGCTCGAGCGGAAAAGGCAGGAAACCCTGCTCAAGCAGCAAGAGTACGAGGACCATCTTCGCCAGGTTCTCCAGCGCGAAAAAGTCGAGCAGCAAACTTCGTCGTCAGCAACTCAGCGACAGCAAACTTCGTCGTCAGCAACTACTCAGCGACCACGACAACTCGCGACCGAGACGGTGCGGCAGCAGCCTCAGGAAGCTTTGCGGGCTGCTTCGTCTGAGTGGAAGACGGTGTTTGCTTCCGTCCCTGAGAAATCGAGACCCGCGAAATGGAAACGCACAGTGAAGAAGATCGCAGGCGTCGACGGCGTAGACGACGCCCTTGATGACTCGGCCTCTCAAACCGCCTCTGATACTGAGCCTCCCAACACCACCACCAGCCGTCCAGTATCTGCCGACGCTGCCTCGCTGAGTACCCGCACCACGCGCGTCTCCTCCAACATCGCCGACCGCGCCGCCAAACTAGGCATATTCCAGCGGAAAGAGCGGTTCAATCTGAACGACGCGATCTACGCCAGCATCGGTAAGGACCCTGGTCTCGTGCAGACCGAGCAGGAGAAACGCGTGCAGACGATGAAGAAACCCGATCATGTCATCCGCACGCCGGCCACCAAGCGGCCGCTCCATAGAGTCCCGGTCTTGGCTGACCAGTCGGATCCGCTGTTCAAGACCCCGATCTGGCTTGAGAAGATAGAAGATGACGCCTCGAGCGTGTGCAGCTGCAGCGACAGTAACTGCAACAGCAAGGCCGACGACTTTAGCGATTCGGAATACGACGAGCTCGTTGTCCAGATCCGTCAGAACCCCGCAAAGGAAAATAAGGATTACGTGGTCAGCCGTCGTCTGGCTTCCGCTTCAAAGTCAAAGCCGGCAGTCGCAGGCGCATGGCCGGCTCTGCAGCGATCTCCTCGAAGATCTTCGATGTCCTCATGCTCCTCGTCCGAGAGTTCAATCAGACCAAATACCCCCGTGCAGGAAGACGAACCTGTGCCTGTCACCGCATCCGGTCGTCTCAAGATCGATCTGGAGTCGATGGTCTTGTCGCGGCTGTCAAAGAGCGCTGCTCGCGATCGGCAAGCGGGAGTAAATGCTGCGAATGTGCCTGATCGCAGTGTTTTAAGTAAACAGCACCCGTTAAACGACGATTTGGTGGATCAGAATGAGTTTAAAAAGGATGAGAGACGCAAAAGTTCAGGACGTTGGATGTCGGTGATGACAAAGTCCATCTCGGAGATCCGAGGGGTATGTATTTGTCTCCTCCTCCTTTCTTTAAAAAGATAAAATACTAACAGCAACACAATACAGAACAAAAAACCGAAATCGCAACCACTCCCCGACTCCAGCACCGACGATCACCCCACGACACTTCCCTCCTCCCCAACCCACCCCACCCCGCCCCCACGACGTCTCGCCGAAGCCTTTCTCGACCTGACGACCCAAATCCTCCCTGCTCCCTTCCAACTCCTCGCGATCCCCGTCACATTCACGCACTTCCTCTGCACCCTCATCCTTCTCCCTCCCGGCAGCAGCGACAGCAACAACAACAGCAGCATCAGCAGCGAGAGCCTCGAGCGGCGGCAGAACCTGCGCGCGACGGCGATGGACCTGGTTGTTTGCGCGGAGCTGATGGTGTGTGTCGGGCTGATGTACGCGTTCTTGAAGTTGGTGGAGAGAGTGTGTGCTGTCGTCGCGGTGATTTGTTATCCTGCGGTCGCGATCCTGCGGGTTTTGTCGGGGTCCCGTTGATATAATAAGTTTTATTGCTCTTATTTATATTTAATACTTGCATTTATGGACGACGCATTTAGATTCTGTTCTGGAGTTTGCAATTTCTTAATGTTGTATCGCTATATCATAGATTTTAATTAATAGTACATATCAGGTTAAACAAAACTAAAAGCACACAGCAACATCATCTCTCCTCGTCCCCCTCATCACCAGCATTATCAGCCACATGCCCCTGCTCAGCAGACAACGACCCAATCCCAATCCACTCGCCCCTATAATTCGCTCTCCAGAACCTCGCCTGTCCATCATCCCCCGACGAGCTAAGCACGGTCCCCGACACATTCCACGAAACCTTCCACACCTCGCCATGGTGATCGTCAAAGCTCGCCGCGAGCACGACGTCGTACTCGATCTCGCCCGTCGGGAACATCTCGCCGGTGTCGCCCGCAGCGTAACTTAACCGCGGCGTCAACTTGAAAATCCGCACGTACCCGTCCTTGCACGCCGTCGCAATCAACTCGTACCTGCCCCCCGCGGCCGCGTTACTCGCCCACGCCACGTCGCGCACGAGGTCCTCATGTCCCGGCAACTCCTCGCACTCTTCGAAATCGTACGGGCCCGCGCTGCCGGTTTGGCTGTTGTAGTACCGTTTCCGGAAGACGACGACCCTGGTCATGGCCGACACGACGAATTGCTCGACCGACCGCTCTGAGATCTCGAGCGCGCTGATCCGGGAAGGTAGGTCGCCCACGCCGCTGTTGGCGAAGGTATTATTGCTGCTACTGCTGCTGCTGGGCTTGTTATACGCACTCGAGGGAGGCAAGGTAACAACACCCGCCGGACACCACGCGACCGAGAAACTCGCCTGCATATCCTGCGCCTTCCGCTTCGACCCGCTCTCGACCTCGCTCTCGACCGCGAGATGCCACTGGCGCAGATCAGACGGGTCGGCGGCATGATACAGCCTGACGACCGAGTCCGTGCCGATCGTAGCCAGCTTGAGCCCGTGTCCGCCAAACTTTGCAAACGCAATCTTGTGCACCGCCCCCGGCGAATCCGACAACGTCGCGACGCGGTCAAACGCGCGGCCGTTGTCGGACGAGAAAAAGATTCGCACGGATTGGTCTTCGGAGCAGGACGCGAGCAGCGTGCCGAACTGGGGGGGCGCAAAGGTCAGCGAGAGAATGTTGCGTTCGTGCGCGTGCGTTGCGGAGAGGAACGTCCATGGATCTGCTGACGACTTGCGCGAAAACACGCGAATGTGCTGGTCGGACGAGCATGTTGCCAGTAGTCTGCCGTAGTGATCTGTGATAACAGCACAGGTTAGCATACTCTCTCTCGAACCACGACGCAGATAGATCATTGATCTCAAATCAAATCTCAGAGCTTACCGTATGCAATGTCGTGGATTAGATCGGCGTGGCCGGTAATTAGCGATGCCATATTCAGTCTGTAATTGTCTTCTGTAGTTTTATATCCCAAGAGCTCTATCTCCAGCCAGATTTCCTCTGTCTTGTCTGTATTCGTTTCCTTCTTCTCTTCTCAGTCGAGAACGCGCTTCACTTTCTCTTCTTTCGCTGCACACCCGAGATATTTCACACACAAATAGATCTTCCTATTGTATACGTGCAGTCTCTCAATTAACTCCTGTCCATCTGCACAGCTCTGGATCTTCGTCTTCGGCCCGCGATATCTTCAATCCTGGTCGACTGTGGTTTGAGGGGCGGTTGTTGATATTCCTGAGCTAATAAAATAACTTTCTTTGTGCTTATGTAACTGATTACGTGTGACCAGGGCCCTGGCAAATCATAGCGACGGCAATAAGCAGAACAGCCAAATGGTATTTGAGCATCTATAACAACAATACAAGCAACAAGACAAGAACAAAAAACATATTGATATAATAATAATACAAACTATCATTCAGAATAGATCCTATGATATAAAGTAGATGCATGAGATTTTAATAGAACATTATGAGTCGGAAATACAGCGGAAACAAACGGTAAATCAAACAAAACGGTCCGCGCAAAAAAGCAATGAGCTTCAAACTCATAGATATTAGTGTTCAAACATACACTGCCGGTCTTTCTCGCGTAGGAGAAATACTAGACCTCGCAGACAAATCATGCCAAAATTCATAGGTACATTGTAGTAAGGAACGTGGTAGCCATCATCAGATAAGCCAGAGGTATTTTGTTAAAGAGTGACTTTTTTAGTCGATAGACTTTGATGAGATTGACGTTCCAATCAGCTATCCCAAAATGATTTCTATACTCTCGTTAGTCCATCGCTCGCAACTTGTAAGCAAAGTGAAAAGCACATACCTCAAAAATTATAAACAACCAAACACCAAAATATAAATACAGTATATGCAAAATGTGGGATTATTAAGACCATCCCAAAGAATTCTCGCTCATCACCGGAACTGAGATGCCGCGTCCACTAACGTGTCCGCCGCTACTCGATCCGCGCGAGCCACTCAATCGACTTTGTCCTGATTGATTGTTGGTCGATGTAGTGGGTGACCGGTTCGGAGCTGCACTCATCCCTGCCGCTCCGTATCCCACACCACTTCCCTCAGGTCGGGGCGAAGGAACGGTGCCGAGAGGCATTGGCGCAGAGATCTGGAGCATGGGTTGCATAGCAGCCCTGGCCGCCATCACACGCTTCCTTCGGAACCGACGTGCAACAAAGAACACAAACACTCCGTAAGCGACTGCTCCAACGACTGCGCCGACGGCAATACCGATCGTACGCTTCGAAGCAGTCGAGGTCTCAGAGTAAGTGTTCGAGTCAAGCGATCCGGCGGATATACTACCAGCAGAGCTCAGATCATTGCCATTACCGCCGTTGCTAGCGTCGCTGGACGAATCTGGATCCGAAGACGAATCCGGAGTCGAAGCTCCAGATGATCCAGAACCTGACGTGCTCGATGTCGAAGCAATCAGAGGTATCGTCGGATCAATAAGATCCATAAGCGCCTTCACAGACTCGTCAGGGTTGTTGTAGAGTCTTGACGATGGCGTGTGCAACCCAAGCAACAAAGTGTCGACAAGGTCAGAAGGCACGTACATCAGAGCCAGAGAGACAATAAACGAGCTATCGTCCGTCTCGTACGGCTTGATTGCCTGCATTTGCGCATCATCCGTAGACACGTTCAATCCGTAAGCAACACCTTGCGGCAAGTACTCAAAGATCTGAGCAACAGCAAGCGGATGCTCCACAATGAACGGGTAGTTCAGAGCATACGCAAATCCAATTTGGACCAAAGTCGAGTCTGAAGGAGTGGTAGGCGTTCCACCAGAAGGTGCAATCAAATTCGGAAGCACAGTAGATGTCGTCGCCGTCGCGGTCTGCGTAGACGAAGCAGTACTAGTCGTCTGCTGAATGATCAAGGAGCTGGGCAGCCAGTCCGACGTAACGCTCGTGATTGTCGTATCACCCGATGAAGCCGATGTGGTCGTCAGAGTCACAAGCGTTGTCGTCACACTTTCGCCGGATGCATGAGTGGTTGTGGAGGCAGCAGCACTTGAGCCGGGAACCGTAGAGGTAGCCTCGGTCGATGCAACGCTAGAAGCAGGCGAAGCACTTGACGCTTCCGTTGAAAGAGCACCTATGCAAAGTTAGTCACGTCCATGTCATTTAGAGATATAGAATACATACTCGAAGCAGATCCACTAGTAGTGAACTCAGACGTCGCAGTTGCGCTCGCAGAGTCACCAGAAGCAGCAGTAGTAGACACTATGATCGTGCTTGAACCAGCAGACTCTGTGGCAGAGACTGAAGCAGAAGCAGCCGACGTCAGGACAGATGATTCAGCTCCGGACAAGGAGGATGATTCAGCGACTGAGGTCGAGACAAGAATACCTAAACTCACAAGTTAACAAAGTCTTCGACGAATTGTAGTTATATCAAAAGTAGCTTACCAGAAGACTCATAAGCCGAGGAAGCCGAAGCAGTCGTGGTAACAGCAGTGGTAACAGCAGATCCCGAGACCACTGCAGTGGAAGACACGACCTCTGTCGAAGACAGAAGACCAGTCGATGAAGAAGGAAGCTGCGACGAACTGGCCGCATTTCCGGAGCTCGTAACAATCGGAACGATAGAAGCACTCGTGAAAGTAGAGCCTTCGCTAGTGTAGGTCGTCACGACCTCGCTGAACACAGGCGTAGACTGCGTAGACTCCAAAGCAGACGAGCTCACAGGTGAGCTGGTCGGAGAAGTGCCCGAAACAGCCGATGTAACAGCCGATGTCGCAGAGAGGACTTCGCTCGAAGAAGCGCCGCTCGATACGGTGTACGTCTCGCTGTAGATTTCACTGCTGACTGCACTCGTCTCAATAGCCGATGAAGCACTCTCACTCACGGCCGACTCACTCGCAGACACAGCAGTCGACGAGACAGCGAGTGAGCTAGACACATCCGAAGCAGACTCGGTGTAGACCACAGACTCCATAGAGCCGCTGGTAATAGTCGAAGCGTAAGAGCTCTCAGTGACGGTCGAAGACTCTGCGATCGATGTTTCCGATACGCCAGAAGTCACAGCAGACTCTGAGGTCTCGACGGCAGATGTCGACGGCGTGGCAGTAACTGTTGATGAAGGATAAACAAAAACAGTAGTGGTCAACGACGACGAAGCACCAGATACCTCGGAAGACTTGGTGGAGGAGAGACTCTCGGTCGCAGAGGAAGTGGCAGCCGAAGTAGTTCCACTCGACGTCAATGGGGAAACTTGCGACTCTGAAGCCGTAGCAGCCACACTTTCAGACTCGGAAGATTCTCCAGTAGCTGTGGTTGAGGTCCCAGTAGGGGTTGAGGTCTCAGTCGAGGTCGAGCTTGCAGACTCCACAGCAGAGAGCGAAGAGGCCGTCGTGGAGGACGCGAGGATCGACGTGTCTGCGATGGAGGTAATGGTCGAGCCAGATTCGCTGGAGGACTCAGATGTAGAGGAAACAGCAGATGTCAAGCTGGTGGCCACCAATGAGGTTGTCTCTGACGCGCCCGATGAGGTAACAGCGGAAGTGGATTCCTCTGAAGAGCTTTTGGCTGTCTCCGTGACCGAAGAGTCACTGACCTCTGCAGAGGAAGTAGGAGCTGTCAAATCATCGGAGGAGGTCGCGGTGACAGCAGCAGTATCTGACACGGACGAGGTGATAGCCGTGTCTGTGACGGAGCCCGCAGCTTCGGTAGACGTTTGCGACTCGATATCGGATGACGAGGTCGAGGTCGCAACAGCTGTGCTATCAAGGGGAGTCGAGGTAACAGTAGCTGAGTCGTCAGTGGTGGTAGCAGTAGCTGAGACGTCAGTGGCGGTATCGACTGTCGAAGTAGCGGACTCTAGAGAGGAGTCTGTCGAGTCTGTGGGGAAGACCGTGGAGGCGTCTGTCGGAGTAGCATCAGAGCTCGTGACAGAGTCAGCTGCGTCAGTGGTGGTTGCCGCAGCTGTAGTGTCTGTAACTGAAGACGTGTCAGTGGCAGACGCACCCGCAGTGTCTGTCGCTGTCGGTATCAAGCCGTCTGTTGCAGAGTCCGTTGCAGAGTCCGTTGCAGAGTCCGTTGTCGAGTCGGTGGCAGAGTCGGTCGGTGTAGAGTCGGTCACTGTAGAGTCGGTGGGAGTAGCAGTAGCATCTGTAGCCGAGTCGGTGAGAGTAGCCGAGTCCGTGACAGCAGCCGAGTCCGTGGTCGAAGTAGACGGCGAGGAGCTGACGGTGAGCGGCAGATCAGTATCGGAGCTCGTCGTATAGGAGGCTGTCGAGTCGGTGGCGGTGTCTGTTGCCGAGTCGGTAGCGGAGTCGGTAGCAGAGTCGGTGATGGCAGAGTCTGTAACGGTGGCCTGATCTATCGACGAGGTGGTTGGAGTGTCCGTGGCTGCGGTAGATGCCAAGTCTGTAGATTCGGTGGTATCCGCGGAGGTTTCGGTGGCGGCTGGCTCGGTGGTGAGGTCTGCAGAGGTGCTAATTGAGGCAGTATCAGACGGTTCGACGGTATCTGAGAGGGTGAGGGCGTCGGGGATTGTTGAGGTCGCGGCAACGGATGAATCAGAGGTGGTTGATAGGGTTGCGGAGATGTAGTAGTCTGAGGAGAGGGGAGTGGTAGAGAGGGGGGTTGAGGTGGGTGACGCATAGAGAGGAGGGTCGTAGTCGTAGGAGGAGGTCGCGGTGGAGGAGAGTTCGAAGTACGAGTCCGAGTCTGATGATGTTAGTTGAGATTCGATGAGTAGTCGAGAGCAGCGAAGAGCAGTCGACACGAGACAATGAATGAATGGATGGAGGAGAAAGGGGAGGGGACAGGAGGAATCACTCACCAGATGAGGTTGGTTGGACGCGTAAGCTGTCGAGATCAGAGGAGGTGGAGGTCGCGATGGTGGTGTTGTCTACGCGCACGACGAGTCGCCGACGGGCGGTTGGGTAGTGGTGGTAGGGACGTTCTTCGGCGAGGAGGGAGGAGAGGTAGGAAGGGTCGTAGGGGGAGTCGGGGGAGCGTTGTAGGAAACGGGGGAGGGGGATGTTGAAGGCTGCGGCATGGTTTGCGAGGAGGAGGAGGAGGAGGAGGAGGAGGAGGGGGGGAGGAAGCCGCTGGCAGTGCCGGTGCCTGTAGCGGGCGGGCATGGCGGCTGAGGGGAGGAGAGGAGGAGGAGGGTGGTGAGGAGGAAGAGGACGGGGAAGAGGAGGAGGAGGAGGAGGAGGAGGAAGAAATGAGCGTGGTAGGATGGAGACCAGAAAGGGGCACGAAGGAGGTTGGAATGCAGAAAGGAGCGTTTTGTTGCCGCACAGCGAAAGTATAAAAATAGGTCATTGATTAATTATTCAAATTGCTTCTTTGTTGTGTTTCTGTTACTGTTACTGCTGTTGCTGTTCTTATTATTACTCTTGTTCTATTGTTAATGTTATGCTGTTGTTGTATTCTATTCTTCTTATTGCCATATTCCTCTTCTCTTCTTCTCTTCTTCTTCTTCTCTCTGATCTCTGCATGGTCAGGTCGAACTGCCGAGATTACCTTGTGATCCGCTCACGTTTTCGCTCACAGATTAGAATTTGTGCCACCGGAATGCGGTTGCTATAGTTACTGTGCCTAACCCAATCGGGATCCAATATATCTAAAGTAAACAAAGCTTCGCGTTGAAGCAATCTCGGTTGCCTTATTGCTCTGGTTTGGGTGTTGTCACTGTGTTATAGTAAGAGGTTATAGTGTAGATTATATGCATCATATAGCTGTCTGTCATATATAGATCATCTATATATCATATATACACATCATATAGATCCATCTCTCATCTTCTCTCTACAGGCAAGACCCTGGCACATCCGGCATCTGATCCACTCCTCCTCTCGTATTCCTCCTCCATTCAACTCCTCAGCCGTTCTTCTCTTCTCCTCCTCTTCTCATCAAGTCCCGCACATCCCTGTCGCCGAAATCTCTAATCAAACAACGCAGTCACGTGGAGTATTGTCACGTGTGTAGCTTAGAATCACGTGTATTCCCACATCACACGTGATCATATCTTTATCGATATCGCGATTCCCAATCCAACCGCGAACAACATCCGCAATCACCTCGTAGATCTGTGAACACATGGAGAAGGCTTCGCTTCCGCTCTCGCCTGCGCGCCCGCGCCCGCGCCCGCAGTCCAACGACTCGGTCTTCAAGCGCATTGCTCTCGCGCTGCTATGTGCCACCGTCCTCATTCCCTGCGCAATCATCCTTCCTGGTCCTCGAACAGGTGCCGCTCTCCTGCGCAACCTCGTTCTCACCCAGAGCCCAAGCCAACATCCAATGTCTTCTTCTGTCCCCCTCAATACCACTTCTGCTCCCCTAGAGGTCTTTCAAGTCTACGACGACCCCCTTCTCTCCGTCACAGATCCTGTCGCCTCCGTCGTCGTCATGGACCACGTCTTTGGCTTCTCCTACGGCCGTCCCTTCGTCGGCAAATACACTCCTCCCAATCTCGACTTCAACCGAGTTCTCTTCACCCTCTCCGCTACCTCAAAAGGCAGACAATTTGATCGCCTTGCCCTCGTCTTCCTCGGCGACCACGAGATCTGGCGTACCTCCACCGCAGAGCCAACAGCAAACGGCATCCATTTCGGATACACAAAAGATCTCTCCCACTTCCTCTCGCTCTTCAAATCTGACCAAAAACTCATCTTTGAAATGGGTAACCTGGTCGACGATACCTACACAGGCGCCTTCCACATCATCCTCACCGCTACTTTCTACAACGACAAACTCTCCGATACTCCTCCCGATCTCATCCTCCCAATCTCGGCCCGCAGAAGCACGGCCGACAAGCCCTCTCACTTCCTCCTTCCGCAAGACTCGGCCGCCGTCCAACTCAGTCTTCCTCGCTCGGCCACAAAAGCCGTCGCCCTCATCACCGCCTCTGGAAACGCTGCCGAAGAGTTCTGGTACGCAAACATCATCTCGTCCGAAAAGGACGCGTTCCCGGGTGAGTCGATGCTCGCCCACGGCCCCCACCGCGAGGTAGGCCTCTACGTCGACAACAAACTGGTCGCCTCCACCTTCGCATTCCCCATCATCTACACCGGCGGCATATCCCCCGGCTTCTGGCGTCCCATCGTCGGAATCAGCGCCTACGACGTGCCCATGTACGAGTTTGATATAACCCCTGCTCTCCCTCTCCTCTGGGACGGCGCCAAACTCGAAATCAAGGTCCTCACCGGCGACGCTCTCGAGCCAGTCATCGAGCACGACTGGGTCGTTTCCGGAAACGTCTTGGTCTGGACATCGCCCGAATTGACCGCTACTGCCGGAAAGCTCGTCGAGTTTGACATTTCGCCGCTGAACGTGCTCAATCAAGTCACCAAGAGCACCGACAATTCCGAGCTCAACGTGACCTCCGTCGCCAGTCGATCCGGCAAGCTCTCCTCCGAAATCACATACTCCAACTCCGCCGCTTCGTCAAAGCCATTCAAGAAGATCTTCTCGTCAGAGTGGGCCCTCAAATCTGATAATGTCCAGCAGTACGCGCGATCAGGTCAGCACCAGCGCGTCACTGCGCAAACCGACATCAGCCAATCCTCATCCCTCCTCGGCGCCCGCGGGCTCTCCTACCCACTCGACCTCACCACCGCCTACCAACTCTCCCCCGTCCTGAAAATCACCGCCGAGCTCGCGCGCGGACTCACAGACGACATCGACAAACAAAGCAGTCTATGGACCCACCAATCCGGCAGCGCGTACTACATCGGCCAAGACGCACAAGGCAACGGCCCCTTCGGCGGCGGCGAAACCGAGCAAGGCTTTATCAGCGGCGCCGTCTCCGGCTCGCAGTACTGGCGCACCGTCCGCGCCGTGAACGGCAACGTCGTCCGCGATCTCGAGGTCAGACATCTCGCCGACGACGAGGACTCCGGCGCGCTCGTCGACAAAGACGAGCTCATGTCGGATCAAGACCGCGACGGCGACGAGTTCAGAAGCCAAGTCCGGCCGGGCAACGGCGAGAACGTCATGTTCTCTGGTTGTTTGGACGAGTATAACCAGCGCGTCGCGACCTCGGACGTTAAAATCAACGCTAGCGAAGACGAGCAGTTGAAAAAGTGCATCAAGCGCATGTTTGGTCGGGGACCGATATGACCTGCAGATTACTTTTTTTGATAGAATTTGTGTTTTTATGAGGCGTGGCGGGTCGGTGTTTATGGACAGTGTTTAATAATCAGCAAAATGTTTGTAGTTTTCCCTTTTTCTTCTTGTTTGATGCATTAGATGGTTTTGATTAATGTACTTAAAACACAAAGTCAACTTCTCTGATTCACAATCTTAAATGCCAAAAGCGAGTACAATTGCCATTTCCTGAACAGCAATTTCCAGAATTTTGCCAAATTTATTAAACGTGGCGAACGTGACACTGATCATTCTGATTTGAACTATCGACGGATATCTTTCGACCTACGCTCATTTTTGGTCTTTAGCAGTTGATTTCACGACCACAAAATATCTGATTATGAAAAGTAATTTTATTTTTCTTCTCTTTTGTCTAAAAATCTCTATATCTCCGCAACTGTATGAATATAATGAAGTTATCATTCAACTATAACCAGCATTTTCACGCGTTTTAGACCAAACCAGTAGAAGCCGCAAGACGTGCGGAACGTCGATAGTTTCACAGCGCCGGCGCATTCCGAGAAATTCCAGATTTGACCTTTGTCTGCTTAAGCACGATAAGCCTGGTTAGAAGCAAAGAAGCAGATCCAAAGACTTGTGCTGCTCGATTATCTTTATTACCGGGCATATTTATTGGGTATTCCGGGGGTGACTGGATAGCAAGACTATTTTGCGGAGGAGGAATATAGAAATGCGGGGGCCACTACTTACTATCAGAACCGCTGCTATTCGTCGGAACATTGCGCGCAGCACATCTGTTCAGAGCAACCGCTTGTTGTTGAATACGTCCTACCGTGTTGCGGCGAGATCAAGACAGGCTGAGAGGTTATGTGGTTGCTGGCGTCGTTGGTCGAGTTCTGCTGCTGTGAAGACTAAGAAAGTCGAACCATTTGTCGACCGGAGTATGTTATCTGCTTGTTGATTCACCTATGTAAGACTGTTACTGATCACGATGTCGCCTAGCACCGCTTGAACAATATGATTATCTGGTCGGCAAAGGACTTTTACGCGACGACTCGTTTCAGCGCGGGATCGTGTCGTTGCTAGTCGAGCTACATGACGGAATCTCGAAATACCACCCGCCGCCGGTCGAATACCCAGATATCGAATCCCTCAAACCAAAAAAAGGCCTCTTCAAACTCTTCTCGCGCGGCAAGAACTCCGACGCTCCGCAGATCGACCTTGCGACCGTGCCCAAAGGCATCTATCTCTACGGCGACGTCGGCTGCGGCAAGACAATGCTCATGGACCTCTTCTACTCCACGATCCCGACCACCGTGCTCTCCAAGCGGCGCATCCATTTCCACGCCTTCATGCAGGACGTGCACAAGCGCAACCACGCGCTCAAGCGCGAGCACGGCGCAGACTGCGACACCGTCCCGTTCCTCGCCGCCGCGCTCGCGGACGAGTCCCGCGTGTTTTGCTTCGACGAGTTCCAGGTCGTCGACGTCGCCGACGCGATGATCCTCCGCCGGCTCTTCGAGGCCCTGATCCACCACGGCGTCGTCTTCGTCATCACGTCCAACCGCGCGCCCGACGAGCTCTACAAGAACGGCATCCAGCGACAGTCATTCATACCCTGCATCGAGCTTATCAAGGAGCGGCTCCAGGTGATCTGCCTCGACTCGCCCACCGACTACCGCCGCATCGAGCGCCCGCTCAAGAACGTCTACCACTCGCCTCTCGACGCCGAAGCCAAGCAGCACGCGCAGAAATGGTTCGACTACTTCGCCGACCCGCGCGACCCTCCCCATCCCGCCTCCCACACCATCTGGGGCCGCGAGCTCAAAGTTCCCCGTGCGTCCGGCGGCGTCGCGCAGTTCAGCTTCGAGCAACTGTGCGGCCAGCCCATGAGCGCGGCGGACTACCTCGAGCTCGCGCGGAATTACCACGCGTTCGTCGTGACCGACATCCCGATCATGACGATGAGCAACAAGGACAAGGCGCGCCGGTTCATCACTTTCCTCGACGCGGTCTACGAGAGCAAGGGAAAGCTGATTGCGACGTCCGAGGTCCCGTTCGCAAACATCCTGGTCGACGACCGCAAGAAAGACGCCAAGCCGGCGGCTGACGTGTCTGCGATCGAGTCCGGCATGACGGGCGACGAGGGTATCGAGGATAGCTTGCGCGAGCTGCATATGTTTTCGGGAGATGAGGAGGTTTTCGCGTTTGCTCGGGCACTTAGTCGGCTGCAGCAGATGTCGAGCGCACAGTGGGTTGATGCATAGTGTACATATATCTAATAGACGGTTGCGTTTTTTCTTGATCTAAAATAGAAATAATAGCTGCGTAGTATATACATTCGTTCGTAACTAACTATTCCAACCAGACTTCAGCTTCTATATACATTTGCAACCTCCCAGAAACCAAACCACAAACCAATTAGTATCCCCGACCCCGGTACTTCTTGAGCAAAAAGAACGTAGACTTGAGCTCTTCCTGGAACTTGAGCTTGCCCTTCTGCATCACGCGCATCTTGCGCATGCGATTCGGCTTGACATATCGCTGGTAGCCCATAAAATGCGTTCTGATCTTATTATTCATCACGATCCTCTGCAACTTCCGCAGCGCAAACAGAAGCCCGTTCCGTGACGGCTGGACTGTGACTGTGCGGCCAATGTACGGCCCCAGTTTCGGCATCGCGCCGAGCGACACCGGGCCCGGTCTCGCGATCTCAGGCAATGACAACTCGTCCTGAGACACCATCTTTGGTTCGACCAGGGCAACGAATTTCACCCTGCTTGTGTTTGCTCCTGCTGGTTGCGACGACGACAACGACCGGATGGTGGTGGTGAACGGTGCAGCGTACAGCGCCCGCACCGCAGATGGCAGATATGGTGTCCGCGGACTGACCGTCGCCAGCCGACTTCGCATTGTGCTGAGGAAGCTCATGGTGGTGCTTCTCGTGAACAGTGAAGTTGATACCGAAGCTCGAGAGTCGAGAAAATCCCGATGGTTTGCAAAAATCAGGAGTCGAGAAGTTGTGCAGGAAGCAGCTGTGCGGTTGTGCCATAAACACGCAGATTATGCACACGTGAATTCAACCTTTAGAGCATCGCTTTTTTCTAACCTTCCTCACAAGACTTGTTGATTTCTGATCAAAGTAATCAGCAGAACAGTTCAAATTCACGCAGACCGGGAGACGAGCACGTTTGTTGTTTCTAAATTCAGCACGTTGAACTACTTTAGTGGCCTGTGGCAACTTGTGGCCGGTCAGTTTGTGCGCGATTGTCATCTCGTATCCAGATTGCGCGCGAGAGAGAATAAAGATCGAGACTGAGATATCAGCATAGGACTTTGAAAGATGTCCCAATATCCTCCTGGTACATTGAAGATACTACTGTTGACAAAGAGACTTATTCTTAGATAAACTATCTCGCTAACTGAAAAACAGGCAACTTCCCACCACCACCTGGGTTCGTGATCCCCCCGTTCCCTGGGTCAACCGCCGACGCCGCTAAAGCTATGCCGCAGATACCGGGTGCTCCGACCGCGGTTCCGCCGCCGTTCATGGCACCCGGCGCAGTCCCGTTCCCGCTGCCGATGATGCCATTCCCGCCGGGATCTGTGCCGCCCGGAGGCCCAGGTGCGTTCCCCCCACCACCAACCCTCTCGAGCCATCTTCCTCCTCCTTTGGTTGCTGGAAACCCCGTCGGTAGCAATAACATGAGCAACAGCAGCAACGACCGGAAACCGGACGCGATCTCTGCCGCGCTGGCAAACATGCCGATCGTGAACATCAAGTTCTCGTTTCTAACAGACCCGGCAATCAAGCAGCCTACGGTCGACGAGCAAAACCGGACGATCTTCATCGGCGAGGTGCCTGACGAGCTTGACGATTTCTGGCTCGGCAGGGTACTCAAGACCTCTGGTGAGATTGCTTCTTGGGTGCGCATTAAAGACTCATTAGGAAAGCCAAAGCCCTGCGCGTTAGTCGAGTTTGAATCCATCGCCGCGCTGAGCAACGCGGTCAAGGTTCTGCAGGAGGTAGTGATTCCCGGCGTTGAGGTTGAAGAAGGCGAGGCGGTTGAGGACGAGGAGAACGCACCGGTACTACGGAAACCTAGCAAGTTGCGAATCACATACTCGGACGAGACGAAAGATTTAATAGCTGAGCTCGTCAATTCACAGTCATCATCATCATCTTCAGCAGCAGAAAACAATAACGACGACGCCAGTCCGACGCTGCTGGACGCGAGCACAATCAAAAAGACAGCCGAGGAAATCGAAGAGTTATTACAGACATGGCTGGAACCAAAGTCCAGGAACGAGTACAAGGAAAAATACATCGCAGAGCATCCCGACGAAGAGCGCGAGGCAGCGACGTTTGATTTCTCGAAATCGTCAACGATCAAGCCCGACGACGAAGAGCTCGCGGATCTGCCTCCCGAGCAGCGCGCGATCGTCATCCAGGAAATCACGTCGTTCCGAGAACGCGCGAATCAGCGGGAACGCGAGCGGATCAAGCGCGAGGAAGAGGTTGAAAAGCAGCGGTTGGCGCGGATGCAGGAAGAAAAGATGAAAAAGAGTCGCGAGCAGCAGTCGATGTCGCCGATACCGTCGCACCACGGGAATAGCTCGGGCACGAGTTCTCGTGGAGTTACGTCGCTGATGTACTCTGAGCCGCTAGACTTTGTCAAACGCAAGGGAGCGAAAGACGACGAGGAAGAAGAAGAAGACGTGCTGGGATCGGACGGCAGACCGCTGACTGATGAGGAAATCGAGGAGCGCCGGAAGGATATGCATGAGGACGACTTGGAAGCCCAGTTCATTGAGCGCGAACGACGGTATATGCGGGAAGAACACGCGCGGATAGCCAACGCAGAGCGCGAGGTTCGTCGCGAACACGAAGACAAAGAACGGTACGCGCATAACCGCGAGGCGCTGCTCAAGCGTTATGCGGAGTGGGACGACGACGAAGAGGCCGACGCACGCAAGGAGGAGTACTATCGCGATCGGTCTGCGTGGCTTCGTGCGCGGGCGATGTTCCGAACTAGGGAAGCTGAGGAAGATGCGCGCGAGGCAGAGTTTGAGAGACGACAAAAGCGCGAGGCTGAGGCTGCTTCGGGAGGTGATCAGAAGGGCGATGCGACAGGATTGGTGGACTCGTTCTTGGATAACTTGAAGGTCAGGTTGCCGGAGAAGAAAGAAGAACTACGGCGCGATGCTGGTCCTATCCGCGTATCTTTCAAGAAGGAAGAGTCTGCCTCTACAGCTGCTGCTCCATCCTCCTCTTCATCCTCTGCAGCCACACCCAAGCTTTCAGAAAACAAACCAATCTCGATCGGTCTCGCGACCAAGCCCGGTGTCGCGAAACCCGCCGCGGCGCCGTTCAAGCTCGGCGCGACGAAACTCGGCGCGGCGAAGAAGGCAGACGGAGGTGCGGTTCGTCGACCGGCTGCGCTGGGGGATGACGAAGACGAAGAGCAGGGGAAGAAGAGACGGAAATTGATTCCGCTTTCGTATGATAAGCTGAAGGAGGAGGAGGAGTAGCGTGTTTGAAAGGAGGAGTTTTTCGCTATATTTTAGATTTGTGTAGATAGGTAGTAATCTATGACGATGAAGATATGTGTTTCGTCACCTGATTCCGAAAGTAACAGTTTAGCTACAATATGTCGATGCGAGCTTCTGGCAGAAAATGAGCTATTGTAGCAAGATTCTACTTTATAAACAAAACGATTCATACAACAAAGGAAGTCCTAATGCCAGTGAATAAACAAGCTAGTTGTAAACATTTATAACTCTAGAAAGTACCTTTCCAGAGCATCCAAACACCTTTCATAAACGCAATGATAATAACAAAAACAATGCGCCGTAGGAAATCATGGACTTAAGAAGCCACCGCATCAGCAATCGAATTATTGCCGCTCCGAACAGCAACGATGTCTTCCCTCTCAACTTCATAGTTCGCCTGCGCTAGAGCAATCACGTAGTTTTCGAAATCGTAGACCGCGTAGGCTGCATTGAGAAAGAAGTCGCCGAGAATATATGAATATGGATCGTTGCTCGGGGCGACGGATATAGCACACGTATCGTGGTCGTCATCGGAGAGAGACTGGACGACGTACGCGAGAGGCACTTTGATGGTTATGCCGTCGAAACCGAAAATCACAGTATAGTTGCTGGATCCATCGTCGAATGATACATAGTCTTGACAGTTGCTGAATATGTACGCGTCGTATGTGGAGTTGAGCTCGGCGCCGAGGTAGTCAACGAGATCCATGAACAAATCGGTCGGAAGGTTCATACCAGTGGTACCCGAGTCAAGAACAAAAGCCGTGTTTATACTTGAGTTGAAGGTCTTAGTCTTCTTATCCGGATTTTCTATCCCGAATGACTGGAGATAAACTCTCAGATCCTGGTATTGGCCTTCATCATTCGGCGCGATAGGCAATGATACCAAGTCACCATCGTACTTTGCCCGATCAATACCACCAAAGAGAAGATTACCAGCCGAACCAAGATCGTTGGTGTAGAGTGAATACACCATAGAGGAAATATATCCCTGGTCTTTCAAAGAGTGAAGTACTCCATTGTATTTAGTAGCTGCGGATTCGACAGACTCGAAACCCACGCCCATGAGACCGCTCGAGATATTTCCTTTCGAGGCAATAGCGAACGTCTGGTTCAACAGCGTCGCGCCGCCGACTCCAAAGGTTTCAACAGCATAGACACCTTTAGCGTATGTATTATCCAGATAAGAGAGATAGAAAGCTTCCTCAAGTCGACTGACGGTCGAAGAAGCTGAGCTGTTGTATGTCCCATAAACGCACGGATCGTCTGAATCAGGGTCTTCACAGAACGGGTTCGCCGCAGTCTGGACCCAAAATTCTGAGGAACCAGTATCGATAATAAGACCGACTTCCTGCGGAGGAGTGCCAATCGTGATATTAGCAATCAGAGAGTTGTCCGAGAACTCGAATGGAAGCTGGATCCAGCCGCCTTCGTCTGCGAGCGCATCGGTCGACGACTCTACGCCCGCGCGACCGAACCCGTAGAAATAGAACTGGGTCTCTGCCGCCACCACCGACGCAGCAGCGACAGAGAGCAGGAGAGAGCTTTGGAGTCTCATGATGGTTGTAATTGATGTGAATTGAGCTGTAGGGAGTCGAGGGGACTCCCGCAGCTGCTTTTATAGAGCCCCACGGTTGCAGCTTTGTTCAGCCTCTTCGCCTTTATTAAAACCCTACTCGAACTTAGTTCAACAGCTACAAAGAGATGCTTATGATGTATTTCTAACCAAAATTACCAGGATAACAAAAATAAACAAGACCAAAAGCAAATGAACACCAAGTGAACGTCATACAGATAAGACAAAAAAAGAAAAATTCAATGCACTCATTCGTTACTCAGTCAAATCAGCGTTGCCGAGCTCGTAGACGAATCCCAGGGTAAGCTTGGCGTGCTCGGCCATGTGCTCGAACGAGAGTCTGTCGATGGTATCCCGAGTGGAGTGGATGAACGGGTTCGAGTCCTTGAACGACGACTCGATCACGAACGCGGACGGGTATCCGACCTTCGCGGCGGAGGCGTGGTCGGAGCAGGCGTAGCCGCACTCGGTCTCGACGTAGGGGATCTTGCTGTAGGACGAGACGACCTTCTTGATGAACTCGGTGAGACCCGGGTGGACAAAGTCGGTGATGACGCCGAGCGACTCGGGCAGACCGTTGTCGAGCGTCTTCTTGACGTATCCGGTCATGTCCTGCTGGAGCATGGCAGCGACCTGGATCTTGCGCTTGGCGTACTCAGCAAAGATGGCCTGCGAGCCCAGAAGACCGCCTTCCTCGGCAGAGTACCAGTGGAACTCGACGGTGTTGTTGGGGGTGAAGCCGTTGCTGACCAGGGTGCGGAAGGTCTCGAGGATGGTGACGGTTCCGGATCCGTCATCGTCAGCACCGGGGGCACCGAAGAACGAGGGGAAGATGAGGTTGATCGAGTCCTGGTGGGCACCGACAACGACGGTGCGGTCCTCGGCAGTACCAGCCTTAAGACCAGGGATGCGAGCGATGAGGGAAGTCTGGGGCCAGGCGTGGTGGAAGGGGAAGACCTTGATGCTGGGGTTGACAGCAGCGACGGCCTTGACGGTATCGAAGAGCCACTGCGACGAGTCCGCGCCGGTGGGCGACTTGTAGTATCTGGTGTAGAACGAGGTGAAGTTCTCGAGGTTGACCTTCATGTTGTCGATGCTGATGTTGGCGAGCATGGGCGAGGCCTGGTCAAAGTACTGGACCTCGGCGGGATAGGTGACGTTGATGGTCACGGCGGGAACGGCCTCGTCGCTGGAAGCAAGCTCGGTGATGTCCATGAATCGCTTTCCGGCCTGTTTGTTTGTTAGATTGAAAATCACCAGTGAGAAGTAAGAGATATACATACGCGCTTCATCTGGAGCTTATCGGCCTCGGTGATCCACTGCTGGGCACCGGTGGCGGTCTCGATGAGACGGAGCTCGTTGGGGTTGAAGAGAGACTGCGTGTTGTACTCGGAGAGCAGAGCAGCAGAGGCTGCCGAGGCAGACACTATGGCGGAGACTACAGATGTAAAACGCATTGCTGTTGAATAAAAGTTGGTGATGATGATGTCGAGAAGGAGTAGCAGCAGCAGAGCATTTTATATCAGCAAAGCGCACCGGCGAACCCCGACACCGGATGACGTATTGGGAACACCCTAACCCTCTACTCGGCCTTCTCAGATCGGATTGCTGGGGTTTTGTAAACAAACCAGGCTGCAAATGTTTTCTTTTCTACAGAAGCCAGTGAATGACGTAGAATTGTACAATTGTTCTATAGCTACTCAAAACATAGACCTCCTCAGTCGGTCTTCTCCAAGAGATCTATGTTCACCTCTCTCAGCGCCTCAACTGCCCATTGCGGATATTTACTCTTGTCTCCAGCGTAGAGCGTAGAGAAGAAGTCTTTTACAAACTGCGGGAAGCGGTCGTCTATGATTGCGCGACGCGCAGACCGCATGAGCTCGAGCTGGTAATGCACGTTGTGCAGCGTGAGTAGATGCGCACCCGTTGTTTCCTAGACAATGCATTAGCTTCGCAGGCATCTACAAACAGAGATCACGAAACATACCTTTGCAGCAAGGTGATGGATAAAGGCTCGTGTGATACCCATCCCTCCGTCCTCTTTAGATCTGCAGATAGGACATTTGCAGCCCTTTTCGACAGGACTAAAGTCTGCTTCATAGCACTTGTTTCGAAGATTCACGATCCCTTCGGCAGTGATTGCGTTTCCGAATCTCTGTAGTAACAAAAGCACGTCAGCCAGCTCTTTTTTTCATAGTTCACTGATATGGGGAGCGTACAGCCGTGCGGGTGGGATACACGCAATCAAACAGATCAACACCCATTGCGACCGAAACTATCATATCCTCCGCATATCCCTAGAGACTGTCAGTAGCAGTCCACACAGATGAAGAGAATGCAGAAATACATACGACTCCCATACAGTATATAGGCTTATTGCGCGGAAGCAGGTTCGTGCAATGGTTGACACTGTATCGCAAACGTCAGTACACCACTCCACTACAAAATAGACAGACAATTGCATACACTTTACAGTACTGATCCTTATCCTCACCCCCAGACAATCCACCGATAGCAATTCCCGGCGTATCCCTTTTCTGCATTTCAGCACAGCAGATCGTACGAAGATCAAGGTCCAGACAGCCTTGGATGATTGCAAACAGGTTTTGCTTGTCCGGGTTCTTGTTGGCTTTTATGCACCGATCTAGCCATCGTATACTGCGATACATCGCCTCTTCAACTCTGGGTCCCTTGGTAAGAGTGGCTACGACATCGTCCAGTTGCATTCTACTATAGTCAGCAACCACATAATTCTAACTCTGTAATAAATGACACTATACGTACATGATATCAGAGCCTATGCTGTTCTGGAGCTCTATCGAGTGCTCAGGGGTCAGCAGCATCGGGGAGCCATCGTGCGGACTCAGGAACCGGACTCCTTCTTCTGTAATTGTAGCCAGCTTCAAGAGCGACACCATTTGAAATCTTACTTTGTTAGTTTCCTCTAACAACAACCAAAAGAGAGTATGAACTGTACCCTCCACTATCTGTTTTGAAGCTGTTAGCATACCGACTTGATCTAGAATATATCATGGGGCAAGAACATACCTGTCAGAATGTTATGAGGCCATGACTGTAATTTGTGTGCACCGCCAATTGTGTCCAGCACCTCTTGGCCAGGCTTGAGTCCTCTACATAAGAACATCGTTAGAAATATACGAAAACGTCAAAACAAACCGACATACAGATGATAGGTGTTGTTGAGACATATCTTGCATCCAAGATCATCCAGCTGCTCCGGCGTCAGTCCTTTCAGCGAAGCCTGCGTCGCCACAGGCATAAACATCGGAGTCTCGACCTACAACCTCTGTTAGAATTGCATCTCAATAGCAACCTACACAAGTAGCAGTCATACCAATCCGTGGGGCATTGTCATATTCGAGGCTCGCGCTTTCGAGGACGAGCACTGCGCCACGACCTCGAAGGTCATCGCCGCAGTTTTCGACACCGGCGGAAGCGCCCTCTTCATCGCAGACTTTACGGACAGCAGGGTTTCTTGATCAGCACAGCCGCCTCTAGCACAGCAGAAGCAGACGACAGTATTCGAGTCGGGGTGGTGGAAATATTTCTGGAGTGGACAAAGAGCGCCGCACGGAGAGTTGAGGTTTGCGTAGAAAAGTCTGTCGCGGTGTTTTGAGGTTTGTGCAGGGATGAAAGTGCCCCGAGCCCGGTCAAAGGCAATGCTGCCAGAGCATCCGCGGGTTTTGTTTATGTTTTGGCTGTTGCGGTCTTGAGAAGCTCCTGGTATTCGATATTAGCTGATAATGGTCTGTTGTTTTGAGTAAACTACTGCCAGTTGTTGATATTCTCCTCAGTGTAATCCCTCAGCCAGCTCGACACCTCTGCAATTCGTTATCTGCCGCCATGAACCGGCTAGGAAAAGGCTCGGTCCTGTTCATCGGCATCCTCTTCCATCTCATTTATCTATGGTCAATCTTCGACATCTACTTCATCACCCCGCTGGTGCATGGCATGCGCCACTTTGTCTCCACCGAGGAGGCTCCCGCTAAGCGTCTCTTCCTCATAGTCGGTACGTTACCACCATCGCCGCCGGTACCCGAAGCGCTTCTAACATCAGCTACACAGGTGACGGACTGCGAGCTGACAAGTGCCTCGGCACACGATATAACGCGACCACGGATGCATACGAGTATGCTGCGCCGTATTTGCGGTCAAAGATCCTGGACGAAGGAACTTTTGGTGTGTCGCATACTCGGATGCCTACAGAGTCCCGTCCCGGACATGTCGCCATAATTGCTGGCTTTTATGAGGACGTCAGCGCGGTAACCAAAGGTACAGACAGCTGTGTATCCAGTTTTTTTGAGCTGATTTTCGTGCTGACTACTTTGAATGACAGGCTGGAAGGAGAACCCGGTGAACTTCGACTCGGTCTTCAATCAATCGCGCCATACGTGGTCCTTCGGCTCGCCTGATATATTACCAATGTTTGCGCTTGGCGCTTCCGATCCAGAGAGGGTTGAGACGTTCATGTACGGGCATGAATTTGAGGATTTCACAAAAGGTAGGCAATGCAATCAAGTATGGTTGACGAATCTAGAGCTGACGAGTTCATTCTCGACCTGCAGATACGCGCGACCTAGATACGTTTGTGTTTGACCATCTCGAGAGACTGTTTGCGAGCGCAAAGACAGATCCAAAAATAGACGCAGCACTTCGACAAGACAAAATCGTGTTTTTCCTCCACTTGCTCGGTATCGACACCGCGGGCCATGCAAGCCGACCATACTCGCTGCAGTACTTTCAAAACATCCAGCACGTCGACCAAGGCGTACAGAAGCTAGAGAAGCTTGTCAATGAGTTTTATAATGACGATAAGACCGCTTGGGTGTTTACTGCCGATCACGGAATGAGTGATTGGGGCAGTCACGGCGACGGACATCCTGATAACACGCGTACGCCGTTGATTGCCTGGGGTGCGGGTATTTCGAAACCGGATAAGGAGAATCCTGTCGGTCATGACGAGTTTTCGGAGCCGTGGGAGCTTAATTCCGTCAAGCGCGTGGATGTCGAACAGGCAGATATCGCGTCTCTTATGGTAAGCGGTTTATATGATAGTAGTCTGAGCAGTACTAACATACGAGATCTATAGACGTTTTTGGTCGGATTACAATATCCTGCCAACTCGGTTGGCCGGCTACCATTGGAGTTTTTGGACGCGTCCGTGTCAGTGAAGAGTAAAGCAATTGTGGCTAATGCAAAAGCCATATTGGAGCAATACCGCATTAAGGAGGGTAAGTATACTGAATGCTGCTAGCGGGGAGCATCATGACTGACGCAATCATATAGCCCAGGTTGAATCGTCAGAGCTCAATTTCAAGCCATACCCATTGATTGAGAATAGCACCAGTAGTTTAGACAAATTGGTTGATGCAGCGACTTCAGCAGACAAGACTGGAGATTATGATACTGCGATTGGTCTCTCGTATGAGCTAATGCAGCTTGGCTTGCAGGGTCTTCGGTACCTGCAAACTTATAACTGGCTGTTTTTACGAACGTTGGTTACGCTGGGTTTCGTGGGCTGGATTTTCTACGCTCTCACCTCCTTTTTGGATTTTTATATTTTGCCCACGAAGATCGAGCCCTCTTCTGGATTATTTGTAAGTATCATCGAGAAGTTTTGCTGTCGAAGAATAGTAGCTGACTGGTTTATAGTTCTCGTCTCTTGCTGCTATTGTCTTTTCGATCGTGTCTGGAGCACTGTACTTGCAGCATGCGCCATTCATGCATTACCTGTATGCCATATTCCCGGTCATATTTTGGGAAACGGTGCTAGAGTACCGCACTTCGCTGCTAGAAGGCCTGAAGATCCTGGTCTGGAAGTCTGGCAGCAAAGAGCCAAACACGGTAGGAAAGCTTTTGGTTGAGATTATTGCGTTCTTTGCACTTATGGAGGCCATCGTCGTGGGATATTTCCACCGAGAAGTGTTTTCGGTCATTTACATGATGCTGTCTGTGTGGCCGTTGATTCAGAACTATGAGTTGAGCAAGAAAAATAAAGCGCTGGTGCTTACGTGGATCGTTACGTGCTTTGCGATGAGCTCGTTTACGCTGCTGCCGGTCATCAAAGTCGAGAGCATCACGCAGATCTTGATCGCTGGAGTTTTGATGACAGTCTTAGGAGCCGCTGGTACGATTTATCTCTCGGTGAGGCCGAAGAAGGACGGACAGAAGCTGAATAATGTTACAATGGTCATCTTTGGAATCCAGCTTGGCTTGATTGTGCTGTCGATGTTTGTGACGTACTCTACGGTGGATTCGCTGCAGGAAGGCAAAGGTCTTCCGTTTGGCAATCAGATTGTTGGGTGGACAGTCTTGATGGGATCGATTGTGGTTCCGTTTATGCACATGAAGTATCGCTATCATGACTACAAGACCCGGCTGCTGATTCTTTTCCTCGCGTTTGCGCCTACTTTCATCTTGCTTACGATCTCATACGAAGGTCTGTTTTATGTAACCTTCTTTGTCAATCTTGTGTGCTGGGTTGATTTAGAGCTCAAGGTCTACGAGGACCGCCGCACGATCGCGGCTGCCGCGGCAGGAAAGAATGGTACAGAGAAGAAAGGCGGAGCAGCTGCTGAGCGCAGACTGGAGCTGGCCGACGTGCGCATCGCGCTGTTTTTCTTCTTCTTGACGCAGATTGCGTTTTTCGGAACAGGAAACGTCGCTAGTATTTCCTCATTCTCACTCGATTCTGTCTACAGACTGCTGCCGGTCTTTGACCCGTTTTCCATGGGGGCTCTGCTGATATTCAAGATCCTCGTGCCGTTCGCCGTGATCTCTGCCGACCTGGGTCTGCTGACGCAGCGGCTCGGCGTGAAGCCGTCGTCGCTGTTCACGATGGTGCTCTCAATTTCCGACATCCTCACGCTTAATTTCTTTTACCTGGTGCGCGACGAGGGCAGCTGGCTTGATATCGGAATGAGCATCAGCCATTTCTGCATTGCCAGCTTGCTGTGTGTGTTTGTGATTGCGCTTGAGTACTTTTCGGAGACGCTGGTCAGCGGGGTGACTGTATAGAGAACCGCCGAAGCAATGTAATATATACCATAATTTTATAAAATAGTCATAATCATGTTTAATACAACATCCTTCTTTGTTCAAGATCCAGCAGCAGCCGTGCAGAGATCCAAGCTCAGCTCCAAGGATTGCTAAGCGAAGATCATCACGTGATGTCATGTGACCACCGAGAGATGGCGATGACGCGGGCGAATAATGCCGGGCCCCCGATCGGTAAATGAACGCTGCTTTTGTTGCTGCTGCCTCTGTTCCTCAGTCTGATAACCTCGAGTTTTCTTCTATTCACACTCAACAGACCTGAATCAGCTCATCCACGTACATCTGATGGCCGAAGACTCCAGCCAGGACGAGTCCTCCTCGACTCAGAACCCTAACGGGAAGCAGCACGTCAGCTATCGTCGGGCGCGGGCCTCGAGAGCCTGCGAAGTGTACGTCTTCTTTCTCTATCTTTCTTGCTGTTCTTCTGATCTTCCGCAGAGCCGCGTCTTCTAACTACTCTCGTCGTGTTTCTAGCTGTCATTCGCGAAAGGTAGGCGTCGATCAGTGCCGGAACATAGTCCTGGGCGCGAACCTCATCGCCCGGCCCCCCAGGCGCATGTGACAAAAACAGCCAATGCTAACTCACGATCCCTCGTCTTCCAGGTCCGCTGCGATGTCACAAACCGCATGCCATGCACCGTAAGTCTATTCAGAAGCACTGCCGAGCCACGTCCTTTCTCTGGTCTCGTTGTTCTAAGTGCTGTTCGGCTCGCTAACATTTCCCACAGAACTGCGTTGCGTTTGGATGCGAGTGCAAGTATGATTTCTAAGCTGTCGCGCAGACACTTCCTCCGCCCACTAACGCCTTTTTTTTTCCATCAGGATCCCTGACGCTCGTCGTCGCAAGGTCTCAGATCATTCGTAAGTTCTCGTCCTCTGATACCTCACCACCCGACCTGTTATTGTCGATGGTGACGATCGAGCTACCGTGCTGACAGCAGCCCTTGTAGATCCACAAAGCGCGAAACAGATATAATCAGCAAATCTCTCTCGTCAGTAGACGTCTCCAGAGCTCCCAGCGAAAGCCTCGATGTTGTGTCCACTCCGGCCGGAGCCAGTCGACGGAGGCGGAAAGACACGCTGGAAAGCGGAGGTGGTCACGAATCAGGCGACGATGGCGACGACGAAGACGACGGTGACGATATCGAGAAGCAGCCTGACCCTCAGCAGATCCTACCCCCCAAGCGGACTAGAAAGCCAGACGAACCAGACGACAAGCAGTCGAAAAAACGCAAGGAGGGTCCGCAACGGGTCGGTGGATTGGCGGCGGCGACACTGATCACAGCTGGCCAGAATACCACCGAGACAGCCGACGCTTGGATCAACATGCTCTCCTCACATACTGCAGGCACAAGCAGTGTACGCCGGTCTGGAAGAGTCGCGTATCTCGGCTCGTCGTCGAATCTGAGCCTGCTTGTACAATCCAAAGCGGGCGACACCGAGGTTTGCCACTACCCGCTCCCAGACGAGCTGCGCGTAGGTTCTGCGCGCTTGAACGAGCTTGATCCAGAGGAGATCGAGATCCTGAACCGCCGTGGCGCGTTCCTGCTTCCTCCCCGCGATATCTGCGACGAGCTCATCGAGTGCTATTTCGCGACCATCCATCCGATCGTGCCGATGATCAACCGGACGCAGTTCATGCGCCGCTACAACGATCCAAAAGATCCGCCTTCGCTATTACTTTTGCAAGCAGTCCTCCTCGCTGGAACCCGTGTCTGTCGTAACCCTGCGTTGCTGGATAACCAAGGGTCAGCCGACCTAGCGAGCTTGACAATCTACAAGCGCTGCAAGGCGCTCTACGACGCAAACTACGAAGACGACAGAATCTCGATCGTGCAGTCGCTCATCTTGCTGGGATGGTGGTGGGAGGGACCCGAGGATGTGACGAAGAACGTCTTTTACTGGACCCGCGTCGCCCTCTGCGTCGCCCAGGGTTTCGGGCTTCATCGCAGCGTTGAAAAGTCCCAACTCAGCGTTGTCGACAAGCGTTTGTGGAAACGTCTGTGGTGGGTCTTGTTTGTAAGTTCTTATCTTCAATCTGTGAACTTACTTCTCTACTTATTTGCTAACTTTTGGTGTGAAGAGTCGAGATAGAAACGTCGCAATCGCCCTCGGCCGACCGGTGCTGATCAACACAGATGACACAGACGTTCCTATGCTTACTGAGGAAGACTTCATAGAAGAAGAAGGACCTGGCCCCTACGAGTATCCGCCCAACACACTACACGTGCAGCACTTTATCCAGTCGCTGAAGCTGTCGGAAATCATGGGGCTGGTCTTACGCCAGCAATTCTCCGTCGCGTCCGAAAACTCGAGATCAAACAACCGTAGCCCGGATATCACACATTCCGACATGGCCCTTGGCGCGTGGATGAACAATCTTCCCCAGGAGCTACGGTACTACGTCAACGAGCCAGAGTCGCACGATTTTTTCAAAGCTCTGCTTCATCTGCAGTACTACACCGTTCTCTGCTTGCTGCACCGGACCAACATGTCGCAGTCCAAACCGCAGCTGTCGTCGGTCGGAAGCAGCTATCTGACGTCTTATCCCTCGCGGGGGATTGCGTTCCAGGCAGCACATATGATTGCCCGCATTGTTGAAAACATGATGAACCGACAAGAGTTGCGCAACGCGCCCGCGTTCACGGTGTATACACTCTTCTCTGCGATGATTATGTTTGTCTACCAAACCAAGTCGCACTCGCCGCAAGTCGTCCAGGGTGCCCAGCGCTCACTGAAGATCTGCATGGGTGCTTTGGAAGAAGTTGGCAAGTCGTGGATGGTGGGCCGCATGATTCTGCGGCTGTTTGAAAAGATTAACGAAAACAAGCAAATGAAGGACCGCATCTTCCGTGCCGTGAATCCGCGCCCGCTACCGCAGCACCAGCACAACAGCAACAGCAGCAATAACGGCGTACATAGCTCAAACCTGTCTGCCTCGTCGTCGATGCAGAGCTCGGGAAGCAGCAGCGGCACGCAAAGCCGCAGCACAATCGCAATGCCGCGACCTTCGTACGCAACCACGACGACGTCTACGCTACCGTTCGACTCGCCTGCCGCGCCGGTTCCGAATATCTCGTACGAGCGCACGACCTCGCGGCCGTCTACCCCTGCAGCTGCGCCGTCGCCGCTCATCCCTGGCCAGTCCAGGAGTCAGCAGCAATCCCACGATAGTGCGAGCCACTACTTTGCTTCGCGGGGAGTGAATTCCACGCCTTCCGGCGCAACTCCGTTCCAGTCAAGCGTCTCCGTGCCCGGCACGCCACCAGATTTCTTCTTTGTCACGCATTCGCCACCGCTATCGCAGACCTTTGTCGAGAATTTCCAGCCCTCGCAGCTCTTCCCTGAAGACCAAATCGCCGCCTTGCTACAGCAGCAGCGGCAGCGACAGCAGCCAAAGGACTCTTCGGCCTTGTCATCCGACAGCGTTAAACTTGAAGACGGCGAGGCGCTCAGCGTACCAAACGGCTCGGAAGCACAGACGTGGTCGGCTTCAATGACCGGCGTGGGCGAGATCGCAAATGCGCTGGATTTACTGGCCGACATTGACGTCGACCAGAGCACCCCTGAGGACGGCTCCAACGCGTCCGTCTCCGGCGCCGCGGGCCTGAGCAGTTCCGGCCACGCGACAGGGGCCACACCTGACGCTGCCGAGACCGCGGCGGCGAACATGGCCGCCGTCGAAGGCGGTACGCATTACGCTGGTGTTCCGAGCGCGGCCAGCGCGGGGGCGCCGAACTCGTTGAATATTGGGGACTGGTATAATTACCTGATGACGAACGGGGCGACGGAAGGGTTTGGCGAGGAGATGGCCGAGTTGGCGCAGGCGCGTGGGTTGACGTCGTTTTGATGAGGTGGTGTTGAATGAGAAGAAGAGTAACGTGTATGCCTTGATTAGGGAATGGTGCTGTATTATATGGGAGGAATATGGTATTTTCCTTGTTTTGTGAGCTGAACGAAAGCTTTATACGCTACTACAACGAGCTCAGTCGTTTCTTTTCTTTTGTCAATTTTGTTTTTTTTGCGAAGTCACCCACGAGGTGTCTTTTCTCTGTACGTGACGTTGGTAACTTCCGGCTGTAATTCCTTTCTTTTGTCTTTGTTTTGTGTGTTTTGAAATATTGTTTTGCTGCTGGGCAGTGATGTGGTCTGTAATTCTTGGGTCCGGTAAATGAGAGTCACAACTGTATTGTATAAGATAGAAAATTCTATGAGTTAACTTTTGTCAACATATTGACTAACTGCGTATATCATTTTTGATTTCACGAAGAGGTCTAGTCCCCATACACCTTCCACACGCAAATAAACCCGCCGTCTCCGCAGGCAACTAAATAGTCGCCATGCGGACTAAACGACAGATGCCGCACGAGTCTCTTGATGCGCGGGATGTCGAGCGTGGCGTGGGGTTTTATGAATACGAACGGGTCGGCGATGATAGATGAGCCGTCTTCGGTGTACGGTTTCCGCGGTTTGCCGTCTGCTGGGGTGTGCTGTGTCTGGTTGTGGTCTTCTTTGTGGTGGTGGTCTTGTGGGGTGAGGGGTTGTGCGGTGGGGGAGTGCTGGATTGGTGAAGAGAGAGAAGGGGGTGCGGAGGTTAGTGACGAGCCGCTACGGCGGGGCCGGGTGTTGACCTGCTGGCCTGCTTCTGCGGGAAGCACGGCGGCGGAAGGAAGGCCGAAGTGAGAGCGGGGAGAGGCACGGGACTGGATCAGCGCCTGGAGCTCGGACGGCGTGAGGACGGTGGGTTTCTTTGCGACCGCGGATGATGATGAGGAAGAGGTGGTAGTGGTTGTGGCGGCGGAGGAGGAAGAGGAGGACGAGCTTTGTTTTTGCATGAGGGTAGATGAGGTCTTTGGCTCCTCAGCGGGGGGTTTGAGAGCCCGCTTGAACGCGGCACCTGTGGGTTTAAGCGGTACATCGTCCTCAACAGGGTCGAAATCCTCATCGCTCATCCCGATAGTAGACATAGCTGTAACTGCTTGCTTGCGCGCAAACGGCAACCGGATCGACAACCCCGACCGCTCTTGATAGTCTGGCTCGTCGTAGTCGTCATCCTCTTCCGTGGTTTCGGGAATACTCCCGTGCACCGGCCCAGCATCTTTCGACTCCTCCCCATCCGATGACGAAAGATTGATCAAGTTCGCTTCCGCAACCATCCGACTCTTCCTCTGCGTCTTCTCGCCCTCGCCCTCCTCCTCGTCACTGCTAATCAACGAAACTTCAACTCTAGACGACTCGCTCTCCTCCCCGCCGCGTTTCTCCTTCTCTTTCTCATTCTCCTTCTCCGCAGCACCACGCGTCGTCTTCACCGCCATCGGCTTCGGAGGTTCCCGCCGCTTCACGCGACTTTGCCGGCCTCCGCGTGCACGGCCACGACCGCGTCTGCCGCCGCGCGGGGGTGCTCGGGCGTCGCTTTCGTCGGCGTCTTCGTCTTCTTCCTTTTTGTAGCTCTTGCTGTCGACGCGGCGGCGTTTTGGGGGGATGTTTTCTTCTTCTTCTTCATCGTCATCCTCATCGTCATCCTCATCTTCGTCGTCGTCATCATCGTCATCGTCATCATCGTCCTTCCCCTCCGTATCAGAAACCTCATCTGCCGGACCAAACGACCCGCGCGTCCGCATTCCTGCAGAACCCGCATACGCCGCCGACGGGGCCACCCAGGCCTTCTTCAGCGCAAAATGATTCCCCGGCTTCGCTCCCGGCGGCAGGGGAATAGAGTCTCTTTTTATGACTGTGCCTGCCGCGGGTTTTCTCTGCGACGTTTCAGGCTTTTCGTCATCCTCTTCTTCTTCGTTGTCGTCGTCATCGTCATCGTCGCTGACGTAGGAAGAAGAAGAGATGTAGGAGGAAGAGTGAGAATCGGATGGTGCGTCCTCGTCGTCTTCGTTGGTGAGCTCGTACTCTTTGAGCTGGAAGACATACACCTTCGCCGCGTCGTTGCCCATGACAAGCGTCGACCCACAGCCCACGCCATGGCCGATGCCGAACCTCATATACCACGGCGTGGTGTGCGGGATGCTGAACTGCAAAAGCCTCGTGAACCCACTTCCGAACGCCGAAAGCGTGTCCTTGGATTTGTCGTGGCTCGTAGGCGCGTTTTGCTGGCCGAGGTAGTCTGCGAGGTTGGACGCGAAGCCGTCGATGCGCCAGAGCACGATGCGGTGCTCTTTCGCCGCTTTGGAGAGGATGAGGTCGCCATAAAATGCCACGCTGTCGACGTAGTTTGCGTGCAGAGCGTTGGTGGTGAAGTGCGACCAGTAGAGCACGACAGGGTTGTCCGGGTCGACCTCGAGTTTATCGAGATCCGGTAGTGCCCAGAGGTCCACGCGGTTGTCCATCCCGCCGCTGACAAGGAACCGGCCCGAGTCATGGAACGCGACCGAGAGAACCTGCTCGCGGTGTCCCTCGCCCGCGCAGATGACTGCGCATGGCTGCGCGACGTACCGCTCGTCCAGGTTCCAGATGCGGATCGTGTGGTCGCCGGAGGAGGACGCGAGCACGTGGGGATGGGTGGGTGATGTTTGCAGGTCGAGAATTTCGTCACCGTGGCCGACGAGTGAGCGCACGAGCGTGCCGGTGCTGCAGTCGATGATTTTTACGACGCCGGATTTGCCGCCGACGGCGAGCCAGGGAGCGCCGGTGCGGGGGTTCGAGGTCCATGCTATAGAGCAGAATGCTTCGTCGGGCTGCAGCAGTAAGTGTTAGTACATATAGCAGATAGAGAAAAAGAAGTAAATGGGGAAGTGGATACATTGCAGTCGACGTAGGTCGCTAGGATTTTGACCTTTTGCTGTTCATTGGTACCACACGCGCAGGTCAGGACCTATATCGAGGCGAGGAGAATTAGATACGTTCTGCTCAGGTAGAAACACGTAAGTAATAAAGAGTAAACATACCACGTTGTCTCCTACAGTAGCAAAGACCTGTGGCTGGTCTCGTTTCTGGAGCGGGAAGAAAGACACGTAGTAGAAGATCGAGATGTTGTTGGTCTACCTCAGCAAGACATGTCAGGATTGAAACAAGAAAAGCATTGTAAACGAGATAAACAAAGAATAAGAGACGCACATGAACTACCCCTTCAGCTGCATATTTCTTCATGGATGGCTGCTAGCTGGAGTGAATGAGACCGGGCATCGGTTTGCTTGTGTTCATAAAGAGAAGGGGTATGTAGGATCGCGAACAGAAGAGAGAACGAAGGCAGATTCACGGCCGTAGGAATATCAGCATCACCAGAGCAGGTATTTAGTCGATATCAAAGACAAAAAAGTGCACGCACGCGCTACGACTGCTTTCGCTGCTGTTGCTGCTTCTGCTGCTGCTATATCGACGCGTAGAGTGTCGTCGAGGTGGGAGGAACAGCCATTACGCGCGAGGGGAAGACGTACGCGCACAGACGCGACACAACACTAATATGTTACCTAACTTGATTGATACTAATTACTAATATACTAAACGCATCTGAAATCTTCAGAATACAACAGCGGCACGCGTTTTTCATTCAACCAGCCAGAGCTACACTTATGGACCGATTTCGTCTCAGGTCATTGAAGTGGTCTGCGGGTTCATCTTCTGGGCATCGCAGCTGAAAATGGAAATGGAAAAAAAAATCTCGGGGTTCTGCGAGCGGCTGGTCATCGCGTCAGAGACTGAGCTCAGTTCAGCGACGTGCATGCGCTGAGAAGAAAAAGAGAGTGAAAAGAAAAAAAAAAGGAGAAAAAAGTCCAATCTGCTTTCATTCAGGACATTTCTTTGAAGTACTCTATAGATTATCTGTATTCAAACAAATGTATCAGAAAGAAGGAGTAAATGGAAATAGAAATAAAAATACATTTTAGGTTTGTTAGCGTCTCGTCTGAGGCCTCATCCTCATCGCGGCCTCGCTTCTGATTTTAGATATCACTTTCTTATCGGCCGTATGCGGAGGAGCCACTGCTGCTTCCGGCGGTGCCGTGAGCTCGTTTAGGTGTCGGGTGGTGGTGGTGGTGCTGCTGCTGTAGATGTCGTGCAGTATTCATGGCAGCCGTGTAGGCTGTGTATCTGCGTGCTGTGTTTGCGCTGGCCGTATCCCCCATGCAATGACGGCCAGATCCTGTATGCTCTCCATGATTTTATCGTCGTCTTCGTCCCATCCTCCTGTCATATTCTCGCTTGGCATGCTGCTGCTGTTTTCTTTCAGCAGTGAACTGAGTTGGGAGTTGTCCCCGAGCGGCTCAGTAGGAATTAGTGGGGTTGTGGGCACCGGCGGCGGCAGGTGCACATGGACTCCCCACGGGCTTTTAAACACACCGCTCAGTAGCTGGCCACCGCCGTCGTCCCCGTATAGAGAGGGATTTGTCGATGAAGTGGTAGAAGACGACGACGACGACGAAGAGCCGACAAGCATGGCCTGCTCAGGTGTAGTGACCGGTGTCGCGCGGCGAAGCACGACAACAAGGCCGTCAGACGAGCACGAGACCACAGCCTCGACCTCGACTCTCTCGTTCGAAATCGGACTCCGCATATTCGTACACAACCGTGAGTCCCAGACCGTCGACGGCTGCGCATGCGACCGTGGATCGCACCACAGAAAGCGCATGTATGCGATCGAATCGTTCTCCTTCGCGCGCTCGACCGCCATCTGCGCCGACACCTGACTCTCGGCATTCACGCAGTCCCAGAAGTTCCAGCCCTTGAGATCGTCGGCCGCGATGCCGAGTAAGGACTCGATCGAGTGTGTTGCGTACATCACCGGCAGCGAGAGCGACGCACGGTTGAGGATCAGAGCCGCGCGACGCTCGCGCTCGACAAACGGTTGATCGAATTTGGGGGCTAGTTGGGTTAGCATCCGGGCGCGACTGGCAGTTGCAGATGCTGATGAGTTCGCAAACGCCCGGTGAATGAGCGGAGCTAGGCGTGCGCGGTCTGATAACAGTTAGCTAAAAATAATCGTGGGAAGCATGGAGGGGGAAGCATGGAGGAATGAAGAGCAAATCAGGTACCTTCGCTTTTGACCGTCCACTGGTAGACGGATGTGGCTGCAAAGAGCACGTCAGAAACGACGGTGAGGACGCACTCGCAGCTCACCCAGGAGCCGTTGCTGTGAAGCAGCCGGAGATAGACGACGGCAGCAGCTTTGTCGGTGAAGACGATCTTGCGGTGGCTGCGTCTGCACTCGAGCAGCTCGTCCGGATGGACAAAGTCAAACACCGACCGCCGCCTCACATCCTCGGATTCGTAGCCCAGCACGAGTCCGAGCGAGTCGGACGCAAAGAGTACGCGGCAGTCACGGGTAAGATCGTGGATTGTGATAAAAGTTCTGAGAGGGAAGGAAATTAGTTAGCACGTGTGGTGAGGAGGAATTGTGCGGCGGCGATGCCCGACGACGGTGAAGTCCGGTATCGGGTCTGATTCAAGCCACGGGTCCCGTGCGCCACAGCTTCCTGCATTGTGAGGACAGAAATCGCGCGGGATGTCGGGGGATAATCGATAAAGAAAAAATGAGCAGAGCGGTGGGCGCGATTGCGGTTGATTGGTGTTGGCGGTCGTAAAAGTGGTGGTTGGTGGTGGTGGTAGTCGGAGAAGTGGCACGAACGACAGGGTAGGTGGACCAGGACGGGCAGAGACGCAATTGATGGTCGAGAGAGGCGGGGACCGGGGAAAGTGAAAGAGAAAGCGAAATGCTGCGGAGCTTCCGGGCGGGCAATCGATAACGATGAGAGGAGAAAGAAGACTTACATATCCATGTGGGCGATAAGGAGAAGGTGGAGGGGGAGAACTGGAGGTGGAGAAGGTCGCTCGTGCGCAGAGCACCCGGTGAGTAAGGAGCTGAAAAGAGAGAAGGAGAAGAAAAAGAAATCAAAGAAAAAAGAAGAGCGACGCGATTAAAAAAGGGAGGAAGAAGAGGAAGAGGACGAGAGCCGGTAGAAGAGGAGATGGGGGAAGGACAGAGAGAAGAAGGGTTTTGGGCGAGATGAGCTTAAACCCGAAAGGGGAAAGCTTCCAGAAGCCTTGCGCGGCGACACTGCGTCTGTTGCTGTACGCTAACACTGGCCCTGCGCCACTGCGCCGATTCCATTGCTGCGGTAGTCGGCACATCACCGCAGTGCACCAGACTGCGCATGATTGACGGTTGAGCAAGAAGCAGCTGCAGAGGAGGAGCAGGATGCAGGCCGAGACAGTGGAGGGCTGTTCAGGGTGTTTGGGAAGGCCTCGAGATTTGGGATCGGTTCTTTCCGCACCGGAGATCAAACGAACAATCTCGAAACTTTAAAGACCAGCAGCGCCCTTCTAGCGCAAACCTTCCTGGAGCTGGACCCTCTCGGACACCGGGAGAATACCGCACAGCAGCAGCAGCAGTAGAGATATCTGCCATGATAGTCTCGCAATTGACTGGGAAAAAGCAGATGTGTGAAGAGCCGGCGGTGCAGATGACGCAGGATGAGACACGTCATCTGTGCGTGATGCTTCTCTGTGCAGAAGCAGAAGCAGAACAGAAGCAGAAGCAGAACAGCAGCAGTGCGGCGGAGGCCGGCGAAAGCTAAGCCGCCGTGCAGGGCTTCGGCTGCTTGCGTCAGCTGCAGTTCGAATGGCTGGTTAATGCCGCTGTGTTTCGTTAGTTTTCTGTTGTTGTTAATTTGTGCCTTCATTCAGCAAGCGAAATAGACTGCTGTCTTGGTATTGACAGTAGGCGGGAGGAGCAGCTCTCTACCGAAGATCTAAGGTGATATGAGCTGGGCCGTGTGCGTTGGGCGGCTCTTTTAGTCAACCAGTTGAGTCTTTGAAACATACAAAAGAATAAGATGTCTCTATGGTAAAGATAGTGATTTAACTGATATAATGCCGCATCAAAGGCATGCATGCTCAACTACGTCTCAACTACACCAGCACTCCGCGCACGTGACTTCTAAAATTACATAATCGAGCAGAAACCCTAAGACTCACAACACGATCCGGTTGCTAGACAGATGATCTGGTGAACACACATACACCTTTTTGAATGAGCAGATGGAGTGCTCGACGGTGGTTCAGTGGGTCGATTGATGATATGTCTGGATATTGTTAGTGTGGATTACTGTGTTTTCTTAACAGCAAGGCTGTGGCTAAGAAAATATACCTCGCATCCCTCGATCGAGAAAGCGCAGATCAAGACATCAGAACCAACAGCGAGATTCAAAAGCAATGCATTTCTTCGCGGTACTTGTTCAGATTGTGCTCTACGCATGTACATCTGCAGTTCTGCTTTGTAAATTTGTCCCCGGCATGCGATATCTGCTGCAGTACGGAAAAGTGCTCTCTTCAGATTCAGATCCTAAAGCAACACCATCAACCCCATCGTCGACTTTATCCTCGCTTCTTCTCTGGCCTCTTAACGCGACTGTGCCGAAAGCATGGTTTTATCACTTCTACATCTCCGGCACGCTTGTCTCTCTGCTTGCTATCACTCTGCTCCATCTAGCACGCTCAGGAGTGTGGTCTGCTCCCGTGTGGTTATTACTTTCCATCGACAACTACCTCTCATCTGCAGAGTCCCTTCTCCCGTACAGCGCACCCACCGGATATGTGCTCCTGGACAAACTTCTGGATTTGATGAAACATTTGATTTCCAGTCTATCGACCTACGGAGAGAGCGTACATGTGTCGTACGAGAGTGCGCAGGCGGCACTCTTTATGTTTATGCTGCAATCCCTTCGTCGATGGTATGAGTGCCTTTACGTCGAAAAAATGAGCCAGGTTGCACGCATACGACTTGGACACTATATCGTCGGCCACCTATTCTACTTTGCAGCCTCTTGCGCTCTATGGTGCGATGCTCTCGAGGATGCTTTACTACCAAGCAGCAGAAGCAGCAGCAAGTCGTTCGGCACACTTGGCTTTGCAATCAGTCTGGGCCTGTACGCGACAGCAGGACTTTCGCAGTACAAAGCTCATGCCGTACTAGCCAGTCTGAAAAAATACTCTCCACCGCCCGCTTCGTCGCTGCTGTTTCGATATCTAGTCTGCCCGCACTACGGAGCCGAAGTGATTGTATATCTTTCACTAGCCATCGTGTGCGGACTGACGCCGGCGACGGTCGCCGTCGTGGTATGGACTTTTGTGAATCTCTCCGCCTCGGCAGAGCAGTCGCGCGCCTTTTATGTCAAGCGGTTTGGCGAGCAATCGGTTGCTGGGAAATGGAGCATTCTCATCGGCTTCTGACCTCTCCTGCTGATCAACAACACGATCTTGTATATATATATTTCTTTGCTACTGCTGCTACTGCTCCTGTGGTTATGAAAAGATAGAACTAAAAATAGTGACGGAAACACAATGAAATGCAAATCGACAAACATCCGGCGGCATTAAGTTTTTGCTGCAAGCACGACACAGGCCTCCAAGTGCTCCACGAGCAGCGCGCTTCCGCGGGCAAGCGTGGAAGTGCATCGACTTATCTGCAAAGCGCTTGCCAGACTCAATCGGACTTTTTGATTACTGTCGTCTGCGATGTGTATGGAGTCGAGAAGGTCAGGCAGTCGGCAATACGAGTCCGGTTTTCCATAGGGCAGCTTTCTGATCGAGGCCGTCGGCTGCACCCGAGTTACCCTGTTCTCATCCGTGCGTAGCCTCCCCTAAGCCGCGCGCGCCCTACCGAGATGCATAGTTCTACCGCAGCTCTATCAAGAAGTACGAAGAGAGATGATAAGCAGGCAATGTGCAGATAGAAAGATGAGTATAGCGGCGATATAGTGATATATATCTCCCGAGCTCTACACCGAGCTGCCAAAAAACTCCGAGAGAGGGAAATGAGCAGGCCGAAGAGACTTCCGCTAAGTCCTGAGATTAAGTGGAAAATCTCAATTTTGATTTTACCGAAGCGAGCGCACGGGGTTCTATTTTTTTTTTACCCCGTCGCTGTTCTTGTTCTGTTCCTCTTCCTGTTTCTGTTCGTCACCGCTCTCCGCTTCGTTCTGTTGCTGATTCTGTCTGGTAATTCTTGCTGGTTATATGAGGGGAAGTGTATTTGAAATGTAGCGAGTTCTGTCTGTCAACAACCGCTGCTGATGTCTGTGACGAAGTCGCGTCGTCGCGCGCCGAAGGGTTGTCGTTGGATGACATAGTGAGGGGATAAGCGATGATTAAGGGTAGAAATGGAAGTGGATGTTGTAGTGGAAGCGCAAGTGATTAGGAAGATAGTAGATGAAGGTTGCAGGTAAGGTTGAGTTGATTATCCGGAAGACTGGGTAAGCCAGGCTTCCTTATATGTTACTCTACTGGCTGCCTTATTCTATCCTCTCGTCGTAAGAAGTCAGTCTACTCGCCGGAAGGAGCGAGGAGCTGGATCTTGTGGATAAGAGATGATTCGTGAGGTGCGGCGTGGATAGCCAGCCTTCTGACGGGGGACGGAAGGTGAGGCTTCACTGCGCACCACTACTGATCTGTTTCTGCACGGCTGCAGCTGCTGCAGGCTGGCGCACTCTGGATCTCCACATCCGAGCGTACGCTCTTGCCCAAACCTTAGCCGGGTCTCCAATTCGCCATGCTGCATCTCTCTTCTTTTCCTTCATTCTCTTCTTCTCTTCTTTTCTTCCTGCTCTGTCCTGTTGCCTCCTTGGCTTCCAGCTCTGCTACATATCCGCCATGGCCCGTTTCACACGTACCTCGGCCATTCTTCTACTGTGCGTTGTCATCAATTTTCTCTTTATAGTCTTGTTTCTCTACCTCGACGCTGTCCCCGGTGTCCCATACTCGCTTCTGAAAAAGTCCGTCTTCGCTCCCTCTCTTCTTTCCTCCTGCTAACCGCCAATCATCCCAGAACACTGCAAAACGCAAAGTCCGCATATCAAGGCTCCACACTTGACTCCGATCCCGATCTCGAATCCGCGACCGCTATAGTAATCCCCGCTGAATGTGAGGATCCCTATCGCATGCCCGGCTACCTAGTGCTGCCCGAAAACGTCACCGACCCCGCGACCCTGAAGGAGACCGTGTACGTGCCCTTCTATGACACCTTCACCGACCGTCCACCGGTCGCGATTGCAACATACCCGCAGCCTCCACATCAGAACTTTGACTTTGCTCCGACGAAAACGCCCGATGCCGAGCTTATGCGTCAGGCGCCCACCGACTGGATGGTGCGAATCCAGAAGCATGTGTATAATCAAAACAATCCGCTTGTGTACTTTGACGAGAACGACGAAGACGCAATTGCTGATGTTGCCGCACGCAACAGGACCGCAAGAGAGCTCGTCTGGCTGCGCAACAAGCGCGTGCTCATGCTCGCCGACTCCGTCGACCGCTACATGCTCATGCATTTCTGCACGCAGGCCGGCGTGCAAGGTATCGAGGGTCTCATTGGCAAGCACACCCTCGCCATCTGCCACATTCCCTCTCTCAACTTCACCATCACGCACTGGCATATCCCCGGTATGCTCTCCGCCACACCCGACTGGTGGTATATATCCGAAATTTCCCACGTGCCGTTCGAGGCCCGGTTCGAAGACATGTACAAGCAGTATCTCAACCTGACCATCGGTATGGACGGCAAGGGTCCCGATCTTATAATCTACCAGAGTATCCTCTGGGATACCTTCAACTTTGCGCGGGGCCCCGCGGCTCATGCACTCACGGGCCTGAGCAGCACCAACGAGCCCCCCGACGAGGGACGCCTGCTGTTCTGGTCCGAACTCGAATTCTACCGCAGCCGCCAGCAAATCATGATCAACTACTTCCGCTCCCTGTTCAGCAACAGCGCACCGTTCCTCTACCGCTCCGCGCTCAACCACCGCTTCGAAGGCCCGATCGACATCCCGGTCTACCAGCTCGACCGCGTCGCACGCGCGGTCGCGCACGCAAACTCGATCGAGGTCCTAGAATGGGCGCAGTTCGCGCGCGGGTTCTATGAGATATATAGAGATGTTATTCACGTCAATCTCAGCGCGCAGTCGTGGCTGTACTCAAACATGATGCTGTATTACCTCTTCCGGGCGACTGGCGGCGAAGAGGTGCGGGGAAGAGTCACAAAGTGGCCGTTGACGGATGTCGATAAGCAGGTTCGGCATTGGTCAAAGGGAGATACGTGGGAAAAGTGTAATCAGTATAACAGGGTGTTGTATCGGTAGATGTTCTTGTTTTTGTATGATTGTTATCGTTGTAGTTCAGGTTTCTGCTGTTCTTTGCATTTGTATTGCGTCGCATTTCATTGATCTCTCATCACTCATTATACCTCTTCTCTAAATCGCTCTCCCTCGGCACATGCCAAGCTTTAAAACAGACCAGAACGCCATCTCCTGCTTCTCCTTCTCCTTCTGCCCTCTCCCCTCACCCTCTTCCTTTTCAGCATCAATCTCATACTCCACGCTCACAAACAGTGGAATCTCAATCTCCCCCTCCGCCTCAGCCGGCACGACCTCGACAAAAACACTAGTCCAATTTCTCCCCCGCGCAAACACACCCCCGCCGCTGACCAACCCAGGTCCCATACCACCCCCGCCAGTGCGGTACGCCGCGAACCGCATGCGCAGGTCCAGAATCGCCTGTAGATCCCAGTCCTCTTCGTCCGCGTTCCCGCCGACGTCAAAACTTGGCGCCAGCAGCGTCACGCTGTGGCGGCCCCGCGGCGTCTGCGGAGGAGACGCCATTGTCGCCTTGATTGGCTCGACTAGCGGGTTAAACACCGTCAGTGCAAACGTATACGTAGTATGCGGCACGAAGCCGGATTTGTACGGCGACGATCCTGCGGCTGCTCCTGCACCCGCTAGGTGGGTGGCGCGGATCGTGGGGATGTAGTTTCGTGAAAGCAGACTGATTCTGAACGAAGTCGAGAGTGTCGGGGTTGTCACAGACTTGCTTCCCCCGCCGCCTTTGACCGTGGAGGTGACCTCCGGCCGCACGAGGATGTGCCTACAGGCGCGACACCGCTTCGACCGCCGCGTGCGCAGCTTGGTCGGTAAAGGCCTCAACCTACTCGGTGTGCTCACCGCCGCGCATTCAACCGGCTGCGCGCGCCGCTGCGCAAGCGACACCGTCTGCGCCAGCGAGCTCAGCCCCTGCATCCGCGCGATCTCGGCCTCTTCCTCATCCTGATCGAGCTCAAGCACAAGTTGCTCGCGCATGCGTCTCTCCGAGGCCGCTGCTTTCTCGCGGGACACGCTGCCAGCGCGTCCGAGCGCGTTCAAGACCGTGTCTGGGTTCACGCGCGGCGAGGGCGAGGACGGGGTCGGGGACTGGGATCTGTAGTATGATTTGAGGAATTTGGTGGTTTCGAGACTGCGGGCGACGGAGCGGCCGGGGAGAAGGGGTGAGGATTTTATGGATGCGGAGGGCGAGTCTGTGCTGTAGATGTCTCTGTAGAGTGCCGTTAGTGCGTCGAATTGGGCGGCTGCTGATATTGGTTTTGATCCAGATGTTTTCGCTGGTTCTTCCTCTTCTTCTTCATCGCCGTCGTCTGCTGTAAAAACAGAACCATCGTCATTAGCGCTAGATGACAACGACAGCGCCCGTAGCTGTGTGTACAGCGATGTAGTCTTTCTAAACACAACTTCCCCTGAAGACCGCGAGTCCCAGGCGCAATGTGGGCACTGCATATAGATCTCATCGTCGGCCTTTGCAAACATCACGAGCGCAGTGAAGCACAGCGGGCATTGCAGACAGTTTCGTGTGCAGCTATTATATAAATCAATACAAAATACTCGCATAGATCTATCAACAACAGAAGAAACTCACTAGACGTTGGCGGTCTTGCGCGTGTCAGGATAGATATGCAAACACGTCGGACAAAACGCCTGCACGATCTCCTCGACCACGCAGCGCTCACACCGCAGCGCCTTGCAGAAATGACAAAAGTAAAGCGAGTCGAGCAAATGCAGCGCGAGCGGGCTCGTCAGCGTCGGCGGCAGCGTCAGCGCGTTGCCTGCGCTCGAGGAGAGGTCTGTCGAGAGCTTTGTCGCGTCGTCGGCGGGCTGCTCGAAGGCGTCTGCTTCGTCGGCCGGCTCGGCGCAGGGGCAGTGGATCCGCAGAGAAGGGTAGGATGGCATCGCTTCACTGCATTTTCTCTTTCTTCTTCTTCTTCTTCTTCTTCTTCTTCTTACTCTTCTATAACAAATACACTCCTGTTCAAATATATTCAATGGATGAGAGCTCGACAGTAAATAAACCTGAGCCGCGCGCACCGCCACAGTGGCTGCTCCTTCGCGCAAGAAGTTTTCTGTTTTCAATCAGCGACGAGATCAACAACATCACCGCCTTCACCGCCTTCAATCATCACCACAACTCACAATGCGGCACCCAGAGCGCACCCTCAAAGAGGCGTCTCTTTGTGTGGACCCGCTCAATCTCAAAATGCCGACCACGGACTTGATCGCCCCGTCGTCCTCCTCCGCGTCGGCCTCGTTCGCCCGCGATCCCGTCGCGCGCAATCGGCGTCACTTCCCTCCTACCGGCGTCCAGGACGGCGCCGACGCAGAGGAAGCTTACACGCACAAGTGCGTGGCCTCGCAGTCTGGCGTCTTCCACCGCGCCAGCGTGGCCGGCACCGATCCTGTCCCGCGCTCGATCCTCTGGCGCGTGCTCGAGTCCGGCACCGTCCTCGATCTCGTCCCCGTCGACCCCGTGTTCTCGAGCGCGCTGTCGTCACAGGTAGAAGCCCACCGGATCCGGATACATTTTCCAGGTCCGATTCGGCAGTCTTGCGTCGTGCTTTCGGACGATCCCAGTAGCGGCGAGGGTGAAGATGCGCTCGTTGTCGATGTCTTGACTGACAGTCTGATGCTGTATTCTTTCCACCTCTCCAGTCGCTCGTTCTTGCAGGACTGGGAACGCAGACCTTCTAGTGAATGGTGTCATGTCTTAGAGTCTGCACACTTTAATCTTCGACCCCCTTTGTATATGGATAAAGGGCCGGTCGGCAGCGGATCGCTTATATTCTCGCTCATGGACGGAGGACTTATGCGGCTAGATCGATCACACACTTTGGCCGATGGTAAGTCTCTCTTGTTCTGTCTTTTCAGATTTATCTTACTGATTTTTTTAGATTATACCGAGCGTGTTTTTAGCGACGGTAGTTACTTGGCGTCATTAAGAGGGATGTTTCTCTGGGGCTCCAACGATCGCGTCCGAGGACACCCAAATATGTCTACAAACATGATTGTCTCTATGGTCTGCACACCAACCCTTCTCATTACAGCATCAATCAGTGGCATGATCAAACTATGGTCTCTCGAAACGCTCACCTCTCTCTCCGTCTACGACATTGCCAACTCTTCATCTCTGACTACTGCCAACAACAGCAACGGCGGCAATGCAGCGACCCCGAAACAGCTCTTTGCTACTGAGCCTGCGACATTACTCTCGACTACAACCGCCAAAGACGGAACTGTGTATGTGATCTCTTACTCCCCACTGGGCGAGGGTCAATTCCGTCTCTGGCGACTCGACACAAGCTCTACTCAGACGTCTTTGATAGATGTTCTCGAGTCTCCCATCGTCCCTATCGCGCCTGATGAAAACGCAATCTGGATGATCCCCTCATTTATCCTGACCACGAGTTCCAAGGCCAAATTATCTTCAAAATCCGTCGAGTCTCAAGAGCCAAGCACTCTAGATCTGTGGGTTGTCTGGAAGAGCAACAAGTCGTCGCGCATACACATGCTGTTCAACATTCCTACAATCAGCGGCGCGGCGAGCAAGAAGGGCCTTATGTGGCGCGCAGTTGCTCCCAACTCGGGCCCAAGCAATGTCAGCGATGAGATTGACCTGCCGACCGAAGACATCAGTGACCGGTATCTGCGACGAATCTTCCGGCCTGGCTTGTATTCCCCTTCGGTCTTGGAGACCGTGCTGCCGGTATACGAGAAGCATTACTCTGTTAATCTCTCGCGGGCCGAAGATTTGGACTCGACTACCCTGACACTCAAACAGCGAGTGGTCAAAGCCGTCGAAGCCTCAGTGCCCGCACAGCCCTCACAAGCTGATTACGGATCTTATGCTCGGGACCTGAAGCAGCAGTGGGCGCGCTTTGATCGGCTGTGTATCGAACTCTCGAGACTTGGAGACGAGGCACTTTCGCTCTCCTACCACGGCTCGACCAACTCGATCGTCCTGGTGAAGGCCACGTCGATCGTGTTTGTCCGGTATTGTATAGGGCTGGAGCATGTGCAGTTAGCTGGTACGCGGAGTGTAATCGCATTTAGTGGGCATGAGGGAAGGCGCACAAGGACACCTGTGCAGGATCACGATGACGTCGAGCTTCTTGGTTCCTTTGCATCCTTTTCTCGGCTTTTGCCGGGACCTGTGCTTGGCGAGTTTGTATCCGCTCTGCTGGAGCATGCGCTTCAACCCACTCACTATTCTCCCGGAGACTCTGCGTTTGCGATCTACGAAGCTTGCTTGCAGGACCAGGTGTCTGATTCCGCGCTGGACTTGCTTCAGAAACGACTGTCTGATATCGACAAGCTGCAGTCGTCGTTCGATACATGCTACGAAGATCTGAAGTTTATGCACAGTCCCGACTCGGTTTTCGGCCGACCGGCGTTGAACACTCGGTACTATCTTTCTCCTGTCGGTGTATCTCTGGCAGTTGCGTCGACCTATCAGTCCGTATCGACAACCTACAGACTGGTTGTTGACGCGCTACTGTTTCTTTCCGTATACAGCTCGGGAGAGATTCAGGACTGTGGAATTGCATACGAAGACCTGTTTGCCAAGTTCATGGCACTACTGCGCAGTCTGCATTTTCTAAAGACCGTCTGTGAATGTCTTTTGGATAAGAGCGATGTGAGCGGGCAGCGACTGCTGCTTGCCGACGACGAAGATACACAGCTTGCTGCTGGCGTTAACCAACTAGACCTCGAAAAGTCAAAGTCGTCGTCCGGAAACAGCGAGTCTCTTCTTGAGCTGCTCTTTTCGCGGTTCTCGCTCACGCTGGGAAGCACAGTCGCGAGCTACCTCGCTTCGTCGTCTGGATCACTGGCGCCGATTGGTTGGGGTTTAGGCCAGGTTGTTTCTTACACGGAAGAGTTTTTCTCAATTTCGAGTTCGCAGTCTGCTGCTATTGCAGCCGCAGGCGCTGCTATTAGCTCGGGACACCTACAAGCTGCCAAAGAGATGCTGCCGTATTTCGAGCTTGACGGTCTAGGCTGCTTCGCCAAAGGTTTAGTCCACCTGCGGGCGCGCGAAGACGAGTTGGCGACGGAGTGGTTTTGCCAGTGCGTGACCGAGATGGCGTCGGTGACGATGACGGACGAGACCGCGCTCGCGTTTCGGGATTTCTACCCCGCCGGCAGCGAACATTTCGCCATCTACGCGGGCCGCGGGGTATCAGCGCTAGCGGTGCATATTGCGGCGATGCTTGATGCGGCGGGAGCGCTTGCGAGTGCGTGCGAGTTTGGCAAGCTGGCGATTGAGATGAGGGATGAAAGTGCAGGGGATGACGATGGGTTGCATCAGGCTGTGTTTGAGAGCGCTGTTAAGGGGGGGTTGTTTGATGATGCGTATATGGCGGTTGCCGCTGTATCCAACAAGAAATTGTGCGTATGCATGCTTCATTCTTTTTTTCGAGCATATTGCTAACTCTTATAGACAACATATGTTGCTCGCCGGGTTCATCACAGAACTATGCGAGTCAGGGCATTCAGCACGACTATGCAGTTTCCCCTTTCTCGAGCTCCACACACAAGTCAAGTCGATTCTCGAATCGAAAGCGCGTATGTCTGTCGATCTAGCGATCGGCAGCAACGGTAACAGCGGAGGAGACCACAGGCCTAATTACTACAAGATTCTGTTTTCATGGTGTATCGAGCACGGGGAATACCAGGACGCGGCGGCGGCGATGTATGAGTACATTCAGCGGCTGCGGAGTGGGTTCACAGCTAGCGAGGGCGAGTTGTTTTCGAGTACGGATTTGGAAGCTAACTCGTGCTATCTGGTGCTGATCAATACGTTGATGTGCATTCCGGAAACAAAAGGCAGTCCCGAGGCATGGTTTCTTGCGCACAAGGTTGTTTCGCGCGATAGCGCAGACGCGGAGGGTACGCAGGTGTCGAAACGGGCGCGGGGGAGTAAAAGACGGGGAGTGGATGGGATGACTAGAGTTCTTGTGAAGGCGTCTGATGTGCAGAAGGAGTACGATGAGGAGATTGCTAGGATGGAAGCGATTCTTGCACGGCAGGTCATTGAGGAAATTCATGACTGAGAATGCTGATGGGAATGGCTTTGTAGATTAGTTTGATAGTTGTATGAGATGATGCAGTGAATGTATGTGGAGTTTGATAGATGATTAGAATTTGCTAAGTAGTGTAGGGAGGGATGTACATGGAGATATAGCTCTTGTCCATCGACGTGGCGCCAGTTTGTAGTGGCATGGACCTTTCTCCAAGTGAACTCATAGTGCATCGCGCATTACTCTGACTGCAGAGTAAGAAAGCAAGCGAGCAGGTCGATCGATATGCTTGAGTATAAGTAGATGGCCCATCCCTCTCGTGCACAATAAAGTAGATCAAATAAGAGGGAATAGTCATCATCATCAAAGAGCGGTCGTAGATCTGGAACCAGACGCCTCTGCCTCCTCCTTCTTCTTGTGCGCTTTCCTTTTCTTCTTCAACTTCTTTCGATGCTCGCTTCCCTCGTCGTCAACCTCCTGCTCTCCCTCCTGCTCGTCATTGCTCTCGGGCAGAACAGGCTCGATCCCTCTGGCATACTTTGGCAGACTATCCCCGAACAGCGTCATGTACGAGAACGCGGCGACGACGATGCCGGTGAATGAGAGAAGCAGCGTGCCGGAGTGGGCGGAGATCGCGCGGTCGATTGGAGTGCTTCTCATTGTGGGTTGTTTCTGTTGTAGGTTGGTGAAGAGAGAAAGGTGGATGAGTGTGATGATTTGATGAGTTTATGGACACATCAGCCGTTGGGACTTTGGCGATCAAACTCCCAATTTTCCTGAGGACTCGCTTTTATCGACGTAAAAGTCCAAAAGCAGTTCTTTGTTTATATTCTATTGAATTGTATTTGTATTTGTGATTGTTTTTGTATTCAGAACTGTCTTTTATAGTCACACGGAATCATAGCTCGACGGGACAGTTGAGATCGCAGCGGAGACTGGTCAACGTAGGCAACTCTTCACAGAACTCTGCACCCGCTTTCTGTACCATACTATCAGCCTGATTTCTTTTCTTTCCTTTATATGTGATTCTATTCATTATTCTATCTTTATACACGATAATTTGCTTTAAAGAGCCTGCCCGTCTTGACTGCGAGCAGAGTACTGGCGGTTAACTATATCTTTTAATGTAGCCCCAGAATAAGTAAGCACATACAAACTATGGAAGAAAGCTTAATCTGGGCGTGTTTATCAGACTAAGTAGAACACGCGCGCGTCTTCGCGTCTTTTCAATCTACGCTCCTCCATCTACTCCCATCACCGCACTGATTCTCTCAGAACAAAACACAGCTGCATGAGTTCAATGGCCCCCGTGGCATCTACTTCGACTGCTAATGCGGTCTCACTTTTGTCGTATCCTCAGTACGTACTCTTTCTTATACTCACTCCTGCGTCATGCGCATGCGCACTGTGAACCGCCGCTGATCCTGTATACCTGAACTAGAGACGACGAACAATACGCGACATACGAAAGACAGTGCGATTCATGCTCGTTGATTGATAAATACGACAAAGAGCTACGTATTGATCGAAAGACGGTCAAGTACGAGCAGCAGTTTGCGAATCTGTACTTTGTGCGCTTGTCGAAGCTCAAGAAACGGGTCGAGAAGGTCGCGTCAGACGCCTGGGATGGGATATCAGTAAGCATTTGCTTCTATCACCACTGATTCACACAGATTGTTGATACTGACTGGTCATATAGCTCTGGGGTCAAAAAGCAAAGCAGGTAGACCGAGTACTCGACGTCAAGCAAGGCGAGCTTTCCTGGGTAGTCGGCACGGTCTACATGGAGATGCCGCAAAAGCCCAACATTCTCGAAGAAATCACCAAAGAATTCTGGACCGTCGCTCCGATCTCAAAAGACAAGATCCGAGACCCCGAGCACGACGAAATCACGCTGGAAGACGACAGCGGCAGACTCTTGCTCGCGGGCTCGGTGATCAAAGAGCAGCTTATCGTGACCGGCTGCGTTATCGCGGTCTTGGGTCTCGAGACGAGTACCGGCGAGTTTGAGGTCAGAGATATAGTGCTGCCGGGGCTGGCGCCGCAGATTCCGCATCAGATTTCGACGGAAGGGCATAAACGACGGTATATCGCGCTTGTGTCGGGGATGGAAATTAGTGGGAGTGTGCATGAGGAGTACGAGAGCACGATGCTAATTGAGTATCTGATGGGCGAGCTTGGAAGCGACGCGGTATGTTTATCATTTTTGTCTTTTTGTGATGCTCCTGAGAGAGAACATTGGTCTAACACACGCTGTCTAGAAACTGGCACACGGATCAGAAATAGTGCACGCAATCTTCGCCGGCAACTCATTCGCGGACCCATCAGCTCTCGAGACCGACGACCAAGACGAAACACTCCCCCCCAAACAGAAAAAATACGGCTACGATTCCTCAGCCTACAAAGCCAAGCCGATCGAGACTCTTGATAGCGTGCTGGCGGAAATCAGCATGTCGCTGTCGGTAGACTTGATGCCCGGCGACCACGATCCTACTAACCTTTCTATGCCGCAGCAGCCTATTCATCCTGCTTTGCTGCCTAATACGCGGTCTTTTCTTGGGTCGTCGTTTAGGACCGTGACGAATCCATGCTGGTGGGACATGGACGGTGTCAGGTAAGGCTTCATTTACATTTTTCTGTCGTATAGGCACTATATAGCTGACATTTTGCTTAGGATGCTCGGTACTGGTGGTCAGAATATAAGTGATGTTTTCAAATATGTGGAAGGAGACGATCGGCTGAAAATGATGGAGTCCACGCTGTTATGGCAACACTGCGCCCCGACGGCTCCAGACACTCTTTGTAAGTCCCCTCTACAACATTATGTATGCTGCGTCTAACTGTCTACCGTAGGGAGCTACCCATTCCAAGACAAAGACCCCTTCATCCTCGACGAATGCCCCCACGTCTACTTCGCCGGGAACCAACCCAAGTTCGCAACCTCGATCTTGACAGGCGCAGACGGCCAGTCTGTGAGGATCATTGCGGTACCTCAGTTCTCGGTCACGAAGGAGATTGTTTTGCTGGATGTCGACTCGCTGGAGTGTGAGGTTGTGGCGTTTAAAGCTGGGGCGAAGCATGATTGAGAATGTATGAAATGAAGTTACAGGATCTTGTGCGAAATTAATAAATGATTAGCATCGCTAGACTTTAATGCTCTTAAAAACTGATGAACCAAACATGCTCGTGAATAATATTCGAATGATAATGTACACCCCTCCATCCACTTTTTTGCGCAGACCCTCAAGGATCGAATGTGTCATCAGACTTATATACATATCTATACCCCGTCGAGCCCACCAGGAACCGACCATCAGCCTGCGGTCTCAGCACCAGCGTCTCCGAAAACCCATGCAAGCCTCTCGATCGATCTGTCCCCAGCCGTACTTTCCCTTCCACCGTCAGCACCACGGACGGCAAGCCGTTCACACCGCCCGCGAGCGGGATGCAGTTGTGTCCGGTGACATCGTGAGTGGTGACTGGCATCTTTTTGTATAGTTCTGTGAGCGAGGAGCCGCCGACCATCGGGTTGCCGTTGAACACAATCGGCGCTGTGGGCTCGAACAGGTCGACGATGGCATCGCGGTTGCTGTCGAGTGCCATATAGTATTTCCGGATAAACGTCTCCGAGCCTGCCATTTTAGTTAGTAAAGTCCAGCTGTAGAGCATTAGCGAGATTGGTACCTCTGTTGATTATATCCAGCATATTGCTGAACTCCTAGATTATTCGTGTCAGCTCTGTCTCATTTCCCCGGCGTCGAAAATAGAAAGACAAGATCAACATACTGTTGTAGTCGCCGCCATTGTATAATACTAAACCTCCTCCGTTTTCTCGCCGCTACTCAGCAATTCAGAATGCAAAAGAGATCAAAGAATGCGTCAAAGATCTCGAGCTCAGTAAACCGGTCTGTTTATTCTCGAGCTTCCAACAACAGGACCACCAACTGTCTGTCACCGCAAGCAAAATCACAATTCCAGCAACTATAACACGAAACAGGCGCAGTTATACGAAATATCTCTGCTTCCGCCTGGATCCTGGATCATTTGCCAGCCGTTCTGGTTGGTATTCGATTTCGAGGTTGGAAAATCTACAATGCCCTAACCCCATATGCTTTGTATTAGTAACTAGGATGATTGTTATTACAAATGGTGTTCTTTACTAGATACGACGGTTGTAGGTGTTGCGAGTCATTGTGTATTTATTGATCTTGTAAACTTTTCTATATCGGTCTCTTTGTATACTAAACAGATTGCAAAACAAGCAGGCATCAGCAAAACGGCCTGTATAGGACACATTCTTGCTGGTGTAGGGAGTCAACATTCGCTTTCGTTCTATACAGCACTTAGGCAATGTACGGGAACATTGCCTTTCTGTTCTTCGGGTACTTGCCCGCAAACTCGCGCTTGTACTTGCTGTGCTTCTTGAGCGCCCACTTGAACATCGTCACCGTCGAGACCGTCCAGAAAACAGCGGCGGCCCAGTTACGGGTCAAGAAGACGACGGCGAGCCAGCCGAGACTCTCAAAGAAGTAGTTGGGACACGAGACCATGCTGAAGCCGTAGCCGTAGGGGATCTTGCGCTGCGTGGTGCCCTTGGGGCGCAGGGATGAGAGGATGAGATGGGTGATGAAGTTGGAGATCTCGGCGAAGACCCAGGAGCCGACGAGGGCGTAGTACGCCCACGGGGGTAGATCCGCGCACGCGTTGGGCGCGTAGACAAAGTATCCGAGCAAGACACCCGAGAGGACCCAGTAGTGGAACGAGTTACGGAAGATGTACAAGACCGGCATCGTGGCGTTCGAGAAGCGATGGACAAACATGGTCTCGAGCTCGCGCTTGAGGTAGTGCAGAAGCACGAGGTTGAGAACGGTCGTCTGGATGGTCGAGTGCGCAAACTCCTGGTGGTAAAACAGCGACTGGAAGTGGTATAGCAGCGGATGGATCACGAGCGGACCGGCGTATTCGATGTAGAACACGGTCGCCCACTTGACTTGATATCCTGGAGCGCACACTTGCGTCAGCTATGTCTCTGGTGAAGAAGGTGATGCATGCTCAGACTTACCGAGATCCTTGACGTAGATGATTGAGTTGTCCTGCAAGTCATACTTCTCCAGCAGCGTTCCCGGCAACAGTCTCGTGTTATCAATCAACGTCAGCCGTATTCTCTCGGGCCCCAACTTGGTCGCCGCGCTGATAGAACCGACGAGAGACTCGACGGTGGCCGACGCGTCGGTGTCGAGCGTCGGCGGCAGACGCGCGATCTTTGCCTTTGGCGACTTTGCACGAAGATTCACCGTAATCATTATTGAATTCAGTTTGTTTTCTGTTGATTGTCCTTCAACAAACAATTCCTTCTGCGAGAATCACGTCCAACAAAAGCTTGCGAGGCTCCTGCTCCCGTCCCAGAGCTCGGCCCGGGCATCAGTTGGGGATGATCACGTGATTCTGGGGGTGACACGGGAGTTTCACAGATCATCCTGCTTTAGGCATCTTCATCATAACCGCTTAGAGACACCGGTCGTGGTTGTGTGGGCAGGTTCGAGTCAGATGCAGCTGCAGTGTGCTCGGTCTGTGAAGTTATGAGCACCATGGACACCGTCGACTCGATCAATGTCGACTCCAGCCACATTGTCTTCTTCGATAGCGATGTGCTCGCCAGAGTAGTCCATCAGCATGCATTTCCAGATGACTACAAATCCGCCGGGAGCTCTACGAAGCGGCGAAGATTGAACGGCAGCGAAAAGACTGACGAGGTGGTAGTTGAAAGCACGGGAGCCTCAAAAGCACCTGTACAGTGCTCCGGAATCGAGGCGTATGTGAACCAGTGCATCCTCTACCGCGATGCTATATACCTGATGTTCTTCTCCGGCGATGAGTCGAAATCCGCCAAGACCAGATTCGAGGATTCCCTAAGAGACATATGGGACTCTCTTGACAGCCGTGACGCGGTATATCGCGTGCCGTGCAAGCTGAAGCTCGACGAGTCAAGCAAGCAGATCGATGTGTTTGGTCTAATCACAAAGTCACCTTTGCTATGTACGTTCAAAGTACTCTTCGAAGAGCAGCTACTCAGCGACGTCGAACTGTTCACCCTGGCTCGGAATTCACAAAAGGTGTGCTACGACGGAAGTCCGCTCGCGGTCCCGGATGCCACGTTCTGTATCAGAAAGATAAAGGATTCCTCGTACGAGTATTTCCTGGACTTTGGCATCGCACTTTCAAACTCCTCGTATCCGAACGTGAGAGCTGCTGATCTGACAGTGCAGCCTTTATTTGGGCGAATTCTGCGGAGGGCGTTCCCCTCAATCCCCCGCGAACGGATCGATTTGCTGCTGCCGGATAATGAGCTTCGGAAAGCATATCAAAAGGGAGATACTCTGACGGTACCAGGTCCTCGAGTACGCCCAATTCAGTTTTACCAAGCAATCTGTGGCCACAAGTTCCCAGAGCCTGCCAAACTCTTACAGCACCCTTCCCTGCATACCCAGATGTTGGACTATCAGCAGCAAACGATCCAATGGTGTCTTCTACAGGAAGGAAAGGCGGTCTCGAAAGAGAAAAACGCGCTGGTCGACGCTAGTCCGGCTGACATACCTTTCCCTCCTTGGGGCTGGTCACAAGTCTACGAGCGGGGCAGAAATATCTGGGTCGCGCCCGAGCTTGGGTTAGTGTGCAAATCTGAGGCTCAGCTGAGGCAGGAATCGTACCGGCAGTTGGTCGAGGGTGGCGCAAAGGGACTGATTGCCGAAGAAATGGGTCTTGGGAAGTCTTTGGAGACAATTGCTCTGATTCTCTTAAACAGACGGCCGTTGTCTGACACTGGTCAGCTCGTTCTGGATCCATATTCAGGGGACTATGTGCTCAAGGCCAAAACCACTCTGATCATCACTCCAGATAGTATTCATGAGCAGTGGAAAGAGGAGTTCAACAGACACTGTCCAGGTCTGTCGCTGTATGTCTACAAGGGAGCCACGCAAGCCGCTGGCCACGTCACGGCCGAGTCAATGGCAGAATTCGACGTCGTCCTCACAACCTACAGGATAATAGCCAAGGACCTGCACCACGCCCTCAAGCCCCCCAGCCGCAGCATGCGCAACGAACGAAAATACGAGCGCATAGTCAGTCCGCTCGTTCAGATCCAGTTCTGGCGGGTGCTGCTGGATGAGGTACAGCTTGTTGAGAGCGGCGTCGGAAACGCGGCTCAGGTCGCCAGAACTATCCCGCGCTTTCACGCTTGGGGTGTCTCTGGCACACCCGTCCGAACCGAGCTTTCTGATCTTGCGGGCTTGCTCCTGTTTTTACGGTATATCCCCTTCACGCAAGGCAGCAGCTCGAAGGTCTGGCAGAGGCTGTGCCGAGATGTACCCGAGTTTTGCGATTTTTTTCACAGGATAAGTGTTCGACATACCAAGGACATGGTGAAAGACAGCATCGCACTTCCTCCGCAACGACGGATAGTGCTAAAAATCCCATTCACCACCGTCGAGGAGAACAACTATCGCCATCTATTCCAGCAGTTTTTGGACGACTGTGGATTTAATCCCGAAGGAGGACCCGCAAGAGATGACTGGGATCCTGCAGAGGAATTGCCCAAGATGAGTAAATGGCTAGTTAGACTGCGGCAGACCTGCTGCCATGCGCAGATTGGCGTCGGCAATCGGCGCGCGTTGGGCGGTGGGCCTTTGCGCACGGTTAAAGACGTTTTGGAAGCAATGTACGAGAATGCGCACTCTGCGGTGCAGACGGATGAGCGGTTGCTGTGGACCTCGAAAATTCAACGGGGGCAGCTGTTAGAGCAGGCCGAGAAGCGAGACGAGGCTCTGGAGCTTTTGATCGAGGCCTGCGACGGCGTGCGCAAGGTTCTTGCGCAATGTCGAAAGTCACTGGCAGAAGAATCTGAAAAGGTTCGAAAGAGTGGAGATGATCAAAAGTCGGAGACTGGCTCACTTTCGCCAGCACCGCAATCCAAGAAGGTGAATTCCGATGACTATTACGAAGATGAGCAGAAGCGGGAGGAGCGTTTGGAAAGAGAAGAGGAGGAAAAGCTGAAAAGTCGCGTGCTCTCTGCGCGGTTACGAGTGCGCACGTTTTTGGAACTCGAGCATCGATGTTTGTTTTTCATTGGTAGTATATATTTCCAAATGGTTTGTATCTTTTCTATTTTTAACATCTAGGTCTTTGTTAACAGTGTCTGTACAGGAAAATAAACAACTGGAAGATGAGTATTATGCGCTAGCGCAAACAGCTCGACAAGAGGTAAATGCTCTCCACTCTTATTCCAAGTACCAAGATACTGATCATAATCAAACAGCTTCTACTCGAGTCTCAACAAAAAGCGCAGAAACTCATGGATTCTCTGACTAAGATGGCAAAGAAGAAGAAGATGGTGGAGATACCCGACATCCGAAAAATCGATCCGTCAAACTCCCCCATTGAGATCCGTCCTGTGGCAGATGCCGCCCGTGCTCTCTGCGGTATTTTGAATGCACAATCCGACGTGCTGGACGAATGGCGCGAAAAAGTCGTTTCGCTACTGAGTCAGAATCTGGTTGATAAAGACTCAGAACCTGATGGCGAAGAGTACGGCGAGTCACTGGACGCTCAGGAGGAAGGGTTCTCGTACCAAGAAGCTATTCGACAGACGCTTGCTGATAGACACGAAGCTGTGGAGGGAGTTCGGAATAGTCTTGTCCATTACGATGTTTCCCGAGAAGACGCGCTAGATCAGCGTACTGATCTGGATAAGCGCTTGACTGATGAGCGCAAGGCCGTGAAGCCACCTCCAGAGCTACGGTCGCTGAAGCATTTGGTTGAAGACATGCGGCGGCATGTGACTCAGCTGGCGTACGATGCAGAGGATGCGTCGGGCGAGAGGCGGCATAGGTTGGAGATAGAGCACAGTCTAGCGGATAAAGAGCTAACAAAGCTGAGGGATATCATGAACGGTCAGAAAAAAGCACTGGATAACCTGGACAAAGAGCTGCTGTTTTTCAAATCGGTTTACAATGCGCGGATTGAGTATTACAAGCAGCTGCAGCAGATCTCGGACGGCGTGGCGGTTTTTGAACCCAAAGAGCCAGAGAAATTCAGTAAGACTGCGTCTGTGCAAGAGACGAAGCTGGTGGATAAGATCGACGGAGGATACGCGAGACTGCGATATCTAGAGCATTTGAGGAATTCGATGCTGGGAAATACAGGATCTGTGCCCGAGAGTGAACGCACCTGTGTGATTTGTCAGTCGCCGTTCGAGATTGGCTCTTTGACAGTCTGTGGGCATCAATACTGTCGCGAGTGCATGCTTGAGTGAGTTTTGTCTCTGTGAGATTTTCATTAACGCTCTTTTACTAACGCTTGTTGATAGATGGTGGCGCTCTCATCATACGTGCCCGATATGCAAGAAAGTTTTGAAGAGTCGTGATGTATACAGTATTTCGTACAAACCCTCAGAGATCGAAGCCCACGAAGAACAGACGGCCAACCCCGACCCCGCCAGCAGCTCGCCCAAGGCAGCAGCGAGGGCGATCTACGCGGACGTGAGCGAGGAGGCGCTTAATCAGATCAAAGCCGTTGACCTGGTGCAGTCGTATGGATCAAAGATCGACATGATTTTGAGGCATATGATTTGGCTGCGCGAGACTACTCCGAACGTGCAGGTCGTGCTGTTTTCTCAGTTTACGGATTTTTTGAATTTGGTGGCGACGGCGCTGTCGAATCATGGGATCCGGTACGCGACGGTGGAGAATAATATGGACAAGTTCAAGTCTAATCCGGAGTACATGTGTTTTTTGCTGCACGCAAAGTCCCAGTCGTAAGTTTTGTCTGTTGTTTGCGCTGTTGTGTGCGTGTGCTGATCAATAATGATTAGATCGGGACTCACGCTCGTCAATGCGACGCAAGTGATAATCTGCGAACCGCTGTTCAACACCGCTCTTGAGCTACAAGCTATTTCTCGCGTGCACCGGATCGGGCAAACGCGGCCGACGACGGTGTGGATGTATGCGATCTCCGGCACGGTCGAAGAGTCAGTTCTCGATCTGACGACTAAGCGACGGCTCGCGCTTCTTGGAACAAAAGACGGTGAGCAATTAACGGAAGCAAGCCTCGACACGTCGAACTCGATTCAGCTGTCGCGCACGGCGGGGAAGATGGTGAACACCAAAGGAGGCGGAGGAGAGATCGTGCCGCAGGATGAGATTTGGGGTCTGTTTTTTGGCAAGTCTGATATCCATGAGGCGCATCAGGAGATGGAGCTGATGGATATCGCGCTGCAGTCTGAGCATGCGGAGCGGAAGCCGGAGTTGCAGCAGGTCGCGCTGGAGTATCGAAGAGGGGTTATGGCTGATTCTGCTGAGCAGAGGGCTTCTGGTGGTTCATAGTCTGTAATTTGGAGTTGTAAGAGATAGGATTTAGAAGAGAGGGTTGGGCGCTTGGGTTGCTGGATATTTTGCTATGTATGAACAGGTTTGGATCTTTAACATCTATGTCTTACTTTTCTAAACCACTTTCTCGCAACTAATGCGAATGAGAGAGAACAAAAATTTCAAATAACGCCAGAATGTAAATCAAACAGATCAAAAAACGAAAAGATCATTTTTTCTCTAGACATAGTCTACTTCATCTTCACGTCATGCCCGAGTAATCCACCATTGAGCTCGTCGTCTCTTTTTGCATTTGCCTTTGTCTTCTTCTCGAGATACTTTGTGAGCGCCTCGCCGCCTACGCCGCCAAAGACCATGAGGACACCAAGCCACTGGCCGAGGGAGAGGGAGTGGTTGAACCATGCGACGGAGAGGAGCATAGACATCATTTTGCGGGTGACGGTGACGGTGACGAGGGTGAGGGAGCCGAACTTGCTGAGGGTGTAGAAGATGAAGACTTGGCCGATCGCGCCACAGACGGCGAAGAGGACGATGTCGCGCAGGACGGAGGGGTAGTCGCGGAAGAAGTCGATCGCGCTCGAGAGCTCGGAGGAGAAGGGGGAGAGGAGGAAGAGGCCGGTGAGGAAGGTCGACATGACGTTGATGCCGCACATCATCTTCGGGCCGGTGATGGTGGGCTGCGAGCGGAAGATGTGGTCTTGGGTGGAGTTGGTGAGGCCGTCGAAGAGGAGGTTGATGGTGAGCAGGAAGAGGCCGTATGCGGAGGACGACTGGCGACCCGCGGCGGCTTTCTTGCTCGCGCTGGGATGGTATAGGGTGAACATGGAGACGCCGCAGGTGACGGCTAGGACGACCATGTACTTGCTCCAGGAGTACTTCCTTCGAAAGAGGATGACGTGCAAGGCCATGACGGGTAGGAGCTTACAGCTCTTTCCGAGCAAGAGAGTGAGGTAGTCGATGTGGTTCAAACTGGCGTAGCCGAACGGGCTCGCGAGCGAAGATGTGGCGGCTACTAACGTGTATTGCATGACAATCCTGCGATTCGGAAACACGTTCACGCTCTCGCGCGACTGGCCGGAGGAGTAGAGTGTGTAGAGAAAGCCAACGATGGCGGCGCAGAACGACTGTACGGTATTGATGACGAGCGAGTAGCGAAAGAACTTGCCCTCGGGCCCGTACGGCGTGGTCGAGATGCGCTCCTGCAAAACTGCCCAGGTCAGGAACGAGACGTAGATCCCGCCGACCGAGATCAGGAGCTGGACGACGCCCGGGGAGGAAGGTGGCGGGTAGCTGGCGCGCGTCGAGACGGACGCGGTCGGCGACGCGGATCGGTCAGAATCGGACGCGATGTCGACTTTCTCGACGCGAATTGAGCGCGCGCGAGTGTGCATCTGGGTGACTGTCCCGCCGGTGGAGGCGGTGCTGGCGCTCGCGGACATTTGAGCAGAAAAGCAGAAAAACAGGAGGATATGGAATGAGTAGTTGAATGAATGAATGAATTAAGACCCTGAGCGGTTCTTAAAGGAAAAGTGTCCTTTTACGGCGCCGCACGTGGGTTTGAGCCCAGGGGTATTCTGGGGATCAGAGAACGGGGAATTCGGGTTAGGGCAGTTCTCATGACGCGCCCTGCAGCTCGGAGTGGCAGCCTCGGGCAGGTTTCTGATATTCAGATATCCGCTACTTCTCCTCCTCCAGCAGCAGCAATGAGCAGCAGCGGCAACTCGTCGTCGCTCTCGCAGGCGGATCTGCTCATGTTTGACGGGCTGCTTGCGCCGACGGCCTCCGTGAGCAGCGTGAGCAGCGTGAGCAGGACGCCGGCGCTGTCCGCGTCCGCGAAGACTCAGCATCCACCGCAGCAGCAGCCGGCATCAGGCACCGACTGGTTCTCGCTCCTGGCGACGAGCTCGAGTTCGCAGCCGTCGTCGGCCAATCTGACTCCTCCTTCTGTGGTTTCTAAGCCTGCGCCGGCGCCAAATTATGAGGCCATGCGCAGTCTCTTTGCGACTCCGCCGGCGGCATCATCGCCTTCGCCCTCGCCGGCTCCGCCGCCCTCCTCGGGACCTGCACTGATTCCTACTCCCACATCCGCTCCTGTTCCCGTAAGACCTCCACCATCGGGACCTTCAGCCCCAGCATCTCTCTTCAACGACGATGATTTCGGCGACTTCATCAGCGAGCCTACCCCTGCGCCTGCCAGCACACCTGCCGCTCCTCCGCCTCCCATCAAAACTGTCCCACCAAAACCCCCTCTTCCTCTCCAAACAGCAGCCCCTCCTGATCTCCCGCGACGCCAACTCCCTCCTTCTCGCGCATCTCCCTCCTCTCCATCTTCCTCCTCCACACACGCCCGCACCTCGTCAAATTCCTCCACACACTCGCGCCCACCGCCCAATATCCCGCGCCCGCCTCCAGAATACAACACGCTCGAATCGCGCACTTCCATGCAACGCCAGACCTCCCAGCGCAGTTCCCAGCGCCAACAACAACAACAACAACCCACACACCTAAGCCAGGCCGGTGCGATCGCAAGCAAACCGCCGCCACGGCCGGCCGCGTCGGATGCGCACGGGGTGCCGATCCAGCCTCTGCGGTTCGGGCAGCATCTCTCTGGCCCTGATGGGCGCGTGGTAGGCGCTGCTTTACCGCCGCTGCCGGCGCGCCAGCAGCATGTTAATGCGAAGAGTACCCGGAATGGTGGGCTACCAGCTGCGGCTTCTGGGCCGAAACTTGTGGATGCATCTGATGAATTTGAGCCGTGGCCGGAATTCGCATCTAATTCAGCGCCTGCTGCATCGTCTACTGCTAGCCCCTCTCGCGGTAGTCATCATCCTCCACAACCGCAGCGGGCACGTCTCCCCCCGCCGGAGATCCTCCTCTCTCTATTCCAATCCAACCTCTTCCCGCTCCCGATGCCTCTCTTCCAATCCCTAGTCCCTCTCGCGTTCCCCCTCAAACGGCGCGTGATTTCCGACCCCAAAGTCAAGTCATTTTTCGAAGCCTTCATTCTCGCGATCGAAGTCGCGATCCGGATCTGCGCCGGCCGCAAGCGCCGCGACGGCCGGTTCGAGGCCGATAAGGAAGCGCGGGAGACGGCGCGGCAGTGGCGCGCGCTGCGGGAGCGCGTTGCCGGCGTGGGATTGCGGGATTTGCCGAATTTGGACGCGTCGTTTACGTTGCGGGCGTACGCGGGCGAGCCGGCAGAGCTGTGTATTGTGTGTGGAGTGGCGAGGCATGAGCAGGTTAGAGGGTGTACGAAGGAGGTGGTGTGGGATTTTGAGAACGGGGGGCATTCTACTTGTATTAGGTGGTGGGCTCATGAAAAGGCATTGATGGAGTCATGAGATTTTATAGTATATAGTTTGGATTTGAATGTAGATGCATATGAGTTGAGTTAATGTCATTTGGTTACTATGATACTCCACATGCGATGCTGCTATGCAATCACGATTTCCGCAAAAATGCAGCAAAATTCCGAACTTTCTTCACATCCCTAAACGTCAAGCTAATCCTATCCTTTTCTCGCGGCAATTCCGCACCAACGCACATATCCTGCTCCCCGCTCTCAACGACCTGCTCTCGCCGCTTCTGCTGGTTCTGGCCGATTTGCATCAGAATCCGTTGCTGGGTTTCGAACGAGAGGTTTTTCCAGTTGGAGATGGTGGAAGGGGAGAGGTCTTTGTCGATTTTGAGTTCTTGGATGCCGTGGAGGAAGTCGGTGTACATGTTTTCTGTCGTGATGAGTAGACTGCGCGATGGGGTGAGGTTAGCTTGTTGATGATGATTGATATGTTGTGGGGAAAAGGTACCTCCGGGGTTCTTGGTATATTCTGTAGGCAAGTACACGTTCACCCGCCGGTCCTAATTCCTTTCTATAGATATCCAAGACAATACCATCCTGCAAACTAACCGTAGCCACCATCGGAAAATACACATCTCCGTCCTCGTGCGGCATGATGCCCTGTCCCGGTTCGTAGCAATTAACAAGACAGTGATTGGCAGTCAAATGAGGACTGTTGTCCCATATCCCGAGCTCTTTCATCCGCGAAGCGCAAGGCACAGCGAGCCAAGTCGGGAGCGCGTCGGCGGTGGGCAGCACGGTGCCTTTGAGGAGTTGGGTGGGATAGGTCTGTAGTTTGCGGTGGGAGAGGGTGGTCCATCTTGAATCGGGCACGTTTGTGATCTGTACGTGTTAGAGAGGTCGTTAGGAGATGTAGAGAGATGGAGGGAGCGATTGGAAGTAATACTTTCTCGAGAAGGAACTTTTCTTCGTGGGGGGAGATGAAATCCGGGATATAGTATGCTGCGCTGGGTAGCGGTTCGATTCGATATGATTCCAGTTCTGTAGATTCAGTCATTCTTCACTTTTTCTTTATCAATTGATTATAAAATATGCGCCATTTCAGATTGTAGATATTATTAATGAATATAGAGAATGCTGGATCAGAATTGCAGAGATATCAAAAGGAAATTGTGAATATTGTATACAATTACGCCGCAGCATTAACACTTGATTCTCCAACTCCCAAATGTCCAACCTCGCGAATTTACAGTAAAACCCACGCAACAATCACCCACAACTCTCGCCCTGATCTCAGCGGTCTCATGACTTTTTGCTACGATTAATAATTGCAAATTTTCTACAAGGCGATGCGAGTGAAGTTGTATGAGTCGAGTGCCCCTGTTGATCCCGGCTTGCTCTGTTTTTGATGCACGTGGTGGTGGGCGAGCGGGTTGGGATTCGGGAAACGCTGGCGGGGGCGCGTGGTTTATTCATTGAATGGATGTTTATTGCTGTTGACTGTTGATTATGAGGGAATCTGAAATACTGTTGCGTTGCAGGTTGTGTTTACAGTAAGGCTGAATACCGTCAGAGTGTACAGCTACTCAGAGTGTACAGCTACTAAGAGTGTTTACAACTACGCAAGGCAATTTCATGAGCTGATACCTTCCAGAATCTGCTAAACACACCTGTTTCAATCCTCCGCTACTCCTTCTTCAGATGCTGCTAGAAGACCATTACAAAGGTTTCGGTGTTTGACAAGAGATTGGAGTAGGCTGAAACCCTCACTGATGAATGGATATAATTCGCTCTTGCAGACTGGCTTTGAGATTACCACCGGAGAAGAGGAAGGTTGAGATTAGTGTATCGCTCATTTGCGATTACATTATTAAACCTGTCATCATCATCATCATCATCATCATCATCATCATCATTAGTAGAAGAAGAAGCAGTGTATAAGTTACATCTGCTGTCTGTCTGTCTTGAGTCTGTGATTTCTGTCATTGCTTTTTCTTCGCTTCTCACTTTTACTATGCGAGGAGTCACAAAGTTGACAGAGCGCGCGCGCGCGAGAGAGAGCGAGAGATGAAGACATGATGTCATCGGCGAGGAGGTAAAGGTTTTTTCCTCTGGTGTTTGGGATGGCTGGTTGCACATGGAGGAGAGGATTTCGAGCGAAGATTCGAGACAGCAGTTATTTGGTGGAGGAGATTAGGTGTTTGAGGTTGACTACATCTCTTTCTCGACGTTTACTGAATGTACATACATCCAAGACAGAGGATACAAGATATGAGATGATAACAAGCCAGCGATAAGTCTAGCAGCGATAGCAAGTGAGTGATGAGTGACGAGTTGAGATAGTAAGGCAAATGAGGAATGCGCCGTAAGGACATGCAAACTACATGCAACGATAGAAGAACGGCTGGCTTCACCGACGGTGTCGGACACGTGTAGGCTGTCTCTGACTCGATAGTCGAGGTCCAGGTTTTGTATTTCGTGGGTCTGGATTGGATATGATCGGTCTGTAATTTTTTTCACATGCTGGTGATTGGCCGGCAAGAGAGTAGTTATTTCGGACTGGAGGAAGGCAAGAGACAGGCAGTTCTACCGTATTCTGATCGCACCTCGGTCTACAGTTTCCAACCACCTCATTCCACCTCTCCTACAAAAACAAAAAGCAAGGGGAAGAGTAAGATTAGACTGAGAGGGAGGCAGGGCAGTGTACCTCAGACGTCATAATCTACGTCATGGACGATTTTTTTTTTCTTTTTTTCAGCGGTTTTACCTTTTAGTGAAAGCGAAATTCGGCGCGCGTCCCAAAAGACGAGAAGAGAAGAAAGTATCGCTCGAGATTGGGAGGGAGGGAGATAGTGTTTTGGGTTTTTGGGATAGGCGAGTGCCGCGGTTTCGAAAGAGATTGATTTGAGTGCGAGAGGAGGAAAAGGAGCGGATAGACAGGGACAAGGGAGGAGAGGGAGGAGAGAGATGAGAGGAGGAGGAGGAGGAATGAGATATTCTGGCGAGGGAATGAAGAGTAAAGCGACGGCGCTACGACAGAAAGATGAGAGAAGCGAAGTGGACCACGCAGGTTCCGCTGGCTCATGAGTGAGGTCTCTACGCACCAAATCTACGCGTCGGAAGGTGTAAACAGCCCGGCACCGGGACCGAGGGCAGAGAGTTAGGAGCAGGAGCAGAGGAGGCGGTTGCATTTTTTGTGTTTTTCGCTCTTTTCTTTTTCCGATTGCAGATTAGAGTTTCGTACCTGCAGCGAACCTCGGGCGCCGCAGGATCCGACGCACCCAGTGCCAGTGAAGATGAAGAAGATGAAGAAGAAGAAGGAGATGATGATGGTAAGAGAGAGGAGTAGTTGATGATAATAAGCACGAGCAGAAGAGCCCATCATCTCTGGCTACTTCAAGATATACTGTAGTATGCAGCTGTGAGCCGAAACCAAAGTACGAGGTGACATATTCCATATATTCCAGCTGTTCTCAGCTCAGCTCTCAACCCGAGCCGCTCGCTTTTGACGTCGCGCCTGCAACGTGACGGAGAAAGGCGAGTTTGCGAGCTGCGGTGCGGTGGGCGGAGAGAGAGAGCCGAGTTGGTTGCAGAGAGAAGAGAAGACGAGCAGAGTAGAAGAGATATCAGCAACAAGAGACAACGAATACAGCAGCAGCAACACCATCAACAACTACATCAACTACAAGACATTTGTATTTTATCTGTTTGTTGTTTAATACAAAACAGAATAAAAACAAGCGACAGAACAGCTCAACAGGCTGCACAATCACAGCCCAGTTCACGGTTCAGATCCGGTGGTTTCGGATCTCACCCGTTTTGGGACATTGCCAGCGACTGAGTCTGAGCAGCAGCGAGTATTTTCATTTGTCCTGATTAGGACGGTTCCGGCGGTGCAGATCCGCTTGTCTTTTGTGCTGATATGTTCTTATTATTCTGGTTTATTCTGTTTTGTATCTCATTCTGAATATATCAGTCTTACTGTTAACTATCTCTACTGATACTAATACTAATACTATTATCACTTCTACTATGGCTACTACTGATACTGCTCCCAGATAGGCGAGTTTGGCAGCTACGAACCCCTCGCTCACACTCTTACGTCATGCAATTTAAACAGAGCCGGCTCCGACCCGAGTGGCAAACGCCGACCCGGGCCAAGGCAGCAGCTTCGGCGCCGACCCGGGTACGACAGATTAGCAGCCAAACCCAAACTACGATGGTCCTCAAACCATCTCTCGCCTCGCTCCCGAACTTTCACCTTCCCAGCTCCTCCTCGGCGGCAAAACCACCCCTGCGCTCCTTCTTCTGGCTCGAGAAAGCTTCTGCTCAAGATTCAAGGTACAGCCACGCTGCTCTCATCATCGCCACCTTCTGTGTATAAGTAGCCGGTGCTCCCTCCTCTGCTCTTCGTCCGACATACTCTCCGATATCTGATATCCCTCTCTATCTGATACTACTCTATCAACGTCTACACTCCTTCTACTTCTTGCTACCTGGTCAGTACCTCCTCATCTACACCTCATCTACACACTCTCCTTCACACACTCACACCCACACCTCCAGACATCACAATGGCCAACAACCTCCTTACCCCCCCCGGCGAGACCTCCCCTAGCGTCATCATGGCCTCCACCCTCACAATGCTCAAGAGCCAGGCCTTGACCCTCTCCCACCTCAGCAATCTGTACACCACCGACTCCCCCACCCAGTCCAGCTACATCTCCGCCATCCAGATCATGCACAACTCCCTCCTCTCCGGCGGCAAGATCATCCTCGTCGGCATGGGCAAGTCCGGCAAGATCGCCGACAAGCTCTGCGCGACCATGAACTCGCTCTGCATCCACGCTACGACCCTCCACCCCTGCGACGCCCTTCACGGCGACCTCGGCGTCGTCCGCCCGGGCGACGTGCTCTTCATGATCACCGCCTCCGGCGCCACCCCCGAGATCCTCCAGCTCCTGCCCCATGTGCCCGCCTCGCTCCCGCGCATCCTCCTCACCTGCAAGCCGGACTCCGTCATCGGCCGCATGTCGCAGGCCGTCGTCTCGGCCGCCATCCCGCACAACCTCAACGAGCGCGAGATCTACGGCGTGCCCGCCCCGACCACCACCACCACCGCCTGCCTCGCCGTCGGCGACGCGATCTGCATCACCCTCGCCGAGATCATCACCGCCGAGCAGGAGGAGCGCAAGCAGAACTTTGGCCGCTACCACCCCGGCGGCGCCATCGGCAACACTTACAAGGACGAGAAGGCCGAGGCCAAGCCCACCTACAAGGACGTCATGATCCTCTGGACCGAGCAGGTCGGCCAGGCCGACGAGACCGACGAGCTCTCGATCCTCAGAGCGGCCGCGGGTCGCCGATGGGTGTGCGTTGGCGGCAAGCGTCTGCTGCGCAGCACAGAGATCGCCGGCCGATCGTCGTTCGTCTCTGGTCTGCCTATCGCGCAGATGAAGCGTGTTGAGGCTCGCGATGTCTTTGACGAGAGCAATACCACTGACGTGCTCTTGGTCGTCAGAGACCACGCTATCGTTGGTGTCTACGAGCCATGAGCGAGTCTGATGCGATGCGATGCGATGCGATGCGATTACAGTGACGTGACAACTACATAGAAGCAGCAAAGCTGCGAGATCTCCTATCCCTCTGCTACTCTACTCTATAATTAGAGCTCGAGTAAGCACACACAGACACAGTACCGGGATACAGAGTTCCTCAACTCAAAGGCGTCTTGATTTTAAAAATAACTGGGATATTGTTTTGTTTTTGCTTGTTTTTGCTTGGAAATTACTCCGTCTAGGATATTTGGCTTGTTCTGGTGTTATTATTGCTTCCTTCACTTTTGGTAAATAGCTTTGGAATATAGAATCTACCCTCACATCTCCTTTCCTCTTTCACTCTCTCTACTTCCAAGGTCATAGCGTATCAAAGAGCAGCACACTCGACCACGGCTTCTGGTTAAGAGCCATTCTGAAACGAGGCGGCCACTCGCCGGCCGTTACCGTGACTCGGCCGTGAGTTCTGTGACTGGCTCTCAACCCGCGCGCGTTGTGAGTGTGAGTGTGAGTGTGACTTGTGACTCTGCCCTCGCGCCGTAGTCTGGCCGGCCGGGCGGGCCTCATCTGGCTACTCCGCCATATCTCCTCTCTTCTCTCTTCTTGTAAACCGCAGCCTGTGATGAAACTCCCGTTATTCGTATAGTAAACATTGTCATCCTTATTCGGAGCACCGCGCACGCAGCAGCACATCACCCTCGTCTCTCTTCAGAGTGAGCTGCGGTGGTGGTGGGCTGCTGTGTCGTGGTCTGTGAGGATATCAAGGGGACTTCTGAGGCTCTTCTCTGCTTATCTTTCCTTTTCTCTTTTCTTTTCTTCACTTTTGCTTTTCCTCTGTTGTTAATTCGCTCGTTCTATAATCATCAGCATCCCTGTCTCCGTCCGGCTTCCGGTCGGATGAGCAGAGCTGAGAGGACTTGCGGTCGTGCGATATAAATCCTGGGTTTAGTTTGCTTTAGTCTGAAACTATAACGAGAAAAAACAAATTGCAAATATTCAGATATCCTGCTTATCTAGTGCAGATTTTTCTTCTACAGATCTCTTTTCTTGTAGATATCTACAAGAATATAAACAAAGTAAACAACCAAGGCATCAATCTCAACTTCAAGATAAAAGCACTTCCACATCCTCATCAACACTCATGACGTAGACATTACTTCAGCGTGGCTTCGCGCTCGCGTCATGGCGCCCGACGCCGAGCATTTTTCTCTGCAACGGGAGATTGCACTTACTCTGGTATGGTACTCAGCAGCTCTGGTGAAGACTAATGCAAAGACTAATCGCTGGTACGCTGTGTTGTAATTGTATAGATTGCTGAGGGCTTACATGTCCTTCCGAGATAGTGTGCAGCAACTATCTATGTCATATTTTGAACTAACTATAGAATTTTCTCTTTTTACTCTATCAAGTGCATCCAGATGCAAAGCAGCAACTACTCCTTCCCATCAGTAAACGGCATAACCGCCCACTTCCCGCTCCACGCCCATCCGATCCCAGGCCGGCCTGTATCCTTCTCGCTCTTGCCCGACTCGATCCAGAACTTTTCCAACTCCTCCTCCTTGCCCTCCGCCAACCCGACAACCACGTCCGCCTTGCACGTCCGCAGACTAAACAGCGTGCGCTTCGCGCTCGCAAGCGGGCCGATAGCTGTCGCCCAGGGCGTTGTTCGCGGCCATTTCGCCTATAATCGTTAGTATGTAGATCAACAACAGAAGAAAAACTAGGAAGAAAACATACATCGTAGACAAGCTTGCGGTGGTTCAAATCTCCCTTGAAGATAACCAACTTGCTCGCTCTCAAATCATCCCAGACCTCATGTCCACCCCCCAGTCCCCCCTCTCTCAACTCCCAGAACGCGAGCGACGTGGTCCAGAACGGCGACTGGCGCATAATAATCTTGCCGTCGCTCGAGTACTTCATGATCTGCGACGACAGATAATCCAGCTCCTCGCGGTTCTTGGTGAAGAACGCCGGATCGCTGAGCGAGCTCACTAGCACGCCCAGATCAACCGGCATCACGTCCGAGACGAACCACGGGATCGATTTCGGGTGAAACACAATCGTCTCCGCGAGCCCCGAGTCGAGCAAAAATAAAGCGAAGATCATGTCGGTGTAGAACTCGAAGCCGGCGTTGTCGAGCACAATGTCCACGCGGCCGTACTTGGTCGTGTCCGACACCGCCGCCCACGCCTTGCCGACGTCGTTCACGAGAATGTTCTTCTCGCTCTTTTGGCGGGCCGCGGCGCCTTGCAGACTCTGGAGCTGGTCAAGCGACAGCGTCGTCAGAAGTGACAGATCAGTGGCATTTCCCCAGAGCGAGATGTCGATGAATTCGCGCTAGAACTTCTGTTAGTACACCACACATAATCTCAAAAAATAAACTAGAGTACATACAAACAAAACCTCAAGCGACGCCTTTGAAACATCGCCATGCAGCTGCGCCGACAACGCCTTGTATCTAATCGCGAGCTCAACAACCGCCGACTCGGACGACTTGAACGCGTCCAGCTTCTGGCGCGCAAAGAAATCGTACTCCTCCCAGCCCTTGCTGGTCTTGAAGCAGCTGTAGATCTTGCGGTACAGGTAGCACTCGGTGTACAGCCATGGACCGTTGGCGTACGTCATCGGCACGGCGCCGGTTTGGCGCTTCAGCTCGGCGTTGTAGAGTGCAATGTCTTCGCCGCCGTCGTCCTCGAGGGGCCTGATGCTGTTAGCCTATGCTTTATCAAGACCTTAAAACTATTATAATACATACACAAGCTCAACCAAACCGAGAAGCTCCTGCTTGACCTTCTCAAGCTTCGCAATCAATCCGTCCTCGGCAACGCCCTTCTCAGACACGGTCTGCTTCACGTCCGCGATGACGCCGTCCAGGATGGTCGGCCACCGCGCTCGGGCAGAGGTGTATGCGAATGAGTCGGTGTCGTCATTGCAGTAGGGTGCGACGGCTGGTGATATAAATGTTAGCTTCAAATTATAAAAGGTAAGTGGAGGAAGACATACGGCAGGCAACAGGTGCAGACATGGTGTGTAATGTAGTGGTGATAGTAGTCTATAGAGCAGACACAGCAGTTAGCACCACAATCACCCCCGCTCTCAATCGACAAGTATCAGCAACATACAATTGAATAATAACCAGCTCTCAAATCAATTGCGAGCTTCTCAAAAGACAATCAGAACTTCGGCGCGAGGACGTCCGAGGGATGCAGTGCTTCTTTATACCCAAAACTCCTCCTTCGTCGAGCAGCGGCCGCCACCGCTGAAAATTAACTGCCCCTGAGCCGGGTTTGGGTTTAGGTTTGGATTTGGGTTTGTGAAACCGCCTGACGTCACCGTTTGCCGCCTTCTTACTTCAACTAGCTACTACGACAGCACCTCAACATACTGAGCAACCTGCACCTCAAACTCCTGCCACACATTCAGGATCTCAAACACGTTCCTCTCCGGACTGATATCCATCGCCCGCGCCAGCAGATCCATCTGCAGCCGCAGCGTCTTCACGCGCCCGCTCAGATGCAGCGCCATCATCGGCGAGATCCCGCCCTTGAGCTGCCCGGGCGACGGCGTCAGCGCAGACGAGTTCGGCGACACGTACCGGCCCGCGGCGAAGAACACTTGCCACACCAGCTCGCTGTCGAGCTGCGCGATCTCGGTCGCGTGCACCCACAGCCTGTGCATGCAGTAGTCGTGCGCCGTCTTGAAGTCGTCCGCTGCAAGCGCAGAGTATATACACGTCCGCGCAATCCGGAACTCCACCATATCCTCATCCATACCCTCTGGCGGCACTGACGATGCCCGGCTCTGGCTATTGCTACCCCCGTCCTCATGGTCAGAGCTACTCCGCGTCTTTGGCGCCGCCAGCACGTTGTGGAACTCAAGCGTCAGTCCATACATCAAATCTTTCGTAAGCTTGATCATCTCGTCAATCTGTAGATACGCCTTTTCATTCGACTGCAGCAGCAGCGACACAATCTCCTCCGCGTCCCCGTTCGCGCGCACCTGCACCGGCGTCAGCGGCGTGCCGTGCACCAGTGTCAGTGCGTACTTTGAAAGCTCGTGTGTGGCCTTCAGTAGCACGTCCGCTTTATGCAGATTCACCGAATTTGTCATGTGTGGATATATCAGTTGTAGTCTGTCAATGTTAGCCCCATATTACATCAACTATCACAGAAGAAGTGAGTAGACTTACACTTGCGATGCAGTTTTCAGACTACCGCGCGTTGCATTACAATTCGAAGCGTTATCATAATGCTCCTCAAACGCCTTCAACACATGTTTTTCCATATCCGTCACACCCAATGGTGCATGCACCGGATCGATATAAATCTCGCTCACCAGTCCGATTCCTGCATCCAAGGTTAGCATGATCCTCTGATATGATATAAGAAAATTTGAATAGAAGCATACGTCCAAAGTCCAGAAGCGCGCCTAGAAATATGTTTTCAATATCGGCATCAGACAACCGCGATAACACCATACTCTTATTCTTCAACCACCGCGCCCCGCTCCGCAAAGCGCGCCAGTTACTATCATCCCGGTACGCGTATTCCTTCGACGTACCCCGTACCACCTTGAGCAAAAACTGATACTCGGCTTCGTGTGAAGCAAAGAAGCGTAAGCGCGTGACAGCCTGCAGGTTTGTCGGGACGTGGACGGAGACCATCGACGCGGAGGTTATCAGGTGGTCGAGGATCCTCAGACTGGTCTCCGAGGCCTGGAATAACGGACTACCGGGGAACTTCATCGCGCTCGCGAAATCCGGAAACTCCTGCATCCGCTCCTTGACCTCTTTTTCGTCTGCTGGTGTCCGACCTGTGAGCGACGACAGCAGCGCGGTCGCGCGCTTCTGCATGCTGTGCATTGCTTCGAAATACTCGTTCGTGGTCTCCTCGCACTGATAGCACACCGCAATCACGGCGCTGATGTACTCGATCTGCGTGTCCCCCAACATGTCATCGGGCCCGTTCCATGTCTTGGCCAACTCCAGAATCGTACCGAACCGGCCAGAGTGCAGACTGCTACTACTGCTACTCGTACCTTTCTTCACAGCTGCAGTGGCTACCATCCACTCGAAAAACTGTCGCCAGGGATGCATGTCATACGTTCCTCCGACCTCAGACATAAACTCAACATACGGCGTCACGATCGAGACGACGTCGCGCGAGACTGTCTTTGCGGTCGTGTAACTCAGAAAATACTCAATCACCCGTCTCGGATCGACAGAGGTAAAGTCGTGCAGGGTGAACAGCCGCGGCGAATCAAAGCTCTGGGGATAAAACGACTGAAACCGCTGCAGCGGCGTCAGCACACCTTCCCGCCATTGCACGACGGCGGCAGGCATGGAATACAGCGAGACAATGTCGCTGACGATCGCAATGACGCCCAGCGACGAGTCGATAGAGTATATGCGCGCAAAAATCCATGACGAAATCGTGAGCTCCGCATCGTGCTCGTAGTATTCAAATTTCGCAAACCACTGCGACTCGGCAAACGCCTCGAGCAGACTATTTCGGATCTGCAGCGCAGCGGCGTCGTCGAGGTGTCGTAGCTCGCTCGGCATCAGCTCCTCGAGCTCAAACTCGTCCCGCAGCTCGATCGAGTCGTCGCCGCCAGCTGCTACGTCCTCGTCCAGTTGATTCCGCGCAATGTCTGAGACCAGCGCTACGTATGGTTCGGGATCAGCAGCCTCGGGTATGAATCTGAGCAGGATAGCAAGCGCGTCCTTTGGCGAGGACCAGTACTGAGAGCGGAACAGGCGGCGCAGGTCGGCGGTCCGGGACAGCGAGGCCAGATAGGCGGCCAAGAGCCATAGACGCAGACTGTCTGAGCCGTCTGAGCTGTCTGGCATTGGATTCGGATGCTTTGATTGTGGATGGGGAGAGTTGGAGATGTCTGGTTGTCTGCCGCTGTGAAGCAACGACGCGCAGTTGACGAGTGGCCTCTGTGCGGCGGTCGAACTTTACTGAGACTGCGCTGGGCTGTGGTTGATGGTGTCGCTATCAGCAGCACCACAGATATATGCTATTGAATGATGTTGTGTTGTATTCCATTGTATTCTATTGTATTAAGCAGATTCAATTGTATTTGAATAAAGAGCAACTGCAGGAAGACGAGATGTGTATTCAGCTGAGTTGTGGTCGCTGCTTCTATCGCAGACCGCACTCGACAGCAGCATTCACAACAGCAGCAGCAATACACTATCTTTCCTTCAAACAAACAGATACAATTACAACAACAAACATCTTTAAAACATCCAATTGAACACACTCCAAACCAACAATAACAGATCAGATCTCTGTTAATACAACAATACCGCGCCGCATCTCTAAACTCTAACAAGCCTCTCCCCGAAGGCAGCCAGGGATGACGACTTCTCTTGAGGCCACCGCCATCAGCAAAACGTAAACAAACCGCCGTCTGATCCCGTCTCCGGGGCGCAATTCCGGCTATGTTCGCGATATAGTCCTACTTCTGTTCTACTGTTCTTCCTCCGCGTCTGTCCGGGGTCCGATCTGCCTTGTTTTGCCTGCCGTGCTGCATCTGATCCTGCAAGGCGCAAAGAGCCGAGCAAAGCCTCCCTGCGATTCGATAGATCGCTATATTGCCATATAAGAGCAAACACAACATGGCCGCAGACGACAGCGCTGACTATCCGCCTTCGTCGCCGGCCGATAGCATCCAGGCGCTCGACGAAAGCCAAAACAAGCGCGATGGCCGCTCCACCCATCTGCGCAGCTCCAGCAGCCTTTCCCACAGACCGCGTTTAGGAGAGGTATCCTTCGTTCCCCTATACTCACCTGTGATCTACTGTTTACTGACTGCGCACATTCTATTTCTCTAGGTAACAACCCTCTCATCCTCCCCGCTCCGTCGAACGCGCAGCCAGTTTCTCCGCGACCCCACCACAACCACCTCCACCCCCACCACAGCAACATCGTCCTCCCCGTCCTCGATCCTCCCCGTATCGCGTCAGATGCCAAGCTTAATGGGTCTCAGACGCAGCGTTTCTCAGTCCTTCAGATCAAGAGTCCGCAGCAGCGAACCAGAAGTCGAAGAAGAATCGCCCGAGTATGGCGACGATGGAGAAGACAGACTCAATCTCCGGCACCACCAAAAACATCTACAGCAACAACTCTACCAGAGCCAGCTCGCGAAGCAGAGAGACAGAGCCGCCGCGCACCAGCACCAGCGAGATCGGTCGCGGAGCATAACAGGCGACGAGCTATCAGAGGAAGCAGAGAACGACGAGGACTCGACCGTCATCATCGAATCCAACGTCCTATCGCGGCCCGGCCGCCGCATGTTCTCCGCCGAAACAGTCACCCCAGAGTCTTCCGCCGCAGACTCGAGCAACATGTGGGCCGCGATCGATGACTTGCGTGCCCGCGTGCGCAAGCTCGAGACGTCGGCAGATCAAAACCCAGAGAAGCGGTTCTACATGCAGCGCGCACACGACTCCGCCAGCTCCCTCTCCGGCACAAACAACGGCTACCTACGAGCGATGCTGCAGCAGGCCGGCGGCGCGATACCAGAAGACCTCTGCTCCGCGCTCGACGTGACCGCCAGCGCAGTCGAGGCTCTGTCTGCGCGCGTCGCAACCTCAGACCGCAACATCAAAGCAAAGATGGACGCGCTCTACCGCTCGCTCACCGAGCTCTTCATCGTCGTCTCCGACACTTCCTCAACCCCTCCTTCCTCCGCCGCGCAGCCTGCCGCGCCAAACTCAGACCTCCGCAGCGGATCCAGCGTCTCCAACCGATCCGACAGCTCAGAAGTGCGCAGTCTTGCCGCGCGTCTGCCGCAGCGCGCGGCCACACGAATGCGACACTCGATCGAGACAAGCCAGCTGCCGCCGGACCTGCGCCCGGCCTCGCGTATGGCCAGCCGGGCGTCTTCCTACGACTACGCCGGTGACGACGAGGACATCTCCGTGCTGAGCAGCAGCAGCAGCGCAAGCGGCGTCACGGGTTCCAACCGGCACCTCTCGCTGCTAAATAACGGCACGCGGCAGCACGCTCGCAAGATGCACAGAAGCAGCTCGCGGCAGCAGCTTACAATGTCGGACGAACTCGACTACGGCATGCAGCAGCAGCAGCAGCAGCAGCGGCCACATTCGATCTTTAGCATGCGCTCGACGCCGTCCTCGACCGGTGGTCTCTCGTCACCTGCTTCGTCGCGCGCACGCGTCACTTAGAATACTGTTGAGAGACAATTGTATGATAGTAATATAACTAAGAGTCAAGTAATTGTTCACGCCTTATAATTCGAATGATCGTACAAGTCAACAACAGCACTATGAGACTGAAACAAAAAGATAAAAGAAAACCCAGACTATATAAGGACCCGAAAAAAGGATGGCGGAAATGATATTGATACAAGAGACAGGAAAAACAAAAGTATTAAAGAGAGAAAAGCAGACAGGCGCCGATTCTTATACACTGTATAAGAATTAAAACAAAATGAACCCAGGTTACGTATAGATCTTTGAATGTAACAAAAAATAAGCCAAAATAACAACACAGACACAACCACAAACAAACACAGGTCAAGAAAGAGACTCTGAATCGCTGTCGTCTGCGTCGCGGACGGGCTGGTTGTTGAGGATGCGTCCCCATTCCATGAGCTGGAATATCAGTCCCATGTTTGGTCCGATGGCCGGGGCCTTCCGCTTGACGAACGCATATGCCTGATTGAGGTCCCAAGACTTCTCCTTCATCACGTAGGCGACGACGAGGGACGCCGAGCGCGAGACTCCGCACTGGCAGTGGACGAGGATGCGCTTGCCCTCTGCGGCGCGCAGGGCCATGACGTCTGTCAGATAAGGCAGATCGGATGTGAGCTTAGAGGTGTGCTCCCAGGGCACGAAGATGTACTCGGGCGAGGACACCGTCATGGGCGTGGTCGTCGCTGCTGTCGGGGGCGGCGAGGAGGATGCCGGGGCAAAGGGGTTGATGACCTCCCTGGCGACGTTTATGACGACATCGTATTGTGCCGCGACCGCGCGCGAGGGCTCGGAGAAGAGGAAGATGGCGCCGCCGTAGACGTCGACGGGCCCGTCGGGGTAGGCGTTGCGGGCCTCCGCGTCCTGGAGCGGCGGCGCAGAGACGATTGCGGAGGCCGCGACGGGCGACGCGAGCGCTACCGGGGACGAGGGCGGGAGGCGGGCGGAGAGCGGTGGCGCGAGGGCCGGGGGCACGCGCAGGACGAGGTTTGGCGGGCGGCGGCGGGCGGCAGGAGGCGGATCGACGAGGTCCAGGGCGAGCGGCATTCGTCGCGGGGGCGACGGCAGCGGCGGCATGCCTTTGTGGCCTTTTGAGGTGCGGAAGCGTTGGCGGAGGCGGAGGGTCGACGGCGGCGGGCAGGAAGCAGAACGGGACGTGGTGAAGTTGGGCGCAGCCGTTGTGCCTGGCACGTGACTTGGACAGGGTCAAACTTTAATCTTGTTAACTCTGGTTGGTATATATAGAAGAGAATATATATAGATGTTTTGTATAGTTATATATATAGATGTAGATGTAGATGTAATGTATGTAGTAGATATATATACACACTGTTCACAGATCAAAAACAGGCACCGTCTTCTGCTTCTTCGCTTTCCGCTCACTCACCATCTTCTTCCAATCATCCTCCATCTCCTCATCCGAACTGCTCTCTTCCCCAACCTTTACCTGCGCAACCGCAATCGCCCGCTTCTGCTTCTTCGAATGCCGCTCCTCCCTCTTCTCCTGCCGCTCGGCTTTCGCTGACCACGGCGTGTTGGGGAGTGAGGGCTTCTCCTTGGCTTTAGACTTGGACTCGGACTTGGCCTTGGCTGCCGCTGTCTTTGCTTCTTTCTCTTTGATCTCAATCTGGCGTTGCTCTTCTCTTTTGCTGTCTTTATAGGTATACGCACTCATCTACAAGAAGTTAGCTCTTGAATCGCTCATCAGCTCGAACCGCTCAGAGATAGTACTCACATCAAAATCCTTCTCCAACCATCCTCCCTCAGGAAGCCCCTCCAGAGTCTTCAGCTCCGGCATACTTGGCAGCCTAAGCAAGCCATACGCACGCGCGTACCCCAAAAAATCAAACTCGCTCATGCGGAAAATAGACGTCATCGTGTGTTTCGTATAAAACCGCACATAACTGACATACGCCTTCACCGCCTGATCGTGTCGTTCTCGGTCTTCCAGCATCCACTTCCGCAGTAACTTGTAGAACTTTGCCCGCTTCTTCTCGAGCGACGGTCTTTCTGCCTCGGAAATCTTTACCTTCTTCACTCTCAGTAGCTCGATATAATCCTCCTCTCGACCCTCGGACAACATCAGATATCCCTCGCCGTACCGGCCTGCTCGTGCAGCGCGACCTGCGCGGTGCAGAAACATATTTGCCTCGTACGGCGCGTCAAATTGGATAACGATATCCACCTCTGGAATATCAAGCCCACGCGCGGCCACATCTGTCGTCAACAATACTGACCGACTCGAGCTGGAAATAAAGTTGTTTAGCGTCTTTGTCCGCGGACCCTGCGGAAGCTTGCCGTGAAGTGAAAAGATGCTTAGCTCATCAGAAATCACACTTGACTTGAGATTCGACAGCGCAGAGTAGAAATACACAACCGAAGCACACGTCGCAAAGTAAACAATCGTCTTTTTGTAGGTCAGTGTGTTTAGGTACTCAATCAGCGCAGGCAGCTTGTCTTCCGGAGTGAGAACGGTGTACGACACATGCAACGTCGTGGGTACTTTCTGCTCCCCCGATCCGTTTCCCGTCTTCACCACCACCTTTACCGGATTCCGTAGTCCCGCACGGGCAAGCTCACCAACTGCATCAGAGACGGTAGCCGAGAAAAGTCCTGTCCGTCGCTGCTTTGGAAGACGTCGTATAATACCATCCAACGTCTGTCCGAACCCCAACTCCAGCAATCGATCTGCTTCGTCCAGCACCAACACTTCGAGATTAGACACCTGCACTTTCGGAGACTTTATAAATTCCAGCAGCCGTCCTGGCGTGCCAACCACAATATGCGAGTTATTATCCAAAAACGTTTCCACGTCCGCGTTCACGTTCGAAGCGCCTCCGATCAATAACTGAGACCGTAGTCGTTTTGTGGGCTTGCTCTCGTCCTCGGCGCCTTCCTCGCCTCCTTGGAATGCCAGGATCGAGTTTATGACTTTGTAAATCTGAGTCGCTAGTTCTCTTGTTGGAGCAATGACCATAGCACCAATACGGCCTCGCGAAACTAAGCTTGTGTTGAGCAGTCGTTCGATGATTGGAATAGCAAATGCTATCGTCTTCCCGGATCCTGTAACCGCCTAGATACACTATTAGCACCGCAACAATAGCTACCGCAGTAAGCAAAAATATACCTCAACAACGACGTCCTTGTTCCCGCAAAACAGAGGAATCACTGAAGCCTGCACTGGCGTCATTTTGGCATATCCCATCGACTGAACCGCATCGGCTCTGTTTACACCTGTTAGCCACCGCTAGACTACTCAACAAACAGCAGTTCTCTTACACCCATGATGTCAGCCTCGGCGACAGCTGATTCCAATCCCGAGAAGCCATGTCGAAGTCCACTCAACCGCAGTCAGATACAGATCCGGTCTCTGATTTGAAAATCTACAAAATATTTCAACTCCCAAAAGTCCCAAATCCGATCACAACTCACAAATGTCACATGCCATATGTGACTCACCCTAACCACACAGGGCAAGGGCACACGAGTCGGGCTCAGGTCTCGTTCCGAGCTTTGGTTTCTTTCTCTTCTCGCCAGCGAATTTGCTTTGCATCCAACTCCACAACCACCTCATCAACTATCGCAATGTCTTTCTGGAAAGAAGCTGGTTTCTCGTATGTGTTTTCTTATTTGTTTTATTGTTATTCTGATGCTGGTCAGAGAGTGCGCCTGGTTTTATCTCGAATCCGACTTGCTGCTGCAAACTTGTCGTGTTCCGGCCAATTGGAAGCCGAGGACTGTTCGCAACAGCCCAGCAGCAGAATCAACCACAGACGCACCGGAATCCTCTGAGATCACCAATATGCTCCATCAGAATCAGAAAGATCCAATTGCTAACTTATTCTCTTCATGATCCAGCTACAACCGATACGCCGCCGTTGCCGCGCGCGCTACCCGACGAGCATTGAAGGACTCGCAGCGCATCCGCGCCGAGAAGCGCGAGGCCGTCGAAATCCGTGTTTCCAAGTGGGTCGATGGAAAGCGTATGTGACCCGTGTTTTGATTGTGCTTGCGTTCGATTTGTTGTGGTTTTGGGCGGTGTGGACACTGTGGCTAACAATTGTCGATGCAGAGGGTGAATTCAAGGACGTCACCAAGAAGGACTAAATGCAGTCAGCTTGAATATGCATATACGTATTTCTAGTTGGTTAGTGTTTAGTTTTCAAAATTCTAGATAGAAGTGTCGTGGACTATCTTGTCGAAGATATCATGCAATATATTCCGTCATACTCTACCTCCAATTCTCCTGGATCTCGTTTTCAGCATGCGAATCTGTTTCCTCGGCATCCATTCCGAATCAGTTTACTTTTCGAGTCGCAAATCAAGCACAAGATCGATTAAACACGGCGCCGTAGAGATTCTGGCCTACACATCATCTTGTGGAGACTGATAGAACTTGCAGACAACACGCCGCCCTTTACGACTTCTGCTAGCACCTCGCCCTTCTCCTCTCATATCTAAAACCTCCAGCGTATTGCCAACCACGTTCACCTACTGACATCCTCGCAAATAATCACGAACGCGTCCATGCCTGTAGTAAAATACTCCAGCATCCTTTCAAAACAGAAGCATCTCCACAGTACGAATCCCTCACAAACGTAAACATCATCGCGCATTCTACACCACAAATCAATACTGCAGCCAACAACCTGAACAACCAGTTTTGCTGGCTGATACTCTGCGGTGCTGCTCTAAACCAACTGGCTGGCGACAGATTAGTCCTCGAACGAAGATCAACCAGGGCTACTCTCTCATTCAAGCGGTAGAGCGAGAACGGTACATTCTCCGCACAGATGCCCTTCTCGCAAACACCCCCCACCGCCGCAGGACAGCCCGCCTCCCCGGCCGTGGACGACGAAGGCCTCGATGCACTCTTCGAGTCGCAAGACGTTGACGCTTCTGATATTACTGCTGCGCTGGCAGCCGGCCCGGGCGGTGGTGCGCGCCATGACTCGGATTTAGACGACGAGGAGGGTGATGCGGGAGATGGCGATGCTGGAGACGCGGGCGACGCGGGCGATGACGCTGCTGCCGAGGAGGCGGCGATGGGTCTTGCGCTTGGTGAATTGCCTGATATTGTGGGCACCGAACACGCTGATGACGCGGTCGACTATGAAAGTGAAGACTCGCTGGCTGAAGAGGAAGAAGAGGACGATTTGCCAGGCCAGCAGCAGCAATCGGGCGAAAGAGATCAGGGACAAGGTGATGAGGACGAGGATGACTGGATGAAAGATATTGGCGACGAAGCTGGTGAAGTTGTCACCGACGAGGAGATCAATGTCAAACGGGAGCCTGGAGATGATGTGGATATGAACGTCGACGACCTTTTCAAGACCAACATTCCACCGCCAGAAACCTCAACGCAGCCTACATACCAACAGCCTCCCGATACAATCTATGCACCTACCCCAGAAACATCTTTGCAGACACAGCAGCCAATGCCATATCAACCACCCCAGCCGGCTGATCTTCCGCCACCGATTCCGGTCCTGACAGAAGAGGAAGCGCGAGCGAAGGCAGACGAGATGTTGTTCGAAGACATGGCGCGCATGGAGGAATCGAAGCCGGTCCGCATGTCATACCTATTTGCCTCGGAGGCTGTCAAACTTGTGCTACCAAAGCCTGCTACTGTGAGTCAATGTGTGCCCACTCGGGCGAATTTGGATGCCGATAAAGATCAACGGAAATTATTTGGATCGCATATCAGAATACGGGGCTCGCTGCTTGATAGACCCGGCACAGTACAGATCGATCTAAAAGACAGCAACAGTCGAAAACGGAGGTCGCAGAAGCGATCTAGCGCGCCTTTGGAGAGAAGACTGACAAAAGAGGAGGAAGAACTGTTGTTTGCATGCTACGACTGGGAAAGCAAAGTGATCTGGGACATTGACTCTGATTCAGAAATGGAGAATGGCGCTGCTGATCTCGCTACGAAGAAGCTAAAGACAACAACAATAAACACATCCGTCGACGACGATATATACTGGATCGATGAAGAAGATTATGTCGACGGCATCGATGACGAGGCAATCTTGGAGGGCAACCTGGACGAGCTTGCCAACAGAGTTGTCTTGGACCTCAATGACCCACAGCTGCTAGTCTATACTGCTCAACGAAGAGGTACGATCTCAGACAACACCATACTTGTTCCACATCCATTATTAACACGATATTATAGATTATGCAAAGAGGGAACTGCGAACGACTGCCATGCGCGAGGAATTGTTCCAAAAACGATACAACGTCTCGAACGATCAGGCTTACGACTTGCTGAAAGAGAATTATCAGTCTCGTGTCAGGGCTACTGTTGGAAACCTTACGATCGATCATGCGATGCCTGCTCTGCGACTACAGTCACCTTACGTACGTGGTGCCGTCTTTTTCATATTGCATCCAACCATCAAACGCGCTAACAGAGTCATATACAGTACAAAGTCAAGCTCTCGAAATCACAAGCCCGCTCGTTCCACAGACCGAATCTTGTCGTCCGTCCAAACACTGTCATCCATTTCTCGAAGACGCGTCACCGGAAAAAGAAGAAAGACAGAGGCAAAGATCTGCACGAGATCCTGGCCACTTCCAACGACCTCTCGCTGTGCGATGGCTGCAATTTTGTGCTGCTCGAGTACGCCGAGGAGCATCCTATAATCATGTCAAACTACGGTATGGGAAGTAAGATTCTCAATTACTACCGCAAGAAAAACGACGAGGATGAGTCAAGACCGAAGCTTAGTATCGGCGAAGCCTATGTGCTGAATTCGCAAGATCGCAGTCCGTTTTGGAATTTTGGGTTCGTGGATCCCGGCGAGACTGCGCCTACGCTGTATAATCGCCTCGTCCGGGCGCCGTTATATAAACACGAGCCCTACAAGACTGATTTCTTGATGATTCGTGGAACTGGCGGTGGCAACCCGGGGCAAAAGTACTTTTTGAGAACGATTCCGCATTTGTTTACGGTTGGGCAGACGTTCCCAGTCACTGAGGTCCCTAGTCCGCGGTCGCGAAGAGTGACCACTGCCAGCAAGAATCGATTAAAGATGATTGTGTATCGCGTTTTACACAAGTCTGATAAGGAGAGGATTCTCGTAAAGGGGATATCTCAGCATTTCCCAGACCAGAATGATATGCAGAATCGCCAGCGACTGAAGGAGTTTATGGAATATCAGCGGACGGGAGAAGATCAAGGATTTTGGAAGATCAAGCCGACGGATACGCTTCCCAATGAAGATGGGATCAGAGGGATGGTTACCCCGGAGGAAATCACGTTGCTGGAGACTATGCAGGTCAGTCAGCAGTTCCTCGAGGACCAAGGCTATGGCGGGGGCAAGGACGACGATGAACAACACGAAGGCATGAGTACGGAAGAAAAACTTGCTCCCTGGATCACGAGCAAGAACTTCATCAACGCGACGCAAGGAAAAGCCATGCTTGAGCTGCACGGCGAAGGAGACCCGACAGGCACAGGTCTTGGCTTCAGTTTTATACGGACGTCGATGAAAGGAGGATTCAAGGCAGCAGCGGGAAGCGTGACCGAGCAGCCGGTCGACAAGTCGAAGCTGGGAGGACATAGCTACAATGTTGCGCTCCAGCAAAAAGCATATGAGGAGGAAATCCGGCGGATTTGGAACGCGCAGAAGGCGGATCTGTCTGCGGCAAAGTGAGTACAGTGTACAATAGAATTAAGATGTCATGAACCGTATACATTATCGTATTATTACCACTTTTACAAATATCCAATCAAATCTGCAATAAACAAAGATCAAGCCGATGAGGTTTGACAGCCACGTCAATCACAAATCTGTGACTTGTGACTTCCAGCTCACGGGCCCGAGCCAATTTTGATCAACTTTTCTTGATATCCGCAGAGAGCACACTATCTCGTCGCTCGTTGTCTCCTTTGGAGTTTTTAATGCCCGGTTCTCGCCTCTGAGGAGAAGAAGATCGTGAACAAAGCACGGCCGGTAAACAGACAACACAGAGATATCTACTACAGAACCACCGCACAAACTGGAGATGGTACGAAACCTGGTCATCTTTGGAGGCTCGTCCCATCCTGAGCTTGTGGAGAAAATTTGCAACTTTCTCGGCGTGCCCAGAGGCGGCCTCGAGACCGGCAAGTTTAGGTATGGAACATTGTTGTTGCTGGCTGGGACGCTTTCGTGGTTGACTGATATCGTGTGTGCAGTAACGGAGAAACCTCGGTGTCGATAAAAGATTCTGTGCGTGAGAAGGACGTATATGTGATTCAGTCAGGTAGGGCGTGCCGTTCTTTGATTTCTTGCTTTCTTGCAGTTGCTGATTTTTTAATAACCAAACAAGGCTGTGGCCATGTGAACGACAACTTCATCGAGCTCCTCATCACGATCGCGGCCTGCAAAACCGCTTCCGCCAGACGTGTCACCGCTGTGATGCCCTTGTTTCCCTACAGCAGACAGCCCGACGTGCCGTACAACAAACACGGCGCCCCGCTAGCAAAGAGCGTCACGACCCCGAGGAACGAGCACAACTATACGTTCGAGAGCGTGCCGCCGTCGCCTCGGTCGCACAGTTCGCTCGGGATGCACAGCAACGCGAGCGCGTCAGAGTTCCCGTTTTTGACTCCACAGAAGAGCTCGCTGGCTCTGGAACGGGAATTCGAAAAGAAACTGCGGGGAAAGGATAATACCTGGCTTCCTCAGGGCAATACCTCAGAGATCAACACGGGATACAAGGAATGGGTTGCTCAGTCTGGTACGTCTCAAGAACTTACATTATGCATTGCGTGTCAAAGATGTATGATCTAACAGATACAGGAACTCTCGTCGCGGGCCTACTCACCTGTGCTGGTGCAGACCATATCATCACAATGGACCTTCACGTAGGTCTCCACTAGTTCTCAAAGCGGAGGTCATAGACACTAACGCTCATTGCCTTATAGGATCCGCAATTCCAGGGCTTCTTTGACATCCCAGTCGACAACCTTTACGGCCGCCCAATACTGCAACACTACATCACCAGCTCCATACCAAATTACCAGGAAGCCGTCATCGTCTCTCCCGACGCCGGTGGAGCCAAACGAGCGACCGCCATCGCCGACGCGCTCGAGATGGACTTTGCTCTGATACACAAGGAACGCCGCGTGAAGGGCCACTCAGCTGCCATGATGCTCGTCGGCGACGTCACTAACCGCGTCGCGCTTTTGATCGACGACTTGGTCGACACTTCAAACACAATCACGCGAGCCGCGAAACTTCTCAAGGACCGGGGCGCTACCAAGGTCTTTGCTATCATCACCCACGGCATCTTCTCCGGCGACGCGATCCAGCGCATACAAGCCTCTGCTCTCGACAAGGTGATCACCACAAACTCTGCGCCGCAGCTCGAAAACAAGATGATGCTCGGAAGCAAACTTGAAATCCTGGACGTCAGTAAGATCTTTGGCGAAGCTATACGGCGCATCCATAACGGAGAGTCTGTTTCTATGCTCTTTGACGTGCGCACATTATGACCCAACGAATGCGGCAGCTTGTAGATGGAGCTGTGTCGTCTAGTTTCTTTTCTATGTTTTAATAAATATATATGTTTTTAGCAGTTTGTAATTCATTGAGGCCGAAAGTTTTTGTTTTTGTTGTCGTGTTTAATTACTGAATCTGCATTAAGTGTTGAGTATATACTCTGTTTAAAGTGAATGTTGTGTCATAATCAGATTGTGAGGATTAACTATTACTGTTCTGTTTCTTATACAAGGCAAAAATTGTCTCATCAACTAAAAAAGAGGCTCGGGCGACAAAACCGTTTAAGCCTTGAGAGCGGCATCGACAACACCGGCGATGGCGAGCATCTTCTCCTCCTCAAGACGGCCACCAATGATCTGCACACCGACTGAGCCGTTCTTGAAATCCTCAGGCACGTAGTCCTCCCACACCTTCTTCTCGAGCTCGGCGTCGGATCCGGTTCCAGGCGCGGGCGCAGGGAGATCGATGGCCGGGTCGCACTTGGTGACAGGGACAACGACGCAGGTGTAGTCGAGAACGTTGAGAAGACCGGTGTAGCCCAAGTATCGGAGCTTGAGCTGACCAGCAGGAACAGCAGCGCAAGGCTGGACAGGGCGGATCCAAGCGTCGATCTTCTTGCCGCTGGGAGACTTGGCCGCGTTCATGTACTCCAAGAACTCGGTCTTGTACTCGAGCTTGTCCTTGTTTAGCTCAAACAGCTCCTTCTGGGAAAGAGACTTCAGGTCCTTCTCAATGTACGGCGCGATGTCGGGGATACCAGGCTCGCCTGACGCTTCCAGATCGCCGCGGATGTTCTCGCCTCCATCGACGGTCCAGGAACGCACCAGGATCTCGGTACCAGTCTCGGGCTTGTACGACTGGAAATCAAAGACCTCGTGACCGGCCTTGGTCAGAGCATCGGCGACCATCTTCATAGCGCGCAGGACAGGAGGGTGAGGGGTTAAGATACCGTCTGTAGCCTCGATTCCAAAGACGAGGGGACGGTTGGGAAGCTCGTAGTCTCGGAATGGAATAGGGACACATCGGGGATCGTGCTTCCAGGGCTCCTGTCCCAGAAGGGCCTTGGAGAAAAGAGTCAAATCCGGAAGAGAGACGGCCAAAGGACCGTCGACGGAGACGACAACCTCGTTGTATGCCATCTTCACATTGATTGTTAGTATTTCAGGTGAAGGAGGCTACGAGAATATCCAGAGTACTTACACTGTTGGCAACCTTGAGGTAAGGGAATCGCTCATGTGAAGGACGGAGACCATAGACTCCACTGAAAGATGACGGGATACGGATAGATCCACCTAGATCACTTAAGATTAATAAATAAGTTCGAACGATTAAAGCCGATTAGAAACTCACCGATATCAGTGCCAATACCGATGGTAGCACCTCTCATTGACAGGATAGCACCCTCACCTAGATAACAAAGTCAGATCAATTCAAACATATTGAGAAGAATGCTTGTTCTGCTTACCGCCTGAACTTCCACCGGGCGCAAGGGTGCGGTTGTAAGCGTTGACGGTCTGGCCGAAGACGCAGTTGCGGGTCTCGGCGGCCATCAAACTGGTGGGAATGTTGGTCTTCACAAAGAAGACGGCACCGGCAGCCAGCAGGAGATCGACAATGGTCTACAGTCTGTGTTAGTCGAGAGGCATAATGTCATAGTAATGTTGGGTTGAATACTCACAGAGTTCTCCTCGTCGGGCTTGCCAACCCAGGCAACGTATCCCATGCACGCCTCAATTCCCTTGACACGGAATTGATCCTACGGCAGCCAGTCAGCACAATACTCAATAAGAAAAATCAACGTCACGATACAACTACAGACCTTGAGAGACATGGGAAGTCCGTGGAGCGGTCCGACGGTCTTACCGGTCTTCTTGTAGTACTCATCGAGCTCAGCAGCACGCTTGAGCGCCATCTCGGGGAAAAACTCGGTGAAGATGTTGAGCTAGAATGCAATTGAGACGAATGTCAGACAATGAACTGCATGGACGGAACATGACGTTTGATCGGGGATATACTCACGAGCTGATGAGCCAGCACCGCACGCTTGATAAAGGCAGTGGTGACCTCGACCGAGGTGTACTCGCCCTTTGCGATAGCAGCCACAAGCTCGGTTCCGGTCTTCTCGGTGATCTCAATGACATCCTTGGGGAGGATCTCCTCGGGAACCTTGGAGACGTCCAGGCGAGAAGCGGGAGGAAGCTCCGATTCCGGGATGAGGTATTCCTTGGGGATGGCAGCGGCCAGCTTTGCGCGCTTGGCGGCGGCGATTTCTTCCCATTTGGCAGGCATTGTGCAGAGTTGTTGGTCCTGGAGGTGAGATGCTACTTGGAGGTGGAGATGTGCAAGTGTCGAAGGGAATGGAGCAAGGAAGAACGATGGGGCCAGGCGTTGTAGATAGGTCTGACACCGGAGTGGATAGGGTGCCCGTTAAGAGTAGTGCTTTCCGATAACGTTCTAAATGAAACCTTATTATTACACGACGACTCAAAAACCTCTCGTTTGCTGATAGCAGCGCTGATTTTGCTTTATTTGTTTGATATCTCGTTGTTTTCTTGTTTTGTATAATGTATAATTGTTCTTCAGATGAAGACTCAGTCACTTAAACAGCCTGTATGTACGAAAGAGAGAGGGCGAGAAGGCAGACAGAACGCCTCGTTGCTGGTCCATCCCACCGAAACATAGCTCAAGCCTCTTCTTATTTTAAACATTTGTTGATCATAAGCAGCCTGTATTCTGCCTGGCTTCAGAAGCTCATTGTTATATTTGAACATATTAAAGATGATTGTAGGAACGACGTTGTAACATATTTAGTCAATCTAGCCAATCGCCTTCAGGCTCTTGTCTGCGTAAAATCGCACGTCCACGTCCTCGTCAGTCTTCAGTTTCTCCAAGCTCGGCTTAACGACCTCTTCAATCATGGTGGCCACAGCGCCTCGCTCCTCATCATCCGCAGCCTTTTCTTTCGCGAGCAGCGTCACGCTCTCGTAAGACCGCGCGACAGTGAACCTGATGTTTGGAATAGGATCGTTCACCATGCCATCCAAGAACGGCACGATGCTGTTCTTGATCACGTCGACTGTCACTTCCCCCGCGAGTGTAGTGGCTGCCGCAATGCTGGTCATGCGGTAGAGGTAATTTGGATTCTCCCCAGCCTCCATGACCTTTGGTATAATCGTGGCCTGTGCCCACTCGACTCCAAAGACCTTGGTCAGATTCCGAAGATTCTCAGATGCTGCCTCACGAATCGAGTAGACACTATCACGAAGCCACTCCATGCACAGATCTCGCAACTTTGTGTCGAAGAACTCAACTCCTAGTTGCGATGCAAGCAGAGGAATATATTCGATGATTGCCAATCTGACTCGCCACTGCTTATCTTGCGCGAGCTGAGTAATTGCTGGAAGCAAGCTCTGAGACAGCAAATCGATACCAATAACCTGGTTCACCTGCTCAAGCTTGCAAATAATATTCAATCGCACCTCCGGGAACTCATCTTTCAGCATTAGTAGGAACATTGGCAGTAAATAGTTGATAGTCTCCTCCTTCCCTAGAATTGGCGCCAATCCACTGATCTTGGTAGCAAGCGCAGCGCGAACGTGCTGTGACTGATCATTCACAAGCTCCTCAACACCAGGCATAATCTCTTGGATGACTGTCTCAGCATCAATGAGCTGGCAAAACCCAGGAATCTGCTTTGCAATAACCGTTCGAACCTCGGCCTCGCTATCTTTGAGCAGCTTGACCAGTGCCGGAACAAATCCCTCCATCAACACGGCCTCGTCCCCAGCAGCAACCGCAACAGCAAGAGCCTCGAAATGATCAGCAACCATGTACCGAACACGCCAGCTCTTGTCGGAAAACAACTTCTTAAGCTGTCCAAAGAGCTGCTCCCGTACCCTCTCAGCACCCAAGACGCCAGCAATGGCGATCAATATATCAACTGTGAGAAGTCTGACGGAATCCTGATCGTCCTGTGCCAAGAACATAAACAGAGGAACAATCTCAGTGACGACAACTTCGCGCTCAATGTGAGGAACAAGACCAGTGAGATGAGTGGCAGCTGCGCGACGCACCATCGGCGCATCGTCATAAACCAGCTGACCGTAGAGTTGTCTCAACTCTGCTTTCTTCTCCTCGCCAACTTTCTCGTAGACGACAGCATACAATCCAGTAACAGACACCTTGTTGGTGAACCACTCTGCCGTAGTCAAGCGTCTGATCAGAGGCATAAAGTGTTCCTCAGCCTGCTCCTGCGACATCTCCGCGCAGACAGTGTTCAATGATTCGACAGCCTAATCGACAAATTAGCATTGAGCTTGATATAAATCCACCAGACACTAAAAACTAACCTTCTCGCGAACGAGCAGCTCCTCGACCCCAGCGAATGTTTCTAGGGGGCCAAGAGCACGTGTGCGTAAGCACCTCCGCCAACATAAGGCACAAATTTTCCGAGTTCCTCCGCAAGAACTGTCAGGACTTCGTCTTCGTCATCAATGGAGTCTATAGTAATTCAAACTGTCAGTCCATTGAAGTCGTGCCGAGTATATGAAACACGGGCAGTCAAACCTTCGAGGAAAGGGATCAATTCCGTTCTCGTGCGCTCAGGGCCGAGAGCAAGCGCGATCGTAGACAATCGATGGATCGCGTTCAGTCGGAGTGTGACATCTTCGTGCTGGAGATGGAATCGCAACGTTAGAAAATCCTGCGATGGGTCCCCACACCTCCTTAAATTACGAGCAACATCGGTGGGCAACAAACCTTCAGCTCATCGATAAGAACCGCAATTGGATAGAGCTCCTCATTTGGTATGCTGGTATCCATTTCTCACGTAGCGGCGGATGACAGACAAGGCTTGATCGTAGAGAGTGTTATACTATGTACCGTGAACTATTCCTGCATCACACCCATCGTCAGCGTCTGCTCAGGGATTCAAACGCAGGGACATCGAGCGATCTCCGGATTCAAAGCAACATACCAAGGCCTCTGAAAGGACTATAAAAAACAAGCACCTATCGCGATTTGCAAGGCGATACGTTGGATAGAGAAGATTGATTCGGAGGCTTAATGACACAGGACAGCGGTTGTTGATCTCTTAGATTTTGGCGTTCAGGTTTCAACGAGCCACTGCAGATCCGTCGAAACATCGCGGCGCTGGTGCCGCACCGCAGTTTTGAAGGTTATGCTCAGGGTTAGGCCTTTTGCCTGGAACTCTTTCTTGGACTCAGGATTACTGGAAGCACTCATATTCTCGTCCTGCTCAACGCTGTGAAATATCCCCGGACTTTCTTCGTTGCCGTTGTTTAATAAAGAATTGAGAAGTCAGCATGCCTACCGTCGGTGTTGACAAAGAGGATCTCTACAAGGCCTTGGGGTACGTATCATTCTCTGCTTCTCCCCCTGCCACGGTTCAATTACACATTTATTCAGGTCCAAAAGAAATATTGCTAACTGTCCTGCGCAGCCGATCTTACACGACCGAGGAATTCGATGAGTTGTGTTTCGAGTTTGGAATTGAGCTCGATGAGGATGTATGTGGCCGACCTTGTGCCTCTGGTGTTGGGGATGTGGAGAAAGACGTGTACTAACTCAGATGTACTCCAGACCTCGCAGGGCGAATTGCCAATTGTGAATGGTGTTCAGGAGCGGGCGCAGCTCAAGATTGAAATTCCTGCTAACCGGTATGTGATCTGTCGTCTTATATGCAATTTGCACCTTACTAATTGCGATCTGCAAAAGTTATGATATGCTGTGTTTCGAGGGTATTGCTCGGGCTCTCAACATTTTCCTCGGCCGCGAGAAGTTGCCCGCTTATACCTTGACCAAGCCAGAGAAGATGATTCAGTTTGTCGTTAAGCCGGAGGTGAGTGAGAACTGACAGGTCTCTTGATTTTTTGCCCTCGGACAATATACTTACGGCAATCATGATAGACGGCCCAAATTCGACAATACATCTCATGCGCTGTCCTTCGTGGGATCACCTTCACCCCCCGTCGCTACGAGTCCTTCATTGGACTTCAGGACAAGCTTCACAACAACCTGTGTCGCAACCGTACCCTCGTGTCTATGGGTACTCACGATCTTGACACCATCGAGGGCCCTTTCACTTATGAGGCTGTCACCCCGACCGATATCTCCTTTGTTCCCTTGAACCAGACCAAGCAGATGAACGGTGAAGAGCTAATGCAGTTCTACGACGGAGACAAGCACTTGGGTCGTTTCCTGCACATCATTCGCGACTCCCCGGTCTACCCTGTTGTCTACGATGCTAAGCGCCGTGTCTGCTCGCTGCCTCCTATCATCAACTCTGAACACTCCAAGATCACTTTGGACACCAAGAACGTGCTGATTGAAGTCACTGCCACAGACAAGACCAAGGTCGAGATTGTCGTCAACCAGCTCGTCGCCATGTTCTCCGAGTACTGCAGCGAGCCTTTCACTATCGAGCCAGTCGAGATTGTCTCTCCTCACAACGGCGAGTCGCGCATCACCCCCGATATTTCAATGCGCGAGACAACCGCCGAGGTCTCCTACATCAACGGATGCTGTGGATTCAAACAGACTCCTGAGGAGCTGTGTGCATTGCTTGCTCGCATGTCGTTAGTCGCTAAAGTTAATGCCAAGGATAGCAATCTCCTTGATGTCTCCATTCCTTGCACCCGACCCGACATCCTGCACCAGTGTGACATCATGGAAGATGCCGGCATCGCGTACGGTTTCAACAACCTGGACCGCACCTTCCCTGGAAAGTCTGGCACTATCGGCGATCCTTTCCTGCTCAACAAGGTTTCCGACATTGTACGCCGAGAGGTTGCCATGACTGGCTGGTCTGAGGTCTTGCCTCTGATTCTTTGCTCACATGACGAGAACTTCAAGTTCCTTCGTCGCAAGGATGACGGCAACACTGCCGTTAAGCTCGCCAACCCTAAAACCTTAGAATATCAGGTCGTGCGCACAAGTCTGCTTCCTGGCATGCTGAAGACTATTCGCGAGAACCGAAAGCATTCGCTTCCCGTCAAGATCTTTGAAGTTTCCGATGTCGCGTTCAAGGACGAGTCTCTTGAGCGGAAATCTTTCAACCAGCGTCACTGGGCCGCCGTCTTTGTCGGTAAGACTTCCGGCTTCGAGACCGTCCACGGCCTTCTCGACCGTGTGATGAAGATGCTTCGCATCAACTGGATCAAGGAGTCCGACACCGGCGTGCCTGGATATTTCATCAAGGAAGCCAACGACGACACTTTCTTCCCCGGAAGAGCTGCCGATATCTTCTTCAGACTACGAACCGATCCTAGCAAAACCGTCAAGATTGGATCCTTTGGAATCCTGCATCCCGAGGTGCTCGAGCACTTTGAGATTCCGGGCGTTGTCGGTTCTGCATTGGAGGTCAACATAGAACCTTTCCTTTGAACGTTTCCATTATATACTAATCCGCCGTTGATTTTGCTACTTGTTTGATGACTGTTCAGTCACAAATCGACTGGAAGTTTTTGTTTGCTGTCATTGTATAAAACTGTATGAACATCGGCTTCTTAATTCTCACTTTATAAATAATTACAATCCAAACCCCAAACAAGACATGATATTAATTAGTTTTTTTATGTACAGCCCAAACCTTTCCCAAAGCTGTTCCTTCCGGTTCCAACGTTCACAACTATCTATAATCCAAGCAAAAGCTTCTTAGCCTCCTCTGCAGTGATCGAAGGTGATCCGGGCGAACTCTTCATGATACCACTACCGGAGGTACTCGAGAGAATCGCCGTATTCGTAGACTTTGGAGGCGGGCTTTTGAACAACGGATCAGTTGCGCCTAAGCTCAGTTTCGTGAATTCCTGTGACACAGGATCGGAATGGAATACTGCGGATGTGGTCACCGACGATGACAGCGAGGGCGAGGGTGACGCGGTGGCGGGAGAAGAGGATGGAGAATATGTAGATGAAGGGGATGAGGACGCTTTATCCTCCAATGACCCGAAAAGCATCGCCTTTGCAGATTCAATCGCCGCTTGAGATATATGGTTTTGTGGTTGTTCTTGCTGTTTCTGTTCTTTCAAGCCGTTATTATATCTCGCGAATTCGGATGAGACTGGTCTTGCCTGGACCGACGATTCGTACTTTGTAGTACTTCCGGGGGAAGACGCTGCGCTGTCCAAAGAGTAATCGGCAAGGGGATCACTGAGCGACGAAGAAACATCGGGTGAATTCGACGTTGCTCTAATTACTGGAGAAGAAGCTGCAGACCGACGACCTCTAATCACGGCCCCAGAGTTCATAGCACTAACTGGAGGCGTTCGAATTGCTCTAGGCATTCCTGCACGAGGCTGCGCAGCAGGTACCGCAACAGGAGATGGAATCGGCGCTTGAGCCGTGGATATCTTCTCCGAACCTCCCACGCGCTGGTTGCTGGTCGTTGAAAGCGCTGTCGGGGCCGCAGCCTGGATTGACTTTTCGCCATTGCTAACACTCTGCGAAAATAGCGCATCCGTAATCGGCTGCTTGTACTTCTTGCTAATCTTCAAATCATCGAATAGCAAACACTTGCGTACATGCTCGATCCTAGCCAAAGCCTCTTTGAACTGAGCAGCATTCTCACTGCTGCCATTAGACTTCTCAAGCACTTCCAGACTGGTGCTCAACACCGCCGCCAGGGCCTCGTTTCGTTCGCGATTATACTCAGCCTCGTCAAACGATCCACCCGCCATAGCAGCTCCAGGTCGGACCGGGGCTTTCTGCTTCACTACAGCCTGAGCGGCTGCCAAGCTTGACCTGCTTCGGGGAATGGCGCCGCTACCGTTGCCATTGACATATGTGATGTTTTGAGCCATGTACGGCATCCCTCTGATACCCGCGTTTTCGGCAGTCAGATAATGAACTCCGCCGTTCTGGATCGCTTTCTCAGCGCGCACACGAGCGTCTTGAACTCTTTGTCTGACGTATTTGTTTATATCACCCGTCCACTTCTCGGAAGATTCAAACACATTCTTTGCGAGTCCTTGTACTCGCTGCTCCATCGAATTCGCGGCTACCATTGCACGACGTTGGTATTCGCTGGCAGAAGGAGAAGGCGCCAAGACACCGTTAACCATATGATATGGCTGTTGAGGTACCACGACTTCCTCTTCTTCAACCAATAGTGCGTATTGTTGCATGACGCGACGGCCACCAGCTGCTGTGCAGTGTGCCTGCAAGTATATAGCGTCCTCCACAAATGAGTTTGAAGTCATCGTTTCATCCACGGGATATCGCAAGAGAGTAGACAAAACACCGGTATAATCCGTCAGCAGCAGTTGATTTCTGACACGAAGTAACATAGCCACACAGATAAAGTCAACAATATCCAGTGTGCGGCCATCGGCAGCAAACAAGCAGTCCCAAAGACCGAGCATCTGCACAAACCCAAACTCTCGACCAAACAAAAGCCTTATCCATCTAATACCCCACATCTGAGGCTCAATGTCGAGGTTTCGCAGATGTCGCTCAAGCTCTGGATCGATCTTGCGCAAAAATTGTTCTTGGATCTTGCGGGCTTTTGTGACGATTGGCGGGATCTGGCGGCCGTTCTCTGTAACTCCTTTTGTCTTACCAACTGCGGCATACCACTCCCAGGCATTCTGCATGATCAGATTGAACAAAGTGAACGAGTCGTGCTCTATGTATGATGACGATAGAGTGTCGTACATCAGTTTATCTTCTTCGCTAGGCGTCTCGGCCGGTGTATCCAATGCATCCAAAGACATAACATAGACTGAAACAAAAAAGTCAGTATCAAAATTATATGACATATCTCAATATGACGAGATGCTCGACTTACAGATAGGTGCAAGCAACTCGTGCATGCCTTGTTGATAGCTGACCACGGGGTTCATCTTGGTATAGACGAACAAGATATCGAGCATCGTATTCTGAACTTTTGGATCCCGGAAGTAATCAAAATCCGGGAACGTCCGCTCGATATCCTGTAGGATTTCTTTTCGTAGGTCTTCGTCTTTCCAAAATGTCTTCCATGGGTTCTAAATGCGACGGTATTAGACGACGTTGGTCAACTCGAGGGCAGCAGACAAGAGGCAACTTACGGATTCGTCAACGCTCAATGGATTAACAACATTGATATCCTCGACCTCTTCCTCTTCTTCTACTGCAGAACCGGCCGTTTCTTGTGCGCGTTTGAGATGCAAAGCCAAGTATTTCCGTTTCAATGCAGTATACTTTTCTCGTTCTGTTTGCAAAATGGTTCCCCACGTATCTGGCTGGAGGTCCGGCATAAGCATAAATAGCTAGAAAGTTACAAATTAATCCACTTGCTCAACAGAATTATACACGATAGAAAGATATCGATGTTGTATGCATACCTTCCAGCAGACCGACCGCAATGAGTCCTCACATATCGAACTACCTCCGATGACTGAAGACTTTAAGGCAGTAAGCGATGGATAAGCCTTGTTATCAAACAGCTTCTTCCACCGCAGCCTACATCAAAATATTCTGGTGTCAGCAGCCGTGGCCCCAGGTATCTGACGATCAGTAAATCGATAATACTGTCTGAGGTCGCATACCTTGTCTGGTCCACACTCCGTTGAGAGAATTCCATGTTTCGTCCTCTTTCGCAAGTACGCAGACTCAAATATAAAACGATACCAAAACAAAACTGTTTAGTTCATCAAGAACTGTGAAAATGCAGATAGAACCGGAGTCTGGTCAAGTGAGCCCAGGGCAAGATTTGAGAACGCGCCAAACAAGATAAGCGTATTGCGCGGCAATTCTTGGGTCAGGGTAGTTGATAGTGGGTCAGCCTGTTTAGTATGCGATAAGTCAGCTGACCCGTATTCTTAGCCCTGGGTTGGCCGCTTTATTGATCAACTGCCTGATCAGATAACGCCTTCGAAGAGGTTTATCTGGTGCTTACAAGTCTGCATTGCCAGTTTTTGTGCAAAGCAAGGGAACAGGACCTGGCTATAGAGCTTCTGTGTATTTATCGGTACCAAAATGCTGTTTGAGTATACGATAATAGAGCCATCAGTGGTCAGCTTAGTCAGCGCAGATAATGAGGATTCTACTGGCTTGTCCATCTCCTGTCGTCATGAGCAGGTTCCAGAGATTCTTGCTATTGGAAGTAGAAATATCTAGTCGCTGGTGTTGTACTATCATATGCTAGTGCAAAATCTACTTGAGCAGAGAAGACCAGTCTTATCGGTGTTTATCAAGCATGAGAAGCTCATGCTGATTAAGTTGGCAGGGCATCAGAAGATCGGCAAGTCTGAATTCACAGCGATGCAATATATTTACTTTCGGACTACCTTTCCCTCTCTTAGTTTATCAGTTGAAGATTATTTCTTTGATATATCCTGAATTTAAAATGAAATGCCCAAACTCCCTCTTATGATTGTTTGTAAGACGGCAATATCCAAAATGCCCATCAAAGTGTCAGCCTTCTATGTGATTACCTCTGCCTCCATGCCATGGTGAGATCGGGGCTGCCGCACTATGCGCGCTCGTCGCGCAGCAACCCCGCTGTCGTAAATATATGACTCATCCTCGCTCTCGGTGTAGAAATCATCGAAACCACTTGAGGCCACGCTAATTCTGTGAGCGTGCGTAGAAGCATACTGATCACTGACGGGAAAAGCAATATCTCCAAAAACGATAGAGTCAAGCTTTGGCTTCTGAACGACAGATGTCGGACGCGAGCGCTGATAGCTACTTGAAGGCGGTCGCGATCGCTGAACACTACTCGAAGAAGGGCGTGACCGACGAACTCCACCAGCTATCGGTGTTTGATCGAAATCGATGTCGCCTTCTTCCTCGTCCATTCCCTCGGGAGTCATAGGCCTGCTTTGAGATGATGCATACTCATACGCAGAATCACGAGCTCTCATTCGTCGCTCAGACTCCGTATCATAAGCCAAGGACTCGTCATTCTCGTATAGATCCTCCGAAGGTATACTTCCGACGCTGGAGTACGCCATCGATTGTTTTCTCGAGTGCTTCGACGGGAAATTCGGGTCATCATGCTCGGCCGCACGGAGTTCCTGCTCTTCCTTTATTCTGCGAGCAGTCGCTTGTTTAAGATAATTTGTCCAAGCAGAAGTCAACATATAGCCATCGCTGGTATGCGCGTCAAATACCGAAGCTCCTCGAGATTGATGCTCGGTTGCCGGTGGTACATCTGGCCCAACAGAATACCGAGGGATCCTTGCCTTCTGCGATACAGGGTGGTCTGCTTCTCGAGCTCCGCCATTGCGCATATCGTAGTCTTCAGTCGTGTAGTTGTTATCCGGTTGGTGCTCAGTAGTGACCGGCTGTGTTGCTTTCAGACCATCGGTGTTGTCTGTGTCTGGTCCTGACAGGTTGAGCTGGCGACTTCCTCCTTGACGCGAAGATCCCTCTTGTGGATCGTCAGCAGACCCTTCGGAAGCCTCGGCAGCTGCTGACAGCTTGGCCTTTAACTCTGCGGCCTGAGTCTTCCTCTTTTCTCTGTCCATTGCAACACGAAGAGCGTGGGCATTCATCCCATTAGCCCGATCGTCGACGTGCTCACTCGGTTTCGACTTGATTTTGGCCTTGGCATCCTCGTACGGGTCGATCGGAACCATCATGCGCTCTGCAGGCTCATATCTGAATCGGAGCTTGGGATTCGGATGTACCATGTCCACGCTGCGCAGTTTCATGGCACGTAATGACTGAGTAAGACCTGCCCGTCCCCGAGTGGCAACGAAGTTTTGTTGAAGAGCAGCTCGTTGGTCGACAGCGGGCGCTGTAGACGAACGCATAGTGTTCGGTGGTATGCTGTGCGCATGACCAGCCGGCGGAACCTGAGACGACTGATCCGCACCAAAATATCTGTCGCTGACCGAGGTAGTTGTTTGACGATGATCCACTGTCCGCCGCTGGTCTTCGTCGGTGTGTGACGTTGCTGCCGAGTGTTTCCGCCGGTGCGTGAATCCTAGTCCCATCCTGAGAGGTGATTTGACTTGATGTGACGTGAACCGGAAGAGTGACCGCTTGCTGGGTAATAGTCAAAGAGCGTCTGGGAGGCGAGCTGTAGGATAGAAGGAGGAAGATCTATCTCGAAACAAGATAGAATGAAAAATGAGTTGAGATCTATGAAAGTCTGCGCGAGGGACGGGACAAAAAGGACGAGCCTTAAGTCTGGTTTGCGCGTGAAAACGGCTGAGAGCGCGGGTGCTCACAGTCGAGTGGGTACGCGCACGCTTAAAAACGGAAACGTCCGAGCCCGAATGAGAAATAGTGGATGAAAAGAGAAAAGAGAGAGAGAGAAGGCGCGGACAGGTAATAAAATTAGTAGTGCCTCAATATAGAAAGCAATCGAGGGAGAGCAAACAAGGTTGAGCAGTAAATAAACAAAGCGAACTCTAAAAGAGTGTGGCTGGCCGGTGGGCTGGCTGGCTGTTGCTCTGCGCACTGCTGCGGCCGTCCCGCTTAGGGCATGTAATTCATCCCTCGCTCACCCCCTCCGCGCGGGAAGTAGCGAAAAGCCAAATGCTCTCTGGAGAAGGCTTCCGTGGGCACGTAGAATGAAACAGCGCACTCGACAAGCAGGAAGACAAGACGTGCTGAAACAGACCAAAGCATTCCATGTAAGAAGGCACATGCAGCCATGCAAGAGGGCTTTGCTTACCTAGACGTTTGTCTGACGTTTGAGACCCCCAGTGTGGACAGCAGCGTCCGCAGACACCCTGCCCAGGAGTTCTGCCCGCAGGAAGCGGCAGACGCGCTTCACTGTGCCAGCTCTGGTCCGGGTCCCGGTTCCGGAATACTGAGTGCAGGACTAAGTAAAGACATCAGACCATTCCGAATATCTGGACCGTCTACTCGGTAAGAGACGTGGTCGCTAGCCGAAAAGAAGAAAGCCAAGCGGATGGGTTCGGCCATCAAGCACAGAGACAGCAGACCCGAGACAGTGATCCTTAAGCGGCCACCCTTGCTCTGTTTGCCGTTTCGGGTATCTTGTAGACTCTTGAAACAAGGGCCTGTCCTGAGAGGTGAACCCCGGACGTTGCAGGTCCGCCAGGTCCGACAGATCCACCAGGCCTCAGCAGGCGCACCGAGCCGAGTAAGTAATGCCCGCAGCAAGGAGTAAAGGGTTACGGAAGCGTAGAGGCCACACTCTGCATTTGTCTTTATATGCCTTTATATTAGACTGAGCTGATCGTCTAGAGACAGATCAGGCCACTCGAAGACGTCTCCACAGTCCTTCGACGTACGATATTGATGAGAATTACTCTGGATCAGCGACATTTGCATGTGTTTGATCCAGTGTTCGCGTCGAGAAGCTGGAAGGCGTGGTAGTAGAGAGAGCACGAGACCCTTAACTTACTACTTGCACCTCCGCATGCAGCTGCTACACGCTGCTTGATGCAGCCTTTTACTTGCACCAGTAGACAGCCTTTCTCGTCTGCGACAAAACTACTATAGTCAATACTAATCCGACAGAGCACGATCTGACTTGTATTCCTATGGATCCGTGTTTGCGCTGCAACAACTATCAGTGCAGGGCTCGCGTGACGCAGCAAGCGGTAGTGACCACTTGCAGGTAAGTCTAAAGTCTTCATAGGTATCAGCCACCTCAAAGACGGAGCCTAACGCATCTGCAAGTCATATATTTTGCTCGGCGTGTGCTGAGGTCTCTTTTCGAGTCAATGAACCGAAGATATGCCCTGCCTGTGAAACTCCACTGAACGGGCCTGAGGTATCTGTTGACCAGTCATCTTTGGCTGCTGCTGTTGCTGTACAGTTCAGATATTGATAATTGTAAACCTAGGACGTTGTCGCAACTATCCTGAACCCGTCGGAGTATGACGAAAACCCGTTTATGCTGATTACTGCTCTGTGATGAATTACAACTCACGTTTATGACTATAGCGATTATAAAACAGTAGGGATCATGTGCACTGCTAGACGACGATATATACCAAGACTCCTCGACTAATTCTCTTTCAGAGCGTCCTCGCTGGATTGAGCCCTTCTGTTATAAGCGATATCAGCTCACGGGCGCTTTCTTTCTGGACTTACCAATGCTCTCACGAGATGTTCGCCTCGATCAACCCTCTAGCAGACACTTGTTTCACTGCTAACAATCAATCATATTAAACATGCAGGATGTATCAAGATTACTACATGCGGGCACTCACCGAGAAAAACGACAAGTGAGCAGTAAATGATCTTCAGTTCTAGTCAAGATCAGGATATTCACTCTATTCTATTGACAGACTAAATCAGCATATCGACAAGCTTGTTCATGACGCCAATTCTGAAATATCTGGTTGCTATCTGTGCTCTGTGATGCTGTCTCTAGTCAAAGTCATACAATAGGCTAATCAACTTTTGCAGGTCTTTTGAACCGCATAACGAGTATCAAAGAGTTTCTTTTTAATCATCACTGTTGCTTATAATGATCTGACAATTGGTTATTAAGATGTAGAGAAGGACAAGTCTGAGCTGGAGAAGAAAAATGCCGAATTAGCCGACACGTTGCATGACAAAACTCTGCAGTTTGGCAAGCTTCAAGGCCTCTATGAGCGCCTGAAGCGCAAACTTCCGATCGGAGGTAAGATCTCGAGCTCTTCAGTCACTAACGAGAAAGTCGCGCTTAGAGAGCCTGCTTATATACGTCCCTCGATGAACTCATACCGTATTTTCCCAGCCATTGTCTTCTGAAGTTTTCAGTGGCGCAAGCATGTGTCTAATGTGGTTGTCATATCTATAGCAATGCCAGAGACCACTCCACGCCGGAGATTCCTTGCTCGTGGCCCTTCTCCTCGCAAAAGTGCAGACAGGCTGTGCGAACCACAAAGGACGCCCGTGCGTCAGCCACTCGCGTCAGTTCAAAACCTGCTGCTTACCCCGAGCACCCTTCGAAGCGGACGAATGTCTGATGGAAGCGGAGCAAGCTCTGACAGCCTGCCGCATAGATACTATGCGTCTAGTGTGAGATCAGGGTCTGGCTTTTGATGTTCTTACTTTCAGCAGAACGCGTCTGACAAGATCGAGATTTACTGTTTGCTATTTATTCACTTGTTACTATCTATTTCTTGCTTTATTACCGTTACTTTCTAATGGTTTGCTGTACAATTTCTCGCATGTAACACGGAACGGGTGGTAGATAATCTAATGAGATCACTTTTATCTGATCAACTAGCACACGTGATGCAGAAATTGCCATCTACACTATTTTAAAAAGATATTTCCGCTAATATAGTGATTTTTCAGCATTATTTCTAATTATTTAAAGTATACATAAGACTAGTTTAAGCAAGGGAAGCGGCGATAGCGCTCTTCAAAGCGGGGGGGTTGGCACCAACGACCTAGATGATGATTGATATTAGTTCACGATTCAGTCAATACAGCGATACAGGTTGAATTGCAGTTGGTTGTGGATAGTGAAATCAGTAATAAGCTGATATGGAAGGGGATCAGAACAAAAAAGCAGTCGCGCTTGATATGCTGACACCCTAACCCGCTCACCAATCAACCACGTGGTTTGTGACGCTCTTAGAAAACAGGTGCCCTCACGATAAACCCGAAGAACAAAAACCCGAAAAACCAGCTGCAATTCATCCTGTAGAATCAAACAAACAATGTAGAACTAACCTCCTTGATCTTCTGTCCGTTCTTGAAGAGCATGAAAGTAGGCATGGCGCGGACGCCAACCTCGGCAGCAACGTCGGCGACCTCGTCGACATCGATCTTGTAGAAAGCAATGCCCTCGGTGAACTCCTCAGAGAAGGCGTGGACCTTGGGAGCAATGACCTTGCAGGGTCCGCACCAGGTGGCGTAGAAATCGATGACCGAGATCTTGTCCTCGCCAATGGCAGAGCGGAACTCGTCGAGACTGCGAAAGTAGGGAGGTTAGCGATAGAAGCTCAGAGACGAAATCCACAGGCACCGCGAGAGCTCGCGAAGAAGCAGCGGGGGCGATGAACGACATACGACTTGATATCCTTAATCATGTTTAAGCGTGAAGAAGCGTGAAAGTTGCGGAAGATAGTTGAAGAGGAGGAAGAGAGCTGGGGTCGTAAAACAGAGGAGTAGAGACGGATACAGTGTCGGCCAGCCATTTAAGTATTTATCGTCGCGGCGCTGCAAAGGCGAGATTCGCGCTTTTCTATCGCTGGAGCCGCTGCTGTGCGATTATTAAGCCCCAAATGCACCGCAATTGCGCAGTTAAAGCTCTTAGCTGCCCGCTCCGCTGCAGAGTTATGCCGCGGCCTGGCTAAAATGGATTTGTCAGGTGGCGCAGTGCACCGCCAGAGCAGTGACGTAACTGTGGCGATGGTTAATAATCAGATTGAACGTCTCTGCTTAGCAATGGTCTCGGAAGCCGTTCTGTTGTTTTTGTTTACAGAAGCGAACTACCGAGAGCATTCTGGAATTATTATGAATGTGTTATTCTGGACGCATTCTGAAAGCACATAATCGTCATCAATAAAACAGTACGTGCAATAACAACTCGTCCGTGACCCAAATAAATCGCAATGCAAGACATGATGCAAGTCGTATCAAATGTTGAAATCAAACGCATCCTCATGAGTTCATGATCCAATGCCCCTGCCTTCCGGGCAACGAATCTATGCAGATAGAAAAAAAGACCATACCAAACGAATTCCCTCGCTGAAGCAAAAACAAAGAAATGCCCGAGACACAAAAGACACCGCATACTAAATGAAAACGACTTTTGAGGCGGCAGCCGACGACTGGGGATCAGTATCAAACCCTTTCGAAGTAGACCCGTCAGTAACTCCACCCGTCTCACCAACCTGCCGTTGATCTCTCTGCCGTCTCTCTTTCGATTCGCGCTTCTGCCGCTCCTTTCTCTCACGTGCAGTTTCTTTTCTCTTTGGCTTGGGGTTACCTCCCGTCTGTGACACGCGGTTCAGAGCTGCTTGCTTGCGCGTTGCATATCGGCTAGAGCTTCGGCTGCTTGGGATATCGGGCGGAGTCAGTGGTAGAGATTCTGAGCCCGAATCAGTCGACTGAGGTGACGACGAAGCCTGTAAATCCCCCGCAGGAACCTGTCCGTTCTCAACACCTGGCGACCCTGATCCTGATGCATTGCCCAAGTCCGGGACTTGTCCATTCTTCTCAGCCTCTGCGATCTTGTCGACGCTCCCATCTGTAGCCTCGTCCTCCTTCAGCTTCAACTCAAACAAAAAATCCACTGCCTGATTCACGTCGCCCTTGAATTTCTCAATAGCGTCGCGTACTCGCATCATGTTCTTGGGACCATCGAGATCTGGTATTGAGGATAAAACAACTTTCTCCATCCACGGCTGGCAGTATGTGTGAGACTCTAGTAGCTTGTCTGAATCGGCACGCGATATGATCTAGATAATGACCGTTAATATATCGATAAAGGTCGCACTCGACAAGTTCAGTACACACCTTCTCCTTGACTTCTGGTAATCCGCTATGTGGCCCGTCAATGTTTCTGATTGAAGAATAATGCTCCCATTGGTGATACGCTATGTGTAGCAACCGCTTTGCGTTAACGTCGCCGCTCGGCACAACGTAAGCAAAGTCAGTCAAATGGATCTTCACATCGACCTGAAATCGCCGAGCAAACGCGACAATCTCGAGATTATCACCGTAAACGCCATTCTTGCTCATGTTCTCTAGATAACTCTCCCACATCTTGTCGGCTCCCTGAGCTGAATCCCGGGCTGCTGAGTTTGCCGACGCAGCTGACGCTGCTCGTCGCTGACTCTTACGGCCAACGGCAACACCTAGCGCTGCTGGTAGAAACCCGATGTACTGATCCTTGTTGGCTCGTAAAAATTCGACCACATCTCGGCGAACTGTAAAGTGTAGATCCGGATCGCCGTAAAGCTGATCAGCCAGTGCGCGAAATAGACAGTTCCCGTCGCCAGTGATTTGTGAAGCATAGAGTCCCTGTGCCCGCAATAGCGGGAACTCAGCATCGCCAGACATACCTGGCTAACTTGCCTGTCTAGCCTCTTTCTAGCCGATCCAATAAATGCTGTAGTTCGCTGACGCGAGAAGCCGAAATTCGCAGTTGATGAGGAGTCAGCCTGCGTGTACTTTAGCGCTCTTTTTTATTTACCGTTCTACTCGTTCAGCAACGTTGGGACTTTCAATATTGAAGCGAATTTTGTCACCAGGACCGATCGATATTACAAAAGCAGTAGATCTCTCTATGATCTCTATGGAAAGAAGCCATATATTAAATTGATCACTCTGGTCTAATTTCCTTTTGAAAATACCAATATCTAGCATAATGACTCGATTACAGAGCTTTCCGTACGACTGTGCCTCATCGCGTGCCCCGCCACTAAAGTCTCTCACTGACTAGATCAACCTCATCGGCGATTTTTCTACATCACTAGCCATCAAAACGTCCTTTAAACTATACAATTTGATATACCACTTTAAAAACTGAATAGATTAGATCAGTCACATTTTGATTATAGGTGTCAGGGGTTCATAAAGAACCGCATTTTTTTAAAATTTTAAAAATGGTCCAGTGGTGTAACGGTTTATCACGTCTCGTTCACATTAGTGAGCAGAAATCCGAGGAGGTTCCGCGTTCGATTCGCGGTTGGATCATTATTTTTTGCAATTTTTTTGCCAGCTTCTATTTGTTTTTTTGTCTTTTTTATATACATAGCACTGCACAAATCGGCCTATTTCAGCTGATGAGTTGTTTGAGAGAAATGAATGATATAGCGTCTGTCGGAACGGTCACTTGAGAAGCAAAGCCGGAAAACCTACGACTATTTTACTACGATAGTTTACAACAGGGATTATGAGACAATAAAATATCAGTTCTATAAGTATTATTTGAGGAAAACGAGATAATCTTACAAATGGCTGCTCTAAATTCCATGATAGTGCCAGACACTTATTTTGCGTAAATTCGCACCAAATATTCGACTTTCGGTGCACTCTGTCCCACAATTGAGCATGTAGTTGACCCGCTGGAGCCCACTACGCCATGACGGTGTCTTCCTCTTCATCATCCTCGTCAAATGCACCATCATAAATGTTCGGCTGACTACTCGAGCGAGAGATCGACTCCCGCCCCTTGAAAACGAATCCATTTCGTTCGTTTGCGGCCCCTTTCCAGCGAGGAGTCACAACCTGACTTTCTAGATCGATCTCCTCACAAAGCTCAATCATGAACTGCTTTGACAGCTCCTTGAAAGAAGGGGATCGCACCACTCGTCCCCAGTGTCGCATACAAAATCTAGCCGCAGATGTTCTCAACACATCTTCGCGAGCTGTTCGTGCACATTCCCAAATGAATGCTGCGCTATCGATCGTGAAGTTATCCTGTATCCGGCCAAAACAAAGATCTCGAAGCCTTGGCAACGAATATAGATTGCTCAAGACAAGAACTCCGGCAACTGTATTGATGCTTGTCTCAGGTGGTAAGGTATCGGTGTAGAGATAGTATATAAGTGCATAAACATTGGAGAACCGTTCCGGTATATGCATGCGTTTGAGATGATACTCGCTCATCCGGGAATTCAGAAGTCGCTTAAAATGAGGCCAACGCGAAGCAAGAATCACTGAATGCACAAGTATTGAATCGGATAACGTATTGTCGCCATTGGAGGTAATAGCTTTATCTTGAATGGCCGTTATCTTGAAGTCTGCAGACTGCTGATCGGCCAAAAGGGCAGCCATATCCGCATTCAGCGAATTTGGAGGAAGAGCTAAATTTCCTTTCGAATCATTGATCACCAAAACATTTTCGAAAGACCGAATCGAAGGTTTGGATGAAACACCAAAGTATTTCAAATCAATGGGGAGAATATGTTGTATCATATTAGAGTTGTCGGTGCCATTTTTGCATCCAAGTAGGTAGGCTGTTGTCCCTGAGAAAGCAACATATGACCAGTTCGCACCCGCAAGCAGGTCAATCGAGGAGTCGGCAAGCGTACGCCAGCGCATTTCTGCCATATCAAAACAGGAGATCGAAGTACCTGTGTTTGTGATCGCGGCCGGACCTGCTGTAGTAAAATCTACCACGACAGAGCCAAGGAACGCATAAAAATGTGTACCAACGCGCTTCTCGGGATTAGGTGTACTCCGACGGATATGCGGACCAGCCATAGCGGGTGAGGAGTCAGCAGAGACCTCGGTGGCCGGGAATACCAGCGAGGCAATAGCGGCAGAGTTCAGGTCAAACCATACGATGTCAGAAGGCCGATCCATATCCTGCGTCAAGCCACCAAAGATCCACAGTTTACCGCAAAACACTGTTGCAGTATGGTCGTAACGAGGAACGAAAGAGCGCGAGTCACTCCATGTCATTGTAGTGAGATCAAGGCAGAAGATATCTCCGAGCACTGAGCCATGCCGTGAGCCACCGGAGAAGTATAGACGAGTACGACACTCTGAAAGGCAAGCTGCGTGACGGCTACGCTGGTACGGAGGATTTCCATAGGTGACCGGTTGTGTCCATGAACTGCTGCGTAGATCGTAGACATATAGATCGTTGAGAAGACGTCCGCTCTCGTCTTCCCCGCCAAAAACAATAAGTTTCCCGTCTTTCCAGTAAGTAGCTGTATGGCCATGACGGCGGGACGGAACCTCACCTGCCGGTTCGGTAACATGTGATGACTCCAAGGTCTCCACATCTATAATAATCACCTCGTTGAATACTGCGAAACAGAAGATCAAAGGTCAGCCTTCTTTCTACCCCAGAAATTTTATGGAGATCAAAGTGCCCGAGTAGGACGACGTACGCTCTTGTGTATCCATGACATCGAAGCCTCCAAAAACAAAAATCTTCCCGTCGTCAGGACACAGCTCAACGGAAGCATTGGCCAAGGAGAGAGGAAATAAAGGTGAAGGGCGAACATCGAGAATCTGGGGAGGCTTGGGAGCTGCCGAAGAGCGCTGCTCAGCCGGAGTCAGGATAGGCTCGGCGTCTGGCGGGGGCCCCGAGATTGCTGCAAACTGAAACACGGGAGACACCGGCTCTGCCATTGTCCAAAAATACCTCCAAAAAAGAAATCCAAAAAAGAAATCAAATAGAACGAAGAATCACAGAAATAAAATCCAACCCCAGATGAAATGTCGACAGATCTGATGATCGAGTAAGCGTTGGGACAGCACAAGCGTAAACATATTTCACACTTATGCCGACACCCAAGCCATCTCATCGCCAGAATTCATCAGGCACATCAGCGGCAGCAGATTGAATTCCAGCAAACATGGAGGACTCTGAAGAGCGAGGGCCCGCTACTCCGAGGGATGCACGAGTGCTCCATCTTATGCTGGCATCTCAAGGGATTGCTCGATATCAGGAGCGTGTGCCTCTCCAGCTCATGGATTTCGCGTTCCGATACTCTGCTTCGGTTCTCGAAGATGCAATGCTCTACGCCGATCATGGACGCCAACAGCAACCCGCAGCTGCGGCGAGCTCATCTGCACTGTCTGTGGAAGATTTAAGACTTGCAGTTGCCGCTCGTTTGAACTATCAGTTTCATCCGGCGCCGCCAAAAGAGCTCCTTCTTGAGCTCGCTCACGAGCGCAACAGACGCCCCTTGCCCCACATCAGCACATCCAGCGCAATTCGCCTTCCGCCAGAGAAGTACTGTTTAACAGCCAAGGACTGGGTCATTGATGAAGAGCTCGCGGACCTACCTGTATGTAGTCCTATAATTTACATTACGCCAGATGGCGCCGCTAACGTATATCTTCAGGACGACGACGACGAGGACGCGCCACCAGATTCAAAACGGGCGCGGTCTTCCTAAGCGTTGTGTATATTATTTGTCTATTTGCTGTATATGTACAATTAATTTCCATCTTTTCATTTCAACCTAGTCAGATGGCTGCCCGTAATCTTGTAGATCACGAAGAAGAAGCTTTCTTTAACGCCTTTTTTTCCTCGATAATCTCGTCCATGAACCGATCTTGAAACGCGGGCTGCATATAATAGACCATGCAATCTACCATATCTTTCTTCTGATCTTTGCATACCCATCCTATAGTGAGCGTGCGGCCTGTTTGGCAATGTAAAAATGCTAGAGATCCGCGTACACGTTAGTAGCTATGTCATCTTCTGGACTTCTCGGTGGACGGAAACAAAGGAAGCCTTATACGCACCATCCAACACACTACGGCAATTTTCTCGTGCCCACACATTCTGGCGCTTGTGGACCTCCACCTTATCCTGCGGTGAAATAACCCAGGCAGGAACTGGTTTCCCTGTCATTGATCGTGATCGAGTTGGTGGGATTAATGCTAAGTAGAAGAGCTGTTCCGACTTTACACTTTTAAAAGACTTTGGCTCCGGGGAGGCGTGCGGCGCTCACGATTTTTTTTCTCTTCCCAAAACTCCCATCTTTCTACTTTTCCCTTCTTCGTTTACACATCTCCAGCTATCACACACTCTCCGACTGGAAGGAAGACAGCCATGTCGTCTCTAAAGTTTTCAGTACAGCACAAAGAGCACCGGGAGCGTGCTCAACCAGCTAATCGCAAAAAATGGGGTCTCTTGGAAAAGCACAAGGACTACGTCCTTCGTGCAAAAGACTACCATTCAAAAGAGCAGCGTTTGAAGATACTTCGCGAAAAGGCACAAACCAGAAACCCAGATGAGTTCTATTTTGGAATGTACTCTTCCAAGACGTCTTCCGCCTCTGCGTCTCGTGGCATGCGGGAAAAAGAGCGCGAATCCTCGATCGCGCTGACGACTGAGCAAATGAAGCTGCTGCGAACTCAAGACGCTGGCTATCTCAATACTTTGCTCATGCAGGAACAGAGTGCTATCGACAAGCTTACCGCTAAACTGGCATTTACTCGGGGCGCGTGGAAGGGCAAACAGTCAGAGACGCAGAAGGAAGAGGAAGCAGGATCAGACTACGACTACAGTGATGAGGACGAAGACGAAGATCCTAGCCTAAAAGCTCAGAAGACTCGGATGGATAAAAGAAAAAGCGGTTCCTCATCTTCCAAACAATACACAGTATTTACCGAATCCCTCGATGATCCAGAAGCAAATCGAAATTTCTCGCCAATATACAAAAAGGAACTCACAAAAGAGCAACAAGAACTACTCTCCAAGCTTGAGCAACACAAGGAACGAAAGGCGCAGATATCAGAGGTTTTGAAAGAAGCTCAACTACAGAAAGAATTACTGGGGAAAGGACCCCGAAGGAAGGTAGTGAAGCCGGATGGGAAAGCTGTTTGGAAATGGACTACTCAGCGCAAGCGATAGCGGCTGGGATTTAACGAACGGGTTTCCGGTTGGTATGCAATATCACATTAAATGAAAGAAAGATATAACAAACAAGTAAAGCCATTCCTACATCAATATTAACTCCCAGCGCCCAAATCCCCTGCGAACTTGGTTCAGCAGAATCAAAAAAGAAAGCAAAGAGAATCAAAAGTAAACTCGAATAGCCTGGTTCGGAATGCTCTCATTAGGACAATAAGGGCATTTAAATCGCTGATTCGGATTCCCTTTGCTCATCCGTCCCAAACTCTCCTTAGCAACGATATGCCCACAAGGCATCATCATTGGTGGATTCTCGTCAGTCGTCTGCTCCTTCGATACCGGACATACAAAAATAGCATGGAACTGAAACATGCTCTCTGGTAATGGAATCTCAACCGGAAGCTCGTTTTCACTACTCCATTCCGTATGTTTCTCCCGCATGATCGTCCCAACCTTCAACAGCGTTGGCAGCGCAATAGCACCGGCAGCAGCAGCCAAGTAAAGCGGCGAATCAGAGCTCAGTCCTAATAGAGAGCAAAACTCCTTTGTAAACGACTTTGCAACATCATCCCAAGCAGATGGCGATAGGAAAATATTCACATAGGGCGATTTTTCTAAATTGGAATTGAACAAAAACGCGCACATCAGTTTAGAGAGACTGGCCATGTGCCGCTCTCCAAATGGCGCAAAATTCTCTCTTGCATACTGCAGTGCTCTTCGGGTACTGTTGACTGGTTCCCCTGTTTCCTCGTCGACAGTAGTGAGCAGGTAGTGAATGAATTGAAGACGGTGTAAGCTGAATTCCAGGTTGCTTCCCATTGCCGCCAGCTTCTCACGCTTACTGGCAGCCCAATCAATCGCTGGCTTGAGGTCATGCCCTCGAAGAGCCGCCAGGATCCAGTACATATTCTTGAACTCCTCTTCAATAACGTCGGGAATGCTTAGAGATGCATCCTTAATCAGCTTGTCTGCTGGTTCGAAATGGCCTTCGCGAATGAGATGCATTGCGATCGCCCGGTCGAGTAGAGTCCGACTTGACGGAGGGAAAGCGGATCGATTATAGGACGTCTCGATATCAATTTTGAATTTCTGGAGCACAAAATTTCTCGCGTCAGTATTTATTCACACGGTCAGCACTTGGCACAAAACAGTCAGACACAAACCCACCTTATCAAGCGCTTTTGAGTACTTGCTCAAAGAGCTATGGATGTCCTTCTGCGTGTTCCCGATCTTCTCCGCAAAGGCAGTGGTGCTTGACTTTACCAGAGCCAGCTGTTCTCGTCGCGACTGAGGGGCTATAGATACAGTTTTAATCATGAGACCAGTGGTGTAAGATCAAGCAGTGAAATCCTTACCTGAATTAATCGTGTTCCGCGCCTTCTGTAAAGCGCCCAGCAGCTGATCTATGTCAGAGACATACTTGCCAAAGTCTCCGCTCTTCTGTAGACGCCCGTATTCTTTTAAAACCGAGTCCATCTTGATGTCATCCGAAAACTGTCAAGACGTGTGTTTGAACACTCTGACTGCAAAATGAACCGTATCCCGCAATACTGTCTCTTGTAGAAATGCGGGCTCCGCTTTGATCAAAGGCGGAGAGATTAACGTGTAACAACCGTGGGTCTTGTATGCTCCCAGACCCAATGCTCCCACCTCCCAATTTAAACTTTTATTGTCATCAGAACTCCCAAAAATTTATTTTGACCCAAAATCTACGAGAGCAAAAGAAAAAAATACACTCCAGCAGTATCTCTATCGAACGTCTCCGGAGAAGTATTTATTCAAGATGAAGCTCAACACAGCTGCTATGCGCTACTTGACTAGCGAAGACTTCCGCGTACTCACTGCGGTGCGTTTTGCTCAATCTCCTTCGAGAGAACCATACTAACAATAATTCTGATCTTATATAGACTGAGATGGGATCTAAGAACCACGAAGTCGTCCCTACAACTCTCATCACTCAAATTTCAGGTCTACGCGGTGGATCAGGTGTGGGAAATTCTATATCCGAGCTCGCGAAGGCAAATCTGATTGCCCGTGTCAAGAATGCTAGCTGTACGTTGCCATATTGAAATTCAATTATTAGATGCACTATTTTCAGTCCTCTAACGCTCGCGACTCCAGATGACGGATACCGGTTGACATACGGTGGATACGACTATCTTGCAATCAAAGCATTCTCCAATCGCAAAACTATCTACTCAGTCGGGAATCAAATAGGAGTTGGCAAGGAGTCAGACATCTACGTCGTTGCTGATGAGCGCTCTCGAAAGCGGGTGCTGAAAATTCACAGACTCGGTCGGATATCGTTCAGAAGCGTCAAGAATAACAGAGATTATCTGCGAAATCGACAATCGGCATCTTGGATGTACCTCTCCCGTCTTGCAGCTCAAAAAGAATACGCTTTCATGAAAGCTCTTTACGATAACGGTTTTCCGGTACCTGAGCCGATTGATCAGTCAAGACATTGTATCGTGATGTCGCTGATTCCAGGATTTCCAATGTTCGCTTGCCTTTTATTTTTAGAATATAGCTTAATGAGCGTAGCAACTAACCAATATGACTGACAGGCGCCAACTATCATCACACGAGGACCCATCAACCCTCTACTCATCTCTCATGGCCTTTATAGTGCGTCTCGCGAACCACGGATTAATTCACTGTGATTTCAACGAGTTCAACATCATGATCCTCGACAAACCTCCTTCAGATGATGCACAGTTCGTTGTTATTGATTTCCCCCAATGTGTTTCAATAGATCATGTTGATGCAGAGCGGTTCTTCAAGCGTGATGTTGATTGCATTCGGCGATTCTTTGAAAGAAAATTAGGATATGTGGCAGAAGAGTATCCCAATTTCAAGCGAGATGTCAGCAGAGTCGGAAAACTAGATATCGACGTCCAAGCATCAGGATTTAGTAAGAAAATGGTCAAGGAGTTTGAAAAGGCTCTATCCGAATCTCGAGAGAAAGGCGAAGATGAATATCCGGCCGAGTCCGCATCAGATGGATCAGATACCGACGAAGTTTCCGAGGGTCACGAAGATGAGGAGGAAGATGAAGAGGAGAACGAGGGTGAGGGCGACAGCAGCAGTGTGGAAGAATCGGATGCTAAAGAAGTACTTGAGATCTCTTCAAATGGGAGGCAAGTGTCCTAAGTAGCTACGGAATAAGAGTTGCAAATAAAATACGATTGTATGACTCATGTTATTATGATTCGGCCTGGAATACCACTAGCTAACCTTGAAGACACAGAAGCTACTCATTGAATTGACGTTGAATGAAAAAGAAAAAACCCCATAGAAATATAAGGACACAAGTTGAACAAAACGCCTTCTAGCAAATAAGGATGCAATTGACAGCAAACGCAAATAAAATATACAGTAGGCGGCACAGAGAGCATTGAAAAAGAATACAGCCACATCGGTTTATACTGGGCTGCTGATCCGAGAAATAAACGCCCAATTATCGTCACGGCTTTGAATTATCGGAATCGCTCGTCACTCTTTCATCAGTTTGAGACCTAAACGAGAGTCAAAGCATGCAGTTAGCATTCTTAATAATATCTTCAAGCTTGATTATTTGTAGTAATAATTGGGGACATGAGTAGCAGATTGGCTGTACTTCAAGTTGTTCGATGATCCATTCTCAGACGAGTATTTCCAATCGTAGACGATCCCAGCCTGCTGTTGAGAAGGGAGAGACGAACTTCCGTCATTCGGAGAGCTAGAAAAAACAGGCGAACCATACGGTAGGATTTGATTAGCAGGATAAGAAGGAACTGGATACATTCCGCCATATGTGGTGGGATATTCGTCCATAGCATAGCGTGCAGCGAGCAGATGGTATTCTTGTGCTCTCCAGTTGCGCTTTTTGACTGTGATCTGCTTCAACTTCTTCTGCGCCTCTGTATCGCTAAATCGCACTTGAATAGGAGTGCCTCCCTCACCGATCGGTTGACCATGAAGCTTTTCAATAACCTCCTCAGCAATATCTCTTCGAGCAAATCTGTAAATCGAGCAAACAAACGATTAAGTGATATAGTTAGCTTAGTCACGCGTGGTATCTGCAAGTACAACAGATCTCTACCTAGCAAACCCGACCCCTCTGTTGTTGCCATGCCCATCCCTGAGCACTTTCAAGGAAACAACGGAGTACGACTCTAGAAGCTGCTTAAATTCCTGCATAATACGGAGAAGATAGTTAGCCTCAGAAATACAGGTTCGTTCATATACACTAACAGTTTTGTCCCAATGGCGCGGAATGTTTGAGAAATAGATGTTCGTAGACTCTTGGTCTTGAAGTTCTTTTAGTCGCAGAGCAAACGATTGCTAGAACATAGAACCACAGTTAGTTGTATTCCGTATATACAAGTAGCGATTGATATCCCAAACCTTGGCAAACGACGTTTGATATCCGTACTCCGCAAGACCACAGATGCAGCTCATAGCTTGCTGCTCAGTCTCAAACTGAGCAAATCCAAAGCCTTTGCACATTCCAGTAAGATTGTCCATCATGGCTTTAGCTGTAGTCACTACTCCAAATCGCGATACTATTTTGTGAAGAATGTCATCAGTCGTTCTGGGAGCTAACCCTCGAATGTAAACGTTGGTTGTCTTTCGAGGATTGTTCAAAGAATCATCTAGCGAAAACGGGACAAGACCAGGATGGGGAGCTATCGCCAAAGGAATCGGAAATTCATCGCTCTGTGATTCATGATCCTCGATTTGAGACGGCTCAGTCGGAGATGAAACGGCACCATTAGCTTTAGCGAGTGGAAGCCCCGCCGGCCTATTAACATTCAGTTGTCGCAAAACGGTTGCCTCTCTATCAGGCGGAGGTACGGCATTCGATCTTCTATTATTTCCGTTGTACTTGTTTTGCTTGTGAGACTGAGGCAAACGATAGTTGCCGTTCTGACGCGCGAAGTCCCTCGGCCCTCTCTGTGTGTTTAAAGTAAGCCCTTATGCTTCTCAAAGTCTGAGCCAGCCGAAATAAAGCCTAAGTTACCTGCTTGTTGTCAAAATTATTTCCCCATTTGTCATAAAAGCCATTTCTGTTGTCATTGCTGGTGAACGGACGGCCAAAGGGAACTCTGGTCTGGTGTGGGAGTGGTACATGATAGCCTGCACCCGAGTCTATTCCATTATGATTCTGTCGAGAAGTGAACATATCCATAGACGAATAGATAGAAGTGTAGCCAGGATACATCGGATACATTGGCATGGGCATCGCTGGGGGATACATTGACGCGGACATCGGGCCTGCAACGTACGGTGCCTGCTGGATGAATCCACTAGTCTTGTCTGAAGCAGACAAAGACTGGGGATAAGAAACTGCGGTGTTCTGCATCTGATTCGCCTTTGGAATGTAGTAGGATGCAGCATTTGAGAAATAAGTGCCTGCAGCAGGTGTTTGCTCTGACACGCTGGTGGATTCCATGACGCCCAGCACGCCTAGACAGTACAGAACAAAGCAGAAACAAGAATTACGCGTAAATCTACTAGAAAAACTAACACGTAAAAAAGCAGCGCAATGCAACGGAGCTAGAAGGGTGGAAGAAAAGAAAGAAGCCAAATACACAAGCAGGAAGGATAGATGGAGTGACGCAGGCCGTTTCTAAATCTGAGATGTTGGAGTACGGCCGTAAGCGAAACCTTATTCTCCACAACACAACCCTGCCTGTTCTTCTACATGCTTACAACCTCTATAAATGTTCAGTATCAACAGCAAAGTTGATTGATTCTCTTATATATGTCTAGAGATTTTACGAGCTATGCTAATGGATTCTACTGTTCACTTAGTATACATCATTCACTTCGACTATTATTAGGCGAAACGCCGAATTAAGATCCTAACACCTCTCAAAGATTCTATATAGCCCTGGCAAATTAGCAATCTCGATCACTGCAGATAGCAAAGATTTTGTAGCAATAAGTCTGCGTCCCACTGTCGGAAATATGCGGTGCTCCAAAGTCTGAGATAACTCCTGCCGCCTAAGTTCGAGAGAGTCTTTGATACCCGTTGTATTCTCCGACTCGTCCAGTTCATTGACTTTTGGCAGCGACTCAGGAACATTGAATATGGCCAGTTCTCGTAATAGTGACTGGAAGCACTCAAGTTCATTCGACCAGTCGACCTATATTACAGTCAGTCAGCAGGCTGAGAGGGGAGAAACCATACAGGAAGAGCATACATTAGTGCATATCCGATATATGAACATTGGTAGTTTAGAAATCGGGGGTGTGTAATCTTTCAAAAGAAGTGGTATGCTTGTCAGATCACCAGATTCGGTAATCTCTACAGAAAAATATTCAAGGAGCATAGCGCGCATGGTAACGAGCTTATCAGCCATGACCTGTAATAGTTAGCGTCCCGCATGTGAGAAGAATCATAACCATATCGTGTGAACTACCTCCACATCCAGGGGTCTGGTCTCCACTGTACTACATGAACTCGCAGCCTCCAAGAGAGATCTGACGGAAATTGGCGCTCGAAGTTTGATCACACCGAAATTACCAAAGTCGGACAGCCCAATTTGGTAAAACAGCTCAAAGCTATGAAGGTGGTTATTAGCACGGTTTATGATAGTTATAAAATAACCTGGACCTTACCATATAGCGCCATAGTCGACCAGAAACAGCTTTATATCATTCTGTACAGCCACTAGACGTTTCGTCTCATCAACCAATCCCACATATATGTGGTTTGCGAAGAGCTCTGTGAGACCTGTTTTACAAATTAGCATAAGTTGCTCATAGAGACTTGAGCCGGAATGCCAGCATGTAGGATAACCTACCTTTATGTAAATCTTCACGAACAGCTTCTCGCAGCTGTTTGATACTACTCAATCTGATCATCACTCTCTCGCGATCTATGACAGTCTTTGGCATATTCAGCGGCTGTGGCATGCCATCGGGTGGTCGAGAGTCGTCGGGTGGTGTGAGGTCTGAAGTCGGCTGCAGAGATTCCACAGTATTAATATCTTCAAGAGTAGTCGAGGATCTGGATTTTATTCTCGGTTGTAACATTGCAGTTATTTTTCTCTCTTTGGCATCTGTGCGAACCATATTATACTCGTAAGTACGCTTCGAGCGTTGTGATACTTCAATAGAGCTCTCCAATGGTCCGGAAGCGCCTTGCAGTAGCATCTGAGTTTTGAAAAGACGACTGCTATCAACCGCTCCCAGTGTCTTCCGCACTTCGTCGCAGATTCGCTGTATGATCTCTTCTTCATTCAAAAATCTCACTTCCCTCTTCGTGGGATGTACGTTGACATCTAACTTGTCGGCTTCTATCAGAAGGGAGACATACATAAACGCATGACCACCTTTCGGTAAAAAGGATGAGTATAGACTGGACAACGCCCTCTTCAAAGGAGCACAAGATATGGACCGATCTGCAAAGGTTAGACAGGGACCATGATTTGGTGAGCAGGAGAAAGGACTCACGATTGATAAAAAAGAGAGGTGCAACGTTTTTCTTCGCGTTGAAGTTCGCATTTGTAATCCATCCACGAGCTCCCAACAGCCCTATATTTTTCGCAGGAGCCACATTGATCTCAATAAGCTCACTGGCAATCTCAGAGCCATATATCACTCTTATTCTGTCTACTATCGATGCAGAGGCAGCAGTGATGATGGAATGGTGCGATTCTCCGTGCTATCCAGGTATTAGAATGTATGTATAAAAATGGGAAGTTCTGAATACTTTTGACATACCTTTTTGCAAGTAAAAGCAACCCCCTCCGTATGCACAGCATAACGACCAACTACATCGACTATTCGATTATACTCGTCAGAAGGGGACCGAAACGCTCTCAATCTAGACGGAACATTAAAGAATAGATCCTCAACCTGAGAAAATGTTAGCGGTGCCCAGATTTAAGCGCTGATAGGCACCTACAAGTATCTGTGTGCCTTTCTTTCCGGCCGTCGCTTTTGGCTCAGCAGAAGAGCCACCTTTGGGCGCGATAAGTTTCCCGTCATGGTATACAGCACGCCAAGCACATTCTGACTCAGTGGATCTAGTAGTGACCGTCAAGTGTGCAATGTGAGATATGCTGGCCAAAGCCTCGCCTCGAAATCCGTAAGTAGTAAGCGAGCTCAAGTCCTCAAAAGCTGTCAGCTTTGAAGTGGTGAAGCGCTCGCACAAGATTGCAAGATCATCCCTCTAGAAGTAGCGTAATCTATTAGCATGTATCTCCAATTAACAACCGCTATACTCGACTGACATTTATTCCGTGACCGTTGTCTGTGATTTGAAGTAATTTCAGACCTCCGTCTTTGACTACTATGTCAATGGCTGTACTACCGGCATCTATTGAGTTTTCCAGCATCTCTTTCAGAGCATTGGCAGGATGAACAATAATCTCGCCCGCGGCAATTCGGTTTATGACGTTTATGTCGAGAGCCTAGCCAGTATTGTTAGCGTTGGAATCAAGTTGATCTCAATCTTAAGCGTAACACACGCGTATTGCCACTGTACGTACCTTGATCTTCGGCCCCAGCGATGACTTCGCCGGGTCATTGGAGTTTGTATCCAAGTCAGTCATATTCAAATCAAAAGGCCCCCTCAAGACGGATCTCGATTGATAAGGCAATATAGAGAGACGCCTGAAGGATTAGACAATAATATAAGCCGGAATCAGCTTGTAATGTTAGCTCGCGTTTCGTCAATTAGCTCTTCAGTTTAGGGTTACAGGGATTCAAATGTTATTACTATTTCGAAAGGACTCTACAGGACTGCAGAATAAATTGCTCTCAACTTCGCTTTACTTTTTTGTTACATTATTGCTCATAGACAAAAAAATCAAAGCCTTCAATTGTTATGATATAATATCACATCAGCGTCTTCGCTGCTCTCTAGCTTTATATGCTATAAACCGAATCAGGTTATGAACCGCTTCGTCGGCTCTAGTTCTAAGAATGTTTTCTTTCCGCTTGTCAATCCGTTTCGCCATTTGCTTCACCTGATCCTGCACAGAAGCCAGATGTTTGAGGAAGTCACCCTTCACAAACACTTCGGCATCATAATCGAAATTCTTGTCCGCAAATATATCAAACAGAGCATTTAGAGATTCAATCACAATTTCAGGCTCTTTGTTAGGCAGCGCCTTGATTTGTGTTAACAAAAACACAGAAAACTCCTTAGTAACTTCTGCTCGTCCTTGCGCTTGCGCCAGCACTCCAAAAAGACCAACGAAACGTACACGGCACTCTAATGATCCCTCGCCCCCTTCCAGCTCTTGATATTGCTTTAATAGCCACCGAGCATCGGAGAGCTCAAGTGGAATGTCACCCTTGCATTGAGCAGCACAAGCCCATAATGCGCCCGCCAGACCGCACCGGCTCTCGATGTCCAAATGATTGACATCTCGTAGGGTGGCTGCAAATTGCAGGAAATGCTCACGAGCCATCTCCGTCCAGGGTAGATAAGACTCGCAGAGAGTATTCAAAGTCCAGCTCATATTATTCAGTGCATTCAAAGCGCGGGATCGCAGCTCGTCAAAATCCGACAACGAAGCTACCAGCGAAAAAACTCGCTCCAATAGAAGTGCGGCAGTAGGATTGTCCAGCTTTTTCTGACTCGGGGCGGCGTGATCAGTCATTTCGTTATCTTCTGACCCAGACTCTTCAATTTCGGGAACGTCATCCTCGATTTCGCCATCAACATCCTCCAAAATTTCATCTTCGGCATCTCCAGCCTCTTCTCTACCTTCATATTTTTTTAAGTGGGCAGAATCACGGTGAACCAGAGCCTCACTGACCACAGTTAGGAGCTCAAGTCCAAGCTGCACGGTGATGATATCGTTCTGAGCAGCCGTTGTCTTGTCATTAGCTGGCGACGGAAATTCAACCACATCTTTTTCACTTTCTGAACGTGCATTTGCCAACGCGGATTTGATATCAATTTGCGCAAGAAGTTTGTATACGGACGTAACAATATCGAGAATATCGATTGACGAAGTGGTGCTGGTTTCGAAAATATTGAATTGAACGCCAGCAATATACATGTTCACCAGATGACTAAGACTGTCTCCAGGAATGAATCCAGAATTCTGAATTGACTCATTGTAAGACGGATTCTGTTCAGTCAGCGCATAGAGATTTTCGGCAGCAAGAGTCTTAACGGATTCAGGAATGGCAGTGCCATCGATAAGACTCAAGTCAAAGACTAGCAGCTCAGGAAAGCGGTTGGCGATGGAATCCCGGATCTCGTCCGATGCGCCACTGAGAGATGTAAGGAGAGATAAGATGTTTTCCAGCAGTACAAACATCTGTTTCTTCTCGGCTGCCGGAAGCGAGCCTATTGTAGATAGACTAGCTTGGATCTATTGAAAAGTCAGAATCAAGTCGACGAGCATTTTCCAGATCTCAAATAGTCCTACCTTGCTCAAATAAATCTCGATCGACGCTAAAATATCTTTGCGCCATATGAAAACGCACACATCGTAACCTTCTTCAAGCGCGAGATTTCGTAAGGCGCCAAAGGCTTCGGTGACGACTTCTTCAGATGAGTCGGTGAGAGATCGTTCGATAAGTATCTTGACCAATTTCTCCTTCAGAAGCACTTTTCGAACTGTAGGGATTTCTAGAAGACTTGATATAGCTGATGCGGCCATCGCACGTTCTTTGGCATCTGACGAGGTAAGCTTCTGTAGAAGTGGCAAAGCTGTCTCGACATTCTCTGCAGCTTTCGCCTTCACCGCCGTCGTCGGGCCACCTTTGAGGGCAGAAACCCGTACCAGGGAATTCCGAGATACTTTTTTGCTCTTCGCCATGCTAGCTGAATGTGTCAATAGAATGCCAGGTTTATGTGCAAGTCGTATTAGACAGTATCGCAAAGAAAAGAAATCGGAGAACAAGAGCTGGAACCACGCGTAGACATCGTGAATATTTTTTTGTTGACTTCTTAAGGTTTGAGTTTAAAGCTTTCAAGCCCGCTCGAAGAACTTTAATCGCACTGTAACTTGACTCGGAATATGGAATACCTTTTCTGTGTTCTCCTGGACAAACAAGAATGACCTTAGATTTTCTGGAAAATTTCCTGAGTCTTATAAGCTCAGATGATTGATGGCGTGAGACGCAAGAAGCCCGCTAGTCAGGTAAACATGCAAAGTCTGCGATCGTCCAGAGCAATGATGAATGCAAGACATTGCGAAAGATGAATCTCTTAAGTTATACCGAGTTTTTGTAACCGAAGCCAAAGGGCATGTTCAGAAGCGGATTATAAGAAGAATTAGGCAGATGCTCTACATATGTAACAATAGACTGGTAATTATGTATGAATTCGAGCAATGAAATAAAAAACAAAAAGTAGGTTCATCCAAATCTCGGTCCTGCTTTCGAGGAATGAAAAGATCTCTCAGCATCATAGTCATGCTGATCTTGAATTAATAGAGCCGGATCCGTCTCTTCCTCAAATATTGAAACACCAAAAGGCTCTTCCTCCAGCTCTTGCACAACGGAAGACGACAATTCTGCTAATGATGAACCAAGCAAATGACCAGCCGATCTCTCGTATTTGATACACAAAATCAGTAAAATACTTTGCAGTGTCGCCGCGAGAAGATACGGCAGCCACGAAGACCAGCCTGTTCCTTCTCTCAAAGCCAACGTGAGAGCCCACAAATATCCACCTGGGGCTTGCATAGCGAGTGTATGTATCGACAGAGACTCAGCCCTCTTTAGCGAATAGGTCGTGTAGATTTGCGGAACATACTGTGATGCTGCGAGCAGTGTCGCTTCGATCCCTAAAAACCCAGCATACAATGCCACCGCGCCAGACTTGAACTTGTATATGACGAATGCGATCAAGAACGTGAAGCAAAAGTGAACTCCACACAGAACAGCAACTCTCCTTGCACGCTCGCGATCAGCATCTAATAGTGGATCGCGAGGGAAAAATTGAATATATAGCAATAGAATAATGGCAAACATAGTGAACTGCAACCCAATCTGTATAACGCCCAGTGACGCCGCCATGCATTTCCCTGCAGACAACTTAGAGCAGCATTGGAGAACATCCGACGAGAGCAGCAACACGTTGGTCAAAGAGCATGTTCCTGAGGTTACGCCGAGCAGTAGGAACCAAGGAGAAAGGCCGCGAGACGATCGGCGGATGATGATACGGAGGTGTTGCGGGACGTACGATCCTACTATGCCAACAGCTAGCGCCAACGACAGTGTCGTGTTGAATATAGAAGGATGATCTAAAACTGTGCAAAGATCACCGTCCATCTTATCATCTTCCTCGGACTAAGCTTCACTTCTTACACGGTCTTGTGGACTGCAGCGATGACGTTTGACGCTGTTACGGAGATCGCGGTTAAGCTAAAGCGGTGCGGCTTAACACGGCACGTGCTTTATAATTGGGAGAGGACGGAATCGGCCTCGCAGCAAGGCGGTCTAGCTGTTGATACCGGGCAGCAGCCAAAGCTAGAACAGAGACTTCTACCGAATCTTTTTAACACGATGTCTCGAGCTTCTACGACTGCCGTGTTTGTGGCGGGAATGCTCCTTACGGGCTGCTCAAATTCGTTGTTGACAAAGTTTCAAGATAATCAGTGTGTGCAGAATTGCGAAGGTCCCGCGAGCCAGAGGCGGTATTTTGAGCAGCCCGTTATTCAGACGTTTCAGATGTTTATCGCCGAAGCAGCCTGCTGGTGCTTTGTGTTTCTGGGTGACATGTATTCCTCCTATTATAATCGTGACGCCAGCACCATTTCTGGCAATACGCCGGAGAACCGAAACGACGGCCAAGATTATCTACAGATATCGACAGATGCCAATCTCAGCCTTCTATCATCTGAGGTGAATCACGATATTGAGCTTGATCTTCAAGAGATGCCAGCTCTAGATGGGAAAAAAGTATTTGGACTCTCAATTCCCGCTTTTTGCGATATATGTGGAACCACGTTGATGAACGTTGGTTTGTTTTTCACTCCTGTCAGCATCTATCAGATGACCAGAGGTGCCCTCGTATTATTTGTGGGTCTTTTCAGTGTCATGTTTTTACGCCGGAAACTTCTGGCTAAACAGTGGTTTGCATTGGGAATCGTGGTCGCTGGTGTCTTCATTGTGGGACTGAGCGGGGTGATCTATGCTCCCGATACCGATGCCGCGAATGACGATGAGGTCGAACGCTCTTTAATGCAAGTTGCATTTGGTGTTCTGCTCATTGCCTTAGCTCAAGTGTTCACTGCTACCCAGTTCGTTTACGAGGAACACATCTTGAATGACTATCAACTCGACTCTCTACGTGTTGTCGGTTATGAAGGAATATTTGGATTACTTCTCACCGGTGTGATCATGTTGGTTGGATATTTATTTATTGGTGTCACGGAAGACGGTAGCGGTGGATATTTTGATGTACCGACAGCAGTCTCTCAGATTTTCACACACAAAGGGGTGTTTATTTCATCATTATTGATCATGGTATCAATAGGCTCTTTCAATTTTTTTGGGATCAGTGTGACCAAAACCGTGAGCGCTACCAGCCGCTCCACCATTGATACCTGCCGGACCTTGGGCATTTGGATGATTTCGATCATACTGGGATGGGAGTCCTTCAATATGTTGCAGCTATTCGGATTTGCGCTGCTTGTATATGGTACTCTTGTTTTCAACGGGATCATTCCCCCGTATGTGCTCGAAAGGTTTTCGGAGACGGGGCGAATAAGACTAGAAACAGATGACGGCGAGTAAAGCACTGGACTTGCCTTCTAGACACCTGATTACCAGGTCAAAATCTAAATAGTCGAGTCTTTTTCAAATTTATTTAAATGTCTCGAAGAACAATTTTCCCGATTCTAACCTGCATGGTAGAAATAAGCATTACCGCCCCCAAGCCGCTCGTTAAAAGAAGAAAGCATCGACAGATGGCACCGGTCAATAAAGCAAAAAAATAAAGCCCAACAACAGTTCGTTAACTTGTAATCTCAGAACTGCCGTTGCCCAGAATCGAACTGAGGTCTCTTCGGCCACAACGAAGTGTACTGACCACTATACTACAACGGCTCATTCCTCAAAACAAAGGTAATTTAGCTTCATAACGGAAAACTTTAAGACACAAACCCTTAGTAGTTTAAATCCTGAAGTGTAAGGTTTGCATGCTAGACAAGGACTAAGTGGAATGTAGTTATGAACCTACCTCCACTCGGCTTTCGAAAATATCCGTGTCAGCAAACCAGCAATCCCCATAAACAATAAGCAGTGACAGCAAAAATAAAATCAGTCAGTAGGACTGTAAATCCATTCTACCTGGATATATCTGAAACCGAAGCTAGAGAAATGATAGGCGACTGCAGCAGAGTATGACAAGGCTGGCAAAACAAAATAACCCTAATCCACATAGCGTAGCCGCGTATGCACCACTACCAGGAGAACAAGGGGTTGGTTTGTTTACATTTTGTTGTAAACACTGCCCACGCTTTGCTTCTCGCGCTTCGCTTCCCACGCTCCTCTTCGCATTCTTTTTGGACCGAACGCGACAGTACTTCTGCTTCTCTTAGTATATCTGCACTATAATACCGGAAATGTGAGTTTTACAAAAGCTAGATTTTATCATATTGCTGGATATCGAGATTGTTCAGCACTGCTTCATGATCTGTTATACGCGCCATGGCGGACGCTAATTTACAATCTGATCATCTACCATATGCTAATCGCGAGACGATATGCAAGCCTAAGGGAATAACTGTGGCTAACGAGAAGTCTTAATATTTTTTTTAGTAAACTCCACGATGTCTTCAAAATCTGTATGAGATTCAAAATGAGCTTTCGAAGGTTGCAGCTGCAGCCCAATAGCCCTCGACTGACACTATCCATGATTTAGGCTACCAATAAGGCTTACCAGAACGCGTTTGCCCTTTTTGACAAGCGTGGTACTGGAAAGGTATCTCTGCAAGCCTTGGGAGATCTACTGCGCGCATGCGGTCAGAATCCCACTCTTGCTGAGATCGATGAACTGGAGGAATCTGTTGGAGGGGACTGTACGTATCGCGCTGTTACAGTATAAACTAGAAGTTTTCTAACGGTAGCAGTTGATTTCGACACTTTTCTTCAGGTTCTGAACAGACCGGATGGCTTCCGACCGGCCGGTGAGCCGGAAGATTACGTCCGTGGCTTCCAGGTTTTTGATAAGGACAAGTCGGGCTTTATTGGTGTAGGCGAGCTTAGATACAGTAAGTGTCATTCAAACCGTTCAGTATTGTTCGAAATTTGCTAACTATGACACGCACGCGTAGTTCTGACTTCTCTAGGCGAGAAGTTGTCTAACGACGAGGTTGACGAATTGTTGAAAAACGTCAGCGTCACTAAAGATGGCAATGTCAACTATACCGGTATGTCTTCATTCTATCGCGGTCTACAATCAATTCCACAGCGAAGACTCTAATTCTCTTCTTAGACTTTGTTCGTATGATCTTGGCGAATTGAGCGTTAGCGTCTATAATGTGTGACGGGTGTTCAGTGTGGATGTGCTATTGCTTTATATGGTTTCTATTTCGGCTGCCGATTGCTTTTTATATCTAACAGTAATATATTTTCCTATGTGTCTACTCAGTTGCGCACGGCTTGAGAACTACAACGGACTTCGTAGATCATCGGTTCCGTGGGATTTCTTGGTTGAGCAAAATATAACAGGGAGTTAGTTATTCACGACTAGTAAACTATGATCGAGCTATATTTGTGATCTAAACTATCGAGATTTTCTTCAACAATTTCTCTTTATCTATTTCTTCTCCTCGAGCGACTTCATGAAATCCCTGAATGATGCAATTGTCAGCAGCTATCCTTCAAAGCATATGAATGGCTATAGATAGAACGTACTTAACAAAATCCTCCTCTTCCGGAGAAGCAGCATTGATTGGGGGAGAGGTCGGCTTCTCGGCAGGCTTCTTCGTCAAGTTCAGACCGATAACGAGGGCGGCAGTACTTCCAAGAGTAGCAATTGAGAGCTAGTATCACACGAAACGAGACGATTAGAATATTTCTGCTGTATACAGCGCTTAAGCCTGAGGAGGCACCATTGCACCAACTGAGCAATCGATTCATGGACCCCCATTTCAATCTGATGCAGGTGCCCGCAGACACAGCGCTCTAAAAACAGCATTTACATACCTGATGAGGCTTGACGGCCCGTCCGAAAACATGGTAAACTGCACCGGCCATTTTGAATAAGAATCAGATAGCTGGAAAAAATCGGTTAGCAATCTTATAGTTTCTCTAACAGTTCATACGTGTGCGTGAACAGATCCATAAACGGCCATGTACAGTATTAGATAGAGTACGAAATAAAGAGAGATCACTTACATTTGGTAAGAAGATACTGAATAAACCGGAGTTGATGATGGTCTTCCAAGTATGTACGGAATGTCGAAGCAGTGAGCTCTCAAATTTCGCTTCTCCGAGAACGCAATCTGGTTGGTCCGACTGCAGAACTCGGGAAAGGGTTGCTAGGTTACCCGGCTTTGGGCACCGCATCTTCAAACTGCGCACTCGGCACAGGTCGTCCCACCTCAGCTCGAGGCCCTTCTTTCTGCCATTGCAATAATGAGCTCGTTGGCGGTCAAGATCCTTGATAAAAATACCCTCCGAAACTGGCTGCTGGCTGAGCCGCGTTCGAAATCTCTTGCCATTATCGATGTGCGTGACGATGACCATATTGGTGTAAGTAGAAATACGCGACAGCTTTTATTAGGACTTTGGTTTCACAGTAGCATCAGTTTTGTTAACGTCACTGTCAAAAAGGGTCATATCGTAGGCTCCCGTCATCATCCTTCGTCTTCGTTTGGTCAGAATCTTCCGTATCTACATGAGGAGCTTCGGCCGTTCTCGACAGTGGTCTTTCATTGCGCATTATCGCAGCAGCGAGGTCCATCTGCAGCAAATATGTACGCAAGATATGCTGAGATGATCGGTTCGGCACCTACCACTCAAAGTGTATACGTTTTACGCGGAGGATTTACTGAGTGGCAGCAAGAATTTGGGAGCGATGGAAGACTCACAGAAGCTTACGATGAAAAGCTATGGAAGCTCATGTGCTGACGACATGTCTGAGTATTACATTAGGACTCAGCGTGTATCCAGATGCTAACTTCGATTCTGCTGTATCCGCGATTACTGAACTGTGATTTGCTGTCCTGTTGTCGGTAGGGAAGATGCATCTGCTGACTGCCGTCCGGTTTTGCATATCTGGGACATGATCCTATGCGGTATGGTGAAGTTCTTTAGATGATATCAGCAAGACCATAGGTAGATTCTACTTCTTATGTTGGCACTTTTGCAGAGATCAAGAACAATAGCGGAGAAGATGAATGAAATAGTTATCCGAAAATTAAAATACAATGTGTTGCCAATCGGCATATTATAACTAATAAAAGAACAATGACTTTATCGAGCCAGCAGTGACGGCGGAGAAAGCATCGTAGAGAACATCTGTTTCAGGCTGAAACTTTTCCTGACGTCACGGATACGAAGCAACTGTCCACATGAGCTATAGGACAAGAATTTATGATAAAAACAATGCATCAAGGAGACATGCGATGATCTTGTTTGCAGGCAGACGAGTAGCGACCGCGCCGCATCCTTAACGGCTTGCTCGATGAACGACAATTGAGCCGCACAATAGCTTCTTTCAGTCTCACCAGTCTTGAATGTCAATACAGATGACGATGAGTGACTGCCGCGACATGTACACTTCTGTCTCCATAGTTTCCTGTACATGATACAGCAACGATTGAGAGACTACACAGAAATATGGCCAAGCGACGTTGATCAACCAGAAAGGCAAGCGTGAGCCCAACGAACATGGAGGAAGCACGGCAATGTACTCTCTCATCTTACTGCTCATTGCGAAGCGGGCACGGTGGATTGGCTCGCCTGTTCTGCCAAAAGTCAACAAAAGCGTCCATCTGCCTACTGATTTTTCTTTATATAGTGCTTCCCTTTAACTTCGCAGCAGCTCATCATACAAACGAACGCACGCCTCACCGTTGCCCATTTGGTTTACCAAATCAAATGCTCAAAAAAGTCGATATTGTAGCCCAAATGTATTCTAAATCATCATCACAATAGAGTTTGAGTCAAATCTTACCCCCATTAACCACAACCTGTGCTTCTCTGCTGAGTCCAGGGCGATGCCGGTTCTGCGCATTTCGGTGCTTTGCTTGCTAACCATCGGCAAGCGGCCGGTCATTCTCGACGCGAGTTGCAGAAGTGACAAGTACCATGACGGCCCCAGGCCAATGGCCAGTAGTTTCAGGCCTGCTTCAGTACGAGTGAAATATCATTTGCGAAGCTTCAGACATCATCGAAAATGGTGCTAGCAGCATATATTTGGAGCCCACCACCATGGCTTTTGTCATCGCTTACAAAATTGAATTCGAGCGGCTAGCGAGCAGATCCCCTGCTTCAACACAAGAGGAACGTTCATTCTGTGAGATAATTCAGTCAGCAGTGCAAGTCCACAAGTGCTCCCAATCAGCCGTCTGTTTCTGTATACCGTTTTGATTGCTTCTTGAGCTTTTCTGGCTACTGCAACGACGCTATAAATCTCTTTGCGTGCAAGGCGCTGCATAGCGGTACTTTGACGGACTCATTACAACTGAGAGCTCCGCGCTGATCTTTCTCGCAGATCTAGCAGGTCTGAGGTTCAGGAGAACTCTACAGACAGTGTTCATTAACATAGCTAGCCTGGTACTCATGGAATGGCTTGTGAGCTGGTGAGTTTTTGTTTTTTTGGACTTATTTCCATAGCGGTACTTTGACGGACTCATTACAACTGAGAGCTCCGCGCTGATCTTTCTCGCAGATCTAGCAGGTCTGAGGTTCAGGAGAACTCTACAGACAGTGTTCATTAACATAGCTAGCCTGGTACTCATGGAATGGCTTGTGAGCTGGTGAGTTTTTGTTTTTTTGGACTTATTTCCATAGCGGTACTTTGACGGACTCATTACAACTGAGAGCTCCGCGCTGATCTTTCTCGCAGATCTAGCAGGTCTGAGGTTCAGGAGAACTCTACAGACAGTGTTCATTAACATAGCTAGCCTGGTACTCATGGAATGGCTTGTGAGCTGGTGAGTTTTTGTTTTTTTGGACTTATTTCCATAGCGGTACTTTGACGGACTCATTACAACTGAGAGCTCCGCGCTGATCTTTCTCGCAGATCTAGCAGGTCTGAGGTTCAGGAGAACTCTACAGACAGTGTTCATTAACATAGCTAGCCTGGTACTCATGGAATGGCTTGTGAGCTGGTGAGTTTTTGTTTTTTTGGACTTATTTCCATAGCGGTACTTTGACGGACTCATTACAACTGAGAGCTCCGCGCTGATCTTTCTCGCAGATCTAGCAGGTCTGAGGTTCAGGAGAACTCTACAGACAGTGTTCATTAACATAGCTAGCCTGGTACTCATGGAATGGCTTGTGAGCTGGTGAGTTTTTGTTTTTTTGGACTTATTTCTACGCCAGAAATAATACTAACTATGCCGCAGGCACCTATCGATGGTGGACAGTCTGGCATCGTCTCAAAATATCACCTCTTCGGCACTGCGATAGTTTACGCCGCTCAAATTTTTATGCCTGTACAGCCGCTGGACCACCTTGGGCGTGTTTCTTTTATTTGCCATCTTGAACGCTCTCCACACATGAAGCTGGCAAGGCGGCAGTATGGGTTGTCGCAGTGGGAGAGATCGGGCACGAAGTCGCTGCCGCTCTCTTGTTCGTTGATTGCCTATTTCCGAGCGAATTAGATGGCTCCCCACTCTACGATCCTTGCCCCCACAGCTCGCAACAACAATCGATCAAAAAATATGTCTGAAGAGGGCTCTTCCTGGGACTGGCCACCTGAAGCTTCCTTGGAGCAAGCACAGTCAGAGTGTACCGACCCGGTCATTGATCGACCAGTGATATGTTGAGATCTTCCTTCCACTCCGACCGCAAGTATAGGCCTCAAGCGCCAGAAACTATCAGAAAAACTGCCTGCGCGACTTCATCCTCGTCCTCAGGCGATGTAAGAGATGGGATGGCTCTCTCTCCTTGATTTGAGGACTGAAAGAGGCTCGGCTTGCCTTAGACGAGCACAGCGCTTTTCGCCAACTATCGCGATTTCCACCGGATGCACTGGCCTCTAATACTACGTCCCATCAGATCGATGTGAATCTGGAAGCGGGATCTATTGAACTCGCAAACTCCAAGGAGCAAGACATTGGGAATTATCGCCAACGACCCAATTGTTGTTGAACTTGATGAAGATGCAATGTCTGGAAAAAAAAGGTGCATATTCTACTACTTCTACAGAAGATCTAGCATCATTACATCAACCATCTGATACCTGGCTGTGACTCGAGCAGGTAGTCTGTCTAATGGAGCCTATGTTTACTGGATCTATTTCCCTCAAGGACCGCATTGCTGAAATGGAAAAAACCATCACAATAATCAAGACTGAGAATACTTGGCTTTGGAGGCAAGGCCAGTGATCACCCAGTCCTGAGAAACCTTCTGGACAGGATGCTCGATCTGAGAAGATGGAGACATTTTGTATTGCAATCTATAATGGAATGCGACTGCAGAAGCTGTCAAATCAATTATCTGATGCTGTCTGATGCTGTTATAATAGTTAACCAGCTCAAATGATCAGGATTCTACCTCTCAGGACTCAATCCCTCTATAAGATTTCGCCTTTTGAAGCCCCCATTGATGCTAATGGCGAGTCCGCTATATATGACCAGGCAGAGACAAAACAGGAGGTGGCTATGTGCCCCAATACTGATATCAATGCAAACATTATCGCACTGAAAGCAGGAGTCAGAACAGGGAACCCAGTCAAGAGTCTGAGCTAGCAGCAGAACCCCTCAATCCTTACCTGTGAGCCAGTGGCATACACCTTCAAGGCTGCTTCAAATATTGCCAATACAGGAGCAACATAAACATCTAGTGTAGCAGCTAGAGCTCTCAATGCCTGCTCTTTCAGTGGAGAAGAATAATATACTGTCAGCGCTTTCAGGGTGCATCGAAACAGGTCCAAGTCTAATGTGGTATAACATTCACACAGACTTCAAAGCAAACCTTTGAATATGGCCTTTGCCATGCCTGCCAGCTAGCATTTATATCTGCTCCTTGTTGACTAGAGTCAGGAGATCATTTTCTGAGGCACAGACTTGACTGAAGGTCAGTTATAAGTAGGAATCTTTTCTCCACTTGAAGTTGACTATGGAATCAGATAAGCTGCTTGCCTAAAAGGAGATCTCCCAGCAGGAAGCCGAAGCAGAGGGTTAGAGTTGAGGATGTGGAAGTCCAAGAGCGCTGACCAAAGGTGGTGATGTGTGGGTATTAGCTTGCTGAATTACTCTGTCAATTGCGGTGGTCTCAGTTTTCTCCAGTAGGAAGCTGAAGACTTCGATAAGGGTCTCACTTGCAAATAAGGACTTCAAAAAGGGTTTCACTTACTGAACCCTACCACCAGGGAGTTTACAGGACCAGGGAGCATAAGGCCTATGGACCAGCGGTTGTTGCTACCAAGGATGGTGATGACAATCATGATGAATCTATGTTTGATGTCCATAAGTTTGATGTCCATTGTAACAACTGGTGCCACCAAGTATGACTTAGAAATATGGTTCTGGAGACAAAAGCTCAATTGATGGGTTGCTGGCTCAGGACATCTTGGTACACTATGTTCTGACTGATCGATCGATGCATGGGATGTCAGGCCCCTGTCATCGATTGAGTGTCTGAAACCAATACTAAGGTCTGTCTTCATCTTCTTTGCTCTGCCACCAATGTTGATGGCAGCAATTGTGCTCTGAGCTTAGCAGCTGAGGCAGCCTTGTCACCAGACTGTGTCAATCATGACTGCTCTTTGTGCTCTCTCTATAAGCTAGTCGATGATCGCGCTTTTGATGAATTGAAAGACAAATTTCAGCATGAGGTTTTCAGTGTTTATGAAGGCAAATCACAGCTTTCTAACAACAAGCCCTCTGTTAATATCTGGCACAGTGTTACCAGCAGTCTTGTGGGCTTCTGTGCTGGACATGATTTTCTTGACAGCTACATCAGAAGATATGGAAGAGAACCTTGTTGCAAATTGTCTTTGCCAGTGGAAGTTCCAGACATATTGAAGTTGTCAGAGTTATCCATTGATGATGATATTCTTAAGTGTGCTTTGATATGTAATATGATATGTTGCTCATTGAATGATATGTACAAAACAAGGGAGGGAGCTGGTCAATATATAGACAAAATAAGTTTATACAAAGTTTATACAAAGTTCTTCAAGTATCATCTGATCAGTCATCTGACCAGTCATCTGATCAGTCATCTGATCTTTCCAGATCATTCCAGCTCCTTCCAGATCCTTCCAGCTCCTTCTAGCTGCTTCCAGTTCCTTCCGGTAGATTCCAGTTGCTTCCGGT